ATCCCTCGACTGCACCATAGCATTGTATGCCTGACGGCCTTGAAACGTGCTCTTGACGCTATCGTCTCTCTTGGACAAAGCAATTTCCCACTCTTTCAAAACCATCGTAAAATAAGACGCAAGCTGTCTGAAAAGATATTTTTTCCCTTCTTCATCCTCTGGGACCTTGTCTGGTACTTTCATTTCCGCCTCCGGAAGGAGCTCCAAAGTCGTAGGTATCGGGCCATCGGACAGTTGCTTCTGCGGCGTAGCGGATCTCTGCACAAGGCGTCTATACCTCTTCAACCGACCCTTATCACTCTCTCCGAATAACCGAATCGGTTCGCCCACACTCCTCAGTTTCTCAACAACTTCTTCCTGGCCAACAACCTCTTCGCCTTCCAAAGGTGTCTGCTCCTTGCCACTCTCACCATTCTCCTCTGCAGGCGTGACACTCAGCCCCAGCCTCTTCCTCCTCTCCGCCTCCTTCGCCGCCTCTTCCGCTTCTCTCCTCCGTCTCGATTCCTCGGCAAGCCGCCGCCTCTTCTCCTCACGGATCCTATTTCGCTCCGCCTCTTCCTCGTCTAGTTTTCTCTTTCGCTCCGCGCGCTCTTCTCGTTCTCTTTGTAATCTCTCCTGCTCTGCATTGTACGCGGCGACGCGCGCGGTTTCAAGTTCGGAACGGCGCACATACTGCTGGTTTTGTTCCGCCTGGGAGGATTGTTTCGCTGGTGGTTTGGATTTGGCAATCTCTTTGGACATTAACGAGGCAAAATCCATGATCGTATAGCAGCACTCAGAAGACTGATAATCTAGAAAACAACTGCTCACGTTGGATATCCCAGCTGTTCCAACGAGCTTCCTCTGGAGGCGGCGCGGCCAACACTCGGAGAAATAATGTTCCACTACAACGGACTTTATTTATTCCGGATTCCAGCTGCTGACCAAGGTTGGTTGGAATATTGCTGTGGCTCTTCGTCAGGGCTAAAAATAAAAGTACGACCGAACTCAGGCTTATGTCCGAATATCATCTTCTCATTAATTCATATGTACTCCGTACGGAGTACAGCAGATCATTCTGTGTCGCATGATGCACTAAATCTAAAAGTACATATGATAACCAAGATCCCATCTAGTTAGATGTCATTAGTCTAAAACCTTATCGGCCTTCCTGCAAGAGTTTCTTTCGCTTCTGTCTCTCCCTTTCAAATTTCCTGAACAGCGGATGATGGCTTACTTTCTCCTTCAGTTGTTTATTTCTGCTCTTATTATGCTCAATGTAAGCCATATCTTCGCCACCTGCGAGCCCGCTCAGCGTGGCAGCACTGCGTTTCACAGCAGCTTTTCTAGCGGCTTTAGCCCTCGGCCCGCCAGAACGTTCGCTAAATAGGTCATCGACTACTTCTTCAACGGCAGCAGACGTTTCATTCTGCAACATGACTTCCTGTAAGAGCTCACGACGTTCCGCTGCGGTAGCATACGCGAGACCCTCGAGGTTCTCAATACCTTGGAGATGCGTGATGACCTTAAAAGCATAACCCTGATCGACCAAAAATGCCTGTCGCTTAGAGGAATAGTACATTTCATCCGTATCCTTGGAGACTAACGAGTAGAAAAAGGCGTTAAAACCTTCATCATTTCTGCGTTTAGCCCGGAGGATGCGTCCTAATCTCTGGGCCTCTTGACGTCGAGAGCCGTAGTGAGATGATATTTGGATCAGGCAGGTCGCCTCTGGAAGATCCAAGGAAGTATCTCCAATCTTTGAGAGGAATATCGTATTCACCTGCTCATTATGTTGGAAATTTTCCAGAATTCGCAAACGCTCGTTTTGTGGAGTCCCTCCATAGATATATGCCTTGTTCAACTTCAAGGCATATCGCTCCAACGCGTAGACATTATCGGAAAAGACGATAACCTTATCTCCGCGTTTCTCATGATAGTCGATCAGAAATTGACATGCCTGGAACTTCCTTGGATTCATGATATATAGCAGAGCAGCCTTTCTCGACTTTTCACGCATATATTCAGTATAGAATTCTGTTGTCATGGGGCACCAGACTTCTGCACATTGGACTTTAGCGATGTGACCTTGCTCCGCCAGTTCCATCCAGTTGGCTTCATAGAGTTTAGGTCCAATAAGGAAGTTAAGATCCTTGATCTTGTCGTCTTCTCTCAGCAACGTCGCCGTCAAACCAAGCTTTGTCTGGGTGGCGATAGCAGAGGTGACCTTTCGGAACATGGATGCGGGCACGACATGGACTTCGTCCAGGATCATTAAACCCCATTCCCGAGATTGCATCCAGTCCATCATCTTCTCGGCATCATGAGATCTAGCGCGAGTTTGCGAAACCATAGAGTATGTCGAAACGATGATACCAGTACTTCTTCTGAACCTTTCCTTATTGTCAGAGGTAAATATAGCGATGTCATTAGGATCAATATTCGACCATCGTAAAAATTCATTGCGCCATTGAACGACCGACATGGAACTTGTGCACAGAACTATAGTTCCTTTCTTGATTGTGCACGCCGCAGTAATCCCAACTAGAGTCTTTCCTGCTCCGCAGGGCAAGACGATGATTCCACTCTTCGCTCGACCGTTTCCAAACATTTTACTTAAACTTTTTTCCTGATAGCTCCGGATTTGGGCGTTGGGCTTAAGATCAATATCCAAGGTCGGGTTTATCTCGTCATTGCGAAAATCGTATTCTTCCAATGCCGGACAACCCATACTCTGACATCGCGCTTTCACGGCTTCCACACTTGTGTTAGGAATTTCAAAACTATGAACCTGCGCCTGATCCTCATCATCGTCGTCCTCGTCTCTTAGCGAGACCAATAAATCATCGTCCTTGAGTGGAGGAGCTTCTCCTTCTCCATTTTCAGGTTTCTGGTCAGGATTTTGCCTAAGGCCGGCAGCATCCTTTGTCCCAGGGATAACCAGCCCGCCCATTTTTGGAGCAGCTTGCTGTATAATGCCCTCTGAGTTTTCGACCCTCTGCGCACCGATAACTTCATCTTGTAGCAACGTCTGCAGCATCGCTGGATCGGAGCTTTCGACAAAAAATCGATTATGTTTTAGAACAACTTTAATCTTCCCATAGGACTTTGTGAAATTCACGATAAACTGCTTTATGGTCTCAGGGAGCGGCGTTTTCGAAAGTCGATCGAGAAAGTTAATGATGTCTGCGGGCAGCAGCCCCACCGATACAGCAGCGTAGAGACTATTTCCGGTCAATCTATATTCATGAAGATGTGTAGGACGAGATAGGGGCTCGGCTATCGTAGTAAGAAAGTCTTGCGCTTGCGAGGCTAACGGCGAGAAGCTCTCCAAGGTGATCGTTCCCTTCAAGGGCTCAATCCATAGTGGTCTATTCGCATGGTCGGGCTTCAATGGCAAGGACGAAAAATCCTTATACCCAAAATGAGGATCTTGTTTTAATACCTGGGACTTCTTGTCGCGGCTAAAGGTCTGGAGGGAGAATTTCTCCACGACCTCTATGAGCAAGAACGGACATCGGTCAGTCTTATGAACAATGCGTAGGGATAACCAAGTCCGGCTTTACTTTTTATATTATCTCCATCCACATCGGAATTCTGCACACCGGGGTCTGTGTAATCATCATCGCTAAGAACGCTCTGTGGTGTGGAACTCGGGACCGGCGTGGCGCGCTTTGAGGCTCTTCCTACCCGGGAGCCTGTATCAGAGTTAGTCAAGCCCGCTAGGCTATAAATAGGGCTTGAAGAACAACACACCATCGACAGCCTTTCTTTTGGGAGGCATAGTTTAACCAGGCAAGGAATCAGGCTACCGGGCAAGATGGAGAAGCCGATTGCGCGTCAAACAACGTCATCCAGGGCTCCTCAACTTGCTTCTGATAAATACAGAGAGAAAATGCACAGTCCGGGTTCAAGCAATGAGCTGAAGAAAAGCCTATGGCCAATAGCCTGGGAGATGATGGCAAAAGCTCACCAGGAAGCCCTTCGTCGATGGAAGGCGAGCGAGAGCTGAGCAGATGAATGTCGCCTGGAGATCAAGTAATATCACGTGATATATTAGCTTACTCAGCATACGGCTGTGCTCCGACGAAAGCGGTTGTGCTCTGATTGGCTGAGGTCGGCCCCATCGACGTAATAGCAAAATTCGGGATTCCCTGCGCTCAGGACGGCGAACGACAAGCTCATGAGAAAAATATTAATGCGAATCCCCGAATCCGGCGCATACTTCCATACTCCGTCGCCTTATACGTAGCGCAGCATACCATTGCAAGTCCCAAAATGAATACTGTAAGTGCTGCTGCAAAATACCAGCGTTTCGCAGCTTTCGGAAATAAGTGACTAACTTCGTCGAAGATTCGATCTACCTGGTACGCGGTGATTACACCCCAGATTGTCTAATTCGAATGACTGTTTCCTCGGTTAATTCAGCCGATGGTATCTAACCTCTTCTCCCTTAAACAGGATTGGCTGGGGCTCCCTATGTGTTGGTATGCGCTCCCAGCTCTCCCCATAATCAGGATGCTTCTATCCCGAGATAAAAGAAATCATGCCCTCTAACTAATCCATTTTCCTCCTCAAAGCTGGTGCCGGCGCATACTACTTTGCCAAACGCTCCATAAACGCTGATCGACTCTCTCGTCACGAAGCCGCCCAACGAGCCAAACAGGAGGCCTCCAAAAGAGAGGCCGAGGCCAGAGCCCCTCCGTCAACGATATCTAAGCCGCCATTTGCCGTTCCCCCTACACCCGGTGCTTCATCATCAAATGAAATGCAGGAGGCGGCCGGTGGTGGTAAAATAGCAAAGAGCATATCCGCAAATGCATTCGGTCAGGATGATGTAGGTAGTCCCAGCGAGGAGATGGGCCATGATCCGGCGGCGACAAGGCATGAGCCGGACACGGAATCACAACGCGTCTCAGAAAAGGGGAAGTACGAAGCTGCCGAGCTGTTTCGGTCGAGAAAAGGGGATCGATTCAGCTAAAACGGGTTGCCTGCGGACAACTTCGACGGGCTATCCTGCCAATGTCACTCTACCGGCCCTTGCCAAAACCCGCTAGCGCTCCTTAGACCCTGGAATCTTACTCCGCCAGAGAAATAGTTTGTTAATAACTGTTCGCATACTGTACATAGAAAAGTCTCGTGCCTTGCACGATTCGAAAAATATCTCCGCTCACGCTTTGCCATTGGTAAAGGAATAAGGCATTAGCCTCCGATTCCAGAACGCACCATAGCTGGAAGAAAAGTATCACCAAATATTTGGGTGGAAGTCTGAATAGAGTTAGGTCAGCTCCTTATTACCGTGTGCTCGTGTCAGTGCCAACGCTGCAAAATGTATGGAAAGTTGCAGATTGCTCATCAATTCCGAAAATTAGCTGCTGCTAATTTAATATGACAGGAACTAAATGCCATTGGAGTCCAGAAGGGATTAAAAAAGGAATAGAAAGCATTAAAAAGTCGCCCTGCAACTCCATTCCCAGATACCATGCCTTGAGGCCCGCCAATGACACTGGATTCAAAACCGGGTAAGTAAACGACTTGGATATAGCCCGCCTGGTACGGGAAAATATGCAACCCTAGTCAATTAAAGACGGCAGACGTGTGGGACCAACATTTGTTCGGTAAGATTAGTCTGTCGTTACTATGTACGGAAGCAGAGCGGCGGGTATCTACTATCAAAAAGTTAACCCAGTACAGTTTAAAGCCAGGGTAATAAATAAATGTCAGGGAACATACTTGCTCTCATGAGTGTTCCCGCTCCTCTTTTGCCGCAAGCTTTCCAGCGCGGGGTGAATGAAAGGTATCACGACCAGAGCAACGAGCGCAGAATTCGCAACAAACCGCTGGGTTCGACTCTCTGGCTTGGGCCCCTGGGCGGAGAATTGGCGAATGGAAGAGCGGGCTACAGCTCGCGCAAAGGACATTGTTGTTGTCTGCGTGATCGTATTCTTTATAACTACTCTGCGTTTGGGCTCTCTGTTGAGGCAACAAGAAGGCAGGGAAGGGGTCACACTGCACCATCAACCATCCGTCAGCAACCCATCAGACGCTAGAGAGGTTAGATTCGATGTCATGAACCCGAAGAGAGCACATATATCGACAATGGAGAACATTGCTCTACAGTCTTCTGGCTCATTCTCGTATCTTCGTAGGGTTGACGTTGTTCTAAAACCGAGAGGCCAAGGCTTGGGCGAAAGTGCGAAACTCACCTGTCGTTAACTAACTAACTAGTTTAACTTGCTTACTGCCTATGCTTGTAGTGTCCTCCTAGCTGCGAGCGAGTGGGAGTAGTGGAAGAATTCACCAAATGAAAAAATATATGACCTCACATCTTGTTGGCTGTAATTATCGGAGATAAATAAACAAAAAAATGATCGACTACATCTGGTAGCTAGCAGCCCATCTCCTGACCATGTCGCTCCCGGAAACGTGAGCAGGATGGCGTGGAATCCATCCGGAAGATCACACCATTCTTTACCATGCTTCCGGCCAGTCAAAGGTGGGGGAAAAGAAACTCAGCAAAGGCACAGAAGTTAGTTCGGCAGCGGAATTCATCACCTGATGATCGCATCACATTCCTCGCCTGCTGTGTATGTACATCATGCATACTTCAACTGTCTTGGAGGTTGCTTTACGCTTGCTCTATTTATAGTTGTAATAGATCAAGTAATTTAGTGGCCATGGATAGGAGCATAATTTAAGCTCTGTGGTCAAGAAAATATGGAAGAATTGCCATATTTTGAACTTCTTAGATACATTTAATATCAGGAGCATGATACAGCTCTAGCACCCTATAAACGCAGAGCAAGGGAAGTGATTACCAATAGATTACAGCCGTTCAGTTCTGATAGGTCAGAGTTTCCGGTTAATGGTACAACTTCGCTCCCGCTTTCGTCCGTCTCCGCAAGTCAGATCAACGAGCTGGGTTCCAAACATTGCAGTACATCCTGCAGAGGTAATATATCCGCCTATTGTCCGAAGCATACAGATACAAGGCCATCTCCGGGTTTGATCTAGTAAAGCAATACACGATGTCGGAATGTATATATTCTCACCGTGCCATTGACGTCGTTAGTTGAGAATAAGGTGCTATCATCGCTGACCAATTTCATCAGTCGATGTGTGTAGCTCTAAGTCGAACTTTTGGTGTAAGTCATTGACAAAATCCATGACTACTTCGTCAATTGGCACCATCTCATCAAACGTCGTGTTCTTAAAGCATTTCCGCGCGTTCTCAAATTTGCTAATTCTTAGACATCTTATCGTTCGGCAACACAGTCCATCCAAATACGGGAGCCTCTCTATAAATGATATAAAGAGAGGTTTCGTATCGGCGGGAATAGGACTAGATATTTTGAAGTCACTCAAGGGATCTCCCACACTGCGATAGCCAACTGATACCAAGAGAAAGCCGGATTCATTTAGCCGTAACAGATGAACGTGTTCGGGGTGGTCGGTGGTAAAGACAATTAAATATCATTGCATCCCAAGCCTCGAGCCAGTTAAGTCGAGGAGGGTAATGTATCTCCTTGAAGACGAGAAGAGGAATGCTTCATGCCCGATCCTACTGACAACCTTGCCGAGGGATCACCGCAATCTACATTGCACGAACCTTGAATCGCCAACTTCGATGAGCCGCTCAAGGCAACCCGGAGATGCATGGGCGAATTCTCAGGGCACAGAAAAGGTCAGATCGTATAGACAATGCTTGGTTCCTCTTGAACATGGCATCCTAAATATCCCACAACCTTCGGTAGGTCTGTTGCCCAAGAACCTAGCCGGCTCAAGTAAGACAATCGATATAGTGAAGACGTCTTAAATTGAGTTAACTAAGGCAGCAACATTTAATGACAAAGCCTGATGCGGCTTTGGCTGCTTCTCTGAGCACTTGCAACAGATCAAGCTTCGCTAGGGCATGCATTCAAACAAGAATATATCGCCCCTCGGAAAAGATGATTAGCTGATTGAGAGATGTATCTGAAGTTGCATTGCATTTATTCGAATGATACGGCCAAAACATTACTGCGTAGTCCATAAGGGGGCGAGGTTCCAGAAGAAATCCATCGCTGGATATTGCCGTCAGAGAAAAGAGAATGTGGCTTCATTAAGATCTCTTCATGCGCACCTGCTGCTTTTGAGGAGAAGGAAACTTCTAAATGTTCTGTGAGATACTCGGGAGCTGTCTGATGAACACGGATTACACGATAATATTGGTCGACTCTACTGAGATGACCCCAAACTTGGCTGAGGGCAAACTTCAGGTCCAAGGGGTTAACGAGGATATATTTCAACACGTGAGCCATTTCCTGCATATCAAGCGGACTTTGAACGTGCAACAACCAGCTGAAAATGGTATTCGCAATGGAATAATCTCTAGTCCAGGGTGACTAGGTGATTGAAGGAAGCATTGCGTGACAGTCTCTGTGTGCCCCTCGGAATGCTGTCGAGGATAGAGTAGATATGTTATCGGCCGTGATGGCCGGCCACCTCCTCGACCACAAGGTTCGCCCGAAGAAGGTTACCTTCTGCCCGGGAACAATGACATTCAGGATATGCCTTCGTCACCGTGTATGTTTTTGAGCTCATTTACTGCATACGGCCGAATATCTGCATCATTTGCCTCGACGCTAAGCCGAGTGACGTTGATAGCTTTGCTTGCCTTGTCAAACGATCTTTTTATCAATGTGATCTTCTGGCTTGTTATGAGAATGAGAATTGGGAAGGCGTCTAGTAAATTGAGAGCAAATCGGTATCACTTATTGAATTTGATACTTTGAAAGCGTCGATAATCCAATCAATAAGTTCTGCGAATGAGATCTTAAGAGACCTGACACAAAAGCTTTTTTGCCAGATTTCCCAAGGCCTGGGTGTGATGGTAATTTAAACCGCCCTGCGGCAGATACCATAAAAAATACCCGAATTCAAAAGCCCTGTGAGATGACTGAAAAGCAAGCGGTCTAAGAAGACCGCCGAGTGACGTTTTATTGACATTGATGTAATTTAAGACGCAGCAGCTGTAATTGCACTGGTCCATCTGGAGTCGGCATAAAAGCTGTGCCACTAGAACGGATTTACCGGCTCTAGGGCGAGCGGGTATCCAGAGAATCCCTGGATTCCTACTACTCCGCCAAGGCCGCACTTCTTGACTTGTCACAGCGGGTTCTCCAGTTCCTAGAGCCCATTTTGTCTTTAAAGTAAGATGATCATGCTCCGGTGCATCTAATGTTCCAAGCGTGGCTCTATAACCGGCATATCTGCTCCTATTTTCACATTGTGCACTCTCGAATCTGCAATATCAGCGCCTGTATAATGAATCAGCGAGGGTGACGGACTACTAACCACCTACCCGCAAATTGATACGAGAATACTAGGTGCTGCAACAATCCATTAAGTTTCTTGTAGGTAGATTCTCGAGGGCTCGAGAACTTGCAGACTGTATGATGATTTGCATCGAGAGGAACTCGAACTTCTCCAGGGCACCCAATTTTTGCCGATTCTTTGCCCACTATTGTCTAAGAATAGATTTAGTTAATTCTCAAATGTGCAGGGGTGATCATGGACCATACCACCGATATAAACCGAGTGATAGGGGTCGGCTCTAGTTCATAAAAGGAGAATATATCTAAATTATGAATGAAAGATCGAAAACTTTCGTTTATCTCGGGGATGATCCGCGAGTTCGCCTCTAGTTCTGTAATGTAGCGCTTCGATGAATGACTAAATATTGAAATGGAGGAAATCCAATTCAAAATCCTTGCAGGCTTGGCCCCGTGATGGGGCGTTGACAGAAAAAGAACGGCGTGAATATTTTTCACAATGGAGCGAAAGCCATCATCGCGGATTCCTTGAACATATGCCTGGATTTCCTATCAGTGAGGATAAGGGATATAGAAGGACGAGTTCTTTACCCGCTTGAACACAAGTCCACCGAGCGAGTGGTTGACAAATATAATTGGCTTCTATTTCCGTCAGCATACTTCTTTCAGGATTACGGATTACACGCCTTGGGCTTTCCACCTTTCCTAATCCAAGTTCCCTAGACTGATCATCCTTCCCATATTTCATTTCTAATAGTAGGGACCTTGCGAAATCCAAAATGTCGGCTGCAGAGCCATCCCGCCCCCGCTGCGAAGGAGCATTATACCCAAACGTCAAAATCCTGGCCTTGCAAGTCTCTGGCTCTAGCGGCAGCCATTGCTGAGGCCATCTAAGTTTTGGGTCACCATCCTTTGACCACGTCTGAAGGCTTGAGCCCCCGAGCCCGTGGACAAATATGATATCGGCGGTGTGTTGCGCCTGAGGCTCGTAGAGTACAGTGATTCCCAAGGGATCTGCCGAACGGTCTTTCACAGGCTTTGTCGAACGTGTCGGGGCCGGGCCGATAAACGTACTATCATGTTGACACGGATTAGGGATGTCTTGCAAGCCGACACTCTCTTTGCTGAATATCAATCTCTTTTTCCAAGTTCTCTTCAAATCGCGAGAATGATCGCGAAACCTGCGCAACTGTGGACCGTCAGCACAGCGTTACTCTCGAAAAATTGATCCAGCTTAAGAACTGAGGCGCACCATCACGCCCACCGATCGTCGCTACATAATCTCGGGCCCAGTCACGGGGTCGTCCCCACGATAGAAGCCTGGCTCCCTTTCCTGGGATCCGGTCGATTCTCCGTTGTCTACTCCGTCATATTAATTAATTATAGGTGGTTAGCTGCTGGTTCTTTTGAATAACTCGCCAAGTTCCTTCGTAAACAGGGATTTCATTGGACAGATTGGCATTTGTTGGTCTCGTTGCTTGGCCCAACCTCCCACTTGACAGCAAATTCTCCTTTTAAATATTTAATTCGTCCTGATATTGAGCCCAGATATTCTGCTTTTGCCTGCTGTTCATTATATGCCACCACTCCTTTTTTCAAAATGTGGTAGGAGGGTAGTTATATGCTTGCGCTTCATAGCCCAGCAAAATTAAGACAACCGGGCACCGAGTCAGGACATTATAACTGGTGGTTTTCCCTCAGAGTGACGAGCATGCATTATTAACATTGTATGAGTGCAACAGTGCTTTCCGCCTGGCTCCAAGATGGTTTCAGCTGTCGGTTGTGGGGTTTCATCATCGTCTCGAACTATGGGAGTCACTATTAAAGACAACCCGGGGAAAACAAAGCAATATTTTCTAAAGGTCAAGCTTGACCATACTGAGTGATATCGCACCATTTCTCATATGATTCCAATATCATATTCATAGGGAGAGGTCAGGAACCAATCTAATCTAACATTTTTCTTCCTCTCTGATTATCTGAATCACACCAAAAAAGCTTGCTGAAGAATTGGTCAACCTTCGTACAAAAAGCAAATCTCAGCCACAATAATTTGGGTTTTATGCTCCCACATTTGACGGCAAGGTGCGGCAAAATTCTGCCCGGGATTCAAGTTAGGCATCCTTAGATTGGACGTTCAGCTCAAGGACCCATGGACAATGCTTGAGCATCTAGTGTAGCACATTTCCAAATGCGTAATCACTAGATTAATTGACAGGCAGACTCAGGATGTGGAATCGATTAAGTCTACTTTGATCCACGGCGACTTCTGGGAAGGTAACACCGGAACGGATGCGGAGACAGGTAATACCTACGTTTTCGACGCATGCTCGTTCTATGCTCATTATAAGACGGGGCTGGGTATGCGGAGAAAGGCCCTTCATGAAATAAACACGAAGGCTCTAAGCAAGGGTACCCCAAAGCGGATGGAGCCAAGCAAGCCGGCTGAGAAGGAGGACGCCCGGGTGCGCTTATATAGTGTGAAAACGAACTTATGTTTTCAGCACATAACCCCTCTATACCAGAAACCAGACATCAGTGAGCGTAATGATAATCTCTATTCCTGGGTGCCTTCACTTACTCTTGTAGGGCGCAGGATGATTTGTTGTAACTTCGGTTAAATACGCTCTAAGGATATCAACAATAGATGAGCAAAATTTTCCAGTGTATAGGCGACGGCCCCTTAATCCCTTGAGTTCCCTGGTTTTGGATCGGGCAGTCAAGCCTACGCTTCCTTCCCACGATTGACACCTGAGGGGATACGCTAAAGGCATCGTCGAGGTCATTGTATGCAGGTTAAGGGGCGGCGTGTGTGTCCAAAGAGACGGCGTTTAATCTATGCTGGAGGGTTATTTGTTCTAACTTGGGGTGGCCATGTTTGAGGACCGAAAGCGTGGAATCGTAGGAAGCTCTTCAGCTTAGCGTGGGGTTCACGAGAGATTCTTCAATTGTGAAGGATTCATACGGAAATCCCCGAAATGAAGTGGGAATGGGCCGAATTGCTGCCTCGTTCCGGTTATAGGAACTCTTCCTTAGAGATTCCACATTTGGCTGGGTTATTACCGGGGTCCCTTCAATTTTCGGAACTTTGTAAAAAGGCTTCCGTGCGTTGGGCCGAGGCGGCAGGCCAGGATTGAACGGGATTTTGCGAGTGGCGATAAAAGGCCGTAATGATGGGTCTGGAAGAGATGCTTTAGCTGGAGGAGTTTTGTACGGCGCTCTTCGCGGAGCGGCTAACTGAGTCGGAGGTCGCTGATTGTTAGTTTCGCTCCGGAGGGAAATCGTGCGCACTGGGGCGTTCAACAGAGACTCCTCTATTGTTTGCGATTCATATGGTGACAGCCGTATAGGAGGTCCTATAATACGTCGTCTTTGATTGTAGGGGCTCTTCGAGGCATTTGAGCGCTGCTGGGCTCGCGAAAGAGATGCTTCGATCGTAGGAGGCTCGAGCGGTGGCTGCTGTCGTACAGCAGAGGCGGTGGTTCTTTCATAGGAGCGACCCGGGAAAAAATCCCCGCGGAGGAAGGATTCTTCAACTGTTATAGATTCGTATGGTGACCTCTGCATAGTAACAGCTGGCTTCGAATAAAGTCGAGCTCTTGAGGTCAACTATCGGAGTTTCCCCATAGGGGAATCCGCGAATGACATGGTAGAAGGTAATATTGGAGGGGTGCTTTCATCCAAAGGAGGGAATAAGTAGGGACAACATTTCCGGGAGCAAAGCTGCATGATACGGGGCAAGTTATAACTCCTCTGTGGAGGATCGTGAGTCTCAGGCTGTTCTCATGCGCCTTGGATGGCTGTTCCGTGCAAACTCGACAATTCAGAGACGCTCGGCATCCTGGCTCCGCAATGAAAGAGTTAATTTTAGTTTAAAATCAATGCTTATTGTCACCGTTAGAACGTTACAATTTCCCTCTTGAGGTTACTGGTGGTTCATGTAGCCCATGGGGTTTCTTCGGGTAAGCATGGAAATCTGTGGTTGAGACATTGCTCTTGTTTCTCACTAGACATGGCCCAGCCGACATTTGGCCCTAAATAGTTAAATGCCACCTTTTCTCGAGGAAAACAGCATCGACAAAGAAGTTCAGCCCTAAGCCTGCCCAAGTGGCTAGTAAGGTTCCAAACTCGAGTGCTGGGACAACATGGCACAACAGCATCTGGAGTTGCTAACTGGATGGTGTGAGCCTATCCAGATTTTACTGTGTGTACCAAGATTATGGTGAATTATAGATTGGAGGTGTTCCTCACATGCCTATACCTAAAGTGCTGACTGGGGCTTCAAGAAGGCAAAATCTGGTTGGTCAGAACAGATCATAATGGAGATACCTCTTGATGTCCTGCTGGACGAATTATAGGGCCAACTATGCGTCGGTGTAAGGTGAGAGGTAGTCCAAATCCTTGCAAAAATACCAGATACTGTGGATTTTGATAGAGGCCTATGTAAGTGGTCCCTTATTTGAGCCCAGCTTGTAAGGAGAACAGTTGAGCTAATAGTGTTGTGATAGTATTGGCGCGGGCTGGTATTGCACAACACTCAGCGCAACATGCGGGTTTTGTAAGCTGCTGTTCATGGCCCCCTGGAGAGAAGAAGGAATTAGAGATGGCAGGCCAGCGTAATCTATTGAGGCTCGAAACTAGAGCCTACAAAGGCAGAGGATTGAGTGACCCGAGCAGCCTTACAATTTTCTATTTCAGGAACAGTGATGCCGGTAGTTCTGATCCGATGTTCCTGGGCGAATTGAAGTCCTGGGCATACAACAAAGTAGTTAATGAAGACGTCTTCTCTCATAACTGATAACATCATATCCTTGACTTGGCCTGTTTTCTTCCACCTAGGAGCCGGGAGATTCTGTTGAGATGCGGCACGCCCAACTTCAGCAGACTTAAGATGTGGGAATGTGGTCGTATTGGTATCAAGGTTCGAGCTCCCCCCGGGGCTTGTCCTGACAGAAGGAGCACGGATTTACGATTTTCCGAAATACAAACAACACAAACAGCTCTCAAGCACGTGGACACAACGAAGATTGGGACGCGGGCTCTTGGCATCTCTTGTGGATGCTCTCCATAGCCGCGATTCATGATTCTGCAAAAAGATGGTGATAATGCCAAACATCAAGTCAATATGACGTCTCATCAGGTTGCGATCGCCAAGGCTTCCTTCTCTGCCGGCCTTCTTCGACCCGACCCTACATCTGTTCCGCGAGATGAGATAACCGAATTCCACAATGCGCTCGACACAGCGTTGTCGCGCTGCTCACCCGCGAACATCCAGGTTTGGGACAATTGAATCCTTCAGGTTTTACGGGATAGCTAAAGTATTCCTTTTCTTTTAAAAATAACCGCTAGGCCTGCAAAGCGTGGATCTTGAAAAACATTACTGAGTCTGCAAATCGGGTTGGAGTATTAGGAAAGTATCTCACTGCTCTTGCGACATTCTTCCCGTCCACTCGAGATTTGCAGACCCAAGCCTCCAGCAACGAAGCTCAAAAGGCATCTCCGAAACGGAAAAGACTGCACATCCTGTACCTTCTCAATGACCTTCTCCATCATACAAAATATCACTCTGGGCACACATCTCCGTTTGCGACGCTCACAGGCTCGCTGCAGCCATACTTAGTCGACCTCTTTGCTCTCGCTGCGGCGTTTGACCGTCAACGGAATCCAAACCATTTTCGGCGTTTGGCGGAACTACTGGATATCTGGGAATACGATGGATATTATAGCAAGGACTATATTAACAAGCTGCGAGAGACCGTGGCAAACCCGGAATTTCAAGATGCGCAGGGCCTAGAATCAACTGGACAGGGTATGAGAGCCCAAGCGGGGAAGAAGATACATCCGAAGGATGTACCATATATCATGCCTGCGACCCATGGTGATCCAATGGCATCTTATCACGAATTACCCGCCGGCAATCTTCTTCCGCATATTATCCCCAACTCTTCGATACCCATCAAGACACAATCGGTAAAAGCTCTCCAGTTTGTTGCTGGACCTGCAGACGAGTCTCTCATCAGAGCAGTAAAGTCCTTGCTCAAAGATGTGGACCAAATTTATGGGACAAGCAACGTTGACGTGGACGACACAGCTGAGATAGATATCGATGAGTTGGGACAAATCACAGCACATGATGAGGTTACCGGAGAATCTCTTGACGGGGATGCGTACTATGGCTGGTCCCGTTCCTTTTGCCAAAAAATGAAGCAAAAAAGAGGCGCGAAGGATGAGAGTAGAAGCCCGAGTCGAAGTCGGAGCCGAAGTTACAGCCCTCCCAAGAGGCGACGACATAGTGACAGCAGAAGCGCAGGCGATCAGAGACGTTCCTGGTCCCGTGGTTCGCTTGATTCTGGGGGATATCGGAACCGCCGTCGATCTTCGCGATCTCTATCACGTTCACAGTCACCTCCACGACGGAGGCGACGCTCTCATTCTAGATCAAGATCATACTCTCCACCACCAGCCCCTCAGCGGCCATCCTCGCCTCCATCCCAGCAGAAATCAGCACTGGCCGGCGTGCCACCGCCACCACCCCCTTCTATACAAGCCCCGTTCAATTCACCACACCATTATCATCCTTCGCCGCAACAAAGTGGATCCCCTCAGCCTAGCATGTTTGTTCCACCCCCGAGACCCCCAAATTATCACGGTCCATGGCCCCCACCTCCCCCACCTCCTCCAATTCCAAATCAGCACGGTTTTCCTGGTTCTAGCGCATCCCCCCAGGCTATGAATATGAACGTGAATATTCCCGGGTATGGTCAACCACCTTTTATGCCTCCTATGCCCGGCACGCCATTTGTACCCCCCCCACCTCCTCCGGGCCATGCGCAACAAGGTCAGGCCCCACATCCAGGACAAGATCAACACGGTATGTTCCAATATCCTCCAACGCATCCCGGGCACTCGACTAGTCAAAACTATCGTCGAGATGGTGGACCAGGCGGTGGATGGAGAGGTGGAGGATGGTCTCGAGGAGGCTGGTCATGATTTCCCTTCAGTTGACTTGATCAAGCAAATTGTTTATCTGGAAATAGGTACAGACCGAATACCAGTCATACTCGATCAATATCCATGTATATATGCTTAGGCAGCAAAGGTGTGAATCGATGTCTAAGTTGAAAGGCAATATATTTCGCTACAAATGGGCGAAAACCTTGCTAGCGATGCTAAAGCTGTAGCAATAGAGCAACTTAGCTAAATAACACCTAGCTATCAGCGTAGCGGGTGCTATCTACATTGCTAAGATACAAACGGAGCAGTTTCTCTTTGATCATAAAAGCTTCCTAGACACAACTGGTGGGAAGTAAGACTAAAATCCATGTACTGCAAAGTGTGGGCATGGAAATATAGAAAAGGAGCTTTAAGAATGTGAATTTTTAAACCGAGTGGAGAGGGGTCTTGAAAACACATATGAACATATAAAAGCGATTTCATCCTTTTGCTTCTCGGTGTATAACAAACAGCTAAGGAGCAAGAGGTCCTGTCATTTAGTAAAAATACTAGTGTCATCCAATTTCTGAGCTCTTTCATTTTGTAAGGGGGAAATCTCAATATTCACAAGCCATTGGAGCACGATTGTGTAGTATAAACAAAATAAAGCAAGCCAGCCTTGGTTTTGGACAATACAGAGCCAAAAGAGAATTATCGGCCAAGACAGCAAGCTGCTCCTTAATCATGCTGAGTGACACAGCTGCGGATGCTTACATTGCGGGTAGGGAGTGTGTATGGCTCTTGGCAACGTGCTCTACAGAGTAGTCTGCACAAAAGCAGGTTATTCATTGAGAGGCTGAGAATGAGGAAACAAGAGTTCGAAAGAAGAGAGTCAAATCAAATCAACAGATTTCAGTGCCGGCACTTCATATAGAACCATCAAAAAGCATAGAATGTCAGGTATTACAGGTTCTCTGAAGTTGGTCATGTTCCTGCTGATTGCACCCTTTTGGCTGTCTCATGGGCGACGCGCCATCTGGATTATTATTATTCTCGTGTGGCGGATGATGGTTTTCTTTGATGCTTGTTGGTTCAGGGCTCGTTGGAAGAGCATCGATTTGTCGTTGAGTATGCTGATGCATCACCTTCGCGTACGAAGCCAGCGGCGATTGAGAATTTGTTGAGTTAGGTGGCATGACCTCTGGAGAGCGTGGCTCTGGCCTAACAAATTGCAAATTCGAATAAGTATGCAGTACCAATGTTGTTCATATTGAAGTGACTGATAATTTAAAAAAAAAAAAAAAAAAAAAGAGGAAATGTTGAAAGAACAATATACCGTGACTGGGTGTCTATGCTGTTCTGAGACCATGAAGGTTCATTCATGGTGTTCGCGTTTCGGTATATTCTAACCTCATAATTCCGAGCTGAAAGGAACTCACGACTTTAAACTGGAGACTCAGTAAAGGAAATGGTATGGAATATTGATCACAATCAAGTGCTTATATCATAACACCCGCCAAATTTCCATATAAATATAGTGCATGAAACAGGAACCGGGACAACAATGACATAAGCCCCGAAGCCTCCAAGAGGAGTTGCAGATCCAGGGTATGCACATAGATTATGTACCCCGATGCACGTAATGAGCTAGCAACTGACAATGACATGATTCCTAACGCCGAACAATCACCTTCTGGAGGACTGGTGGGTTAAGCACGGGAGAGCGCAACACGGTGCTGCAGGCGAACAAGGACAATGATATCATGCCTCCTGTCAGAATGCGGAGGCCCCAGCGCGCATGAAAGGGGTCAAGACTAGAAAAGATTCGCTGATTTAACTGATGGCTGTAAAAAACTTGTTTTCTATCTGGGGCTTGATATCACCCACAGGAACCAACCCCCCTTCTCCGTAATATGCGGCGGACTTTGAAACAGGCGAATGAGCTCTAGAATTAAATTTAAATTCCAGTGGGAACCACATCCTCAAATGTAGCCCCTTTCTGCTCCGGCGTCTCTCTCAAGAGTATGGCGTCACCCCACCGGCCAGATGACCAATTATTCCACAGTTTGATAGCCGTAGAATTGGCAAATGACAGAATTCGGATATCGATGGCCTAAAACCGCTGCTATATTGCCCGTGGCAACAGCGGGTGATCAACTTTGATTGCAATCCTCTATGAGGGCTTCGATGAAGCTGGAGGGAGATGCATCATCACCACCCCTGTTAACAGTCAAACCCCATTGCATCGAGTAGTTTTTTTTTTTTTTTTTTTTCCTTTTCGACTATAGTTTCACAGTCAATATCTTGGTAATCTCAATAGAACCAAGAGCATTCACCGTGTCCAGGCGGCATGTTGCAGTGACGAGCTCTTTTGGGTGGGGTACAACTATTAATCGCGCGTTGCATTGTAAAAACGCCAAGAACGGGACTTGAACAGGCCATCGACGAAGTATGTAGACCTTGGAACGCGACAATGGAACTCGACTCAGCAACATCGCTGTCTCCTTGCCTGCCTCGACGCGTGGAGCTCGAGTCGTCGCAAGTGACAATATGACGTCATGGGGTACATGTCACATGATACACTGGCACGCACCAGCCAGGAGGGAACGGGGAACGGAACGAGTATCCAGCAAGCCGAAGCAAGATGGCAGACATGTCTGTGGTAAGGATGGGGACTCGAGTGAACTCAGTCGCAAGAACCTGTGAAGCCACGCCTGGTCAGAAATATGGACTTGAACATAGCGGACAATGCACATGGAATGGTGGACAACTCCCATCCAGCAAAGGAGATGCTAGGCCATTCAGCATCGGATGGATCGATCTATTTGTGCCGTGGTTTAAAACCCAGAGAAGCACCGACAATGGTGGGATGCTGGAATAACGAAGTATATGTGCTGTACCCAGTTCTATCATCACACATAAAAGCCGCCATAAAGTTAAAAGAACAAATCTGAAGAGACCACAAGTGTCAAGGCCAAAGAACATGGATAGCTTCGCAAAACGATCATTATTGCCATTAAAACCGGATATCACCACAAAACCATTACACATAGCCTAATTACCCAAGAGTCAGGTTAGTGTATCATCATGGGCAAATATTGGATAAAGCGACAACAGAATGAGAGGGGTTTAGATTCGTACCTTTCCGTGCACCCTGGAAGAAGAACCTGACAATAAACACCTGCAACCCAGACATCGTAACCATCATCAAACCTTCAATTACGCTAAAGTTGAAAATCCGCTGCTCTGTGCTCCGGACTGTGCTGAAGTTTCGGTTCTCACGGGTGCGGAAGTATTTCTGGTTTCGACTGATTGTTGAAAGTTGCCCGGAGAGTTTGAAGATCGAGTCCTCGAGTGCCGAGGCTTGTTCAGGGGAAGCGCCTGGTTTAGAGGGGAGTTGGGCTCTCTGTTCGTTCTCGACCTAAATCGGGGAAAGCAGCAACAATTAGTGCATTTGCCATCAACACAGAGATTTGAAATTGTCCGTCAAGCTTGCATTGGGATAACGGGGACGCCTAAGAACGGAAAGCATGGACTCACCGCAACCTCAAAATCGACCATCTTCTCCGCAAATGTAGACATCCCGTTATTAAAACAAAATCTGTACTCTCCTACACTTTGCGCCGTGAAAACAAAGTCCCCTTGTCGTTCCTTTTGGCCTTCCATAATAACCTTCTCTCCGGGACCAACCACCGAATAGTCAATATCGAAGGAGCCGCCAGATTGGACCTAGGAAAGGGGGTAGGAGAAGCGCGTCAGCAACGAAAACTACCGCAATACGCCCAATAATGGCACATACAGCAAAGTAGAATGCGATTTTGGCCGGTGGCGAGTCGACCCATTTATAGAAGCAAGCTTGCTCGCTGGCATCAAGCTTGTACGTCAGCGCCGTTGCAGAAACAGACGACACAATATAGGCCAGGAGGCCTAATACAAAGGTAAATAACCGCATTGCCGATATGCTTCGATTGATTGCACTCCTGACGCTCTCTCACCGTGGCCTTTCGTGTTGATTTTTGGTGCACAGGGGGAGTTGTAAATCACGATGTGGCAGCTGCTTTAGGCCTTGGCATGTTTGCGTTGTTTGCAGACGCAATTGTTGAAAACCAAAAAGGGGGGAGAAGCAACAACCTCCCAAGATCCACTGAGCATCGAAATGCGGCTTGGAACTTGGGCGCAATGGTAGAAGCAACTCTACTGATATTGTGCTCCATTTTGGAGACGTTGCGGGCTATGCGAGAGTGCAAATGTTTGTATCTGGTCAGCGCTGTTTGCGTAAATTCAGCAAAACAGATGACCATTGTTTTTTGGAACTGCACTTTCACCTCTCCTGTTTAAGTAGGAATTCATTTAAAATAGTTGCAAGAGGAAAGCCGCAAGGCATCTAGGTCTAAACGAACTGGCTTCGAATGTGGATAGCGACATTTTCGTATGCCACTTCGCATTTCATAGGCATTTCTCATGGATGATTTTAGTACTTCCATCATGGCTGCAAATAATAGTCGCCAGGGAAACTTTCAACCCAAATCCATCATCCACCCAAACCAAATGCTCGCCCCAATCAAAAACTCCGTATGGAATGGCACAAATGACGGCAAAAGAAACCAAAGACAGAATCACAGGTGAAGGAAAAAGTAGCCTTGAACAAAGTTTGGAAAGTCTATCGGATGAAGAAGCTCTCGCTCCGGCCCCAGAAATTCCGATTTTTATTTACGTGGTCAAGACCGAGTTGCTGCTCAGAATCGGTCGTAAGGTCGGCAAGTATATGGTCTATAGAATCAATATATTAGCGTTTGCTGCATTGTAGTAGATTTCACAACCTACCATCTTCAAGGTACAACGGTTTTGAATACGGAGTGCGGGATACGAGGGCGAACTTAATCCTTTCAAACTGCTTGCCCTTGATACCCGTCCGCTTTGATAACCGTTCTTTGGTGTCCTTGAATTTCTCCCCCTAAGCAGTAAAGATAAGCGGGTGCCCAAAAGCTCGTAAGATAGTAAGAGAGCAACAAAGGAAAACATACCGGCTTAACCACAAATTTGAACGGACATCCATATGCCTTCTGTGGCTCCTTATCAAAATTGAATGCATTAATCCTAAATTCACCTTCTTGCATGTTCAGTTCGTCCTCTGGTATTCTCTCGGCGAACACGGTAACATAATCAGTGATACCAGCCACGCTATACGTGTCGTAAAGCTCTTTGTAAATCTTGCCTGAGTAAGCTTCGTAGAGTCGCACGTTCCGTATGGTCTCATCGTCAATATTCGCTTTCTTTTGTAAACTTTCAATCACATCGGAAACGACACCATTCTTGGCGACAAGGACTTCGTGTATTTGCTAGTGAAATGTTAGTATGTAAGGATAAACGACGGGCTCAAACGCGTGAAGTATCGTACCTCTTTAGCGATTCCTTCAGATAGCCAGGTGATTTTAATATTCTTCTTCATCTCGAACTCGCTCAGACTGGTTTCTAAGATTTCGTAGTAAAGCACATCGGAGCGATGAGAATAGCCAGTACCTGGGTATGGACTTGTGAGTATTTGCCCGAGATTCTGTGCAACATTTCGTTTGATGAAAGGCTTTGGTGCTCCACTGCTTATAATAACAGGCGCAAATCGTAGATGAGTTGGTTCAACTTTCAAATGCTCGCCGACCTTCGTTGAGAATTGCTCATACGTCATCTTTTTACTGAGTGTCAATGTAAACGTTTGTTCAGGATTGGGCTCAATCGGTGCAAATGTGACGAGGATACGGTTCAAGAGGAAATCATAATATTGTTGAACGTTGCGGTATATCACGGTGGGCGGCAGCCTATTTCTTAATGTTAAATTTTCAGGATACCAAAGCAGGAAGAAATTGATTTCGGGGGTGTGGGGGGACCGTTACATACTCTGACTCTGGGATTGATCGCTGGAAGCAGATAATGTCGCCATCCTGAATCTCAGACTGATGAAATGTGTGCTTTGGTTTCATCGGATCAATCATTGAATGTCTGATTTCCTATTTAGAGGATTAGCCATGGGTTGAAAATTGATGCCACAGATGTGCTCATACCTCGTATAACAAGAAAGATGTTCCAGGTGCCCAGTTCATCAGTTCAAGGATTGTGCTACTGATTTCGGACACCTTCGCATGCTTCCTAACAAAAACATGCTTGACTCCCGTCAATGTCTGAGCGTGGACATCAAAATACTTCAAGAAAATAAGAGTATGGGCATTCGGTCCTCGGGAATCCGGCCAAGAAACTTTCCCGTCGACTCCAGGTTCGCCTATCTCCAGCCAGAGTCGAAAAGGGTTGTTTTTAGTTCCAAATTCATTGAACGCTTGCTCCATGGACATTTCCATATCTCTTAAACGTTGATCTGGGCGTGTGGTTTTATTTTGGCGATTAACCATAACCCAAAGCCGTACCTGCTCCGGAGCTACCTCCCTTTCTTCAGCGACCTGCTTCGCAAATTCCCCAACTTTAGTAGCACGTAAAATCCGGTATGCCTTCGGAGCGGCAGGATCGTTGGGATCTAGGTCAGGACTCGTGAGGTCAAAGCTATGGTGATGCTTGAAGGATTCATCGGATATTAAGCTGACGTTCATATAAAGATGTTGTTCCTCGCGCTCCTTTTTCCGTCTCGCAAGCTCGGCCCGTTCCTCAGCAATCTTCTTTTCTACTCGAATTGTCAGTTTATAGTTAAAAAGGAAAATATGGTGTTCCTACCAATGTGACAAGGAACGTCATTTTTCATTACTTCCACGAGGATATCGTCCACCCGCGATTTGCGAAGATATACCAACATGTATGCATTCATTGATCGCTTTGTGGAGTAACCCCTGGCAAAATGAGCTTGACGCATTCCAGCGTTGCCGTTAGGAAGAGTTATCCAATCTCCACCAAAGTTCTCCTCCAAGGTCTGTTTCATAGTAGCCCTAACAACTCTGTCGTCATCAAATCGGTAAAAGTAGCCGTCTTTCGTCGGTCTCAAAAACGCGTAATAATGGCCGGCATTTAACTCCCCAGTGTGAACCAGGACACCGTAGAGTTGATATACCCAAGGTTCCGACCTATCCGCATTTTCAGAAAGGTAAGGGGAAGCATCAAATTCCTCTGGGAATTCATGCCGATCATTAATCTTCATCATCGCGTCACGGTGGATGTCGTACTCAAATCGCTTCAGGTGGAGATGTAAGACGGGTGGGAAACTTTCAAATATAACACCTTTCTTCGCGTCCTGTAATCCATAGGGGTCACCGGCATCATACTTGTTCTCCCCTTCAAGCGTTTCCACCTGGATATAATCTTTGAAACTGTCGTCGAGAGTCTTGTTGCCTCGGACATTAAGTTGGATATCCCAAAAGTCCTCTATTCGTGAAGATTCATAATCAACGTTTATGCAAGAAATGTAGGTTTTCGTCTTTCCAACGAAAAGGTCGTGGAGGGCCTTTTCTACGGGAGTGCCTTTCATCTTCTCCTCCAAGCGTTCCATCAGCTTTCGGCACAATTCTTGCACATCTTGCTGCTCAAAAATCTGTTTCGACTCCCATCCAAAGGAAGAAGTAAGCTCTTGTGTCGATACCGGATTGTCACTCGTCTGGAGGGAATAGAACAATCGCTGTAACGTCCAGGCGCTATTTGAGATTTTGGAATCTTCTTCAGTGGGGATTTGATAAACGGCCTAAGATTCCCTATGTCAGCTTATCAGCAGCAAAGCTCATCCCTTGAGTGGATTTTACCTTTCGGAAGGAGTTGGTGAAATAGAGAGACTGTAAGAGGGAGTTCAAATAACATGTGGCACCCTGATTTTTGAGGCCGACCATGCCGGTTTCCTTCTTGGAATCATAGCTATACTCTCATTAGCACCGGCTAAGGGGAAAGAGGGATCTTTTTTCTTAACTGACTCTTTGAAACTGTGCCACAGAACTCCTGTGGGATCCTTTACAACTCGCATATACACTGTAAGGCAAGCTTCCTCATTCTCTATCAACGGAGAACCATTCTCATCAAACGGGCCATGGAACAGCTTGCGAAGCTCACAAAATCGTGTGAACCCCCAATCTCCATCACTGGCGTTAAATCGGTGCGTAGCAACTATTTACAGGTTAGCACACGCGATTGATCAGTTGGGGGTATGGGGACATACCGTGCGAAACGTAAATGGAAGGATTATTCTTGCTCCACAAGACGAGGGCGAACTGGACACACCGGGACCAGCCTTCAGGGGGCGCCTCTTCGTAACCATGTTCGAGGTAAAACGACGCATATTCCGTCACCTGATTCCCAAACGGGAAAAAAAGGACTCTCCTACGCGATATTAGACAGGGTTCACACGCCGCACTGAACAGAGCTCAAGCAACGCACCATGGTGACCCTCCACACTCGAAAATCGGCCCATGTTCTTTCCTTTCCATCCTCGTCCAGTTCTGGATATGCCATGTGTGATGCGTCTGTTCAAGGGTTTCCGTGTCGGGGAGTTCGGGAAGAACCCTTGTGATCATTGATTCATCTGTTGACACAATCCGGTTAGCCGTGTGGCCACCAGCGAAGCCGAAGACACGCCGCAGAATAGCGACAAACTGCGACATGGTAGCGAATGCCAGAGTCCTCCATGATCCCCAGCGGATCATCCGGAATTCCGTCATTGTCGGGGTGCTCAGCAGAAGAGGAGTTTTGGGGAAGAGAGAGGAGGAGCAGGAGGAGGGTAAGAAGAAGAAGGAGGGGGTTTTCATACAATCATCTGCGAGGGGGAATTCAGGTTCAGGCTCACTCGGCGAACCTGATGGCGAAACAAGAACGACATCATCGGTGTGGTCATTACTGTACTGGTCGAACTCATCAACCACCATACCACTCTCCTCCAGCTAACAAAGAGATTGGCAATGGTCAGCAAGAGCAAACTGTGCAACTCATGAAACTGGGTTCTAGAAGACTCACATTGTCCATGGGAAAAGGCTATGGTGTTCCAGAACTGTGCTTGATCCTGGAGTGAGCGCGCGAGTTGTGATAAGGGCAGGGTGTACAAAATGCTCATCAAACAGTCCTGGGCGAGCACGATGTGGGTTGGTGCAGGGTTCTATGAGTGGGAAAATCGTTGTGGGCAGCAGTGCCTGGAGTAGGATGTCAGGCTGCCTTTGTCTGCGAGTGAGCTGGCAGATAAATAGAGCAGGGCAGGCTTTCAATGAAGGCAAAGACTCTGTTGAAGGGAAAGAAGCTGGAAATTTGCAGAATCACTCGCCGACCAATTCAATGTCATCTTCCTCACGTAATCTGCACTTCCAGATGACCCCGCTTGTGCACACGCGCTTGGCTCAGGGAAGGGCACAGCGCCATATGCTGTGGAGAGCTTGCTACCACGCACTCCAGCCCGTATTTGCACATTCACCCATCGCGCCGTTCACTCCAGTTCAGTTCACATGTGAAGGCCCATGCCATTTGTGTGCCTTTTGCAGCAGAACCAGCTAGCCTGCCAGCATGTCTCTCTGCCATTCAGGGGCTTTACATGCAGTTCAATGCACAAAGGATAATTGGTTCTACAGAGCAGCTACAAATTAGCGGGGAGGCGTGCTGGGGGCTCTTTTGCATGCACCATTTGCCGGAAACAATCGGACATGACACCCTTTGTAAGATTGAAAAGGAGATGAGCGCAGTACGGAGTAGATAGATGTAAGTATTGTCTTATAGCTTTCGAGGGTGCAAGGCACAGTCCTCACGCTCCACGGCTCTCTTGCAACAGCTCTCAGCTGTGAGATATGAGTAAGACTGGTTGGAGTCACAGTTAACTGCAGAGCAGGAAGCAGATCAAGACTCTGTCCTGTACTCCGTACTCGGTACAGAGTAACCTATGAACTACGAGCCGTCCATTGGAAAAAGCAATTTTCGTCGCTGTGGTGGACATTTAGCTAGACAGGGGTCGGTTAGATCCCGCTCTCAGCCTGTAGCAAGCTTGCGGATAGGGCAAGGGGAATCCACGGAAAGAGACAGCTCTTCAAAAGAAAACCATTCACTCCTCTGTACTCTGTACTTTGTATTTTCTACTCTGTTTGTGAATATTCCAAAAGGTGGCGCGGTTAGCTTGCAGCCATTAATTCTCTTCCCGCAAAGTGACGATCATGCTGAGGGGCCCAATTCTAGACCGTCGGCTGGAGTGGCAAGTTTCACCACACAGAATGACAACATGGTAACCAGTTTTCACGCCCTGTCGGCAAACAACATCTCACCCACAACAATAATCTGATGCTGTGAGGATGCTCCTGGCTTGACTATGATGCGCAATAGTCCTCCTTTCCAAGTCTGTCTTGCCTTTTTGCCTGGGAACTGTGTAACTACATGCGTGAATGGCAGCGCAGCATGTTCCACAGCAAACATGGTCGGTGCTGGCAAAGCATCCAGATGAGATGCCACCAGCCTGTGAGCCATTATTCCCTCGAAGCGACCAAGGCTCCACCCTGGCGACCAGGCTTAGCGCTTGATGAGTACGTCTACCCACAATGTCATCTCCTGGTGTGTGCCCACAGACGCTGACAATCGCCGCAGATGGGTGGAACGAGACGTCAGGCCCATCAGCCTTCGCCAATTGACCTTCTTCGGTCGCACTTTAACCGAACACCGATTAATCAGTTCCGCAAACTATGTGCGCACGGAGCTTCCCACAAGACTGGCACATCGCCTTCGAGACATGCAAAGACTTCCTTATGTCGTCGTCACTAACCCGCATCTCTCCCATGTCTATGAGCTATACTACAAGGCTTTCGAACGCTTTCGCACTATTCCGGAAATCCGATCACTGGAAGATAATGACCGGTACTGTGATATGCTCCGGAGGACGCTCAAGGAACATTTGACCGTAATTCCGAACCTTGCCATGGGCGTGATCGAATGTCAAGATTTGGTGAAGGCGAATCATATGGACCACTTTATGAATACAATGCTGCGGGCGGTATGATCAGCGAAGTTCCATTCACTCAAATTAGGCTTTGCTGACATGGTTGGACACAGAGAATTTCTCGTCGGGTCATTGCCGAACAACATCTCGCGCTTACTGAAACGTTTAACTCGCCATGGCATTTCCCGGAATCGAAATCGCGAGCCGATCTGAACGCCGATTTTGTTGGAGAAGTGTTTTTAAAGTGTAATGCAAAGGACGTGGTAAAACGGTGCGGTAAACTGGCACAAGACCTCCTGAGGCCGACACTTGAGCCCGGCCAAAAGATACCTGAAATTAGGGTGCAGGGACACCTGGGAGCAACGTTCCCTTATATCCTCGGACATTTGGAATACATAATTGGAGAAATACTTCGAAATTCGATCCAAGCGGTAACCGAGAGATATAAAAACTGCGCCGGAGATTCACCCCCGATTGATGTCCTAATCTGCGAAGCCCCCCAGCACGTCATAATTCGTGTCTCTGACCAAGGAGGAGGGATCCCACGAGATATTTTGCCGTATCTCTGGTCATTCTGCAAAGGTCCCCGGACACAAACACGCCTTCAGAACTTAGGCAAAGTGCCAACTCTCGCGGCAACGATGCAGGAGCTTAAGGTCTCGAACTTTTCGCAGCCTGATATTAAGGCACACGCTGCAAACCCAGCGAATAGACACTCTCATCATCAAAGTTCTCTTGCATCCCTTAGTTCGAGGCCTCCCAACTTACGCCTAGGCATGGGTTTACCGATGAGCCGCGTTTACGCTGAATACTGGGCTGGAAGCTTGGAGGTCCACAGCTTGGAAGGTTACGGAGTCGACGCGTTTCTTCAAATCTCGAGACTGGGAAACAAGAACGAGCAAGTAACAGCGAGAGCTTCGATAGACGCCGTCTAGTATCTTCCGGACTTAAAACAAAAATCTTAGTTGCAACCCTGATACCCTCGCGCCGATCTCCACCTCGAACGTACCTACCTACGAATACCCGATTCATCACAACAAAAGGCTCTAATTGTCTATTTATCGCATCTGACTCCGATCAGACATTCATGCAGCAAGTCGCTTACATAGTTGAGCTTTATAGCTACTCTTCTGGGGGACATAAACATAGAGGAATGTGAAACAATATCAGCTTCTGGTCATACCTTGCTTCCAGGGCCGTCATGCGTCAAGTTGGCATAGCCAAAGGCAAGCCGCAGACTTACCTTTTTCCGTTCCACGATCAAAATATGCAGCCAAAACCCGTATTGAACCCTCGTTCTCTTTCACCCGACCCTCCATGCATACTTTGTTGGATTGATACAAGGGACATAGATGAAACAGCACTGCCCAAAAAGTCCAATTTTTTCCTATGAACTGCGCTCCTTGGCTGGGCCTACTTTCCGGCTTCCACGCCCTGTGGCGCCTTCCTTGCCCTGGAGAAGCAATGGTCCAGCATACCGATCTTTCACCTGCTCATCCACCAAAGCTCCTCTGCACAATACGATAGATCAACGCCCCAACTCGTTCTACTTAGAACTCAAGCACTATGTACCCGGAACTTCTACCTAAACCTAGCCGGGACGCGAATACGGCCGCGGCAAGAGATGTTGCCCATGCACCGGATTCCCCAACTCGGCATCGGCACGTTAGTGTTCCCTGAATCCTCTTGCGCTTCCGGAACCGCCAGGTTCATAAACTAATATCCATTCTGTATGCTGGTATGGATATAGGCAAATACCATCGCTAGCAGTCAGGCTGAGCAGAGGTCATTTTCCTTTGTTGGAAATTCGTTTCCGCGTGTGCAAACAGGGCGGATATGTACCTAGAAAGGCCTTTCCACAGAACAGGCGGAGGGAGGAGATATGCTTCATGCAGAATCTTTTCCGAGAATCTCTCGAAGACCTGTTGTTTTCAAAGCTTTACTACTTAGACAATTACGTCGACCAAGAGGCGATACACTGTTTAGAAGGGCCCAAGATGTACGAATTCGCCCTCAGCCTGCCAGATATAGTGTTGTTTACCGAACATAATTATAGACAGCAACAGCGTTGTTGCCGCTGGTCGGCCTCGAAGGGAAACCTTCACATTGCACTCAGCAACCTCATCCAGCTCCAGGATTGTTTTATGTGGAAAGGTCCTGGTCCCGGAGATCTCCAGTTTGGCGTACAATTCAACGCCACTCGCCGGCCAGGTGCTATTCCTGTGGAAGTTGCATGGCATCCTGACTATATTTCTTTCCAACTGTTCCTTTCTTTCCAACTGTTCTCCAATCCGGTCCTCGAAGGAGATCCTCTTCGCTTGGTTCCGGCATACAGGGCTATATCTCGTGATTTGTCGATGCTTGAGACTGTCAGGCGCCATACAATCCAATTTTCAACACCTTTCAACTAGCTGGTCTGGAATAATTCTGTCTCGGGATTCCAAGGCGTGGTTCCCTTCCTTTCTGACGCTGCAGAGCGCAACTTACAACCTGAGACGGCGGTCCAGCCAGGTGCAGGAGGTGAAGACGTTAATTTCTACACGGCTCAGTTCATTGTGACGGGTATCTATAAACAATATTTTGATTCCAAAACATACTGTGAATAGACCGTCAGATCAAAGGTTTCGATCAAGATTAAAAAAAGGCGGCGACCCTTGAGCTAGCACCACGCCGGTTTTGTCTAGCGAAGCTTTTATTCCAGGGCTAGAACCGGATTCTGCCACATGCCAGCTAGGCCAAAGAACAGATAGACAAGCACGTAGAGTGGCGTTTGCTAATTGGAGGCCTTCTGCATCACGGTAATTGGGTATTGGCCATACATTCTAGTGGTGGCCGATGTGGTTGTTTTTAAGCCTCGTGAATTACTGATCCGGTTTCTATTTTGTTGGGTTTGGTCTTCATTCGCGAGGAAATCTGATTCATCGAAGTCTCGGGTTCTATTATTCTCAGTGATATATGTACCGTACTAGAGGGCTGCTGAATTATAAGGATGCTTCTCGAAGGTTAATCCGGGAAGTATACGGACGGAAAATTGGAGAAAACGTGCTTTTATACATCATGAGTGCTCGAAGGGGAACGATACTTCTCTTCTCTATATCTTGACAGTGTAAACTATATCTCTCGATTGTCTTTCTCCAGATTTCTCTCCTGCAAGTAGGGCCCTGGTGTTTCTAGAGCACCATGGGACATTGACAACTGACCATAATGGGACGCATACACCGAGTACATACATACCTACAACCATCTATACATATGCATCCTAGACGGATGCTCTCGCATGCCGGGCAAGTTAATGGCGCCCAGCACTCATCCCGGGTGAGATCCAGCTTCCTCGTCCTGAGCGGTGGTTTCCCCTTGTCAACGGCATCAAATGGCAGCAGGCTCGATTGGCGCTCGATTGATGGCCACCGCCACCCAGATACAACGTTCTTCTTTTTGCCACCACACATCGGCATTGACGATCTCGTTTGCTAGAGTTCACTGCTCCGCGTGGATCTATCTTTTTCACCTTGTTGTATTGCTTATTCCGTAAAGGGCCCTGTAACATAGCAATTATCAGTTTCTGAAACCTCAGCTTCCATTTATCTCTCTAGGACGGAGACCAAAATGTCTGAAACGTGCGCTGCTGTGATCCTGATCGTCGTGACCTTGTTCTGTAAGCGGTTCACGATCCCCCTGAGATAAAGGAGAGTGAAATGCTCCGTATGTCAGTTAGCGGGTTAACATATCCGGATTTGGTCCTCGTTAGTACCGCCTCTCGGAGTGTTTTTTATCAGCGGCTGCTCGGCAGACTTTTTGATCAATATTCTTCTGACATTGCTCGGGTAAGACCTTACCTTGGTCACTGTGTACTTGCTGGGCTTGATTCTGATGATTGGCCAACGCCAGCTACTTCCCAGGGCATATACACGCCTTTTACTGTGAATATGTCTACTACGACCGGCGCGCGAGAGGCCACGAAGGTCGTTCTGTTACCAGGCCAGCTCCCGGGATATTCTCAAGACGAATCCAGAACGGAGGCGTCGTTACGAGGGAATACATATTTCCTCCCCCTCCAACTGCTCCGGCTATGGGAAGTTACCCTAATACGCCAGTGCAGAATAAAGTTCGGCAGAACGCAAATGCGTCGACGGAGAGAGGTTAGAATTTCGACTCGAGAGGATTCCTATGTAGAACGGAATTCCACGCCCGTGATTTGCTCTACTAGTTACCTATTTATTCTCCTACTCTGGTTCGCTTCGTACATGTCTCGATTCACGCTGAACACGATCGTGTGGCGATGAGATCCCGCGTCACTGAGCTGAGAGGTTCGATTATGCTGCGCTTCTGACTACTTTCTCCTCGCAGAATATGCCGCTATCGTTATGTGTATGTCCTCGCGACGAGATCCCTACAACTGACGACATTATTGATATATCTCACTTGAGCCTCGTGGAGGGCTCGATGGACATTTATTCGAGCCAGTTATTCGTGCACCTAAATTTCTTCCATGCTTGAGCGGCTGTGTGGGCGAACACGGTATCCGGAGCGCCGTGGTAAACTTCAGTTCTATCTCGTGTAGTCCCTTCCAATGTGTGCCGGGTTTTGTAAGTACAGTATACAGAGCCTTGAAAGGTCTTGACCCATTACTGCGAATGTGAGTCCTTTGAAAACGATGAAAATTTTCGAAATATGCTGTCTTTCTATATCACAGCAAGTATGTAGCATTGAAAAGTGGATTATAAGCTGCCTAGCCTATGTAGACGTCGTCGCCTTTCCCTTTAACTCTGGGAAGTCAAATGGTTTGCTTCTGCCTGCTCGCGGGCGCGGGATGAAAATTTGCCCAAAAATTCCAGCGAGGTTAACTTCAATATTCGTTGCCGCGCTCCATTGCAACGCTCCGATCCATGGCTGAACATTCCATCCTACTACTAGGGTGGCATTCTTCCGTTCCCCAAGAACGCCCGAGATATCGGTAATCTGGTACTTTGGCCTCTGGTTACGAAGCTTAATTTTGCCGGGAATCTTATCTTCTTTTCTCTTGGTGTTGCTGCTATTGGCATTGGAGACGCGGCGCCTTTTGGAGCCGTTGATGGAGAGATTGGGAAAGAAACGAGATTTCAGGGAGGAGAAAGAGTATGGGGAGACGGGTGCGGGTATTATGGTGTCCCAGATTATGGATTCGGTGGTGGTAGTGATGTTCTTGGAGGGCGCGGAGGCGGATGATATCGTGGATGGGTAGGAGGCAAGGACATAGACGAATAGTTGTTTTGTGTTCCAGTTGAAGAGGGAGGAGAGATCTATGAAAAGTTAGAAATCGGCTAGGTCAAGACGGTGGCTTGAGGAGTATTCTAGGAAGGAAGAGCGGATTACCGGCGTCTAAATCGAATCTGATCTGAGCATATTCCTCTCGCTTGACGGAGTAATAGTGCGGGCGGCCCTTGACACTGTGGTCGGTGTTGTTTTGCACGTTAGTCCTCCCCCCGAAAACGACCGCTATTCTCGCGAAGTTTTGCTGTTCTTACACTTTTATGTTTGACAATTTGATGCTCGTCACCGGGTTAGCGGGGTGCAACACCACAGACAGCGACGTTAATATCCCCAACACCAGCGCAACTGTGGTGAAAAAGCCAAACACACCCTGAGCACGATTGAGCGCTGAATGCATCGTACCGAGCAGTTGACACGAGAAGGGGGAAGCCCAAGAAGCGAGGAAAAAAAAAAAAAAATAAAGCAGCACCTGCTCTTGAGGTTCTACTTCGAGGGAACTGCGCTGCGAAGATTGGTTCCGCTCGAAGGATGCTGGCGGCTTGCGGTCGATGGCAAATGTTGATGTTGGCCAGATCGATAAGATCAAATCAGCTCCAAGCTTAACCAGTTGGCGTTGGTTCCGTGCAGCCTTGGCGTCCGCTCCGCCTTTTGGCGTCTGCCATTTGGAGGCTAAATCCGGGCGGGGAATATCACCGATCGCACAGCAACAGGGATTCGCAAATTAAATTCATAATAATAGGCTATGAGGTAAATATAAATGCGGCCTATGTAACTGACAGACTGCAGGTGCTAAAAAAAAAGATTCAAGTCACAATCCCACTTTACATCTCAATATGAAAACAGCATGCTCCGCGAATGCAAATAGAAATCCACCATGCATGTCAAACTCGAGTCTATCTTAAGATGCCCAGAACAATTCCACAATACGTACGGAGTATACCACTCACATGGGGCGAAATAAAACACAGCCGCACCCAGCCTAGACATCGAAACAAGAGAGAAAGAAAAAAAAAAGGGACATTGCTTTAAGCTTTGTCGGTCATTCTCTAACAATCTTCGAACGTGTTAATGGACTCGATAGCAAATGTCTGCCTAATATACGCTCATTGCTTGCTCTATCAGTTTCTGTGTTTTCTTCTTCAGGAGGGGGAGTTCCAGGAATTTCAACCACGTCTTTGTACTGTCGAGTTTTGGGTTCGGGTGGTTTGGAAACCAACTCTTCAAGCTCATCGAGGAGAGAATCGGGGGAATCGGCCCGCTCTTGGACTGCAGAGAAAAGCAGGGCACTTGTTTTGCTTTTGTCTGCTTTTTCCTCACTTGATACAGATCTTTGCGTTGGAGTTGACAGTCGTGACTGATTGTTCGATGCTTTCACCTTGTCACTATCCGTAATGGATGGATTCAAAGGTCCTTCCGCTGGTAGCTTGGGGGAGACTTCGGCTGCTCTCAGCGGTGATGGTGTTGTACTTGATCCCACATCCTGTAGTTTTTTGTCCGGTCTATCAGAATCTGCGTCCACTAACAAGATATTCAAAGGTTTATAGTCGACGAGTAGTGGGCCATCCCGTTTCTCACTCCTCTCCTCATCATAAAGCTGATGTAAAAAGCTACGTAGACGACGACGCAGCACTCCGGATCTCAAATTCGGCCAGTCATCCTTCGAATCCATTTCTCTTTGAAGCAACTTTCTTACGAAAGTGTCGGGATCTTGCACGAATTTCTCAAGATATGCAAGAAGGTAAAGACCGCAATCAGAAAAGTTAGGCTGCAGCGGTATCTGTTGCGCTGTCATGCCTTTGATTTTCTTGCCATCAATATCGGTGAATCGCTTTGATTTCGCTTCTTCTTCGAGGTACTCCCGAAGCGCTCGTATGGTGGGAGATCGTGAACATCCTAGCGAGTCAAAAGTGATAATAATAGGCTGCTTCGGCTCATGCTTCGGCAATGAAGGTCGAGATTTATGGCCGCGCTTCTTTTTGTTTTTCGACTTGTTCATTGTCCCGCCGGGATTTCCATCCTCGTTTGGTGGTGGTACAGGAGCAATACCCGCTTGGTGCTTACTTGAGATGGACACTTGGTTTTCATCCTCTTCTGGCCATTCGTCTTTGTCGGTGTACTCGACTCCCTTAGGGGATTCTGGAGCGCTAGCCTGGGAAGACGAGTCTACAGATTTGTCTGATAAGGCCATTGTGCGAAGAGACGATGCAAGATTCTCATCCTTACCAATTTCAAATCCGCCACTGCCTGGGATATTGTTAGTGACTTCACGGTCTTCATTTAAACCGGGGTTGAAAGTAGACTGCTGGCCCTCCGCATTCGCTTTCCCGGTAGTCATGGTTTCCCCAGCATCACCTTGAATATCGGGGCTCGGCGTAAATAATGTCGGCAAGTTGCAAATAATCGCCATATACCAGTGAGCGCTTTCGTTTATCGGAACGACAACAAAATCTCGGCTGAATATATCTGCGGATCGCGTCCATTTTTCCACTCCCTGATAATTTATTCCTTTTTTCCCTCGGGGAGTGTTCGTTAGGCTTGCAAAGAAAAAAGAGTTAAAGAAATACGTCCGTTTCAGGATTTCTGGGCGTTGCCGCTCTAGATGATGCTCTAGGAAGCGAATGTATATCTCTATGAGATTGTCGTTTAGAAATTCACCAACTCTCAATCGCGCTAAATCGTGAGCTTCAACTTCTGCCCTCTTTTTGCCCACTTTAGGATACACAAGCGGCCTAGTTCAATTAATAATGTTCAGTCATTGATTTCAAGGTACTTACTTGGTCCACTTCTTTGCTTTGCCTCGATCCAGAGACGAGTCTGAGAGATTATCGTTATCACTACATGGGAAGTTAGAAAAATAAAGAAGATTAAAAATTTTCGGGGGAGTTAGGAGAACATACCTTTCAATATCTAAATGCTCTTGCCGCGTCTTCGAGCGTGTTGCATATACAGTGGGTGGTTTGTACGTTTTAACAGGAATTGGTATACCTTTGTTCGCTTGAGGATGAGAGTGGCTAAGGCTATCAGCCGGTAGCACACGGGAAGTCTGTGTTTTCCGGATCGAAGCATCCTCAGACAGTTTCTTTTTTGTTGGCGCTGTAATCTCATTTACATTCCCATTTAAAAGGCCATCACTCAATTTCGTACGTTTGGGATTTGATGGTTGCAAATCTGCATCTTTGCTTTCTGGCAACGCCTCTATTGGACTTTGGCTATTGAGAACGAAGCTTGGCCCACCAACCCTCTTAGTAGGAGTTGTGCGACTGAACACCTTGTTCATCCATTCACTAGGCCAGATTAGTTATTGTGTCTTCAATTATCCAGATGGAGGAAGATAGGCACCTTGTTTTGACATGCTCTTTGATATCAGGCACTAGTTTTTGAATGAGATCACAGAAGGAACGACAGTCTTTGCCGCTCAGAAATGTCATGTCCACGACATTGTCTGCATCCCCGGCCCTTGAGAGCTTGAGGCGCAACTTTGTAATGTCATCTTGAAAATCATGGTAAACTGATATTGCTTTCTTGATGTCGTACGATTTGAAAGGAGCGGAGGTTGGGGTTGTCTTCAAAAGTAGTCTGACTTCATCTTTATCAATCACACCCTGTAAGGGTCCGTCAACCACATCTGCCCCGCAACGGAATGAGTTGATACAAAAGGCCTTTTCATGCCCACTCCTCCTTTTAAGATCTTCTCGCCTGCGACTTTTAGGCGTTGCCCAAAAATAGGTTGGACGGATGTTGCTCGGTGAAACCGTAGCCTTTCTTCTCCACGTATCCCTAACCGTTTTTTCACCCTGGAGTTCATCAGAACTTTCCCTTAGATCCAAATTGCGGGTCTCATCATTTGCCTGATCAATGCTATCTCCAGCTCCTTGGCCGTAGACCGCGGTCTGTTTTGGGATTTCTACAGCTCTCATTGCTGACCGCGTCCTCACACTTGATTTAGGCAGCAGCTCCGTCCTTGGATTTTGAACCGATGCGCGGCTGATACGCTCCATTCTCGCACCCTTGACAAATTCCTCTGCATCGAAATGTTTATAGCAATCGCCTAAACGATCCTCCCGTTTCTTCCCAACTTCAGCTGAAGCGGTAGGAGGCTGTACGGCCATTTCGGTCTGCCAGTATTCAAGTGTCGCCTGAATCGCTCTTTGTTTAGAACGTACGCAACTTCCAACGGGGGAGCGCGGGTTTAACGTAGAAGGAATAGTCAACGACGAGCTTGAATGTGCGATTTTCTCGTTGTCTGATTCGACGACGTTTGACATCTCCGTCTTTTGTTTCTTTCGAGGGCGAGCGCCGTCTTCGTTGTCGGATGAAACATCTGGTTTGGGCTTGGGGTTAAAATACGGGCTGCGACTATCAATACTTTGTGGGCGAGACGTGGTTCTATTTGGGCGCACACTGAGAGTGTTGGTAGGCTTAAACGACGAGAAAGACTAGAAAACGACGGTGATCACTGCAATCAGCAACATGTGAGAAAGGGAGCAGAAGGAAGAAGGATCACCGCACTTTCACTGTTAAAGTAGACTTTAGTTTGTTGGAACTCGATGTCCCAGGAATGGCTATTCTAACACTAGCTGGGTCGTTGCTAGAACACAAAATCAGTCAATTGAAGCCCCTCAGACAACAGCGAATATGCGATAGATCATTTTTTTAGGGGAGCATACGAGTAGTCCCCGAGCAGCCTTCTCTCCTCTGCGAGTTCCTTCTTATCGCGGTCGCTAATAAGTCGACTATATTTCCGCATCATAAGACACCGTTCGTTCCCAATACGATGGTGCGGTTAGGGAAGTACCTGACACGTTTCCTGGTGCCAAACGGTAAGCCTCGTCTCTCTTGTGACTGTGAGGCACGGGGCAATCCTGGCCTAAGGGCATCCTACATCAACAAATTACCGGGCAAGTTAGCACCTTAGCAAGCTTGGGACGGTTGAACGAGAGGGAGAGGAGGGGTGGGATAGAAATCGCGTACATTTAGCTCTCCAAACTGACTGAATCTGCGGCGGATATGGTTGTCTGAGCTGCTATCAGGTACACTGTCCTTCCCCACTTTCAACATCTGGACCTGCAACAAGGAGGGTTGTATGGATTCATGGGTATCGTGTATGTGGTAAACCGAACGAAAGACGACTATTGAGATTTGGAAGACTGGAAGGTTACTAATGCCCAAATTGCCGCCAACACAGAGAAACAGTTCAACTAGTTTTGTGTATTTAGTGAAGTAGTCTGAAAAGGCATGGGTTTTAAAGGATGGCTTTTCTGGTTGAATTAAAGACCTCTGTCGAATCAAATTAAAGGTGAAAGAGGTTATGAATTTGATGATTTCATCGGTCACGCACCTCGTGCGTACGCGCCACTTCTTAATGAACTTACATCTCGCGTTAGAAAAATCAATGAGATGCAAGAACATGCAGAAGACATATTTATTCGCAAGAATGTGCTCTTTGTAGGCTATACAGAGTACACACGATTATAATGCTAATTTTTCTTTTCTTTTCTTCTTCTTTTAAATAATTTTTTCCTAGTTTTTTATGGCAATGTTTGCTTGTCATATTTTCTTTCAGAGTCCAATTAAAACCCTTCAAGTCCATCACAAAAGACCATAGATGAAATTTCTTTCTTTTAAGACTCGGCTCTCTGACACGAACTGTCTCTGTCAAGAATGCAATCTCATGTCAAAACGAATAGCAAGCGGCAAAACTTTCCAAGGCTAGAAGACGCAACAATAATACCAAGAATACCAAAAATCCACAACCTAATTATACACGAAACGAAGCTGGAGTCCCCTCTGGCTATGGTCATTGGTTTCAAGATGCTGAACCCTTCCCCTTTTCCCCTGTGGAATCATCAGGATTGGCTCCGCGTCGGCGGTCGGAACCTTGGTGATGGCCCGAATTTGCAGCTTTATCTTGCCGAGCCTGGTCAATAGCGGTCCTTTGGGCTATACTATCATCATGACTCTTCCACACAATGTTGGTATCCGGTGGGAAATTCAATAGCCGTTTCATTGTTTCCCTAGTGTGTGTTAGACAACCAATAAAGCACACGAGTTGGAATCTGAACACACCTAATCTTGATATTGCGGCCTCCATCAATCCTTGTCCACACACTTAAAACGTCTTCGCCGCTGCGGACACTAAGGACTGCACCGCAGACCTCGTCACTCGCCTCGGCGAACTGATCGCCAATCATGGCTAAAAGAAGGTCTTCCCAATAACGGTCTGCAACTCCTTTCTTCAACCTAACAATCCACTTCCCGCCTTTTTTATTCGCTTGATCCTCCCATACAGGGCGAATCCCTTTCTTAAAGATGTGATAATCTGAAACCGTAGGAAGGAGAGATGGTCTTTTAAGGTGTGAATAGACGGCCCAGAAGCTCTCAACGGAAGATATCGATGCTAAGGCAATTGTAGATTTTTCGTAGTCGGAGTACTTTGGTGTGGGTGGGCGATACCAGACAACCCACGTCGATTTTAAAGGATGCTCCTTTGGTCCACTGGTATTGGTACTGTTGAGGGAGGATGAAGAACCCTTGGATTTAACGCTCTTCGAGCCCGTTCCACTGTGCTCTCCATCTTGTTTTTCGGTTCGAGATTTGGAGGAGTTGAAATCAAATGCGCCTGGTGTCTTTGGAGTCTTCGCTGCCGATCCGAAAGAAGCGAAAGCGCCGGAACCAAGGCCAAAGGCTGAGGAAGCATTGGTGGAGGGTGATGATACGCCTGTGGAAAGCGGGGAGATTGCATTGAACGGATTTGAGCGACCATGCCCGTCACCGAATCGTTTTGACGAGCTACGCGGTGAATCAGACCTTCCATGTGAATCTCGATTATCAGATACCGATAAAGAAAGCCTGCTGGAGCTGGGTTACAATTAGCTGGGTCCCGGGGTGGGAAAAGAAAAAGTGGCAAAGGTTAGAACGGATTAAAACAACTCTAACGTACTTGGATCTCCTGGTCCATAGATTTGCGTTCTCCATTTGATAATATGTATGCGGCGCTGAAGAAAGAAAAGAACGAAATTAAAAAAAATTGTCGACGGGTGGCAACGAATGGGACGAGGGCGAGGACGTGTGCGACAGAAGCAGAGGATTAGTGGCGTTCGAATAACGATCGGGTGGTCATAAAAAATGCGTCAGTAGCGGGCAAAGGCAGGTACGAGTAGGAAGCGTGGCTATATGCAAATGAGAGGCAAAGAGATCCGAGGAAGAGTGTCAAACTTGCTGCTATTTTAATGATCACAGTTGGGCCTCATCGATGGAACGTCAAGCTTTTGCCTTGACCGAGTCTCGATAAGTAAATAACCGCGCGTCTAGGCGTCGGGCTATGCGCTATTCCGTTTATAGACTAGATAAGTATCAAGCGCGATATTCTTGGCGCTTCCCCAGTGTTATTCGACCTCTACTGATCAAGAAATTTATCAGTCCTTCATAAAACCCAACAATGTCGGATTTTTAGCCCCGCTCGCTTCCCTGTTAATATTTCGGATTTTTATTCATTTAAACAGGAAGAATATACCCCATATATGGAAGGATTTCCTACCGCGCAGCTAGGAAGAACTGGCTGATATTCCTGGAATGGGAAGCATAGAGGGAGAATTCAACCAAATTGTTGTCTTATCGGTCCCATAGACATTGTGGTTGTCCTAATCCAACTAATTGCTCGGGCTCTCTGACGCACGAAGCCCGGGCCTGGCTCGCAATCCGCCGTTGACAGTAAAAAGAAATTACGGCCAGAGAACTGGAAGACATGCCTAAGTAGTGGCCCGACTGGCTATCCCTGCAGTTCGGGCCCAACTCAAGCCAGATCAAAGCCTGTCTGGAAGGAGAGTTGAATTTAAGTGAGGTTTCGGCTTCTATGCTTGATCAGAGCAAGATAGCTGAACTGTCTAGGGACACCATCACTCATTTTCATATGAACTTAAAACTGTTTCTCCACGTTCTTCTTTGAATAAATCTCCCCGATCATCCTTTTTTTAGCATCAAAGAAATGAGTTACCTAGTGTAGGTCGTCAACCTACCCTGATCACCTACTCGACCACTGGCAACGGCCAGTTCACGCAATGACCTAATTTTTGCGAAATATAATATACTTTGTCATGACTGGCAATTTCCCAGGAAAGCCACCGTAGCTTGACCGATATCCATAAGCTATCTCGCGGTGAGCCGCATCAGTCCAACATACGTAGACGCGATGTTCCGGTCTCAGTTGCCTATTACCGAAAACGATGAGAAATGGTTTGTGGGTTCCGTCGGGCTCCCACACCTGTCATTTAGATATGAGACGGAACTATGAGCCACAAGAGAGCATCCCGATTTCATTGCGCGCTTACACTTAAGACGAGGAAGCGCTGTGTCCATCTATGGCAGGTAACAACATTTCTTTCCCCTATCCTAATTCTCCGGATGTGGGCATCCACCCTCTCAGATAAGAGCTGCCAGGCCCGTAACGCCATCTATCAACTATCTATCTCACAAGACATTGTCAATGCAAGTATGAAGCATGGAATTGGATCAAATAAAGTAAATGAGTGAGTTAGAGATATCCTGCAAAAGATAGGCTAAGGCCAGCCGTTCATCCTGTAGATGGGAAAAAGGCGTTCCGGCACCTCCAACTGCAACAGGATAAACAAACAGAAACGCCCTCGCTCCACACAGACTTGCCTTTCTTAGTAAAAGGTTGAATTTCCAGATAAGGCAGTTGGCAGGGACTTCCAGATCCCCGTCATGCATGCCAGCCAAGGATAACCGTCCATTGTCCCGAAATGGAAAAGCCGCCCAGGGGTCTGGAAATGTGGCTGGAGTGACCCCACAGACCCACCATACTTTAACTACGGCGGACAAAGTACTCCGTACTCCGTAGTTACGTACATAATTCGCTGATTCAACCACATAAAACATGAGCTATCAACAGTCACATCAGCAACCGCGATAACCGTAAATATCTCATAGAATGTGTCTGGTTGAAGCATCGGAGGAGAACGCGGCTTCAAAGGTGTTTTAACATACAGTATTAACTACCGAGTCTGCGGCTATTTCCCCAACCTTCAACTGTCCATTAGAACCTCCCTTATTATCGTCATGGCCCAACACCCCGAGCCTCGCAATCGCAGCCCAACGTCGAAATAGTTAGTCTATAAAAGAAGATCCCCATTCAAGTAAATACGCAGATCAGATTCTACGTCATAGCAGCCCTCTATATTGTGCTCATGTTGGATTTTCCCCTACCGCTCTTTCGGGAACACAGAATGGCCGCGGCTTTCCTAGCCGCGAATTGAAAGTGCGGAGTATGATCAGGGATATTTGCCGTCCCCATTTGAAACTCCGCTTCTTATCTTTCATATGTAGGGCATAGCCACGGGCACCGCTCGAGTACTCATCAGGAACGGTGATGGCTAAGGCGGTTGTGGAAATATGCTCCATGACTTTGGGCTAGCAAGTACGGAGTACGTTCTCTTCTATTATTGCGGTATCCCAACAGTGTGAGATCCCTGTTGCATATGCATCCAAACATCTAGAGAAAAGCCGGCGGGTTGCTTTATCCCATTTCAGATCATTGGTCCATAAGGATCTAGATCGAATACGCAAGTTGACCGAAATATTTTCGCCCATATTACCACTAGGGCTGATAGTATATCGAAACTGATCGGCCTAAACGTTCACTTTCCCATTGCGGCTTGACCTGCCGAAAGCCATGGAATTTGCTTGTATTTATGCCCTAATTAACGCCTTGGAAAGGATCGATTAAAAGCAGGCGATCCATCAATTTCGCCTTGAATGGGCTCCTCGGCGCTAAGGTATGTATGAGCTTTGTACGGACAAGATCAGCGATGGGACGGCGCAAGCGCATTAATATGCATGCAGTAATGAGGAATAGAGAACGGCACATAACTGTATATATCAGCTCCATAGGGCCGATCATGCTGTCGTTTGCTTCTTCTAAGACAGGATTTTCATTTCATATATTGCAATGGCCACGGATTCTTACGATTCTCGTTGGGAGGAACGCTGCAATTGAACCTGGAAATCAACCAGAAGCGAGTGCGATAAGGGGAAATGTTCAGATTATCAGAGCGAGAATGGTCAACCATTGATCTTACACAGGAAGAAAATTTTCTGCTTAGAGAGGAATTGGCTGCAATCCATAAGAATGTCATCAATGGCAAATCGGTTCCACAGGTGCATCTCAAACCCCGCAGACATCTCCTTTTCGATGGTTTAATCTGATTCCTACTTGTCCAGCATTGCGGAGGTGTCGAAAATGAGACGAAAAACATGGATTTGCTGGAGGAGTTCGCACGATTTTTCAATTACTACTTTGACCCCTTCACTCCTGTCCTGAAATCACATGTGGTTCTAGCTGCTGCTAGCTCGCATGCAATTGATGGGCTGTTGTCCAGCATTTGTGAAAGGGGAGACGGAGTAATAGTCCCAGGTTTGTGTCCAAGTTGAGTTTTATTTGCACATTCCGGAAACGGGACATAAAGACCAGACAGTAACAGTGATGAACAGCTGGTTCCGAGTTGCAGCACCTTATACACTCCCCAGTCCACCTAGTGGAAGCCGATATGTCTGGATTCTTTGGTAACTCTACTGCTCGATTAAAATCGATACTGGCAGCAGCTATAGATCAATCTCCATGCCGAATCAGAGCACTTATTTTAACAAATCCCCATAAGACTCTCGGTCGATGCTTCCCGCAAGAAGTGCTAGAAGGCTGCTTGGAGTTATGTCAACAAAGAGCTATCCATCTCATTTCTGATGAGGAGTACGCCTTGACGGAATTCTCCTGTGCAGAAGTATCGGCGCCAGCTCCATTTATTTCAGTTTTATCTCTAAACACTCGGGCTCTGAAGTGTGATCGCTCACGGGTTCATACGATGTGGAGCATTGGTAAGGATTTTGGTGCAAGTGGATTCCGACTGGTTAGTTATCTGGGGAGCATGTCCCAACGCATTCCAAAGCTTCCTTGAAAACTGACGTTTGACAGGGGTGCATTGTGACACAAGACAACCAAATGTTAGCCAGTCGGCTGGAGGCGAGCTTATATTCTCGAATATCAACTTCCTCTGCGGTGTTCACGAAGACTCTTCTGTCATCCCCTACCTTGCCATTCTTAATTGCATTGAATTCCGCGCGTCTCGCAGAAGCATACATTTATATCACTGACTTCTTCACGCGACGGAACATTAGATATGTCCCAGTCAGCACTGGGCTAAATATCTTCGCGAGGCTGGCGCCCGAAGCCTCAACGTGGGTCGATGAAGATGCGATGATCGATAGGTTGCGAGAGGTGGGGGTGCTCGTCACTGGCGGTAGACAATACCGCGGAGGTCCACAGGGGAAAGGATGGGCCAGACTTTCCTTCTCAGTCGAGCCAAGGAAGCTTCATGAGGCATTGGAAAGGATAGACCTCACCTTAGGAAAGGCAATGTGCTCGCCCACCTAGTGCATCATTATTCTCAAAATTTGGTCGATCGAGTGCAGCTTGGGAGCCCACCAATCAAGATACGCATGTAAAAGAAGAAATCCATTTACATATTCTAACCCTATTTGGTTAGCGTGGGCTTGGCACTGCAATCCACGCCCTCAAGTTGAAAAAATTTCCCTACTTTTTTTTCGTTTCCTTTCTTCCTTTCTACAAACCCAAGACCACCAACTCAAATCATCGCCAACAGCAGCATATTTTTGTTCCCACTGCTCTGGTGATTCCGATGCGTGTGTCGAGATTGAATTGATTCGTCAAATACCCGCTTTTAAAACCATCATCACGAGGGCTCGACATCGTGCTTGAGCTTCCCATGATATGTTGATGACCTGAGAGAAGGGACAGATGCCGCGTTTTTTGACACCTAAGAATATTACAAAATTTGCAGTACATACCTCAATCAGCCCATCCCATGCTGGGTGATAGGCTTCTCAATGTCAGTCTTTGTTTTATATTTCCTTCCAGTCTTGAAATCAGGATGAAGAAGTTATACAGCTCTGGTAATCCAATGTGCTCAACCGCTTCTACACTCGTGCTTTATCCTTTAGGTTTGCATGCTGCTGGTCGAGCGTGAGGAGAGGAATGGCAAAGTCTGACCGTATTTGCCTAATCGATCGTTCCGTCACGCGTATGTGTGAAAAAGAATTACTGACTACATCTGCCTATATTAGAATTAAACTCCGGATATACCTTGACCTACTTGTGTTTGGCATTTATAGATAAATAACCGGTTGCTGGCATCTCGAAATAGGGGCGACAGTTGGGTTTGTCTCTCACTAGCCCGCCTACAATTCACTGCATTGGTATGTACGGAATTTGGATATTGAACTGCTTCCTTTGAGCCTGTAGATCCTTATAACATATCCAATTTAATCCATGTCTGTAGAACAAAATGCTGGGTTACACTTGCTGGGACAAAAACATAGCGGAGTACGGAGTACCTGTCAAGATAAAACGCCACCCAAAGATGCGATCTGCTAATCCGAAAAATCCAATCACTGCTGGGGTATTTTCTATCCAAATCACAACGCGTTGCATTCTCCAAATGCACTTTATAGATGAGCATAGACTGTGCCATCTCTCAATTCATGGATGCTCTCCTTGTCAGGCGGCGAGCCAACATCCAAGTACCGTCTGCCACCTCGCAGTTCATGCACAGTTATTCGTCGAGGAGTGGATTTCCGCTTTCGGCGATACTTCTTGAATATATTCCCACGACCACGGCTCGAGACACTGCCGCTCTCGCTGGGTGCAATACTGCTGCTTGTTTCCACACTCCCACCCTCCCTCGACCGTGCCCCTTTCTTCGCTACTAGGGCTCCACCGCTGTCCATATACCACTGGCGCAAGCCGGTAACATGATTCCGCTCTTCTTCATCAAATTCAACGGGTGGGCCGTTAACCTGTACATTCTCCGCGGCCCCTTGTACGAAGACAGCCCAAGAACTATCATCCATACTATTCAGCATCATCTTATGGTCAATACTCTGCACCTTGCAGTTTCTCAATAAAATGACATCGCCTTCGGTGCAAGTGGGCAAGAGGGCCTTGGTCTTGCAAAAAATCTGTGCACATATAACATCTCCAGCCAAGGACGAATCTGTAATATGCAATGTTATGAAGTGGTCACGCGGACGACGACCGGCTCGTGAGAGAGGCGATGCTGAAATAACAACCGATATGGTATCAACGGATTGATTGAAATTCCCCACGAGAAGTGATAAAGGACAAAAGTAGGACAGTTTCGTACGGAGACCCGCCACATGGCTTCCGGGTAGACCCTCGCGCTCTCTCGGGATCTCCAATACTGGACTGGACACCTCCAATGTGGGTTCGGGAGTATGAAACTGCGTGGAAGCTTTACTAGAAATTTCGACTTCCCTTTCTTCAGTCGAAGCTTCATGCCGACTGACCATAGAGTCCGCCGCTGGAGCTGAAGCACCAACTTCGTCAAATTGACTGCGATGTGGCAAAGCTTCTTCTTGAAGGTGCATTACAGGAGGCCGCGAAACCTCGAAGGAGCCCTCTAGCACCGAATTGAACGTTGGTTCGGTCTCAGTAGCGTAAAGGGACTCCGATAATGAAGGTCTCGAGACTGGTCCCTCTTGTGAAAATTCCGGAGTTGGTAGAGGGTGAACGGCATGCATACTTGGCATTTGTAGCTCGTAAAATGAAATCCGGGATTCCTGGGTGTTGCTTGGAGTTATCGGGCGGTGATTGCCATGCAGTGGTGGTTCGATGGCTATACTACCATGCCCCGTGCCGTCGAGAAGCAACGACGGGTCGATGGGAAACGTGTGTGACTCTAAGACCATTGAAGACTCCGGGCGAGGTCTTATTTCACGTTCCACTGGAGGAGCGGGAACTTCCCCGTGACCTCCCATCGTTTCCCGGGTCGAGAAAGAAGAAAGACTCTGACGATAAATTCCCTGTGAGCCTATAAAACTTGAGGACTCGGCCACCTGTTCAGTGTCATCCGATAGAGATATCACCGCCCTTCGGCAAGTTTCAGATTCTATTCCAGCGCTCAAACTTCCAGAAACATTGCTTTCTTCGGGTTCAATCTCAATTTCGTGCTGACTGCTGTCGGATCGTTGCGAAGTGATCAAACGACCGGCTCCCGCTTCTTCTTCGTCGCTATCTAGAATGATAACCTCCTGAGAATAAGGTGTCCTACTAAAAGAATCTCCCTGGATTTCGTACTCCTCGGAATCACCACTCGAAGGCAGCCCATGTTCGTCAATTGCCGACGCACGAGAGACAGGAGATTGGCTTTCTTCACAAGGAACTTCAGATTCGGAATATTCCCAATCGTGGGCCTGCGCTGGTTTTAGTCCATGTGGTTCTGGAACACCTTCCGATGTTGCTTCTGCCTCAGATGCCTCGGCACCAATTTCTGAATCTTCCGTGCCAGGAGATTGATTTTCCACAAAATCTTCCATTTCCTCGGATGTTGCGGGCAAAGAATATTCACTCTCAGCTTCGCTATTGGCGCTGCCTTCCATGGGCTCTTTCGTTTCATGGGTTGAAGGGCTGGAAATTATTGGTGATGTGGGAATACCTTGCAGAGCTGTTGGTGGCGGTTGTGTGATTTCGGGCGTCGGCTCTGTGCGCTTTTGTAATCCAGTCATCATATCAGCCGAGACGTCGATATCAGACGGGTTGTAAACTTCATCTTTTCCCGCATTCTCCAATGTGGGGGGTACACCAGGCGATTCCGCTTCAGGGTTGCTTTCAAGAGTGCGCCGAATGGAGGGTGAAAGGCAGCCGGTTGGAATGGGACTGGATTCCAGAGTATAAGGCATTCTGGCCGTTTGCTCAATATGGCTAATCTCAGGCTCTTCTTTGAGGCCGTTAATTTCGTCAGCAGAAACAGGTAATTCGGGTGATTCAATAGGTTGACGCGGGGTTTCGAGATGAGGATGTGCAAGATTAGGGAGCTCATCTGCCATATCGGGAGAAGGTGAAGCAATAGAAACATCCCCCCTATCACTTTGATCTTCTAATAGTCCGTCCTGCCATATTGCAGCGTCGACTTCGATTGGACTTGGGGGGGAATCTAGGTAAGTCCATTCACTGCTTAACCTGCCGAACTTAGTGCGTTTCCTGCCCCTGCCTAATATGAAGCCATCCTCTTCGGCTGTATTGGCAATCATCGAGGACGTAAGCGAATGGGCAAAGGCTGGAGACGACCAGACATTTGGGATTGCATTCGAAGGAGAGGGAGAGCGAGGCCTCACGGCAGGCGTCACAGCCAATACACCCTGCAGCACCTCGCCTGCAACCTCGTTTGTTAGGTATTTAAAATCGACAGTGCCCAAAGGTTTAGAGTCGCGATGGATCTAGCCTTTGTTCAACATCAGGCGCGGTTGCTAATTAGGAGAAACTGACCTCAAGCAAAACCCGGTTGTCAAATTCAAGATCCCAGCCAAGCTCTCGTGTCAAGTCAGAGCTTCCATTATCCGTGCTTTTCCATTTCACGCCATCGAGACTCAAACGAACGATGTCACCAATCGCAATTTTGGACTCGGCAACTGCCGATGCCGCGCCATTATGGAAAACGGCTTTGACTTGGCCTTTTAGGCCTCGGAGCCGAAAGTCCGGTTCTGAAAGGAGTAAACTACACTGTTTCGATGACGACGAAAACGGCCACAGGAGTATCACAACCGCGCGGACATATTGATCCTTTATGTTCTGGATGGTAGGTGAGAGGCTGGCGATGGGTGTCGCGGTAGAGGGGAACGACGATGGCGGTAACTCGGCCATTCTGAGATTCCAAAGCTGGAAACATGCATAGTTAGTGTTATTGCATTTTCAAACGGTCTCGACCCGTTGAAAGACAAATCTCCGTCGTGGTTAAAACTTCCGCCATCCTCAGTGTCTTGAAGCTCCCGCCAGGCGCCAATAAAGTAAATCACGTGACTAACACGCGACAAGCCTTGGCGCGTAGTGGCTGGCGAGTGCGATGATGTCATGGCCCGCTAATTGATGACTAATTAGTTATATCTTGGCGGTGATGCTATTCCGGGATGCCGATGCCGACGCCGAACGCGGGGTGAAAGCTGGCCATCCTTGCTTGCTGCTCATCTGGCGTGCCGAATTGCGCGCCCAGTGTTGCCAGCGACTATGGCTGAACCTCGACGAGATTCTGTGGCTGCAGGTTAACATTGCTGCTTGCTGGAGAGGCCAGCCGTGAAAATGGCTCAAAGATTTCCTCATGTTCGCACGGTCGCCATTGTTGGAGCCGGTGCGGGCGGGCTGACGGCAGCAAAGTATGCCTGATACGCGCAAATCTTCCCCCTTGATAGAGTGAATGAATTTTGACTCACAGCACAGGTATCTGCTTGCAGAAAAGTGCTTCGATAAGATCGACATCTTCGAACAACGTAATCGGGTCGGTGGCGTTTGGAATTACTCGCCTGCGAGCGACAAAGCTCGGTTATCAATCCCGATTCCTCAAGAAAATGCGAATCTCCCCGTCGAGGAACCTATTTGGCATTCACAAGGATCGTATGATGGCTCCGAGACGTCCGAACAAATTGCGACATTTGTTTCCCCGCTATACAATGGCCTTGAGACTAATATTCCGCACACTTTGATGCATTATTCGGATCTGCCCTTTGCGAAGGATACCCAACTTTTTCCAAAGTTTGAGACTGTGTTTCACTATCTAGAAGAATACAGCCAAGCGGTTAAACATTTGATTCAGTTCCAAATCCAAGTTGTGGATGTTAGACTCGAGGACAGACTAGCTGGTACCTGGGCGGTTACGCGAAAAGATTTAAGATCGGGTGTATCCCGAACGGATATATACGATGCGGTTGTGGTTGCAAATGGTCATTATAATGTGCCCTACGTCCCTTCGATTACTGGAATATCAGCATGGAACAATTCTTACCCCGGCATTATATCGCACTCCAAATCCTACTGCTCTTCAGAGGCATTCCGAAATAAGAAGGTCATCGTGGTGGGGAATTCGGCATCCGGAATTGATATTGGCGCTCAGATCAGCAAGGTTTGCCGTGCGCCATTACTTTCATCCTCAAGATCAGAATCGTACTTTACATCCAAAGCCACCGATGATAGAACAGAATATCCTCCGATAGAAGAATTTTTACCACCTGGGAGACATAATCGCGCAGTGCGGTTTGCTAACGGCGTAATAGAGGAGAGCGTCGACGCAATTGTTTTTTGCACCGGATACCTTTATTCATTTCCGTTTCTTTCGACCCTTGATCCACCAGTGGTGGAAGATGGCAGCAGAGCACTCCGGGTATACCAACACATGTTCTATATCGAGCACCCCACGCTCGTGTTTCCGGTTTTGAACCAGAAAGTCATTCCGTTTCCTGTGGCAGAAGCCCAAAGTGCGGTCTTTGCGCGCGTGCTGTCCGGAAGACTCGCTCTTCCTGCAAAAGAAGATATGTATGAATGGGAACGGTCTAATGTGGCAGCAAGGGGCGCTGGAAAGAGTTTCCATGTCCTTGCTTACCCGCTTGACGCTGAGTATCTAAATTTCCTTCACGATTGGGCCGCCAGTGCGGAGACAAGACCGAGCCTCACCCGCAACGGGCAAGGTAAAGAAGGCCCGTGTTGGGGCGAGAAGGAAAAGTGGTTGAGATCACGATTCACACAGATCAAGCAAGCATTCGCGGCACGGGGTGAAGAAAGACATTCTTGTTGCGTTCCAGAAGATCTTGGGTTCGATTTTGAAGGCTGGAAGAGAGAGCAAGGGACAGGTTAGATCACATAATCGTCTTCACTCCCTAGGTGACTGGTTCAGCCTGCATTTAGAGTAGACTAGATTTATTCCCGGAAAGGTGAATGTTTTGTAGCTCAAAGACATAATAATACCCAGTTTTGGATCAATGCCATCTCAGCACGCGTACTCCGCAGCCTATCTATCCCCAGTTTTTTGCTTCTAAGGGCACTTGTCCACTACATCCCAGCTGATAATGTTTATGAGAGTATGCTCAGCAGAACAGGTATACCTAGAAAATTCCATGATATAATAGTGCTTGATTTGTTCCTCTAGATATGAGATGAGAACTAACCTTGTACTCAATTTTTCTCCGCGCTGTCAGTTGGCTGTCTGAACTGATTAGCACTTTCACAGCAAAAGTCAGAATGGTCACGTGCAGAAAGCGCCGTCATAAATAGCCTCCAACGCACGGTGATCGTTCCTCACCACACACCAATCCCCTAACTAACCTTGTGTTTTGAGAGCAGGTTTCTCTGGTTTGTTCATATAAAATGGGGTGCTATTGTTTGGAATCTGTTGAATCATAATGGGAACTCAGGATCCCATTCATGCATCTCCATGTATGTCACCGCACCCCATCTGCCATTTTTTGCCGGCTTTCAATAACTACTACATCCACTTGACCAGTATTTACGCCACAGGCATACATTATACTAATCTGTCTACTCCGTACGCCAAAAGCTACTGATATAGAATCCAATCTCAGTGATACTGAATATCCTATCAAGTGCATTCTTGAGGAGTCAAGAGACAAATATTTAATTGCATGGGAAAGGGATTATGACCCATCTTGGGTAAGTTTGGCATCATCCAGACAGCGCACCCGGACTGATAGAATATTTCTATCATCTATTCTCTGCAAGCCTCTGTAATAGCTGTTATACCCGATTCTGGAATCTTCCTAATCTGAATTTCCTTTCATTGTCCAGGAACCCAAGCATTTTGTGAATGACGCTGCTGTGCATGCATGGGAGTTAAAGAAAAATAACCGATACCAAGCTGCCGACAGATATCGCAGAGAACATCCTCTTCGAAAAAGTCACTTGTCTTATATCAATTCTCTATCTCAATCTTCTCCATCCTCAACCCTCTCTGCCTCCAATTCCGGAAGCCAGATATCATTGAACAGTGGCAGTGTTTTTGCCCCCCAGTCCACGCAGCAATCCTATTCTTCAATTTCTGATCAAGGGGGATCATTAGGTAAAAATTCTTTTTATCAAATTCCATACAGCCTAGCAACACAGTCTTCTGTTACCTTTTCTACGCAACACCAAAGGCCACTTTCACAATCAGGGGCTGAGAATTGGATCAGTCCGCCTGAGTTAGCCAATTCACCTCATCAGTGCACACAAGCGGGAGTTTCATCAAACAGTCCTGAAAATTCATTGCAGCCTTTCCAAGCAACTGGTGGGTTGTCTCGGTCTGAAGACCCAGCTGAAGCGCCGTACCAGGTCATTGATCTGTCACAGCAGGCCAATTCGCTCGATCGACAATCATTGACTACTTCCGGTAATAGCTTGGAAAGGGATTATCGTCTGAGCTCTCCTCGCACACGTTCTCCGAAAAAGCGGCCTTCGAGGCTCCCTTTAATTCACGGGGGCATCACCCAGTCTCTTTCATTAACACCACGTTCCCAACGCCAAAATCTACCAACTACTAAACAAATCCGTGCCCATACGTTCTCTCAGGAAGTTGCGGAGACACCTCTGTCGCAACTTTGGATAGGGGAGAGGATAGAGGACTTACTCTCAGACAGCGGTCCATTATCTACCTCTCAATTTGATCCTTTAATTCCCTCGAATAACACGCCTGATAATTTATTTGGTAAGAAACTCCCGTCGCTATTGTCCATTGTTTTGTTACTGATGAGACACGCTAAGCTTGGAAAACGCCGTATCGCCGCCAGGCGTTATCCGACGGACTAAGTATAGTACCGGAAACCGTTTATAGCAATTCGACAAACGCGGGGGAACACTTAGGCTCACATCCCTTTATCGAAGAATCAATTTTCGTATCCCAGGGCCCCAGTTCGAAATCACGACTGTCGAAGACAGTTCAAGATAGCGATAGAAGCCGATTTGGGTTTGAAATCAGCCCCCTCCTGCAGCAAGGAACAAGCTATATATCTTTATCACAAGAAAATCGCCCAAGCAACTGAAAAATTCACCGCATAGTTCCGAACATCCGTTGTACACTATGGAAGAATCATCTAGCAATGGTTCTTCTCAACCCGCAAAGAGCGTGGCTGAAGCTGCACGTAATAATCCGGGAACAAGTTACCTGGAAAGGATGAGATACCTTCGAGCAGCGGAGCGCGCAAGTATTAAACCATTACAAAGCCTTACAGAGAGCGAAACGCCCTCCTCTGCCGGAGACATCGAAGCGTCTGCACCTCCAGCTACCTCGGAGGGAGTCATACCTTTAAGCGTCCGTCATGATAAAGAGCCGCCGGTCAGGGAAGATCATCAAACCGATTCGCCAGTTTCATTCGTCGCCCCACAGGCACTCCATTATAACCCTGAGCAACCGGCGTTGTTGGGAGAAACTGGGGCAAGGCTGATTGACACAGCCAGTTTGTCTACACCAGCGGCATCATTAGAGCTGGCTGCTCAACAGTTCGAACAGGAAGGCAAAAGAGAGGAACAAGCAATCGAAGAGCACCAAGGGATTTCCCTAGGCCCCTTCGAATTTGTTATTCCACTCTCTATGGATTCTAGGGTGAAGGACGACTATGATCGTACGCTTAGAGAAGCAAGCAAATGCATTCGCAGATTTGTGGCCAGTGCTTCATTTGCAGAAGGAACAGCTGTTGAAGTTGACGTATGTTTCTGACCCTCATTTATCCAAGTCTCTAATCAAATACAGGTCGGTTCACTGGCACTTCAGATGCAACGAATGATAGAACAGCTCAATAATATTACTACTCATCCTGATTTGAATTTGCCGGATCAGCCTAGCAGCGGTCCTCTTGATGTTGCAAAAGAAGCATCATGGGCGGAATACTCAAGCTCCAAGTTTCAATTTCTCAGTTACTTCATGGACGCAGTTTTAGAAGATCCTTTGGAACGAGCTATCCATGTGATTGTTATGGTAAAACCTGGTGCAGCTGTTGATATTATGAGAAAGTATTTTCTCGGAAAGCAATTGGATCTTGTTCCCTCTGAGGAACCTGGGAACCAGCAACTGGTGTTTGTATCTCGCCACCTCAGTTTTCAGATATTCACAGTGGAGGATAAATCTCCAGCTGCATCCTACAAAGACCCAACAGTGATTGTTGCGCTGGATAACGCTTTCAGTGCAGATGATCCACTTGTCCGTAAACTGCGAACTACAGGTTCTTCTGGTCGCCTTGTTCCTGCTATCAGGCTCATTATCTCCAACACCGCCGAGCACATTGCACTCTGCTTACCCAAATGCTGTGACTTCGACAGACTTCGCTTGCTTGTCCAGTATACAAATTCTTACAGCAGCATCGCTGGCGATCTTCAGGATGATGCGCTTGGGGTTCAGGAAAACGCTGAGGAAACTCTTCGCTACCTTATGTCCGATCCAGACACAAGGGAATGGCCTCTTGCGGACGTTGAGACAGTGGAGATCCTAACCCCAGACCAAGCATCCTCTTTGGAGCCGGAGGAATTATGTAAAATGTCTATTTCAAGACAAAAGCGCTGGCTGGTGAGTTCAGGTTATATGTCGTCTTTAAACCGCCTAGCATGCTGACTCATAGGTTAGGATGATGAGGGAGATGATGCGGCGAACTCATCAAAGCGGCAGAGAACGACGCCTCTACAAGACATAACCCATATTAATGATTCAGTCAAGGGCCCAAGCCAAGAAAACCAGGAAGCTAGTCGTTTGAATGTCCAGGTCGAACTGGATAGCGACGCTATGCTCCAAATAAATGAGCTGCGATCCGCCTTGGCGGATGCCAGAAAACGCTTACGGGCGATGGAAACAAACTTTGCCAAACTTCAACATCGTTACGAATCAAAAAATGAACGATATCATAAGACTCGCCGAGAACTCGAACAGTCTGCCGAATCTGCCAAGAAGTCGGAAACCCGGATTGAAAGACAGAAGGGGGAAATAAACAAACTTAAGGATGAAAGGTCTGAGTTGACCAAAGAACTTCAGGAGGCTCGAGATATTGTTAAAGCCGGCGGAGGCTTGGCTGCTGATCTAGAGATTGCTAGAGAGGAGATTCGGAAATTATCTCAGGAAAAGTCAAACTTGGAGCGGACAGCTCAACAGGAGCGCTCACAATCCGAATTTACCCGATTGCAATATCAAAATGCGTCGAGCGCCGCTGCCCAGTCTGGCATTGAAGTGCGCCAGCTAAAAGAACAAGTTGAGGAATTAGAACGGAAGTGTAACGGCGAAGCAGCTAAATTAAAACAGCTCCGAGCACAAAATAACGAACAACAACACCTCGATCGGATTCGGGAGCTGGAAAACTCGCTTATGACACGAGAAAAGCTCCTAATGATGAAAGAGGAGGAGATTCGGGATTTGAGGAAAAATCGACCAACTACGAGGTCTACGAGTACTCAGCCACGGAGCCCCAAGTTTGCTGGATCAAGTCGTCCTGCGAGTCCTGCACCAAATTTGGGATCAAATTCAAACACCATTGGGCGAGGAAGTGTGCTGCGGTTCCGTGTAGAACCATAAATATCGTTTGTCTATATATGAATGGGTACAAATATGGGGATGTTCCTCTGTAAATGTTGATGTTGGGGCTTTTGCTGCTGTTGCTTATTGAACTCTCAAGCTGTCTCCTTTTCTTCTCTTATTTTGGAATTGGGTTGACAGAAACCCAGTATGGCTTATACCAATGAAACTATCTTTAAGAGCTGTGATGCAGACATAAACTTAACATTCCCTTGTATACATAGGCTCTTGCTCAGTGGTGATTTCATGATTCATATGAGTGGGGTGTAAATACCCCTGAGCACTCCATCTGGGTTCTTGATCCGTTGAGGTTGGGCCTATCATGGAAAACAATAAGCAATAATAGGGTTTCCTATGCATAATGCGTATTTAAAACTTTGGAGCCTGAAGAAAGACTTCGGAGGGAGCGTAGGTTTGATAATTCTTGCTGCCTGAGTGGCTAAATGTAGTCTCGGCTTCCGGAAGATGTGACTGCGCCGAGAACCTCGAGTAGATCAAATTGTCAAACAACCGCTGTTTTTAATCGCGCAACTCGCACTAAAAGTGGCGCCACATTCTTCCGGGGCCAGAGCAGGGAAGGTTTCGAGCTTGTTTTGGCTTCCAAGAGAAAAGAGTGGCGAAGCAATGCTTGTTGTGAATAAGCTACCTCATCTTCTTGTCTTGTACTCTGTAAGATGTTGTATATAGAGCATAGTGGAGTCGTTCAAGTGGTTAATGTTTTGGAATGAATCCGATTGAAACAGTTTTTGGGGATTGTCCAATAATATAAATTTGAAGATGTGACAATATGTACAGAGTAAAAGTCATGGAAAGGATTGATGACCCAAAAATTTTAGCATCAGCCGATGTCAACACCATATGGATAGAATTAGAGTCCCCTTTTGCACCGCCCATTTTCCTATGCGTCTGAATTGTGATCGACCTCTGAGGATATTCATAAGAATAATCAATTATACTTTGGAATCTAGGCCATCAAAGCGCTCCAGACCATCGGAGTCCGCTCCCGGGTTACAAGTTTCATATTTGAGCATCTTTAGAAGATAGAAGAACCCAGTTGCAGCGAGGGAGCCAAGGGTCGGGCCAGCCCAATATATCCAATGGTATGGAGCGAAGTCACCCAAGACAAGATCGGGCCCAAAGGCACGAGCCGGACTGAGGGCTCCTCCACTATAGCGGGCACCTATCCAAGCGTTAGTCTCAATGATAATTGTTGACCGACGAGCGTAGAAGTACCAGCAATTTCGCAAATGAAAACAGCAATGCCGACCACAAGAGGGACTAGATATGTGGCCCGCTGCTTTTCCACAGCCAGCATGAGGACAGCGATCATCAACTGGGCGGTCAAAAAAGCCTCGATGAAGAGGCCTTGCACGACAGTTGTTCCAGGTCCTAACCGGGCCTGAACGGTAAGAGGACCTGGGAATAGGATTGCCACAACTGCCGAGGCCGCAATGCCAGCCGCCATATGAGCGAGAGCTGCCACACCAAATCTCGCGAGGGATATTGCACCAAGAAGCCATAGCGAAAGGGAAGCCTAGTGACATCCACAATGAGATATTTGCACAAAAAGGAATATAGCCCCATAGAGCTCCACTCACAACCGGGTTAAAGGCCGAACCGCTGACGCGGAAAAAGATCCATGCGTTCACAGTTACCGAAGCGGCGAAGGCAGCTGCAATGTAAAGAAGGCTATCCACTCCGGGACCAGTTTTCTCGTTGGCAACCTGAGTACCTGCAAACGCAGTGAAGAGGAACATGAACGTCCCCACAAACTCTCCAATGAAAGCAATCAAGTGGTTCCGGATAGCATCCGGGGAATCACCTGATGAAAACACCATCGAAATTATTGAACGGAAGTGATAAAAGGTATAGGTTAAGAAGCAGAACAAACGCCGAGCCAGCAGCGGGAACCAAGAATAATTACAAGAGATTTCGAGTTTCAAAATTCATGAACATACTCTTCTTCATAGGAAAGAGAGATAATGTAGAATATAGGCTCATAAATATAAATCGAAATGATGGCCAAGGCAGCAAGAATACATCTATCGGAGGTCAATGGTGCACTGGGCCCGTGAGGTTGAAGCAGGGACAGTCGCACTCCTAAAAGTGGTCGCTATGATGCAAGCAGCTGCATGCTCCTCCCAGGCGAGGTACCTGGAATCCCCCGCTCGCCATTTTGGTGGAGTCAGGAAGAACGGCTTGGTAGGAACTTACTGCGTATGTGCCTTTGCTTGGTGTGACCGGCGTTTGTATGTATAAGCGCAGGGGAAAAGGAGAACGGTTAGGCGAGAGTAAATTCTCAGACAGGGGAAAAAAAAAAAAAAAAAAAAAAAAGGACTGTTCTTCCCCTTGCTAGCCAAAATGGTAGCTAGAGCAAGAGGAAATATTGCAGCCTGAGATTCAAGTCCGTGAAGCTGGTCAGACAGGAGGTCAAGGGGGTGGTTGCTTAGAGACGCTTGCCATGCTTGAGCGTCACTAGTGGTAGTTTCTCACAGTTTTCTGTTTCTTCGTGAATAAGGACGCTGGTCGAGAATAGGCTGACATGAGACCCGGGGTTCAAGGGAGTGCGAGATGAAGACGATGCGGCGATGTTGCACGTCTGAGACGCGGTGGTGAAGCCGAACGGTCTTGGCGGAGATGCGCAGGTTTATTGGACGAGAGACGGATCCCCACCCGCATCTGCTGATATCAAGAGCAGGGAGGGCATCGTGGGCATCGTAGCGTAACTCCAGCTTGTTCTCCCAGGCTGGCTATGGTTCCCTTGCTGGTAGTGAACGAATGTCCACTGGCATTTTCGACATCCAGAACATCTTTGCTCCATGGATAGACCCCTCCTTTTCGGTTGAATGTGTGCTTTTAATGTAGGATTTGTCTTCGTAGTGAGATCAGAGTCCATTGGAGAAATTTGGAAGAGCTGGTGCTTCTACTTCGCATTCCGTCGGTTACTTCTCTGGTACTTAACTTAGATGTCCGCTTGGCGACTTTACATAAACCAAGACTTGAAAAGAGTGGTGGACACAGAGGTACCGTGGTTGCGCTTCTTCGCAAGACCACACATTGACCGTCACGGATAATTTTCCTTCTCTAGACAACGTCATCTTATGGCCGCATTGAGATTCTGTTTTCTAAAGAAGTCATCCTTGCGTCCTGTGTATAGACTTAGCCGAGCAATGGGCACAAAGACGCCGACCGATGCTCCTACAGGGCCATATTCCGGCCTTCCCGATTTGCCCCCGATATCGATTTTCCGGTCGCAAGGAGAGGGTTATCCTTCGCCTGCGACTGCGCAATGGCATACGGAAGCGCAAGAGAAGCTGATCGAGGGCATTCGGGAGCTGCGGAATGACCATACCAGTGGAGCAAAGGAATTGGCCACAAAGGCGGTGGCCCCACTAGTACGGATCGCAAGAATAATTGAAAGCGGGCTGACCGGGGAGAAATCGAGGCCGGGAGAGAAAATAGACCACAAGGATAAATCTCAACTATGGTGGGATGCAGTCCGCAAGGCTGGCTGGGCTATCTCTACCTATGGAAGACCGAGTATGGGGGCTGCAATTACGGTGGCAATCCTTAACGTTCTGGAAAAGCAAGATAAAGCGGGAAGTGCTGCGGCCGCAGGGCCAGGTAACGAATTGATAAGTCAACGAGTCCAAGCAATGGAAGAGTATCTGCGTGACAGAGTGGACGGAGGGCAAAGACAAATTGGGCGGAATTTACGACAATTTATTCGAGACAAGATTCTTGCTGAAGGTGTCGAGCGCAGAGTGACCATCTTAACACTGAGTCTAAGTTCCACCATCAAACAAGCCTTGATGACAATGCTTGAGCTCGAAAAAGGTTCGAATTCACCCGGAAACAAGCAAGAGCTCATGATAGATCTACGCATCATGGAATCTCGTCCACTATGCGAAGGAGCAGAACTGGCAAGAATACTGGCGGCCCAGGCGGCTGGCAAGGGATGTACCCATAATCTAAAAATCCAGCTTGCATCCGATGCTAGCGTTGCCATTCTCGCAAGAGACGCCGACATTGTCCTTCTTGGAGCCGACCGGATCTCTGGATCTGGAGACATCAGCAATAAAACGGGCAGCCTCCCCGCAGTCCTGTGCGCGAAGAGCGTGTCAAATAAAGCAGTGGTCATCGCGTTATCGGATATTGAGAAAGTTGCCAAGCCAGGGAGGATGGATGAGCACGAAGAAGAAGACAATGATCCGACGGAGCTTGTGAATGCCTGGAGTCCGCAGGCGCAAGAATGCATTTCGCAAAAGGCATGGAAGGAGATGGTGAGGGTGAGAAATGTGTATTTTGAGTGGGTGCCTGCAAACTATATCGACCATTACCTTTGCGAGACAGGGGTACTTTGCGTGGACGATATCAGGAAGCAGTCGGAGTGGGTACTGCAGGCCGAACAGCGGCTATTTGGCGATGTGGAAGGGCTGAACCATGGATGAAAGTACCACGGGGCGTCCGTTGGCTCTGCGGGCCCAACCATGGAAAGCGTGGTGTCATTCACCTCTTGTGTTGTATGAACCCAAACCTCGTCGAAAGGATATATATATGTGAGAGAACACGCGGGCTTTTTGAAAGAAGAGGAAAAAAAAAAAAAAAAAAGAAAAGAAAAGAAAAAAAAAGGATATGAAGTCACACTTGGAGGAGAACTAAAAATAGCCTACTGGAAGGCAGCTTTATCGATAAGCCGGCGCTAGTCCCAAAACAGCGCAGAGTAAACAAAGCCCCGTGACCCCGGCCCCCGACCAACCACCGCCAGCAGCATCGCCGCCGCTGGCCAACAATTCACCACCAAGCAGCGCAGTCATGACGACTAGATCTCGGCTGCAGTTAATTCTCCTGTCTTGATGCGCCTGGAGGTCATTCGTATGAACCCTATGACTCGCCCACTTTATATTCTTTCTTGTCTCTTCCTTCTTTTCTTCCAATTCTTCAGCTTCCCCCCCTTGTCACTCGTTATCTGGAGCTGTTTATCGTCGGCTGATACGTACCCTTTTGTACCTGCCATGCCATTCAGCCGATAACACGCCTGGTGTTCATGATCACTCGCCTCCCGACAGTCGCTCGCTTTATGTTACGTGTTTTCTTTTCACCCCTTAGTGTTACGACCTTCCATTTTCCTTCCGATTTACCTTCCTGACCGCCCCCAATGGCTCCCGAAGCACCGCAGTTACCTACGAAATTTCCCTGTTGGTGTAGGGCCATATATTCGTGGGGAGGCGAAACAAAACGTGACTTAGGCTTCGTGGAAGGAGACCTGATCGAATGTCTCAATGCCGGAGATGGATCGTGGTGGACCGGCCGGTTGAAGCGCGATCGACGAATGGTGGGAGTGTTTCCATCGAATTTCGTCAAGGTCCTCGACGAAGGCTTCGTGCCTTTGAGTCGCTCTGTGAGCCCTCTGCCGCTTAGCGCACAGGTCACTCCGTCAAATTCCACTGCTGGCGGACCGAAGAAACAGAAGACGGTCTTCAGAAAGCCATTTCAGGGTTACAAAGAGGTTGTCGGGCCCTCAGGAACGCTGTCCAAGCAGTCGACTCCGGTCGAATCGCCTCTGAAAACACCAGTAGCTCAAAAACAATCAATGCGCAAATCACGGGATCCGGATCGCACCCCAACAACAAGGCGAAATGAAGCTCCCGCTCGCCCGCCGTCACGTGCTATCTCTCCCGCTCCGCCGCCGCCACCCGTCGCGGAACCCAATGATTCTCCGCCGCCTCCACCGCCGCCTCCTCACAGAATTTTGCATAGACGGTCTGTGTCGCCCCAGCCTCAGTACTATCACCAAATGCAGGATAACTATCCTCCAAGGACTCCGTCTCCTTACCCCCAGTCACCCATCCATGGCAACACTCCATCACCACTGAGGGACGCAATTGAAGACGTCATGACCTCCTTGCATGATATGGGCCTTCATCGTGGCGACCCTTCGCCGGAACCTCCCCGTGGTCGCTCCCCTTTTCAACCTTGGTCTCCGGATGCCTATGAACAAATACACGAACATAGTGCACAAGGACATGCTGAGCGCCCTCTAACTTCTCTGGGCCTTGGGGGTCATGATCCTTTCCGGGAGCATGATTTTGACTACCAGCAGAATAGTTTCAATCGATACTATGATGGCCCCCCACAACTCGGCAATTACGTCGAAAGAATGGAGAGTCGGTTGCGACAACTCCATGCACAGGAAAACAAAGATGAGCTCCATCTTCCACCGCCTTCACCGCCGAAGAAGGATTCTCGGGGGAACGAAGGGTTCATGTCCCAACGACAGCGATCGCTTAGAAACAGAAAATCCATTAGCGAGCTTAACAGCGCGTATCTTGGACGCACACATACTACGAGATCAACTACGACAAACTCATCGAGCGGTGTCCAAAGTGTCGCAACAAACAGCACCACGAGTACCGGATTAACGAGCCAAAGTTTGATGAGTGGTACGTCAGCCGGGGGGTTTAGCGCCACAAGTGCGGCCAGTTTTGCGCGACGGTCCAAGGTGTATGGCATGTCAAAAGATAGACCCGCAAGTCCATTGAACCGTCCTCTATCCCGAGGGATCTATGGCCTCGAGAGAGGCAAATCTAGCAGCAGTAGGCCCCAGACTCCTTTAACAGGGATATCGTATCATCCAAGCCACGATTCTCGTCAGGGAGCTACTTCAGCAATGGGGTGGTCTGAATATAGTAAGGGAAACGATTCGCCGGGTCTACTTGGGGGCCTTACAACCCCCAAAACAAAGAAGACAGGATTCTTGAAGAAAATCCTCGAGTCGGCAAAAACTGGGGCTGCAACTGCAAGAAGCAACATAGCTTCAGGTCAAATATCGCGACCATCATCCCCCACGAAAAATCTTATCCAGGGTGGCATTTCTTCACTGTCTCCTACTCGACACGGGAAGGATGCTTCAAAAGAGATGGGTATTGGAGCAAACGATTGGGTACAGGTTCGAAGAGATGTCAATCGCGCTACTACTCCCAGCCGAAATGAGCTTATTGAGCGAGCAGAACGTTGCCAAATGATGGAATACCCTGTGATAGCCCCTGTGACTGATCTTCATGAAATCGGGGAAGGAGATGAGGGTATTGATGGTCTGCCAATTGCTGAACCAACTAACTGGAACACTGTGAATCTGCAGCTAGTGGACAAAAGTGCGCGGTTCATCACGAGCTTGCCACCAATGATGAATCCTGTGAGCTTAGCCCAAGGATATGTTTGCCGCCCGTATCGGAGCGATGCACAACGGCTGCGTGCTATTTTTACTTGGGTTGGCGAGAAGATTGCATGGGACGATGATCTAGACTGCGATGTTGATCTGAGAAGGGTTATTCTAATGAAGCGAGGCTGCCCACATGAAGTCGCAGTATTGGTGATGGAAATGTGCGCTGCTGTTGGTATCCACGCTGAGGTTGTAAGGGGGTACCTGAAGACCCCAGGTGAAGTTATAGATTTCGATAGTCTATCGAAGGCAAATCACTGGTGGAACGCGGTTCTTATCGACGGTGAATGGAGAATTATGGATTGCTCCCTGGCCAGCCCGACGCATCCGCGCCGGTCCTTGTATTCGAGTGCGAACTCTCAAGCTGCTGACAGCTGGTATTTCTTGGCACGCCCAATGGAAATCTGCTACAGCCATGTTCCTGTGATGTCCGAGCAACAGCATATTTGCCCTCCCATTGCTCCCGAAATTCTTCTCTCACTTCCATGTGCTTGTCCTGCCTTCTTTAAGAATGGCCTTCACCTGCCAAGCTATGATACCAGTTTAGTCCAGATCAATGGGCTAGAGACGGTACAGATTCGCATTAATGTTCCGCCCGATGTTGAATGCGCTGCAGAGGTCGAAGCCATTGCTTTCGCGCATGACGTGGACGGTGATCGTTTCGAGAGCGGGGACGTGGTAAAGAAGCGAGCGTTGGCGCAGCCGGATTGGTTTCGCGGTCAAAAGCGATTCACAATCAAAGCTGTATTACCCGGGGACGAGGGTCAAGGCGTATTGAAGGTTTATGCTGGAAAGAAAGGCCTCATGCATTCATCAAAAGATATTCCGCATCCGCTGGCTTTTGCTCTTCCCATCATTCACACTGGTGAAAATCCTCCTTATGACTTTATTCTTCGCCATCCAACACCCCACGCGCAACGACACGACTTATATGTCATACAACCGCAATGTGTCCGACTGGCTATTAACAATACCTTCGTTTTTGCGGTTCGCCAACATCCGGCTTACTCGCCTTCCACAACATCAAGCTTTAGCGAGGTGAGTGGTCGCGTGTCTCCAAACCCGTTCGCCCGACCTTCAAGCTCCCTTAGCATGGTGTCGTCTATCGCTACCGCTTCGAATGCATCCACTACTTCTGCGAGTAGTAAGAGCCACGTGTCGCGTGAGAAGCCAGCAAAACTAGCGGTACAGACACCATCGGGCAAGATTTTACGACTTTCAAGAAAAGCGGACCATATGATTACGACAAGCACGGCAACTGAGTGGGCCAATGATGGTACTCCCGATGGAAGTGTTTGGGAAACGGTTATTAAAGTTAGCGAGCGAGGCGTTTGGAGAGGATTGGTGCTTGCGGATCGGAGCGCTAGGTGGTGCGTTTGGGGGGAATGGGAATGTGTTTGAATCATATCCCTTCGTTCCTCTGGCGTTCGTTTTCTTGATTGAATTTTGTTTTGGAGCGTATTAATTAGCCTTTTGGCGATTGGCGCAAGTGTGCTCCTTACTTGGGATGTACAGGTGGTTTTATACCCCGATATCTTTTCTACATGGTGCAAAAAGTGGATTGTCTTTTTTTCTTTCGCGCGCGGGCAAGTTGACATGTCCATTCCTTATTGTGTTTCAATGTTGTTTCAACCTTTTTTTTTTTTTTTTTTTTTCTTCCTTTGGAAGAAAGAGGTTTGTTGAAATGAGCAGATGACTGAGCACGACCAGATTTCCGCACTCTGTTCAATCTGACATGATAGATGTCAGTTTGGATGGATGGCTTGATGTTTGAGTATGTACCCATGTGGATGAGTGAGTACCATTGGATGATTGTCTTTTCACTGCCGTTCATTTTTGAATCTCTTTCTGTTTTTAGTTCTTGTTATCAATAGCGATTTTAATACAAATTTTGTTTTAGGACGATTACCTTGCAAGGATGGCCTCGCTAAGATAAGAAGCTGGTAGTTTTGCAAAGGATTTTCGTTCGACGTGTTTCATAACATCATGTCCTTGAGTTATAAATAGGTAGTCGCTGTTGTAGCACGGTGCATATTTCGGCCGGCTAGAAGGTCAAGCTAAACCATTGTTATGAGAGAAATATGCACTTTTACTCCAACTTTCTAGCCATGACATTTCTCAATAACGGCGCGACTCGCTTCCTGCTTTTCGACACATCCATCTGGTTCCATATGCGGATTGAAGCCTGGTCCATGGTTGAATGCGTTTGTATATCAACACTCGAGCACTTTTGCAGCTGAAGCTCATCCACTGCCAACAGTTCGAAGTTTTCCAGGCCCTGCAAATGTACCGGGTTGAGAACCCACAGTAGAAACTCACGATTAAACTTGTTTTCCGGTTGAAGAGCGTACGCAGTCATTATGGCAACCACGTCAAGATTCCGGGTCCGGGAAAAACCGTGTAATGCATCGAAGAACGGCTGAGAGGAGTTGGACTTTCCATCCTCTTGTTCAGCCTTCGAAACAAGCCAAGAAAGCGGCTTCACCACGCTGCATATTCCGATTTTGATATCTCCAGGAGATCCACCTGCTGCGGGGAGCTGGTCGATCCAGTCCTTGTAATCTCTTCCCAAGACTTCGTCTATGGTTAGTCTATCAACACTGGAATTCTTCGCTTCGATAATCTGTTGGAAAAACTCGTCACGACTCCAACTCCGGTCCTGCGTTTGCTTGATCTTATTTTCAAGGAATGATACTGCCACACGATCAACATCTGACACTTTATCTTTGTTCGTCATGTTCGTTGTATCCGCAAGTATAGCCGCCAATGCGAGCTTCGCGGCTTGAGACTCGTATATTAAGGCCGGCCCATCGTTGAATTGCGGGGAAGCTGCATCCTTAACCATTTCATTCTGCGCAGGAACGGGGCTGTCCTTCCATAGCCCAAGGGATCGTAGCTCACGAACGACGAGAGACGTACAACTTCCTACACCAGTTTGGATGCATCGCATCCCTACATCCGGCGAAACAAACTTTTCGTCGTCGTGGTGGTCAATGCACCCATTCACCGAGATTCGAATATCATCATCATCATCATTATGGGCAGCAGAGATACCCTCAATTCCACGGATACCACTCGCCATTACCGGCAGTGCATTCCAATCGACCATGAACACGTCCATGTCCCGTGGAGTGTCAGACCCTAATCTATTATGGTGGAGTCGCTGTCTCAAATCGGCAATAGTTAAAATATTCTCTTTCAACAACCACCTTTCACCATCCTCGCCTTCATTCGTCGAAAGTTTCAATGCCGTGACGAATTCAGGGCGTAATCTTGCTAGTTCCCTACCCGATGGAACATCATGTAAATTGATGATGGGAACATACTGGCGAGAAACTGGATTTGCTCGCTGAAGTATTTTGCTGGAGCTCGCAAAATATGAAAATAAAATGGCGGAGATGATCGAGTCTAGGTCTGCCGAAGGGTTCCCAAGGACGTATGTTACCTGATTTTGTCGAGTCTGCGAGGAGGCATAGTGAGAAGCCTGCTTAAGAAACCGAAGCAAGCTCATGGAAGATTGAGGATCCGCAGACATATTCTCGCTGATATCTTAATAGGATCCAGAGCCGAAGTTGATTGAAAAAACATGGCGCCCATGAAGTCAAGTCACGTGGAGACCCTGGAAGAGCTCTCGTCGCACTGAAATTATGGGAGAGTAAGGCGTGAGATATTAATGATTCCTCTAAGGATAACTAGTAAATATTAATACAATTATCCCATCCATTTCGAATGATCTTAAATCAGCCACCGATATGACTACCGCCCAGTATTCCACCCACTAAGAATAATAACAATAAATAGCCGAGGATCAAATCCCATCACCACTAAATCTAAAGGCAAGGCAAATAGCCCCTGTCAAAGTACCTTGCTGAACTTGAAAATAATTAAAGCCTCGGTTCGTACAAAGGAAGACTGAGAGACACAAGCCGCAGATACCGAACTCCAAGTAATGAAGGGGTTTGCACCGTGCCGTAATCCTATCGCCGTACCATCCAAACAACACGAGACTCCATACCGGCAGATGGGCGCTTCGAATCTGCTGACCGTAAAAGATAACACGACAACAAAGCCACTGGAACAATCAGAATAACAACATAATGAGTTATACATATTACATAGATAGAAAAAGAAACACGGGAGAATAAATAAAGCGACCCTAAATGGTTTGAAATATTGAGGAGTAGAGTATGAAGTCATGTATCAAATCAGCTGAGGAATTCATCTTCGAGAGCATTAGTCGCATCGTTCCCGCTTTGCCCGAGACCATCCATGAGACCATTCTCCTGGTGCGCATCGCCCAAACCGTCACGAGATTCGGACATTGAGCGATCCCTCGAGGAACAGTTCTGGGCAGTCTTAAGTGCCTCTAACGCCTCATTTGCGTGGCTAATTTCTTCAACAGGTTCCACATCCTGGTTTGTCAAATCTGCAAAAAGTTCATCCATATTTGGACGTGGACTGCTGCCAAAGGGATTGCTATGGTCAATATCAACTCCAACGCCTGCATCATCTTTGGCAAGGTCGGGAGGCGATCGGGATCGCAACGGATTACTGCGATTAAAATCCGGAGGGCTAAACAGTGCCTGGTCAAGTCCAGGATGGCGGGTAGCTGGAGGAGTTGAGGCGAAAGTGGGGGAATGGGAATTGCCATCTTGAGGAAGAAAAGCTCCAGGACCAGTGGCATAGGGAGGACCACCGTCGCTGGTCGCCAGGCTAAATGGATTCGAACCCGAGAACGACGAAGGGGGTTGAGAGGCGGGAATCGGGGGAAGTGTAGGGGGAGTGGTCGTGTTTCCGGCAGAAATAGATCCATGTTCGCCCGTTGGAGTATCCGATCGTTTGAGTGGAGCTGGCTGCAAGGGTGTAGGTCTTCCAGTGTGAGGTTCGGTAGACTTCCTTTTAGGTGGGAACGTGTGATATTTCGTGCGAAGATGAAGAGGAAGATCTTCGGGTTTATCAATCCCAAGCTGAGCCATTAATTTCTGTTGCTTAGTGGGCCTGGGTTTCCGAGTAGAAAGGGATTGCTCTAAGATTGGTGGAGGATCAGGAGCAACCGGTGCCCAGCGATGGATTTCTTGACGGAAATAATTGGTCTCATATGCAAGTAGAACCTCGGCACCTTCGATTTTGCGAAGATAGAAGATCTGTGTTGGAACCTCCTCAGCAGTCGTGCACGTAGAGTTCGTAAACGATCGTATGAAATCTCGGAAAGCAGAGGCCTTATCGATGATCGCTTCCAGGATTTGCTCTTCATCAGGCTGGAATGGAAGGTCCGGAATCTCGGCTTGCCATTCGATAAGGTCTTCTAACTTAGGACGAGCAGCGTCGCGCGGGATCTTAACGCGCCAATCGCAAATTGGACAAGTGTAGCTGTCATACTCTTTCACCTTGCCGCGAGCGATCTTGAGGCATTTGCCGTGATACCTATAACCGGTCACCATCCAGTGAATAAATACATAACCGAAATGAAGAACTTGAACCCACCATTCATGGCAAACCTCACACTCTATCATCAACCCTGCTTCCTGCTGTCGACAAATGCAAAAGACATCCTTCTTCTTTGAGCGCGTACCAACCCATGAATGAGATTCTCCGCCCTCGGGGGTTGTCTCACGCGATGCAGGTTCCACAGGAGGGCGACATCTATCCTCAAGATCGAAGCAGAAAGAGTTCTTCTTCTCGACATACTGCATGTGCATTTTGAGAATATGAAGCGGCGCATTCGCCTTCCCAAATAATTTCTTGCCTCTCCTCATCCAGTCTTCATGACGTTTCTGCTCCCGCTCGAGGTCAATGGTTCCAGTGGGTTTGCTGTTCAGTTGCGACAGCGACTCCATCAGTTCACGAACGTCTTTGTAATGCGGACGCATTCGGAAATCCGAACTTTTGCTCTTCTCATAGAAGTTGGAGATCTGTTTCTGAGCCTCCCGCTGCTTTGTTAAGATCGCCTCAACTGCGGCCAGCGTTTCAGGACTGACAGGGAATCTAGCAGCCTGTGCAGAAAGAGCCTCAAGTTGTTGATAATGGACAGCTTCAACAGACATAAGCTCTTTCGCTTTTGCTTCCCAAGTCTCACCATGGCGATATAAATCGCGGAAGTGAAGGAGATGTTCATTGGTTTCGGCCAATCCGAGTTCCTCGCCTTGCTTGATAAATTCACGACAATCGTCCAGTGTTTGATACTGCTCTCGTCTTCGCCGAGCTTCGTCATTCCATCTCATTTGCCTTAGAACACGCTCAAGCTTGTCAACTTCGGGCACATCGACATTGAAACTTTTACCAAGCTCCACGAGCTCCTCAACCTCCTGCGTCGAAGTGACGTGTGGATTGCAGAGAACTGCTTGTGCGTCGCCCTGGAATTTCTGTATTTCAGCGACTTTCTCGCGCAAACTGACAATCTGTGGACAGTCGAACGAAAGGTTCTCCGCTTCAGCGAGAAGGGCATGAATCTTATCAATATTGCGCAATTCACGATCGCGTTCCTCCAGTTGCGCAGCTTTCGCAGCATTACCTTTTCGCCAAAGCTTTTCATTTTTGCGACGGTTTTGCTGCTTCCGAGTAATGTAATTATTTGCCTCTTCTACCCATTTGTCGCATCGCTGCACAAAAGTGGCGAGGTCTTGGAGACCAGGGAGATGGTACGGGATCTTCTCACCTTCCGAAAGCAGCGAATGCATCGCCTTTAAAGAAGGCTTCGGTTCGTCTTCCAGAATTCTCTCGAGTTTTTCTCCCCAAGCCTCAGGGATCCGCGCGCGATCCTCTACCTTTTGCGTGCATGCTGCAATATCTTCGTCAGACATCCGATATCGCAAACTATGATTCGGTCCAAGCAGTCGGCGAGAAACATCTTCGTCACAGCAGGTATGGTTATCCGCATGGAGTAGGCAGAGTATTTTTCCCTTCTTATGGCAGCGAAATTGTGTCAGATAGCTGTACACTTTGCAATAGGAGCATTGGTAATCTTCTTCTGGCAAATCGGCGTCTTCCACCACAAGCTTGAAGTCCTCATGTCCTTCACTTTTGTTCTCGTCGGAACCTCTATGTTCAATCCGTTGCTTCAACTCCTTCTGGCGCGCTAGGAGCTTTGCACGTTGCTCTAACTCTCGATCACACATTCTTCGCAATGCGGGGCCCAGCCACTTAGCTGTTTTTATCGACGTATCCCTAGCGGCGGCCGTGAGTAATAATTCATCATGCGAGAAGCAAGGTTGACGTCTGAACTCTCGAAGACGAGCGACACCGGCTTGACCGAGAGGTTCCCAATCGGCAGGCGCAAAATTGACCGCTTCATTGAAGTTGAATCCGTGGTTGAAACCAGCATGATAAGCCTGGGGGAACGTGATTACAAATTGACCTGCTCGTTGGTCAAGGGCATACACATTAACCCCAGCTTTTTTCAGCTGATCTGGCGGAAGAAGTGTAACCAGCTGGAATAGGAGATCAGGCTGGGTCTCAAAAAGCTCTGGGACAGCTTGGCGCATGGCTTCCTCGAATGCTTCAGCATCTGCGCCCGGGATGCCATACCAGGTCTTGGTCGCGCCGAAATGCTGGTAATTGGCGGAGTAGGAGTAATGATCCTCGTTATGCCAGCAGAATGTCGAGAAACACATCCCAACATATACCCAGGGCACGGTCATTCCCGACACGTCTGATTTAATATGACGGAAGAGTGACTCGCCATGCAGCGGCAGGACGTTCAGATTCCAAGGATCAACGGAATATGGATCCAACGGGTTTCTCTCGACGGTAGGAAAGCCACTTCCATGAGTTGTAGAGTGGATATCCGCCCCATACTCAACTTCCACCGTTTCAGTAAGACTTTCCACGAGTCTCCAGAATTCTCGCTCAACGTCGTCTTCTGTCTCGCGACGATGAGCGTTAAGCACCGGATCGAATGGCATCTTCCCAGAAAAATAGTTCCTTTTGAACGCATCCGCCTTTTCTTGGAACTGTTTTAAAGAGTATATTCCGCCTTCTTCAAAGCCATATTCGCCCGTCCCAACAAGGCATTTCGGGCAATGCCAATCGTAGTTGGGAGCATTGCTAAGAGGGGGATCGAGACAGTGCATATGGTATCCGTTATCGCAACCGTCACAGAGGAGAATCGAAGGGCGATCGTTGCTTTTCCCGCAAGTTTCACATTTCTGAATGCGAAAAGTCGAGTTAGCATGCTTACACAACAAAAATTTTCCCTTGGGTTATCGGGTGTACTTACATCGCCAGTTTTTCTATTCCCACCTTTGGGACGAGACTGGGGAGGAGTGGGGCGTAGTAAGCTCATATTTGACCCCGACACTGTCGGAGCAACATCTTAAAGCACGTTAACAGTCAGCTGCGGGATATTCATAATCAAGAGAATGCATACCTTTCTTGAGACGCTTGCTCCGCCGGCCATTCGCACCATCGTCTCCATTTTCCGCCTGCGGAGTACCAGCGGCGCTCTCATTGCCCAGCGCCCGTTTCAACGGATGGGAATCATGGCCGTTAACTGCAGAGACACGACGAGATTCCGAGTTCTTCGAGACAGTACCGGACTCCGGAGCTTGAGTTGTCGTGCTTTCAGCTCCTTGGTCGGTTTCCTTTTTCACGACCGATGGCCCATTATTAATAGGGACAAAGGAAGTTGTTTTGGGGATACCATTCGCAGGGGCGTTCACGGCGGTAAAGCCAACTGTTATAGGCCGAATCGAGGCCGGTTCGGGAGGCGGAGCTGATTTTTCTGATTTTTCCGGCTTTTCCGAGCTTTTACTGCGCTCTAAGGAAGCATTAAGTGCCGCGGATGCTTTTACCGTTGATGACTTGCTACTAGCTCCTGTTGTTCCGTTTACATTCGAGGAAACCTTCTTATTTGGGGGAGACGCCTTCGGAGAGGGAGTAAAAGGACCGCCGTGCTCGATTTCTAGCTGCTGCTGAACGCCCGGCTTTGCGAGAAGGAGGTAGTCTTCGTATGGTTGTAACCAACGCTGATAGGAATTCTTGAGAGACGTGGATAACGACGACATAATCTTTCCGCTATAACCTAAGTCACGGCCAATTTCCGCCCACTTCTTCAGTTTGCAGACCTGGTCGAAGCCGCCTCGAACCTCGACAGCCTTTTTCAATTTGTAAAGATCAAGCGGGCGCTTGTCAACACTCGGGAAACGCGCTAACGTCGTGCCGTGCTGTCTATGGAACTTCGTTAACTGATCTAGGTAGTTCAGATTCGCTCGAGTTCCTTCCTCACTGTTAGCCTAAGGTCCGAGAGTCGGCTGGGGTTCACGATCCATTGTCTCCATACATACCTCCCTCAACTGAATTAAGTTCTTGTCTACGGGTTCGAAAATGGAAGCGCTGCAGAGGATAGTTAGCGTCACTGAGTTCATCGCGCATCGCAAAGGCTGCAGCTGAGTGAAAGTCTCTGAAATTTCTTTTCTTGTTCCTATTCTTCAAGTGCATTCATACCTCGGTATCAATAGCAAACGGCGGATCCCAGCTATCAGGAGGAATGATCTTGCAAATGCCATACTTCTTTCCTTCGGGTGCAATCTTCCGAATATATTCCATGGGATCCTTAAACTCCTCCTCGGTAGGCCGGAAGGTAGGGGCTTCTGGCAGGCTATGCGGTCGGACTCGTTTTACGGGTTCTCTAACGGCGCTCTGATGACCTCGGCGTTCGACGGTAGAAAGATCCAAGGGCGCAGCCCTTCGAGCGCTGAGCGGAACATTGGGGGCGTAAGGGTGATGGGAGGAATTCGCGATCCGGGCAGAGGAGCGGCTGGTCGATTGGGGATGCTGCGCGGCAGCATTGCCTCCCGTTGACGGCGGAGCCACCATGTCTAAGGTGGTGGGAAGTGCGAGGCGGAGAGGATCAGTGGAGTGTCACGCCTAAGGAGAAGCCCAAGCCGGATGCGAACAACGCATTGGCAGAGTGAGTTTTGGGCGGAACGGAAGAGGAGTAATTGGGGAGAAACAGGGACTCAGCAGGGGAGCAGAATACGGCAGACGAGTTGGATGGAGGACACCAGACGGGGAGAGACGAGAGTTCGCGGTGAGGAGGCCGGAGCGAGCGAGATCAGCCGAAACGTCGAGGTGATCGGAGGGAAGCGAAGAATACCTCATCAATGGATGAAAATGGGGAGGAGCGATATTAGCCAACCTTGGGTGGAGCCTTCCATAACGGTACGGTATCTTACGCGCTGGTGATGTATTGAAAATTTAGCCAGCTAGTCACGTACGGTAACTACGGTAATAATGCCTTGTCTCGTCCACGGATGCATCGCCGCCACTGCGTCTCCATATTTGCCATCCTCCAGCGTGCTCGGGGAATAATTACTTCGCGGTGGCAGTAGCAAAGTGTGAAATTTCTACAGATGCCAATGCAGATGGATGTGCTGGGAGGATCTTCATCTCCGTGCAAAGTTTTCTTGGGGGTCGGCGTGGTAACAGTTTCAGCGAACTCCGTGATGACGCTGCTCTCTTGAGCTTATCTGGCCTGAATGGCCTTCAGAGCGCACACAGCCGGGCAACCAGCCCTGGCTCACCAAAAACTTCTCTTGAAAGTGGACATAGATGCAATACCACGCGCACCAAAGTTTATCCACAGCATCATAGGCACTAAGCTGGCTTCGAGAAAGAGTGGATAGGAATCCGCAAGCCCTTCTCTTGCCATGTCAGCGGTCACCTCTTCCACCCATTCATTATCAATATCAACATCTCCCACCTTAAAGTGACTAACTACCTTATTGTTCTCCGTGCACCCTGGCATGCAAGGTTGCTTTCAACATTGATGCATGCAGAGTACCACCCTGGAGCTGCTAGTTATGTATGTGCCGAAGATAAGTACCTAGCTCAAGGTACCGATATACCCAGTAGCTATAACTCATTGGCTTATCCGTCCGCGATCCTTGGACAGGTTCTGCCGCTGGCGTGTCAAAGCAAGAGTAGGAGAGAAATTGAAATAGACTATTCAGGGGAGAAACCTGTGTTCAGAGAGGGCAAAAAAAAGCTCCGAGGCATAGAGGCTGAGGATTGTGAATATCAAATGCCAGCGAACGCCGTAAAATTACCTACCATCCGAGAGTGGTTTCCACAGAGCCAAGTCTGATTGACCGGGTAACAAACAGATCATTGACGTGGTTCGTGTTGAATTGATAACCTGCATAAATGCGCAGCTGGTTCTGCTGAGCTTGGATGATTAGGCGGGAAGAGGGAAAGGAAAAAAAAAGAAAAAGAAAAAGAAAAAGAAAAAGAAAAAGAAAAAGAAGGAGAGCAACCACAATCCGACATTCCATAGCAATGGCGTCAGTGGTTTTCCTCGCTCTTCTTGGAGCTGCAGACCGAGAAGCTCCAGGCTCTAAAAAAAAATAGCGGAACACCCGACTTCCCACAGATCCCGCGTAAGTACGATACAGCCCTTGGGTGTGACGTAAGTAACCCGGTATGGGACGGTATTTGGCGCTTAGGGTGTGACCTGAGCCCCCCGTCATCCTGGCACCCTCGAACGATTCGTCGATCCAGGCACCTCTTGGCGACAAGCCGCCGTCTGGTCTTCGCTCAGAGCCGGGGCGGAGGGCCCTTCAAGAGGTGCCAGATCGAGCTTGGGAGAAACTATGAGAGGTAACCTAGAGGGATATTCTCGTGGTTTGATAGAAGTGCAGCAGGAGGACCTGATAATTTGGGGAAATGAGCGCGAATGCCGCTCTCTTGCAGATACGGCGTACATGCTGTCATCATACGACTGAGGCTACTGTGCTTGCAGCCAATGTCAATCAAGATCCCAGGGACGGAGTAACAGGCGGCGAGAGACTGTGTTGCAAGACCTCAAAGGCTCGCTGTTTTAAGCTGCCATCGCCATCAATGCATCATTTCCGGACATGGAAGTGTAATGCAGCATTCTCTGGCATTCTCCTCCATTCTCCGTCCTCTACGGAGTACCCCAGCAGCTGTTCGTCAACACAGATAATCCTCTTCTCTGCATGCTTTTATCAGCCAAAAGGCGCAGTTAAGGTTGGGAGTGGCTTCCAGGAGCTCGGGAATTGGCAAAACTGATGTTCCGTCCACTGTCCAATCAGGATCCTTGATGGATGGCCGTGCTGCTTTTGTTTATCGCAGCAGCTTGCTTGTTTATCACCGACAATCACATACCCAGGGCTACATGGTTAGTTTCGAAAGCATTTATCACTCTGTGGGAGGACTTAGTTAATCAAGCTGTGTAACTATTTGCTGTGACTGAGTCATACCAAAGATTTTGAAGACATTTGATGCGCACATCTCAAGGTGGATGAGACATGCCAGGAGCGCACAATACCAGTCCTTACTGATTAGATCCACCGGCAACATAAAGTATCCTGCCTCTAGCATTGTTGAAAACATCTAAGATCAAACTGGGAATGTATTCGGAGCCTGATTCAATGGGACATACACCCTCATACGAACCACCATCCCAGGAGGCTGTCAAACCGATACCAGCATTCTATTGCGCCTACTTGCTGCGGTCAACTGTCAGACACGCCAGTCTCTATATTGGATCTACCCCCAACCCTGCAAGGAGGCTGGCACAACACAACGGCCTCATAAAAGGCGGTGCCAAAAGGACGCATAAAGACTCCCTCAGGCCATGGGAGATGGTCATGCTCGTGAGCGGCTTTATGAGTAGAACGGCGGCACTGCAATTCGAGTGAGTTTGCTGCTTTCCCTCCTGCGAGGGGATTTTCCTCCGTCTCTCAGCCTGGCAAATACATGATCTGAAACATACTCATCTGATCTACTTGGTATCTTTATCTAGGTGGGCATGGCAACATACACCAAGTTCTCGTCATGCCGACCACGAAGATGAATCATCGCAGCCTCCTGTGCAGATATATCCCCGTTCAGAAAGGCGGGCCAAGCGCTCCTCTCGTCCTCGCTCATCTCTGAAAAGCATCCTGAAATCCTTACATCTCTTATTACGCTCGCCCTACTTTTCTGTCTGGCCACTAGAAGTCCATTTCTTCTCAGCCGAGATTTATCGTGCATGGCAGGGTTGTTGCCAGCTGCTAGACAATTTAATTCCAGACTCCATCAATGTCGTCGTGGACCAATATATCGAAAAACAACAAGACGGGACTAAACCATTCGATTCTCTCGACATCAAAGATGCAAAGCTCAAAAATTACTTTGCCAAGGCTGAGTTTCTTCTTGATAAGCACGTTATTCCTTGTGGCATTTGCAAACAAAAGCTGAATCTGGAAGACGACCTGATAGCCATCTGCCCGCACGGACAATGCAATTGCGCATCCCATATACTTTGTCTCTCATCTAAGTTCCTTGAGATTGGGAATGCGCCAAACAGAATAATTCCCATGAACGGGAAATGTCCGAGCTGTAGTTCAATCATAGAATGGTCCATCTTAATGAAAGAGATGACTCTGAGGATACGGGGCAAAAGGACTGAGACGAAAAGTCGTTCTGGAAGGCTAAAAAGAAATGGAGGTGTTCCCTTCATAGACTCAGCTTACTCCAGTTCAACGGGATCCCGGGATAAGTTCTCTGATTTCGACGCGACCGACAAGTTCGACCAAAGTGAAAATAGCTGGGGCCCAAAGCTACGCGTTATTGAAGAAGACCTTGGGCTGCTGTCTCTTGAATCGCCGGAAAAAAGGTGCTCCTAGGTCAAGACGCACCAATCTCAACGGCACGTCTATGCGAGGCTGAAAAGCGGCGACAAATGATGATGCAGAATGGGAAGATGTAATAACCATTGACCGAGTATCGTCATTTCGAGAGAACTGGGTGTTGTTCAAAAGGGCAAGTGGCCTAGTTGCCTCAATGGACCTTCGATGGAATCAACCGCAGATAGCACCTGTGCAGAGATATCTCGTGCAACTTGTTCCTTGGATTGATTTGCATCAATTATGCGCATCTCCTCGTTGTTTTCCATCCCCTGCATCGACTTGAAAAGCTCGCCAACCCGCAGCTGGAGAGTGACATTCTCGTATCTTTCCAAGCCGTAGCCGCCTCTGCTTTCAGCTTCTTCTGGGGATATATTGAGAAAGAACCACAAATCCGGCCGGGGTAGCCCAATCTCAGGTTGCCACGCCCACTCCAGTGACAGCTCCCTGTTATTTTTTGCAGCGGAATAGACGGCGCCAGAGTAAGAATAGCGGTCAATGACTATAGATATGCCATTGGAGATATCCTGGCGAATCTGAGACGCTAACTCCCACCTATTGGCGGAGAAAAGCAGGTGAATAGCATGGTCATCCAATTGAGTCTCGCCTCGCAGGTAGCCGTCAATGATTTTGCCGATCGAAGTTGTTCTATCTACAAAATCGTTAGACGGAGTTCAATGTTTAGAGGCGAAAGGGATGTGCACCTGGGAAACGAATGTATTTCGTCTCATGGCCCTTTTCACGGAGCTTGTCGACCAATATCGCGCATTGGGTTGACTTGCCCGCCCTGTCAAGCCCCTCAATGACAATAAGTGCACCTCGGGCCATCTTACGATCGGCATGAGCTACGGCAGCATCTGAACTCATTGTTGGAATCAAGTCCCTTTTTTTTTTTTTAATATATACTTCCTAGCGAAAGAAACGGCGTAGCTATTCGCGACTCAACGCGAAACGGTCCATGTTGACTCTGACCGGGGTGAGGCAGTGGGGAGCTTTGCGACGGCTTTGTTTGCTCCGTTTGCTTGGGGCCGAAGCTCATTGTGAACGGACTGCCCTTGTTCATTCCCGGTGTGATGGACTGAGAAGCGGCACTGCTTCCACTCTATTTCCCTTGGGTCAAATTTTGAGCAATTAATGAACAGCTTCATCGATTTTCCTTGGTTGAAGCTAGCAGCTGTTTTTCTTTCGCCTTCATTATCTGGAGCAGCGATATAAAGTTGCTGACTCAGCCATCACCTGGCCATCCGCCGTGATCAGACGCGCGAATCGATATTCACGAACTTTCGTGTGTCGCAAGAAGCCTGCAGAGCGGCCAAGATGAATTCTAACTCACCTAACAATTTGGCCGATGAAATGCACGGATTCACTCTCTTGAATTCCGCTCCCTCGATTCTCGCTCCGCGCCTCGGGCGTTTGTGTCTCAAAGGACGAAAACCAATCCAGACCCCTCACTATGTCCCAATTACCTCCCGAGGTGCCATCCCGCATGTGTCCCATGACACGATGCGAGATCATATGTCCGTTCAGAGTCTATATGCTGGGCTGGAAGATTGTATGTCCCTCTCGTGAACCGTCACTGGCTCCCGTGCTAATCCTTCTGCTCTCTGGAGCAGCCCAGTCATTGAACGAGGCCCACGAGTAACTCCCCCCGTCTATCAGACCCCGGCACAGCAATCTGAATCTGCTTTACGGAACTTTTTATGCCATCAAGACGACATCCTTCTGATTTTGGGTCCACGAAGAGTTCCACCTATCGCTTGCACGACACCAAATAGTTCAAATTCTATTACGATATTCACCTCTGTCGGGTTTCGTCAGCTTGAAGACGGAGAATATGCCAAAGCTGTCGAGAAGTTACAGCCGGATTTTGCGGTCGGTCTAGCAGATCTCGTCCTGACGCAGCCACCGGGTGTCAAGAGGCGGGAACGTATGGTGGACAGAACCCATGCATGGACTAGGGACACAATTGACCGGCTGTATGGCGCCGGAAACACGTCCGGGGTGTCAAACAAATCGCTTTTCCTTGCTCCACTACTCCCCCTGGAGAAGGAATTGCAGTTCTTATATGTGCAGGATCTGGAAGATGAGATGAAGGATTCGATTTCTGGCTTCGCTCTCTTTGATGGGTCAACAGTCGAGGCTGTCCCCGATTCCATGTCACACCTTGTCCGAATGTTTTTCGGAAACCCTCACACCCCTCATAGGGTCTTGAGGGAGATCTCTTTGGGGATTGACCTTACAACAATACCATTTATCGGAACTGCGTCCGACGCAGGTTTAGCACTCGATTTCACCTTTCCTCAGCCGCCCACAGAGAATAGCAAAAGGAATTTACCTTTGGCGTTCGATATGTGGTTATCGAGCCATGCAGTTGATACTGAGCCATTAAAACCCGGCTGTCAATGCTATACCTGCAAGAATCACCACCGTGCATATATCCAGCATTTGCTCAATGCAAAAGAAATGCTTGCATGGACGTTGCTGCAGATCCATAATCATCACGTCATGGATCAGTTTTTCGCTGCGGTCAGAGGAAGCATTTTGAACGGGACATTTGCCCAAGATGTGGAAACATTTGAACGGGCTTACGCCCCGGAATTCCCTGAGCAGACAGGTCAGGGTCCAAGGTATGACATCCCATCTTCCCGCTTTAAAGGGACAGTGTAATTGATATCACCTTAGAATAAGAGGCTATCAAGCCAAGTCAGAACATGGGGCTTCAAAAAGGAATCCAAGGGCCTATGGACGCCTCGACGACCACGCACAGAAACTCATGGAAGCAGAGTCATCCGTACCTACGCCAGATGTGGGAGCAGACGAGCTCCAGGCACACGGATTTGCTGAGAAATCAGAATAATCCACCCAGCGGCGGACGGGGTTTGGTGCCACTATACCACCACTCGCGTAGACGATGTCTAACTTCGTGTGGTGAACCGCGATATACATCGAATGTCTTCTACCTCCGAAATCGGATGCCCCTTTTTTTTTTAGAGAAAAATGCTTGAATGGGCTAGCTATAGCTGGAGGGTGAGGTAGGACAAATATAGAGCTACACGCCCCAAGCGTGCATAGGGCAAGTTCACATACCAAATTTCACTTTGGGAAACTTGGACAAACATTTTCGTATGACTAGCGTCCTGATCCGAGCTCTTCATATCCTTAGACTGCAGAGAATGAGCTATCTCGCATGTTGCGCAAGTAAAGACCCCGAGCTCAGCATGCCGAGTGTGCTTCTCTGAACTCCATAGATAGACCAATTAGTCCGTTTCCCGCTCATCAGAAGCTTGAAATTGACAAGTCTGACCAGTTAGTGAATGGGCATGCTACGGTAGCTCCTATCCTACTACGGAGTATTGAGTATTAAGGGAAGACTTTGCTTGCTGAAGCAGAAACATGGGTAGCTCGCGGTTGATCAGCGTAACGGCGTACGGATTGCAATCCCTCCGAGACCATGCAGCAAGCAAACTTTTGAAGCCCACGGCAGAGATGACCCGCTCCTAGCCCTTTCAAAGCTTTTCCGGAACCAAGATGCCAGATGCGCCATTGCTGCAGCCCGATAGCTGGATTGGATGCACTCCGCTGATCAGCGCTGAAGCGGCGGCATGCGTCAGATGAAAATCTTCTTCCGAGAAATTCCAACGGGAGAGCATACCTAACCGCCTACCCCGTACAAGGCATTCCTCCGCAAGTACTCCGTAATCCCTCTAGATTGCCCCCCGGGATATGCACAGTTTCCTCTCGACTCTGCTTTTCGTGCTTCCCCACAAATCACCACTATCGATGCCGCATAATTACAGATCCCGACTTTATCTGATAAGAGAGAGATGGGCCCCCTTGAGTTTCACAAAGGGGTGTCGATCACCAGCCCATCACGCTACCTTGGCATGATGGTTACCCCGTCGTGAACCATGGTTTCTCTGCTAGCGACTGCAGATTCCAGAGATATTATATAGTTTTGGGATGCATGTACGGAGTACGGAGTACGGAGTAGTTTACAACCGGGAAGCATTCTTTCTCTTTTCCTCTAGATCCCATCTGGAAGAGCTAGGCAGCGACCGGTATAAAAGAGAAATGTCTTCCTTTGAAAAGGAGCCCCCCCTTTTTTTCTTTTGTTGTTGTTGTCTTTTGCCTGGATTGCCTCCCATCCTGATCGTTCCTCTCGCTGCACTGTTCTATGTTTGTTTGATTGTTTAATGCAGAGTAGGGTATTCGAGAGAAACGGCGACATATAGGAAGAAGGGCGACCTCCGAGAGAACATGGACGATGGAAGAGTGGAGCTTGAAGGAATAGATGTGGGAGAGACAAACGAGCTTGCCATTGAGCAGTATAGGGCTGAAATCGAAAGGTAGGCGATCCCAGATCCTTTAATATTTTCCAAGCGCGGTTATTGTCAGTGTCTCTGATTTGAACTGGTGATAGAAAGCTTGTTCGTCGGCAAGATATGGTCATTATGCCTCAGATGGTCACCCTTTACCTCCTGGTTTGTCCACAATCCCCATGTGCACTCTGGCATCGCTGACCATCAGCTGCGAACAACTAGGCGTACCTTGACCGAAGCAACCTCGGAAATGCCAAACTCCAAGGCTTGGTTGAAGATGTCCTAAACGGGAATGATGATGACTACGGCTGGGCAGCGAGCATATTCTATTTCGGATAGTTAGTCTTTGGGCCTGAGGTTTCAAGATACTCTCATGTAATGCTAATCTTTGCCAGCGTCATGTTCGCAATCCCTTTTACTCTTTATGGCAAAAGGTTTCATCCCTCCAGGTTTATGTTTGTTTGCGTCCTGGGATGGGGTGTATCTGCGTCCGCCGCCGCCGGTGCCTTTAATTTTGCCGGCCTTGCAAGTTCTCGATTCTGCATAGGTTTATTTGAAGTGAGACACCCCAGATTTTGTCGAACAGCTTATGTATTCAACTGCATCTAGGCAGGATTTGCGCCGAGTGCTGTTTTCTATTTTACGCTTTGGTACACGCGCAGCGAAGTAGCGTTTCGTACTTCCATTTTCGTGGGGATGGCTGCCCTGTCAGGGGCATTCGGCGGGCTGATCGCTTATGGGATTTCACTGATCAAAACTCACTTCGCACGCTGGCGAGTTCTGTTTCTCGTGGAAGGCTTGCCAACCATTATTTTCGCTTTTGTGATTCTATTTTTTCTGCCTGATCGACCAGAAACCGCCAATCTTTTCAGAAACGAAGAAGAACGTGCGGTATCCATTGAGCGAATGAATCGGGGTCAAGCCAGTGAGGGGCACAATGTGCTAGTCAAGAGGCACATTGTGTCAGGTTTCACAGACTGGAAAGTGCATGCATGTGCCCTTGTCAAGATGGGACACGATGCAGGCCTTGCAACCATTTCGATCTTTTTGCCAAACATCCTCAAGTCACTTGGATATACAAATACCCAGGCCCAGTACATGACTATTGGTCCGTATCTCGTCGCGTGGGTTGTGATGCTTGGGGTGTGTTTCATTTCGGACAAGCGGAGAACCCGTGGACCGTTCCTCATCGGTGCCACCATGGTGTCGATAATAGGGACGGCTCTCATAGTTTCCTTTCCTGCCGAAGAAAATCCCCAAATCGCACTTGTTGGGGTCTTCTTCATGGTGGCTGGCATCTTTCCATGCATCCCGTTGGGAATACAATGGGTGACGGACAATGCTGGCGCCGAATCAAAGAAGATAACAGCAATTTGCATCCTTGTAGTCGCGGGCCACTGCTGGAGCATCCTTGCTAGCAAAAGTTTTCCAGATCGGGAGGGGCCCGATTACGTCCGTGGGTATAGCATTGTGCTGGCGTTCTTGGGACTTAGCTGTATTATGTCTATCGTCCTGTCCGTTCGCCATCGAATTGAAAACGCGCGACGAGACAAGAAATACGGAAAGCCGAACCCAATTATGCCGGTTGATACAGCGGAAAAGGCGGACAAAGCTCCAATGTTCCGCTACATCATCTAGCCTGCAGGGACACTGCACGATGCACAGCATGAGGACACAGATGTAATGTAATGACGAAAATAACAAATGTCTGGCTTCAAGTCGTTAGAAATTATTCCCCCTTTTCAGCGTATAAATACTAGATGAATCCTTTCGGTGGAGGTGTCAGCTTGCATCTTGGATTGTCACGACGTCAACTGGTTTCTCGCCGCCAGTGCCAAAAATCCATTGACGTTCCGACATCGGAGACGTTCCCAGTGTCCAGCATACCACGTATTCCTGTGAACCATCCCGTACGATGCGCTACAATCGCCCAAACGGGAGTAGAGATCAAGTTTTAGTCCTGGAGACCGTTAAAATTGACTGAAGCAGAACTGCAGCTGCATTGATTTGAAATCATGTCCAAGCCAACCGTCAACTCTCACCCCTATCCATTCTCTTTTAATCCAACCCCCATCATCAATCCCCACAGCAACAGCAACAGGGCTACGGATCTCACAGTCCCAATCCCCAATGTTCGTGGCCGGATTCCTTCTTTTCAGGCATCTCGCCTCCGGTCAATGATCAATGAGGCGCACGCCGATCCATCTAAAATTGTTGCTCAAGTATGCAGCTACGACGGTTTGAGTTCTCGACTCGTGGAAGAAGCCGGATTTCCCGTCGTCTTCCTTGGCGGGTTCGCAATGGCATCATCCTATGGACTGCCTGATACTGGATATATCGCTTTTCAAGAAGCAGTTGGGAAAATACAGGAGGTCGTGAGACAGGTCAGTGTGCCTGTGCTTGTGGATGGTGATACTGGATATGGAAGCCCGATGAATGTTCGAAGGACGGTTGAAGGGTATGTAAGGTTGTCAGATCAACAGACGCCTTCTTCTTCTAAGTCTTCTCTCGATCCTCCCCAGAGGTTGAACTGAGCCAGTGAATTGATCCTTCGAGTACCGCAGGTTCGCATTAGCTGGAGCGGCAGGCGTAATGATAGAGGACCAAACGTGGCCAAAGCGTAAGCAAAACAGACATCATTTCGCTGCCTCATTCCACTGTTCATTGTTCAGCCGTTTTATTGAAATCTACCTTAGGTTGTAGCCATACCAAGGGCAAGTCCGTCGTCTCCCGCGACGAAGCATACGCCCGCATCCAAGCCGCAGTTGACGCACGCAACTCAGGGCTGGACATCTTTGTCCTAGCTCGAACCGATAGTTTCATACACGGCTACGATGAAGCGCTTGCCAGAGCGCGTAAATTCAAAGAGATCGGTGCAGATTGCATTTTTCTGGAAGCCCCCCCAGACCGCGCCAGCATGCAAAGATTCCTCCAGGAACTGGAGTTTCCTTGTTTCGCTAATATTATTGAAGGGGGAAAGACCGAGAATCTATCTGCTAAGGAGCTGGGAGAGTTGGGATACGCTGCTGTCACGTATCCATGGACTCTGGTTGCAGCGAAGCTGAGGAGCATCAGAGAAACGTTGGAAAACTTGAAGGCATCCTTTTTGGTTGGGAAACCAGAGCAAATATTGTCGTATGGCGAAGTTTGTGAGGGGCTTGGTTTCGATAAGTACCATGAGATGGAAGAAAAGTACCAATATGAGGGCTCTACCACTGGCAGCCGAGGATATCAGTGGGATAGGTAACTTAAAGAATAGTCGACTGTTGACTTTGAGGCTTTGAAGTTAGATGACGTCCGTAAGCAAATAGTGGTCGGTATATCTACCAGTCAATGGATTCATGGGTTCTCGCAAAATATGAATACGATAAATTCATTTTTATGAAATCTCAGCAAGAAATCCTCAGTATACCCCGATTCCCATGCCATACCACACCATACACCCCGTGTCCACAAGCGATTATTTCCAAGTTGTGAGCTCAAAAAAGCCGAAAGATTCTAGGATTGCAGGGAGACATTCTCACCAGCGAGCACTTTCCACAAAATCTTTCCTTCTTCCATAGCATCTTTGCCAGGGTCACCCCCGGCACCAAAACGCTGGCCAATAACACAAACCAGCCATGTGTCTTCCTTCACCCGGTTCAATAACTTTTCAGTAGGGCTGCCCCGGGGAAAGATTCGTCTCCATTCATCCCATATACGGAATGCCTCTTCTCCCCATGCCCGGAAGCTAACTTCCTCGATAATGGTAGGTGTAATGATCTCCTTTCCGCGGAAAACACCCCAAGTTACCGCGTTAACTCCGCCGGAATTCGAAGATGGGAAACTATCCATATCATCGAAAACGGCATCGACAGGTCCGGTAGGAACCGGTATCGAAGAAGATGTAGATGATTCGAAATCACCAGCTGCATTTGTCGCAAACCACGCAAATTCATCATGGCCATAGCGTTGAAGTAGTGGTTTTAAATGTGAGCGATAGTCATCCTTAGAGCAGAAGAACTCCACGAATGCCTTCTGAAAAACAAAACCCTCACCAGGCGGACCCCAGCCAAAGATGGGATGATCGCTGCGAACTCCGCTGACTGCAGGCTGCGATGCAATGGTCCACCAACCTCGCTTTTCTATCAGGCTAAGTAAGTATGGACGAATGGTGATTGTTTCCGGGCTTAAACCACCTGTTTCCTCTGCGGCGCCTCCTTCAGACCAGGGGACTGCGTGCAATCCACCGGAAACGTGCTGCCTAAATATGTTATTTATATCTTCGCGGGTAGTCGGGTATCCCCATAATCGACGGGCAACATTTGCTGTCACATGTAAGGACGGACCGTATCCATCGATCTCACCAAACGCAGGTGAGCGAGCATCACCCCAACGACCGTTGGGAAAGTCATCCCAAGTGGCTTCACGGCCAAGTGCTCCCATCCCTTCAGAGATTTGTAGAGCTGTATTGCGATGAGGAGGGTTAAGAGCAGGCATACCAGCGCCCTGAGCGGATGCTTCATGTGTGATAGAGCTTTGGGAGGATATATCAGCTCTATCAACAATTACGCGGTTATGCGGTTGAGAATTTAGAGATGACGCTCGGCGCCTTGATATTAATGGGGGTTTGCCTGCCGCTGTACCAAGTCCGTTTTGCAAGTTTCCGGAGGCGAAGACTGAATCTGAATCTGTGTCACTTGAAGCCTCCGATGATGGTGGTATCAGGTTACATCGCTCAAGGATAAAAGACACAGACTTCTCCAGATTCAGCGTATAAAAATGCAGGCCTCGGGGCCCTGTGCCTGGAATCGTTTTAATTCCTTCAACCAACTCGCTCAGAATGTCAACGCCGACTTTCTTAACTGCTTCGTCGTCCTTTTTACATGCCTCAATTCGAGATAACATTTCTGGTGGAACGCGGACGTGGCTTAGTTTCGTGATTCTGGTTAGCCTCGGGTAGCTCTGAATGGGCATCAAGCCAGGAATAATCGGAATGGTCTTGAACACTCCAGATTCATGATTCCGCAGCATTGACTCAAATCTTTTATATGCCTCCAGATCGTAGGTCAATTGTGTCATGATAAAATCGGCTCCCGCTTTAGTTTTCTCAACCAAATAAGGGAGGTCCCTGACGGGATCTTGGACACCAGGATGAGACTCATCGGAATGACCTTCTGGATAAGCCGCCACGCCTATGCAGAAGTAATCACTGTGCTTCTTGCGGATATACCGCACTAGATCTACGGCGTATGTAAACTCCTTGTTGCTATCGTCTTCTCCATCAAGGTTGTACTCGTCACTCCTGGGTGGATCACCCCGCAGCGCCAGAATATTCCGGATGCCTAGAGCTTTTGCTTCATCCAGTGCGCTATCGATTAGAGTCCTGTTCATATTGGTGCATGTCAGGTGCAGGCATGTGGTTAAACCCAATTGTCTCTGGCATATTTCCGCAAGTTCAAGGGACTTGGTAGCCGTGGTTCCTCCAGCACCCCATGTTACGGTCACAAAAAGCGGTCGAAGGGCCTGGGACATACGCTCTAATCGGGCTTGGAGGTTTGCTGAGCCCTGGAAAGGCGATGCAGTTAGCTAGTTGGGCAAAAAGCGGCCGGGTTGCGGGGCTGAGGTTCACAAACGCACCATCTGCGTTTTCGGAGGGAAGAACTCCAGAGAAAAGTAGTTTGCATCTTCGGGAAGAGCAGCGATCTTATTCGAGATCTTTTCCATGATCGAATTGTTTATTCCTAGTGTCGAGTGTGTGATAGCAGTCAACAACAAGGTCGGTTAGTGCGGGGTGTTGGAGGGAAGATTCGCTGGAGAGCTTTGGGGAGAGAGAGTCAGCGATTGATCTCATAGTTACACATAAGTAACTAACTAATGTGGCTGCAAAGTAGAAGTGAGAAATGAAGAAAAATGTGTAGACTGACAAAGATTGAGGATGCTTTCACATCAATCTAAACAAGGCCTTCTCACTAGTATACATATGCACTCCCTGTCACTGGATTAATAGCGTAGTTGGTGTTATTACAGAGCTCTCCATCTATGTAGTTACATAGTTACAGGGTCCCGAGCGCAGAGCCAACAGACTCCCAGCCAGCCTGCGTGCAGTTGATTTGGTTGGTTAACTTACCAACGAACATTCACCAAGCTTAGGTAAGTAACTAGTTAACTAACTAGTTAACTTAGTTTCTCCATAGTTACTCCGGAGTACGGAGTACATACATGTCTAACTGTGTACCTACCGAGTTACAAGTACTCTCTGCGCCATACTTCCAGCTTCTACGGAGTCCTCCATAACTGACTTACTAGTTGGTTAGTGGACAAGGATTTCATAGCCTATTTCCAATTACTCCGCATAAGCTATCTAGTTTAGCACCTCTGAGGTGTGTGCTAGATTTCCAAGGATCCAATGAAAGTGCGCGTGTTTATAACGACTCCGGGCTCCATAATGTCTCCGGATGATTCAAACGAGGCTTAGGATACAACCAAACATTGCAAGAAAAAAGACTTGACTGGAAGCAATCTCTGAATTAAATGAAGCACAAAGCACATCTGCTTCTAAGCTACTCCCTGCTTAGCACCCCGCGCACACACACAAGTTGCATCTTTTGATTAAAGTCTCCAATCTGCCCGCAGGCGTTCTCTCGGAACTCTGATGGGACATGGCTGCAACCGTCACAGTTAGAATATATCGAATCGAACTGACATGAGACGGCCATCAAATTGCTGCTCCACTCCAGGCGCACTGAGATACAAATGGTCCAGCTCAATGCAGTTTCCTCCGTCGCGAATGTTTCCCTTGTCGTCCATGTATCTGCCGCTCTTTTCGCCGAGTACTCAGGCACGTAGCTGGGCTACTTAATGTTAATGCCGTGGTAGAGTGTCGGGGCACTAACTTTTGAATAGGCAGTCAACCTGCGCCGCCAGACGAGACCAGTACCCCGTCCAAGCCAAATGCTCCTGGCTTGAGCAGCTATTACCCTTTACGTCTACTCTCTTCGTGTCTGGAATGAAATGTTTGTCTCCGGTTCCGCACTTCCCGTCACTGCATGGCGACTCATTTCATCTAGCACGGGCAAAGATGGGAGTAAGCTGAAGCTTGATATGCCTTACCAGTTAGAGCTTGTGTACTGAAGGATCTTCGACCGGGCAAGCCTCTTTTCTACCGCTACAAAAAAATGGGAATAGTAGCTTCATGAAAATGGCCTATCAGCAAAATTGCATATTCAGGGTCACCTTCTTGGTGGTGACTGAAGTTGAGACATGGAACGGAATAAAAGTCGAGGATCACCAAGCCCCAGGGCTTAGTAGAAACTAGTTTAACTAGTTCACAGACCATGGACGCCCGGAAGTCTGCTGTAGATTTCCAAGCTGGGGGTAAAGAATTAGCTTTCGTCCCCCAGAACCGGGCGGGCTGAGGCATAAGTTAGGGCTGCAGGCGCCTGCATTCGGCGCTTCGGTTGGCGGGGGGCTCACCAGAGTTCCAGCTAAAGACAAAAGTCCGTACCAAGTACTTACTCCGTACAGTCAGTTAGTTAGTAATTTCAGCCAAGCTGACAGAGGAGCGCACAACCGTGTAGTTTTGCGAGCGCGGAATGGTCACGAACATTGTCTTACAGATGATCAAGACACAAAACCAAGTGGATTTATGGTCAAACTGATCGTCGTCAAGGCTCGTGTTGCAAGCTAATTGACATTGCCAATTGCTTTTCCAACTTTGCCGCAAACCCCACACAAGCCAATCCACATGAGTGGAGTGTCCCTGTACGGAGTAGAAGCAAATCCATCTACTCTACGGAGTATTATTTTTGCAATCCTAGGAAGAGGTGGAACCCTGAATGGCTGCGCTCAACTTATATCTTTCACTATTATACTTTCTATCCTCTTGGGTCTCTCAGAAGAGTTAACTCATCCAACTTTGTTATCTGTGAAGTTATCTCCATTGCGCTTGTGTGACACGAAGGAGGCGGTGCGCAGATGCTGACAGGATTTGTGTGATTTCCACCATATCTGCATTTTGACCAGACCATACGGAGTAATGAAACCTTCTTCGCTCTTTCATAGCCTTTTCTCCACCCGCGTCTCCGTTCATCAGACCTCAAAAACAGCATGTCGGCACTACTCCTCTCCCCGCACTTCCTCTCCGAACTCTCAGATGCGTGGTCGGTTTGAAAAACTCAATCAGCGACTACCTCGATTTCTTCAACAATACACTGCACCTCTCGTCAACGCACCAGTCGCCCATATAACATCCTTTCTCATACTTCATGAAATAACTGCTGTCGTACCCCTTTTTGGGCTTGTTGGAGTATTCCACTATGGCGGTTGGATGCCCTCCTTGGGCGACGAGGAGGGAAATAGCGCGTTCGACGAGGGCGTGAGGAAATTCGGAAAATGGCTGCGGAGGAAGGGATGGGTCGAGAGTGGTGTGACGGAGGGAAATGTCAATAATGTCAGTGAACGGGGAAATAGTGTCGCAGACTCTGCCGCAAATGCCAATGCTACTCAGGGAATGCGCTTAATCCTTGAGTTTGCAACTGCCTACGCAATTACGAAGGCTATGCTACCGGCCCGAATCATAGTGAGCATATGGGCAACTCCATGGTTCGCGAGACATATACTTGGCCCTGTCGGACGGGGGGCGCGAAGCTTGCTTGGGAATTTGAAAAAGAAACCATGACGATCTGCCTAACGTTGCTCTTGTACCATACTGGTTGCATTTGTCGATAATAAATGGCACCCACGGAATATAACGAACTGGTTTTGGAATTCAAACTTGCAATGTCATTTTATAAAAGGCGGCATTATCGGCCCGATACCAGCCTTTGGTTTTGTTCTAATGTCCCCAATCCCAACATCGGGGCTATCTAAAATGGACTTTCGACAATCTATGCCTCATAGATCCACTCGTGCTGGCTGTGTTTGTACTTGATGAGTTCTCCCTCGCTGAACCACAAAGCAATTTCCTTCTTGGCGTTCTCGACGCTGTCAGATCCGTGGCAGACGTTACGGCCAACATCCTAAACATATTTGGGTCAGTGGATGGTGTTACCCAATGAAGCTAACCTAGTTTTGACTCACAATGGCATAATCACCCCGGATGGTGCCTGGAGCAGAGGCAAGAGGGTTGGTGGCACCGAGGATGGCTGAGGGAGACGATTAGCATACATGGAATTGTGAAGATGAGTTTGGGGAATACATACTTCGGCCGGTCTTGACGGCATCACGACCTTCCCAGACCATAGCGCAGATGGGGCCGCTCAGCATGTCTAAAACCAGATTAACATGGTGGAAGGTGAGAGGGTCGGGAAAGTTCTAACAGGTGACGAGGCCCTTGAAGAAAGGCTTGTCGGAGAGATCAGCATAATGCTTCTCCAAGTGCTCCTTGGATGGAGACACAAGCTTCATAGCGACGAGTTTGTATCTATTCATATACTAAGCTCTGGTGCCCCTCCATCCTCACAGGACCTCTACGCACCCGCGGTTTTCGAATCGGCTGATGATTGGGCCGACGAGTCCGCGCTGGGAGTAAAAATATCAGCATTCTGGCTTTTAGGGGAATGATTCGCTGTGTCATATGGTTGTAGCGTGTGAGGAGGGGCAGTTTGTTCAGAGCAGGACCCCGCGTACCTGGACACCATCTGGCTTGATGGCGATGAAACTGTAAAATTCCGGTTAGGCAAGGACAGGACGATGAACACCGGAGGGAAGACTCACGTCTGTTCAAGAGACATTGTGAATGTAATATTATAGAACCTCTATATCAATTGGTTCAGAGCAGAGCGTCAGAGAGCGGTTGTGTGTGGGATGGATGAGGGGCAGAGGATTTTGAAAATCGGTTGATGCTGGCCAACGGCGCTAAAATCCTGCAGCGGAGTTAGGGCGGCTGTTAGTTAAGACTGCCAAGCAAACTTTCCATGAAGCACCTTGGAACATCGACGGAGTACGGAGTAAACACTGTGTTATATAGGACAACTTGCTCGAAAGCCTCCACGGATCAAAGGTACGAATCTGGCCTTCGTACTTTTGAGAGCATCAATTACTGCTGCTAATGATTTAATTATTTCACATGTATCCTCCTTGTCTTTTTCAAATTAATTGAATTCTCGGTTCTCATCGACGCCTCATGGCGCCTTCCCGGGCTCCAGTATGGTCATTGACCCTGGTGGCCATCGTCATACTCTCATGCCTTGTCGTCCCCGGCCGTAAGTTCAAGCATCAAAACCGTCGAAATCACACTGTCTGACTTTAACTGCTCTACTTATAGTCATGGTTAAGCACGAGAATTTCAAGACTTGCTCGCAATCAGGCTTCTGCAAACGCAACCGTGCGCTCGCCGATTCAATTTCCGATAAGGGGCCGTCATGGTCGTCGCCATATAAACTAGATCCTAGCTCAATCAGCTTTAAAAATGGTCAACTGTTTGGAACAGTTATCAAATCAACATCGAAACATGGAGACGTTCGGCTTCCTTTGGCCGTTTCATTTCTCAAAACTGGCGTTGCACGGGTCACTATAGACGAAGAAAGGCGTTTAAAGGGGGATATTGAACTGAGACATGGAAGCACTGTGAGAAAAGAGCGATACAATGAGGCTGCAAAGTGGGCAATTGCTGGGGATCTTAGCACCGGGCTGGCGGAGATGGACAAAGACTCCAACAACGAAGTCACGGAAGTCAAATACGGGCCCCGAGGTGAATTTAAGGCTGTGATTAGACATTCACCTTTCGGAATATCCTTCGAACGCGATGGTGAGACACAGATCAAGTTCAATGACAAAGGATTTCTCAACATTGAGCATTGGAGGGCCAAGATCGAATCAAATGGCGACTCCCAGGAGAATGATCCAGAAGCGGATGACTCCACTTGGTGGGAAGAATCATTTGGAGGAAATACCGATTCCAAACCAAGAGGACCTGAGAGCGTTGGGTTGGATATCACGTTTCCTGGATACGCCCATGTTTTTGGCATCCCAGAGCATGCCGATTCTATGTCTTTGAAGGAGACAAGGTGAGTTGCCTGGCTTTCTTTGTGCGTAGAAATACCTAATCTCTTAAAGGGGTGGAGAGGGTCAGCACACCGAACCGTATCGCCTGTATAATTCGGATGTCTTTGAATACGAGCTGAACAGCCCAATGACCCTCTATGGCTCGATTCCCTTCATGCATGCCCACCGTCCTGGATCTACCGTCGGTGTCCTCTGGCTAAACGCTGCAGAAACATGGGTCGACATTGTGAAGTCAAAGGAGACGCCGAACCCGCTTGCCCTTGGAGCTAAGGAAAGCACCAACACTCAAACTCACTGGTTCTCCGAGAACGGACAACTTGATGTGTTCGTATTCCTCGGCCCAACCCCATACGACGTCACTAAATCCTACGGGGAGCTCACTGGATTCACGCAGCTTCCACAGCATTTTTCTATTGCCTACCATCAGTGCCGCTGGAATTATGTGACAGATGAAGACGTTAAAGACGTTGATCGGAAATTCGACATGTATCAAATCCCGTATGATGTGATATGGCTCGATATCGAGTATACGGACCAAAAGAAATATTTCACCTGGGATCCACATACCTTTCCAGATCCTATCGGTATGCAGAAGCAGCTTGATGCTTCGGATCGCAAACTGGTTTACATCATTGATCCCCATATCAAAAATGAAGCCAATTACCCGATCGTTGATGAGCTGAAGAATAAAAAGTTGGCCGTTAACAACAAGGACGGGAATATCTATGATGGCTGGTGTTGGCCGGGGTCTTCTCACTGGGTCGATTGTTTTAACCCTGCTGCGATAGAATGGTGGAAAGGCTTGTTCAAATATGATGCGTTCAAGGGCACCCAGCATAACTCTTTCCTGTGGAATGATATGAATGAACCGTCTGTCTTCAATGGCCCCGAGACTACGATGCCGAAAGACAACATTCACTATGGTGGATGGGAACATCGAGATGTCCATAATATTAACGGCATGACTTTTGTTAATGCGACCTACAATGCGTTGCTTGAACGGAAAAAGGGTGAAATTAGACGACCTTTTGTACTGACTCGCTCATTTTATGCTGGGTCTCAGCGTCAGGGTGCAATGTGGACCGGTGATAATCAAGCCAGCTGGGAACACCTCGCCGCTTCCCTACCTATGGTCTTGAACAATGGAATTGCTGGATTCCCCTTCGCAGGTGCCGATGTTGGCGGATTTTTCGGCAACCCAAGCAAGGAGCTTCTCACGCGATGGTACCAAACCGGCATCTTCTATCCTTTCTTCCGAGCACATGCTCACATCGACACCCGGAGGCGCGAGCCGTATTTGAGCGGTGAACCATACACCAGTATCATCACTCAGGCGCTGCGTCTTCGGTACCAACTACTCCCAGCATGGTATACCGCTTTCCACCAGGCGTCTGTTGATGGCGCTCCTATTGTTCGACCGCAGTATTATCTTCACCCACAAGATGAACAAGGTTTTGCAATCGACGACCAGTTATACCTTGGTTCAACCGGTCTGCTCGCAAAGCCTGTCGTCACTGAAGGGGCAACCAGCGTTGACATCTACATTGCTGACGACGAGAAATATTACGACTATTTTGATTATACCGTTTATCACGGGGCCGGAAGGACACATAGAGTACAAGCCCCTCTAGAAAAGATTCCCCTCTTAATGCAAGGTGGCCACATTATCCCAAGAAAAGATAGGCCACGTCGAAGCAGCGGACTGATGAAGTTCGATCCGTACACGCTTGTAGTTGTCTTGGACAAGAGTGGGCATGCAGAAGGCGAACTTTACGTGGATGACGGTGAGACATTTGATTATCAAAGCGGTGCTTTGATCCACCGTCGTTTTATTTTCGATAATTCCACGTTATCGTCGGAAAACCTCGGAGCTAGTGGTCCGAAGACGGCAAAGTATTTGAAGAGCATGGCAAAGGTTCATGTCGAGAAGATCATTGTTGTTGGTGCTCCTGAGGAATGGAAGGGCAAACAAGCAGTGCAGGTTGTGGAAAAGGGTACCCAGAGTGAAGCTCAAGCTGCTTTGGAGTGGCACGGTTCACGCGATGGCAAGGCGTCCTACGCGATCGTCAAGAACCCGATTGTCTCGATCACGAAGTCATGGAAGATAAGCTTTGGTTAAATTTGTGCCTCTCCTATATGTTGCTACGCTGGATGTATGTACGTATACCACTTATTTGGAGAATAGAGACTGTCAAAACACCCTTGCCTCAAATTTCTCAATTGCCGTTAGACGTGCGTTTCACCTGATAATTGGCGTGCGGGAGCTTCACGTTCATTGGCGCAGCTCTCAAGCTCACTTCCGGTTTGTGTAGCCGCCTCTGCCAAGCCCGCACAGGCCAGCCGGGCTGCTTGGCCAAATCGTCACTCGCGCAAGGACAACACGCTGGCGGTACGGAGTACACAACTTAGGCCCCCCTTTCGAGGACCAATGCCCGCTCTGTTCAAGAGGAAGTCCCTCCGAAATCAACGCTTCAAAACGTTGTGTTTCCGTCGCAACCTACCTTGTATTTTCCTCTTTGCTTCTTCGGTGAGTGCGCTCACCTGACGAGAGATCGGGGCGAATTAGCGTTCCTGGCTCCCTAGCGTTTCCGGGGACCGCAAAAAAAAAAAAAAATAAAATAAAATAAAATAAGGAAAAAGGCACCCCCGAAGGACTGCTGGGACAGTTTGATTTCTGCGCAATTTTCCTCCAAGATTCTTCGATTGTGCTGTCTAGACACTCTTTTTCAACGCCTCATCTCTGCCCGTCGCGCGCGCTCGCTTCCCAGGTTGAATTGCTCGTTTTCCGTCTGTCGTTGTGAATGGTCTTACAGAAAGATCTGAGAACCACCCCTCAATCCTACAACCTATCAGGGGGTGAGAATCTCGGTGGTGAGGAGGTTCAAGGAGGGATATAATTCACCATGGGGCTCGTTTCGGTAGCTATGGAGTACGCAGCTCCGCTCTTGTAAGGATTTTACTGTACTGTTCGAGGTTAGCATGCCCTAACGGCCGTCGACAGCCTCGTCATTTCTCCGATCCTTTCGTATGCGGACCAAATATATAGTATTCAAAGGACGAAAAGTTCGGCCGGGTTTTCATTGGATATACCTCTAATAATGCTTGTTGCGTCGATTTTCAAGTATGTCCCTTCCAAGTCCCTCAATTGCTCTTCGTTGGTCGCTGGTTCTAACGTCCTGATCCGAAGGGTGTTTTATTGGTTCGGTGCATATTATTCGTTTCCGTTACTCTTACAGGCGATGATGATGATCGGAGTACAAATACTGCTGCTGAAGGTTGCCCTTGACCATCGACCCCAATCTCCGGTTGACCATACACCATTTTCCGGGCAGCTTCCCGGAGGCCATTCCGAACTTAGAAGGCCGTATGACTTTTGGCAGTGGAAAGCGACCAGACCGTATGTGTTGTTTAGAGCCATCCTTAGCTTTCCGTCCATTATTATATTCAAGTCACTAACATCATCTAGTTACTGGACCTTCCTCGCTTACCTTGGCCTCTCGCTTTTCCTCATCCATGTCCTGATTCCCCCAATCTCGAATTCGGAATTCTACATCACACTGCTAGGTTTCGCCGGCCTAGGTGTCGAAGCTTTCCTTCCCGTCCCCCAAGTCCTCGCCAACCAGAGATCGAAATCATGCAAAGGTTTCCGCCTTTCTGTTCTCACAGCCTGGTTACTTGGAGATGCAATGAAATTGAGTTATTTCTTTTATAACGGCTCTTCGGTTCCTTGGGCATTCCGAGTTTGCGGGATGTTACAGTGCGTTTGTGATTGCTACTTGGGTGTGCAATATTGGATGTTTGGTCATGGGCAACTCAGCCGAGTTGAGAAGGCATCTGCTGCTAATTCTGGTGATGGTGTTGATGGCTGGGGCATGAAAGATATAGATGTGCGATTGTCATGATTGACTTGGCGTATTTTGGTGTCGATTGGAAATTTTTGAGATATATGAGATATGGACCATGTAATATTTGCTCGCAGGATTTGCGCATTTCGCCGTCACTTTCATGGCTAATTATGAGACCTGGGCATGGATGATATTATTATTATAATTTAGAGACACGTTCGACAGTTATCTAACCGAGTTTTGCAAGAAATTCTGAGCTTCTACTTGCTCCGAGTTTTTGGTGCTGGTTCCCATTGGCTTCCGACACCACCATCAGTACTACCTATGACGATATCCTGGACGCTCGAGATAGACCTTAGCATCTTCATTCTGAGCGCCAACTCAAAAGGCTCAAGTTCCAAGAAAAACCTTCAATCTCTATAGCGGCGCTGTACAGAACAAGATGGCGACATCCGAGACACAAACGATCAGAATTGGCTACGTGCCCGGTAAGAGCTGACTTTGTTTATTGCCCCGCCCCCGCTCCTATCCATCTTTCTGCTGTCCAGATGATACCCAGCAACGCAACGGAAGAATTCACAATGTGAAAGATTCGAGAATGGCTTGCCGATTTCAGATTTGATTGGAAATGATATATCTAACTACTAGGCTCTAGAGCATTATTTGGCTCCCCTCCACCTCGCTGCCCGATCCGCTTTCTCGTCCCTCCCATTCAATGTTACCCTTAAGGCCTTCCCCTCTGGCACCGGACATATGATAACTTCTTTACGGCAAAATGAGATAGATATTGGAATTGGTCTTACTGAGGGTTGGGTTGCCGGGTTGGTTGGAAAGGAGCAGGTTGAGAAAGGCCCTGATGCAGACGGGGGATATAAAGTGGTTGGGCAGTGGGTAGAGACGCCCTTGAGGTGGGCCATTGTCACGGGGAGACAGAGAGCGAACATTGACAGTGTGGATGATTTGAAAGGTGGAAGGGTGGGTGTGAGTCGATTGGGAAGGTAAGTCATTCAGCTGTCCAGGTGAGTGAGTGTGGATGTTTACTATTTTTTTTTTCTAGCGGATCTCATATCATGTCCTTCGTTCTTGCGAAGCAGCAAAATTGGCCAATTCCCGCACCTCTTACTCCGGTTATCCTAGGTCCTTTCGGGTCACTCCGAGATGGAGTGACGGGGAAGGGTCCCAATGAGTCGGATGCGGAGCATCCGACTGCAGATTTCTTCATGTGGGAGCAATTCACCACCAAGCCGTATTTTGATGCCACTCCCGCCACTCCATCTCCTCCGCTAAAGAAAATCGGGGAGATATTTACACCATGGCCTTCATGGCATATTGCAGCGTCTTCCTCAAAATTTCCCAATCCCGAAAACGATCCTCGATTAACGCAACTCATGGAGGCTCTGGATCAGGGCATTGCTGCATTTGAAGCCGATACAGCACATGTTGTTGCATTGTTGGGAACAGGAGAACTGGGATGCACTTATTCAAAAGAAGATGCTACTGAGTGGTTGAAAGACGTCAGGTTTGTCAAGGGAGGCACTAAGGGTATTCGGAGGGATATCATTGAGAACGTTGTTGATATTTTGAAGAATGCTGACGTTGTGCCAAATGAGATTGGCAACGACGAGGCTGTGAGAAGAGTTGCTGGTATCCTTCGAGAGCAGTAGCTCAGGCTGGATCTTGATATATATCTTGGTGGAAATCAAGTTGATTCCGTGCCTTGCAAATGAAGTCCACCGGAATCGTAACTTTGCATCTCGGTGGGTGGATGTAACCCTCGTCACAATCCGTTGCTTGTCGGCATCGTGTACGGAGTACATAACGTGTAATCATTACGGAGTACCCTTGATTGCTCTTGTGAATATTTTCTGCCATGGCTTGGTGGCTTGAAACTCGAATTTAACCTATTATGAACTTGTCAACTGAGGATCTTTATTGGCAGGTCCTCGCTTTTGACTCCTGTCATGGATCAGCAGGTGGCGCCAAAACTATTGGTGATTGAGTTCTGGCTGGCCCCTGATTCAACCTCCGTAATATTGACCGCTGTTGTCCCAATCGCAAGTCAATCTACTTGAACAGCGACAGATGAAGCAAAAGTTCCGTAAATAATTTGCATTTACTCCGTATTAATTGTTAATCCAAGGGCCTCTACTCCGTACAATCCATTCTACTGGGTTTCAAAAACGAAATTTCTTTTTTAGTACTCCGTGCTCCGTATATCTGCTCCGTAAGGTTGAAAATGAATTCAACTATTTTAAGCATGGTCCAAGTCAGATATTACATTTCTTTGCGTCTATACCAATCGTCTCTCTTTTTCAGTAAATTTCTTTCTTGAGTATCAAGTTTATCCGATGGTTAATATATTTCTACTCTTTGTTTCTGCTCTTCTTTGGCATGAGGCTGTGGCGGTTTATGAACTTGTCGACAATTATGCTGGAAATACATTTTTTAGCAACTTTACCTTCTTTAGCGAACCAGATCCCACTCAAGGATTTGTTAAGTATATCGGAGAGCCGGAGGCCCGCAAGAATGGCTTGATCGGATTCAGCAGCAGTTATTCTGGCGATAACATGGCATGGATGAGCGTGGATCGGACAAACGTCGCACCAATGGGCCGGGAGAGCGTCCGTATAACGAGCAGGAAGGTGTACAATCAGGGATTGTTTATCGTTGACATTGCACACGTTCCGACTACGACATGCGGAACTTGGCCTGCGTTTTGGATGTTCGGCCCCGATTGGCCTCATGGAGGAGAAATCGACATTTATGAGGGGGTCAATCTCGAGTATCAGAATTCAATGACACTTCACACCGGACCCGGTTGCACAGTATCCCGACACGCAGAATCCACTGGGCGGATGACGACAACGAATTGCGATGTTGCTGCCGCCGGACAAAAGCCCAACGAAGGATGCAAGGTCAGATCACAGGACCCCTTGAGCTTTGGAGCTGGGCTCAATGCGGTTGGAGGGGGCATGTATGCAACGGAGTGGACCGTCGACGCCATCAAAATCTGGTTCTTCCCACGCACCTTTCAAATACCATATGACATTACACAGGGGAAACCAGATCCAAACACATGGGGCCTGCCCACAGCACATTTCGCTGGAAACTGCAGCTTCACCAACAGTTTCAAGGACTTGAGGATTGTGATAAACACGACATTCTGCGGTCAGTGGGCCGGCCAAGTGTGGGGAAAATCACCATGCGCATCGGTAACCTCAACGTGTGAGGAATTCGTGGCGAATTATCCAGAGGCCTTTTTACAAAGTTACTGGGCTATCAATTCGATAAAAGTGTATGAAAAGAAGCCAGGGTGGGAGAGCGCCTGAGCCGGGCGTTGAAATGGTGCGATTGATATACTGTACATATTTCTTAGTAGAGACTTGAGATAAAGGAAAGAGATGACACTCACTTGGAAGATGAAACATAGGCAGATTTTTCTTGCATGGAATGGCTGAATTGTCACGGCCAAGCAGAAATGTGAAAACACACAGATGAACCTTAGCCAGCAGAGAGTTGTAGCAGCATGCTTTGATCAGAAACACCCGCTGAAGACATTAGAAAATTTAGTGATCATTAAATCTTAGCGCTGCGGACTTGGAAATCGAGGAATATGCGGCTGGGCAGCCATATTAAATTCAAAAAATAATAATAGAGTACAGAGTACGCTGTAGTATCTCTGGATAACACTCTTTCTAGATTCAGGCATGTTAATGTAGCATTGCAATTAATTGTGAATGGAGAAAGGTACCAAAGTTCGTTGCTTGATGCTATTGCACTTCAAGCTTCCGCACGGATCTCCAAAAGCCTACGGAGTACTCCGTACGGAGTACACCTTCTCGGGTTAGCGATATGAAATTGGCCGAGCCTGTCCAACAGCCAGACCACACCATAGTTATCCACAATTCTATATAATTTGATTCTTGTTCCACTATATCACATACGACCATAGGAAGTAGAGAACAGGGCTTCCTGTCTGCTCAGCCATACTTAACCTACTTGTTAAGCTCAGCCAATTCACATGGCCACCTTTCAACAGTGCTGCTTCAAAGATGAGTACTGCATAAGCATGGTGATGCTTGGGTGAGCAAGATGATTTCCAGCACAAGTAAGAATGAGCTAGTAGATTGGTGGGTGAGTTCTGTGCTGAGAGGGTGGAGTATTTATAGCAATGACTAGTCATGAAAAGACTTAAATAGATAGAGATTCTCTTTTAAAGTTAACTCTCAAATCCAAATTCAATCTCTTATTTCTTTGAAATAGATTTATAGTGTCTACTTTTACAGAGTACAATCTTGAAAAATGGTTAGCAACACCACTGAATGACTGACTAATCAGCAAAAGCAGCAAGTTAAGAAACAGAATTCAGAGATTTCACTGCTCAATATCAAGAGAAGGTGGAGAAAAGTAAAAGTATTGTGTATCACAAGCAACGGGCCCCAGCTACTGAAGCAACATATGCAAGAGTAATTGAAAATTGGTTCTTGTAGATTAAGCAGTGAAATTTGAATAACATAAATTATCTAACAAGAAAATAGATTCAGGCTATCCCAAAATAAACCCATAGAGAAAGACTTTACAAAGAATGAGCCTGACCCATCAGCTTAAATACTAAAATTATTTGCAGAAGATTTTATTATTACTAGGAAAAATCTGCCCTCTCAGTTCTCAGTTAAGCATACTATTGCATGCTTTATTGCAGAATAAGAGATCAAGACCAGCCATGTACTTCTGCTCAACCTAAAGAAGAATGTTGGTTGGAGGCTCGACGGAAGCGTTTCAGTCGGCATACTGGATAACGACGACCCTGGGACTGGGGGCATAGCGACTCCGGCTCCCGGCAATGTAGCTTGAGGTCCGATATCCCAACCATCTTGGGCTATTGTCGACTCTCTATCAAGGTTACTGTTGTTAAGCCTATCATACATAAAGGAGACCACGCTATGTCGTAAGCGTCGAGAGTCGAACGATGAGAGCTCCATCTTCGGAAAATGCAAAAGGAGTAAGAAAATTAGTTATATAGGTAGTTAGCGTAAATAGATTGGGATAAGATATAAGAATACGTTTTGTCAGGAAAAACGACTATAGACGAGGGTTAAAGAAGGAAGATAATAGAATAAGGAAAACCAAATTATCAAGAGAACCAAGCTAACAAGTACTTACACGCAGAGGCGTCAGAATGGAAGGAGTGTGTTGGAACAAAGGCAGGAAGCAGCCAGTCAGCAGGAAGTTACCTGGAACCCTTCGGCGGCATGGTTGAATGATAATATGCCACGACGAGCCAGGTCCCATCCGGGCATACTCTGTGAAAAAGAATTGCATTTTGAAGATTGGACCAGACGAGAGAAGATACTTGACTCACCATGGTCCACCCAGAACCGGATAGAATTCAGACCGGAATTGCAAATGATGCGCCTGTGAACAGGCTACTGCTCCCATCTACATCATTGCTCGACACCCAATTCACCCGTACCCCTCTTGGCTTCAGGTTTGTCAGGGTCTATCCTTTTCCCTTCTCTGTTCCATTACTTCCCTCTCTTCTAGAAGGGTTTAGATCTCGTTCTGATAAGTCCCTTTTCTTGTTAACATCAAGAAGAGGAAGCCCAAACTTTTGGTATAGAGGAGGGCCAGATGAATTCCCGGCAGATGTAGACAAGGAATTCACGAAATCGGAGTAGACACAGATATGGAAAGGCTTGGATGTCAGAAAGCGCTGTGTTCCAGTAAACAGAGTCCTGGGTGCTTTCTTTCCCTGACCTACGGTGCTGTCACAGAAAGGAGTTCGCATAGCCAAAGGGAAGTATCTTTCCTATTCCTGAAATCTCGCGCGTAGTTACTTCCTGGCTGTCTCGTGGGTGCCTGCTTTGTAATTGAGGATTTTCTAGGAGTCGGATTTACCTTGTAGATAGGTAGAGTAGGCATATAAAGAGTGATTGGTGACAGTCAAAGATCCCTTTGCCTCTCTCTTTTCCTACCCTTCACCAGTCCCTCCATGGTGTCTATCTCTTGGCGAGGATAGTTGCTTTCCCAGGCATTGGCGCACTCTGCTTGACATTGCAGACCATGCTGGGTTGGTTGTGGTATGCCACTGTTCGTTTCGATGTCGTTGGTTCATGGATGGTGCTTCGCAGGTATACCCAAGAACATGTCATAACTCTCTTCTAACATAGTTATATGCTTGAGCAAGGTTTCACAGTGGAGTCAGGCATTCCTCTCACAAAGCATAAGATATCTCCATGGCCGAGGCCCCAGGAAGCAATACAGCAGTGTGGTTTGAGGAGACTTGTCATCATTCTCCAGTTCTTTGGCGCACCTTAAATGTATGGGACCATATTAACTCCCCATACTTTCCCGCAAATGAAGAATAAACCCTTGTTACGAACTGAGACTTCGGTCAATGATGGAAAGCAACTGTATATCTTATAGGCGGGGCTTAGTGTTTTCCGACTTTTGTCTTGGATTCACTCCATGTCGGAGTCTCTGCTCTGGCATGGCTGCAGCAAGGCTGACCTTGCTGCAGTGCTTCTCTAGGGTCCCCGTGGAGTCAGAACATCAGCGCGCAATCCATCCCCCGGCTAGCCAAGAGCGGTTTGTGCGTGATGATAGTCATCATCCTCCAAAAGATTCCTTGTTACGATTGTCTGGAGCGGTCTGGTAAACAACGGAATTTTGATCCGAGGGAGGGGAGGGAGGATGGGCTTTTATATGCCTAGAGTCGCCTGGCGTGAGTCATCAACACGGCATACTTGTGTCATTCGGTGGTGGGTGAAGTCTGGATTCTCTTTCGTCAACCGTAGTTCCAGAACAGTGTAAACTTGGTCAGGCAGTAGTTAGTTAACTATAGTAGCAACCATACAAAACTCTTGCACACGGCCTCTTTTTTTTGGCTCAAGAAATGTGTATATAGTAGTCAAAGGTAGGACCGTGTTGTATCTGCACACGTCTATCCCGACGGCACTGTGAAGTTGTCGAAGGATTATGGCCAGGTCAAAGTCGATGCTGACCCGGATGCCCCGGAGGGAGAGAGCGCTTTGAAATAAGTGGTCAACGAAGCAAATTGGAGAAGCACATGTTCGTCGTGCGGGAAGGAGCATATGATATGTTTGGCACGTGACTTTGCGTTTTCTCTCTGTATGAAATCGTGGCAATCAATGTGTTTATCGTGCTCTAGAGTCTGGACAGCAACAAGAACGTTTTAGAGCACCAGAGGAATAACTAAGTCATATGCAATTATGTCGTAAGCTCCTCAGATCTGGGATACCATTTCAACTTAATATACGACGCTGGAGCTCCTTCCGGGCGTCTCTGCCACCTCTAAGCAGGAGACATTTAGCAGAACGAATCATCCGCTTTCTTCCGGGGGCTCCGCTGAAGCAAGCAACCAGACGAACAGGATTTTCCTACGCTTGATACGCTTACTGTTCGTCTTGATGATTGGTTTGCGGTCATTGAACCGTGTGATAAAGCGGTCGTTTTCCCTTCACGCCAAACCAGTTCAATTCCCGCCTTCTCAGTTTGCTCCTCCAGTTCCCCAGCACGAACTTATTGATGAAGAGGCCTGCCCGGCTTACGACCCGAAATACTTTTACCCTGCTAAGCCAGGAGAGATACTTGCCAATCACTACCAGCTATTGGTGAAGATCGGTTGGGGAACATGTTCAACCATATGGCTGGCGAAGGATCTAAAATGGTAGGCATTGTCCCTGCCATCCCCCTTGTGATGATGCTCAACCTACTAACAAATGCAGATTTAATGTAGATATATTTGGCAGCCAGAACGTTTCGTGGCACTGAAAATAATAAATAACCGCAGCTCTCTCGAGGCTTACCATGAGCGCGATATCGAGGAGCACATTTCCCGCCAACGCCGGATACACCGTGGTCGTGGGATTATCCGAACCTGCCTTGACAGCTTCGAAGTGACAGGTCCAGATGGGAGCCATCTGTGTCTAGCATATGAACCAATGCGGGAGCCGCTTTGGATACTCCAGAAACGTTTTGTTGACCAAAGGCTCCCTCTCCCGGTTGCAAAGGCATACCTTCTTATTCTTCTTGCAGGCCTTGACTATCTTCATTCAGAATGCAGGCTTGTACATACCGGCAAGTAACTTATTTTCAGTTACTCCTTTTCACATCATCACTCTTTTCTAAGTGCATTACTGATACCTCTTGCTAGACTTGAAGCTCGACAATATTTTGATGACGTTCGAGAACGAAGACATTCTCCCTAACTTTATCAAAGAACAGATCACCAACCTGCCTATGCAGTGCAAGACGACGAGCGGGCGTACAATCTACCGTTGTCACAACGATTTCGGGTCCCTCGATTGGAGAGAACTTCGGAAAATGTTGCCTAAAATTGTTGACTTTGGGTTAGCAGCCCGCCTTGAAAGTGATAGTCAGGGGCAAGTGAGGAACGAAACAGGTGGTGTTCATCCGATACAGCCCGACCACTACCGTGCGCCGGAGGTCATTCTTGGCTGTCCATGGAGTTTTAGCGCGGATATATGGAATATTGGTGTCCTGGTATTAATCCCTGCTTCCGAACTCCCTCCCTAGCACTTTTATTTGACTTCGCATGGGAGCTCTTTCCTTTCCTTCATTTTCACGATACCTATGTATATTCAGCGACGACTGACCGTACTCTTACAGGCGTGGGATATAATTGAGCACACCGAACTATTCCTCCATGTGCATGACAGTCAAGGTCATTACAACCCTAAGACACATTTGGCGGAAATGACTGCACTTCTTGGCCCTCCTCCCAAGGAATTATTAGCAAAGTCGGATGCTATGGCTGAGTTTAGTTGGCCTAATCCAATCATGAATGAGACAGGCAGGCTATGCAGGAACGGGCGGGAATATTTTAATGGGCCCTTTTTCAATGAAAATGGTATGCGAATTCATTTACGAATACCTGTGCTTTTCGACTAACGTTTTCGGTCTGGCAGGCGAATTCCTTTATGATGATCTGATACCTGCGCGGAAACTAGAAGATTCGATCCCGTCCTTGGAGCAGAAGGAAAGACAGGCCTTCTTGTCCTTTGTTACCCTTATGCTTGCCTGGAATCCGGATGATAGGCAAACAGCCGGCGAGTTGATGGAACACCCGTTCCTAAGGCTAGAGTGAAGGAGAGCCCTCCGCATTTGTCTTGAACAACCTGCTTTCCCCCACTTTTAAAATTTAATTTTGAAGTGAAACGGGCTCTTACGTTCGTGTCCGGCTTTCTGTACGCAGCGTCAGTCGGTCAGGGAGCTCTAGATACTTGGAAAGAGACTGATTTAGCCCACAATAAACCCTGTCCTGGGATTCTGCAAGGAGCTCTGTGAAATCCCGACTTGGGCCACGGTGACCTAGGGAACGGTAGAATGACTCCGAGCTCGATCTGGTCATCGACCATCTTCACCGCGTAGTGCTCAGATCGGGGGTTTTGGCATCAGTTTGACATTACTCCATGTATCCCACTGCTTCCATCCCCAGATGACACCTCATCCAAAAGCACTCTACCCCGTACAACCAATAATATTTGTCGTGCTGAGATACTGATTTCGGAACCTCAGTCGTCCCCAAGGTGGTGATGCTACTTCGACGCCAGCTACGAGGCGAGCAATCAAACCATAGGGTATCTGCGGTGATGGGTCGTTGACAGTGTGCATACCGAGGTCGTGCCTTGCTTCCAGATGGGTGTAGTTGCTGGCCCCCGCCAGTGGCTCGATGTCCATGACCATGTTTTCCGTTAGATGGTTTGAGGATTTCAAAATGATGAGTTTGGGATCCATGGAATCTGTCCCAAGCTTTCCTCGGGTTGGATTATCGAGAGTTATAAATATGGTTATAACCCATAGTTAACTAATTCACTCTCTATGATCTATTGTCTTAAAATATACTCCTTTGAGCTGAATTTCTCTATAATAGTAGACATTCTTAAGAATCATTTTCACCCACTGTACCTTTACAAGGCCGATCCATCACCTTGCATGTAAAACTACATCATATATACAGATAGAAAAAGACAAAGGAATTAGAACATTTGTAAACGCTCTCAACTGAAAAGGATGCTTAATGGAGGGCCGTGGTTCATGTTTGAAATCAAACCCCGAGCTGGAGCTTTAAAATCCGGGCTTTGTGTAGCTTATCGGTCATTCAAAAAAGAAGTAGTGGCCACAAAGAAAGATCCCCACTATATGGACTTAGATGGTATCATAAAAAAGAGTCCATTGGGAACCTTTAATCAATGCTGACTATGCAAAAGCATACTCTTATGTCTGGGGATTCTCTGTATACCAAGTCAAACTTGTTCTTTAGAGAGTGATAGATAGTATTCAGAAAGAGGTTTTGCCATAGTTTCTGGATGACTATAATATTATATTTATAAGTGGTTATTTACAGACTCAGTATACAGACGAATGTTTCAAATACTATAGCTATAGAAAACAGTATTAGAAAGAACAACTTCTTTTTTAACAAGTTCAGAGTAATCTACTAAATATTCTTCAAAGCTTTTTCTATATTTTTTTTAAGTATTATATAATTCTCTTCTTGATCTTTTCTGCGGTTGCTTTTCTTGATTCTGCTGTCAGATTTGATCTTTTTAGCTTCACTAGAATTTTATACTGTTCTATTATAAATCATGGTCTAAAGATAGATATTGTTATCTAGAAGCTCTTAATCACTTGTATATAGATTTATATTATTGTCTTGCTATTCAGAGCTGATAGTAGATTTTTGATTTAAATTATATCTTCTCTTATCTTATTCTGTATCTTATTATATTAATCTCAGCTGCTAGCTTCTGTGTAGATGATATGTTTCTGATCTTCTCTATGTACAGCTCTATACTATTTAGCAGAGCTTTTATTATACTTTATAATAAGTTTCTGTTCTTGTCTAGTATAGTTAATTGAAATTTCTTGATAGCTTTAATATCTGCTTGTATTTAAGTTGCATGGTCATGAATGCTTTAGAGCTGGAGGCCCACCCAAGAGGCAGTTTGACCGCTCACCATACTTTCTTGGTATTGGGTGATATCTAGAGCTCTGATGAGCAGATTGAGCCACTGTGTGAGCTGAATAGAAAGGTGGTTGTGGAGATATTTCAAAAATTAGGTCTTGATGGTATGAGGTTATTTCCCTTTTCTAGTTAATGGAAAGTGATGATTATGCTTAGTAATGTTAAAGCCGGGATTCCCGGAATTATAATTTTCCAGGGAAAAGTGCCAGGGCAGGACAGGCTGGAGCCCATTGCAATGCGCGCAAAGGACTGACAGGTGCAGAAGGTGGAAGAGCTGTTAGTTCTGCACGCCAGCACAATGGTGACGACTCATAAATACATTACTTCTTTCGCTAGGAGTACGTTATCCTCGATTTTCCCCCCTGCTCGACCCAATTCGTCGTCAGTTCTTCCCTTCCTGTACCCAGTCCAACAGCAGACCAGAGATTTGCGAACTGGTGCAAAGACGAAAGCAAAGGATGCAGCTGCAAAAGCGAAGAAAAAGAGAAGGACATTCAGACAATATGATATGAAAGATGCACTTCAATTTTCATTATGCGACGCTATGAGGTATAGCCCCGTTTTAAATTCTCTCTCCTCCACGCCCAAGCTAACCGAAGATGCGGCTCCGAAAAACAGATACATCCGTGCCTTTGAAGCGGGTAGACAAGCAGCATCCGTCAAATACGAAGTTCACCTCAAACTACGGACGAAAAAGGATGGCCCTGTGATTCGGAATCAATTGAACCTTCCACATGCTGTTCATACTGGCGTCCGTGTTTGCGTCATTGCTCCTCCAGGATCGCGTGCGGCAAAGGAGGCCAAAGCCGCCGGTGCAGACATTGTGGGCGAGAGAGATGTGTTTGAGCAGGTTAAGGCTGGTAACATTGAGTTTGAGGCGTGTATATGCCATTCATCTAGCTTGCAGAATCTGAATAAGGCTGGGCTGGGTAGGGTCCTCGGTCCAAAAGGATTGATGCCCAGCGCAAAATTGGGAACTGTGGTGGATAACGTTGGCCAGGCGGTAAGGAATATGCGTTCCGGGAGTATCTACCGAGAGAGGGCAGGCGTTATCCGTATGCCGATTGGCCGGTTGGGATTTTCACCCGAAGAACTCAGGAATAATCTGCGAACCTTCATCGGCCAGGTGAAGAAGGACGCAGCGGGCTTGTCCGACCAAGTATCTAAAGAAATTGCTGAGGTGGTGAGTTTACCACTTTGGTATGCACCGCACCCGCTCCATTCGTTACTAACCCGAGGTTAGGTTCTGAGCTCCACGAATGCCCCTGGTTTCAGCTTAAACGGCGAATATAAATCTGAGGATTCACCTCCGATTTCCGCCCTTACAGGGCAATGAGTAAAGCAACATGTATATTACTAGGCACTTTTCTTTCTGGCGTTTTCTGTGGGTTTTCAGTAGAATGTTTTTTCTAAAACCTAACTCCCTTAAACGCCTTGTCATGCAAAAATGGAATGGGTATTATCGACGCTAAATCCTCAGTTTCAACAATGCCATGACAGCCTCTGTCTCCTCTCCTAAGAGCTCATGGAGATGTAGGATCTTCAGCAGGCGGTCTTCCCTCTTCCTCCCAACTGTGTCCCCTTGTTTGACAGCAGTCCTGAGATCTAGAAGTAAGGCCGTCTTTATGGTTGCGATTCTGTTGGATTGACCAACCACAAACGGATGTTGTTCGCCAACGCGGTTGATCACAGTCTTCAAGCTAAGGTACTGTTGAATATGCCGTTCTAGTCGACGCAACGATACCAAAGTCGTGTCGCCCGACTCATCTTGGTCCCGATCCTCGTCATCGCCGCTCTCGTCGTCTTCGCTCTGAATCAACTCTTCGTCCAACTCTGGATCCTTGCTCCGCTTGTTGCTCCCTTCATCTCCCTGATGGACCATAAGCTTCTGTTCCAATAATTCGATTTTCTCCGCAATATCCAATAAATAATATCCTATCGCGATATCAGATCGCAATCGCTTCTTGTCGTCCAGCAGTCCTTTAATGGTAGCAGTCCTATTTTCAAATTTCTCCTTGACACTCTGCACATCGCGCTGGAAACCTAACAGCACGGCCCTGATTTCTTCAACTCTCTCCTCTCCACCTTTGAGAGCGGTGCCGAGGGAGAGAAAGTCTTGATAGTTGTCGTTGACCAGGTTCAGTAACTCTTTGCTTAGGGATTGGCTCAGTTCTCGGAGCTCCGTCTGGAGATCCGCGAGCGATTGGTGGCGATTGGAGAGGGAGGAAAGAAATTTGGCTGGGTCAAAATTGGGAGTGATAAAAGACGACCTAGAGAGGGGCTTAGGGAACGGGAGGTAGTCATCGCCATCGTTTACTTCTGCTTCAGACTCGGAGGAGTCGCCGAACTGGAGATTGAATCCATGGAGTTTAGTTTCCTGAGGCAACGAAAAAGGGCCGGGAGGACTTGCGACATACATAAAACCTGCTCATCCTTCGATATGCAGCTCTTCCATCCCATTAAGATCATAGCAGCTGCTGCTCGCACCAAGCACTCGCTCGTCGCCCGCATCGCCGCTCTGGCTACCGTTCGAGCGTCGCTGGCAAGCGCTGATGACATAAGACATAACTTAGTTACTGACTAACTAGCTAGATTTGGTTTAGATCGAATCTGACACATCAAAATCAGACGAGGCTCTGTTACTTAACGTATTTCACGAGGATACAGGTCAGGGGACCTCGTAAAAGTCACGTGATGCTTACTAAAGAAGTCGCACCTTCAGTACTATAAATACCATACATGTACCTCTGCTGTTTGAATTTTCAAATTATTTACAGTTTTCTTCACATACATTAATTGATTGGGAGTTGATTGTCAATTGATTGTCAATTGATTAGCAATTGATTAGCAATGTCTGCTTCATTTACTCCGTATATAAATCTGACATCTGATGACCAACCTTTTTGGCTGAAAACAGTTTCTAATCAATTGGCAACTGATTAGTAGCTGCTTGCCAACCAATTATGGAATAACCTATCTTTGTCTTATAGCAGTCCTTTACCCGGCGGAAGACCTCCTTATAGTGTAGAACAACAGACCCCAGCATCTGTATAATCAGTTATTAACTGATTGGTAACTGGTTAGCAAATGATTGTGTTACTCACTGTTGTGTACTCAGGCAGGACAATCTCTCTCCACTGGCAACACTCTCAAGATACTGTTGGTAGTAGGCCTATCAATTCAATCATTTTTTTAATCAATTTTCATCAGATTCCATCAAAATAACACATTTAACAGCTAAATCTACTCACATTATCGCGTAAATGAGCCATCTTCAAAGAAGGGGGGCCCCCGGCGAACTGCTTGGGAAATACTTGGTAAAGGTAAGAAAAAAAATCTTACGTGACTGTTTTTTAGAGGCGCGCTCTGCTTAATAAGCAGCACGTGACTTTTACGAGGGCCACCTTGGCTTACATAAGGGGTCCGGGTCATCTGTTGTCCTGCGTATTTCACGGCGAACTCGGACACACGGTGAACTCGGACACTTTTGCACGTGATATAAAACCTTCTTAAGATGGCTTGCTTGGCTTCACCAAACAGGCTAATAGTCCCAGGCACCATGTAGAGGTGCAAGCCATGCCTAGGTGTTGTACACAGGCTCTGTACGGAGTACAACTGGAGTAAATGAAATCATATAATCATTTAAACTTGAAAGAGGAATATCATATAATGTAGCAGCTCTCTGTTGACTCAATCCTTGGTCCTTTACTGTGGAAGCAGCCAAAAAAAGTCTGTTTGTGCTCATTTTTGCTGTGAAATGAATGTACGATGATGAAGACTGAGAGATTTGATTGGTGCTGAAAAATCAGACTATGTCACGTGCAAAAGTGTCCGAGTTCACCGTGAAATACGTTACCCTTCATAAAGATTGGTTCATAGACAGCGAGGACAAGCGACGCAATTGATCCAACAAATACTAGTAGCTCTATACCTGCCTGGCCTAAGATGGTCTTATGATTCAATGTGGCAAGCCGCCAAGTATCCCTGCGTGCGATCGAACTCAACCAAACTGTATGACTACCTCCGCTGCAGATGGACGCTGTGATAGAAGCAGCAAACTGGAATATGCGATGCGCTTCTGCATTTTTTTGCGCCTGGTTTGCACATTTTGTAGAGGGATCCTTCCATCACTTACATTGTAAGATACTCTTATATATTTGTTTCTTGAGACCATTATCATGATCATTTGCAAAAGGAAGAAGCAATTATCAAATGTTACTGGGAGAAGTTCGTGTTAAACAAGTAATGCGACATCCAACCCATGCTAAACTTGTACCACCCATTATTTCTTGACTACAAGCACAAGTTGAAAAGACAGGCTGCCTCTGGAGTCCTGTATGCTAAACACCTCTAGCTGTTCTTGTTATGGTCTCAGCGCCCAACTGAGGTATGTTGTTCAGGGTTGAAAGAATTGGTCTTCACTCGCGATGCTTTTCATGATATATGAATTCTTAGAAGTCATAATGGGTCGAATGATCAAAATTCAGGCACAGCGCTAAACACAATAGATTGTACCATGGTATGATTAGTGGAAGTTTGCCTTCTGAACCAATGACAACGCCAAGCCTTGTCACGTGTTAATCTCACAGGTTCTACAAAGGTTACGTTCCAGAAGCGCCAAAACAAACACGATCACAACTCTACTCGCAACTGCGGAAGCAGCCAGCTGGGATTTTACTTCGCTTCCTTATGTTGCTGATATGGCAAAATTGTCACCAGATGAAAATGCCATCATCAGAAAACATCCTCTAGCCAAGTCACTTGATGATTTACATGGCTTGCTTCAGGAGGCAGAGAGAACCTATGAGTTGTGTTTTATTTCCTATCATGACGCTGTTGATAGCTTTGACCAACTCTTTCAAGATGCGACTTCAAAGCTTCTTTATGTCTTACTGGGAGAGGAAGCGGCGCTCAACATTCGCTCACGAATAAGCGATGGAAATGTGGCTTCTGACCTAGCAAATCTGTTTACGAGCCTTCAAAGGGGCAACTTCAGCTACAACCACTACCGGCGGCTGGTGCGCCTGGTCATCCAAAAGCCTCCCTCCACCGAATCCCAGAATGTCGAAACCTGGAATTTCGATGTCTGGAATGCTGTCCTTGACCTTATTAACACCGCCTCACGAGGCACCCCCCCTCCCGGCCCCATATCATCGATCCAACAGACGCCCTGGATGCGCAACACTAGCAGTTTCGTCAACTCTACAGAATATCGAAGGCACGTTGACGCTGTGCTGAAGGAGGAGCTTGGAGAGTTACACGTCAACATCCCTGGGTTCTTTAACGCGTACTTTGGAGACATACCACAACTTAGTGCGGTTTCACAAGCGGTGTTGGAAGGGTGCAAGAGGGCAGACAGTCAACTTTATGACGAAGAGCAGGGCTGGCGGGACTGGCCTGAACTTGCGGCAGAAAGAGATGTTCTGAAGTGGCTGGCCAACATCATTGCTGAGTTTGTACGATTAGCCGAAGCTCAAGAGCCGTCCTGGAAGATCGACCGCAGACCTCTGGCACAGCCAAGCCAGCCACTACAGGGATCTATCGCGGAGAGAAAGCTCGATATCGGCTTTGTCGATGATCCGACGGCCACTGAGGACTCCAGATGCCGCTGGTCGCAGATCCTGGTGCCAGGGGAGCTGAAGAATGACCCAAAATACGACAGGAAATCCGGGGCATGGTTTGATCTTGGCAGGTACTCTCGGGAAGTCCTTGCCGCGCAGGATACTCGTCGTTTCGTGCTCGGGTTCACCCTTTGTGGGCCATTTCTGCGACTATGGAACTTTGACCGCCTGGGCGGGATCGCCTCAGAGGAGTTCAACATCAACCAGGACGGCCTTCAATTTGTGTCTGTTGTCCTTGGATTCCTCTTGATGAGCCGGGAGCAACTTGGGTTTGATCCCACCATCGTCGCGACCGGGACCGAACGGTATATCGAGATTGAGAAGGACGGTACGAAGGAACGGCTGATCATCGACAGGATTGTTGGACGAGCACGCTGTGTTGCCGGGCGAGCCACAACCTGCTGGAAGGCATACTGTGAGACAGACAAATCACGGACGCCGCTGGTTGTCAAGGACTCCTGGCAGTATGCGGAACGCACTGAGGAGGGAGAGTTGTTGCGAGAAGCAATGGCGAAGGGGGTCAAGAATGTCGCGAGGTATTATCACCACGAGACCGTTCGCATTGACAACAAGGATGATGATGTCTTGGCTATCCGAAAGGGCCTCAATATTCCGATTTCGAAAGATGAGAAGGGTGGCTTTAAGGTGACAGTGCGGCATAGTAGGTCTCAAAGAGGACAAAAGAGCCAGGGCAGCACCACCGGCCAGAAGCGATCCTCTGACTGCATGGACACGGCATTTCCTCCTCCCCCAAGTAAACGTACCCAGTCAAGTTCTCTGTCCAAATCTGCAGGCAGCTCAACCCCATTAAATCGAGTTCACCGCCGCGTTATTATCCGGGATTATGGGAAACCAATCTATGAGAGTAGCTCGAAGGCTACTCTTCTCGCTGGGCTAGCCGGCTGTATCGAAGGATACATGTCGCTCTATAATGAGGCTGGCCTCATCCAATGCGACGTTTCCCCTCGGAACCTGATGGTGAATGAGGACAAGGACAATCCTTCATGGCCTGCCTTTCTGATTGACCTTGATCTGGCTATCAAGACACATCGGGATGGGTCTTCTGGCGCGCGGGGCAAAACGGGCACCAGGGCATTCATGGCCATTGGTGTCTTGTATGGTGAAAAGCACTGTTTCATGCATGATCTGGAGTCATTCTTCTGGGTCCTGTTCTGGATATGCATTCACTACAATGGCCCAGGGAAGGGAAGGATTGTCGAGCGTTTTGAGGAGTGGAATTATGTGAGCACTGAAAAACTAGCTGATGAGAAGAAAGGATTGATTAGTGATGAAGGTGACTTTCTCAGGATTTTAAAGGATAATTTCACCCCATACTATCAGTCCCTGATCCCTTGCGTCAATCGATTACGGCGCCTTGTCTTTCCAGACGGTGGACGGTGGAAGAAACCAAATTTCAATCTATCCCGGAACATGATTGAGACACTTCAAGATGCACAAAATAAGCCAGACGTTGTAAACTAATGCAGATTTTTTACTATAGCATGCATTTGACTGGCTCGGTGAAGACTGAGGACAGCCATGATCTGAGCGACTCTACCGCAACTCCTTTCAACCATCATCTTTTCTGCTTGCACTGCCATTGATGGGCTACTGAGTATGCGCTTGATGTCAACGCATAGTTGCTTGCCTGCCCATATTCTGTGTCGTTCTTCTAGCCAGGCCCTGCACTCAAGCAGAATGTGGCGTACTGACTACCTAGCGGCCATAACCACATGGGCATTTATTGTTGTCAGCCTTGTTAATCGTGTGGAGGTACATATGCGCGGAGGCCGAGCTTGCCTGTGCGCATTTGCGTGATGCCAATTGATCAGGAGCTAAAGGACTATGTATAGTCGGATACAGCAGCACCTTCCCATTAAATATGCATCGTGCATTTCATCCTGAAAATATATATTAGAAGGGGAAAAAAAAAAACTTAGCCCCAGTCTCTTTGGGCTTTCTTTCTGGCACACAACCTTCTCTCGACTTCAGCCTGTCATGTAATCTATTTTTGGCTTGCAATCTGTTTTTCTATCTTAGGCGCCTGGTGCTGTTTCGCTTCTTCTGTAATCCATCTTTGGCGCGCAAGCCATTTATTATTCTATGCAGAAAAAGTGATTGTTATAGGCTGATCAAACTTCGAAAATAGTAGGCAACATACAGAGTTGGGCCGTGACAATGACTCGCTAACCCCTGGTTGTAGGAAAAGGACGTGCCCATGATTCATAAATACATTCTCAAATTTAACTACCACTCATATAACCAGCACCCGCACAACCTTTGCAACCTTTAGTCGGTATTCTTGAATGACTCGATCAAGTCCGCCTCTGCCTTCTTTTCATCAGCATTCTCGGGGTCGACAAGAATTTTAGCCCATATTTTATGGCTGTCCGCAGCTGCAGCGGCTTTGATGCTGGCGTTCTCAGCATTCTTGTTGGCCTGAAGGATCAACTCATGCTCCCCGCCAACCACGGATCCCTTATCAAATCGCAGGTTGTACTTCTCATCGTTCTTAGGTGTCCGGCTTAGGAATATTCGCGTTCCTCTCTCAGCATTCGCCACCTTTTGGATCACCTTGCTCCATGGGACTCCTGCCGCGAACTCTTTGACAACTTTGACTGAGAATTTAACCACTGGATGATTTCGTTAGCACTTTCCAGCAAACATCACCGCGCCACTGCTCCGAGCATTCAACCACAAAATAACCAGCAATGTGATGAAGGGTGCGATATTATTTCAACGGCTTCCGGCGACAAGCCTGAGTTCATCAAAGTTTTATAGGAGTTACCATCTTTCTCTGTTCTCATCTCCCTTTTCCTCGTCGGTCCAGAGCCAGTCACTCTTGATGTTGGATCACAGTCTCGCCAAATATGACAAGTTCTTCCAGTACACAAGCGGCTGCTGGCTTTGAGGTGAGGAAAAGCAACTTCAGGATCAATTTACACTTTTCAATGTGTTGGAACTCCAGTGTATTGCAGCTGAAAGTATTGGAGCAAACAAGTGTGTTGCCATGACAAAGTTGGTGGAAGGCACTTTTAACAAGACCTTTCATCTTAAGATGGACAACAGCTCTACTGCCATTGCAAGGATACCTCAACCCATTGCTGGACCCAAGTACTATACCACCGCATCAGAGATCACAATAATAGATTTTGTAAGACCCACCTTCTTGTCCTCAGCAAGTTGTTCTACATCTGGTTTACTCTACTACAGGCCCATACAGTACTCCAGATACCTGCCCTACAGGTTCATACATGGAGTGCATGCGCGGATAACCCTGTTGGTGCTGAATACATTATCATGGAGGAAGCTACAGGGACAAAGCTGGAGGACATATGGGATAATCTTTCTCTAGAAGACAGAATTGGTATCATGAAGGATCTGGTATTGATTGAAAATAAGCTTCTTTCAGTATCTTTCAGCAGGTATGAATAATTAATTCAATGAACTGCAATCAATAAAGCTGACGCAGGATATAGATATGGGAATCTCTATTACTCTGGCAAGGCAGTCCCTGGGGCTGTGGTTGCTGAAGTTGTGAGTGATACATCACCAGAACTTAAAATGGACATGAAGACACAGTTTTCCATTGGCCCTGTTGTAGCAAGAGATTTTTGGACAAAAGAAAATTCAGTGATGGATATAGATCAGGGTCCATGCAAGTCAATCATCTCCCACTCAATATTTCTTAGCTTAAATTCCTTCAGGACATCTTCCACATGAATATGCAGCAGCTTTAGTGCACTGTGAACAGAAATGGATTGAGCAATACACAATCCCCAAGCCTGCAACTGATCAATTCATAACATCTACAGTGCAAAATTCCTCTGAAGCCCATCTTTCTCTTCTCAAAAAGTATCTACAAGTGGCCCCTTATCTTTTGCCCACAGATGACCCAAATCTCATCACATCTACAATCTGGCATACAGATCTCCATGCCAGCAACCTCTTTGTTGACAAAGGCCATATCACTAGTGTGATTGACTGGCAGGAAGCTTGGACTGGGCCTCTAGTTCTTCAAGGCCACCATCCACACCTAGTTGATTACCAAGGTGATATCATTTTGGAACCACCGCCAAATTTTAAGGACCTTGAACTGAATGAGAAGGCCCAATTGAAAAAGCAGATTGCTAGTTCCATAATTCTTTATCTTTATGAACAGCAAACAGCAAAACTCAACCCTAATCTCAACAGAGTACTCCATTTAAAGCTCGGGCGAGTGAGGTGTGAGCCTATAAGCTTTGTCAGCAACACCTGGGATGATGATATTTTGCCATTGCATGAATTACTGATAAATGTGGAAAGGTATGTTGTAAAATCAGTCTCCAGAATTACAATATCCATTATGAGTATGCCTCCTAATCCCTGATATAGACATTGACATGAGCTAGGCTTCAACTTCACATGCCCAATTCACTTTACACAGGATGAGCTCCAGAGACACACAGAGAATGGAGAAGGATGGAACAAAGTGCAAGACTTTTGAAGAGCTATAGAGGGAATTGTCACCTATGATGGATGGACTGCACACAGCATGTATGATGAGGCTGTCGCTCTTTTTTCAGAACTCAGGGAAATCAGGTTGAAGAACATGATAGGAAAGGAGAGAAAGGACTTTGAAGCACAGACGCGGTGGGTGGAGAGCTCTTCCCAGAGCCATAATGATGGAAATGTAGAATGATACCCATCGCATCAAGACGCAACGGGACGGGTCTCTCGGCGCGCGAGGCAAGACGGGCACTAGGGCGTTTATGGCCATCAGTGTCTTGTACAGTGAAAAGCATTGCGGCTCATTACTATTGTCTTGAGGCAAGCAGTGCCATAAGAAAGCCTTAACAAGTCCTATATAATCACAAGACAACATCGTGCTTAAGAATTTGATCTTGTACCATATGTAGACTCAGGACCACCACTTGGTCTTTGTCTTCTGTCGTGTGGTGGCTTAACTGGTGTTCAATACTCCTGGTGCTCCATTCCATCTCCCAGGCTTTGTAAGCTTCGATATATTTTTTATAGCATGCGTTCTGGAATGTACAGCCGCGATAATGAAACCAGTCTTCAATCGCTCTGTCAAAGCGTTCAATTCTCATGGCATTCCCAAGGAGACCAGCCGGATAGATGCCACCCTCCATCTTTAGGTAGCCGGGTTTGATCAACTGGGAGAGGTCACCACAGATCCGTTCCATACAGGAGACATAATAAAATTGATTTAAGTCTAGATATAAAGCCAAATATCAGCCACAATCCCCATCAAAAACTATCCTTAGTCGTGTATACCGTAATGCCTTCCGGTTGTGTCTTTCAAATTAAGACGACATGGAGACTCGATATTAGGCCTTCCAGTCAAATTTGAATAGGACACAATTGAACGCCCGACAATGACTTCTGTTGCTGGGGGTATCTTGGAGAATGAGGACCACACCTTCTACGCCTTCACCGCATCATATCGACACTTCAGTTCCTGTTAAATACGTTTCCAGCGCCCAATACCTCTGGATGCCATCCTTTTATTCCGTCCACCAATCTTTATGCACCATCCGTATCTGCCGGCTCTCGTACAACACAACTCTATCCGCTAAATCAGGCAGTGCAGGGAAAGATACCATGCCAGTTGGATCTTACATCTGCATCACTCGAGAGTGCGAAGAAACGGCACACGAATGCTCAAGCTTCTAAAAGGTTTCGTCAGCGGAAGAAGCTTAGTGAGGTTAAAGTTAAGACCGAGAGAACGCCACCCCATGCGTAAGTAGCGTGGGCAGGGGTTTCCCCATACTTGCTGTATCCATGGGTTTTTCGGCAAACTGGTACAGTAGTAAGGCTTTAGGCTCCTTTCCGCGAACCAGAGCTGGGATACATCTGCATATACAGTATATATATAATCATGGGCTCCTTATGGGCTGGAAAACATCATCTTTCCGTTTTAAGTTAACTTCCACGGATCCGCGACCCGGTTAGATGGCTGGGGAACCACTTTGGTTCTGCGCAATAACCACTCCTTAATCTGCCCAGACTTTTTCTAACATACCTTCACTTTGGGCTCCCTATCCATCAATTCACTTTGCACATAAAAGAATACCAACGGCATTGCTCACGAAGGCCTGACCTTTGGTGCCAGGCTCTCATTTGGGGGGTCTAACAAAAGACCCATTCGCTGATCCTCCTTGCTGAGAAGCTGCTGCTAGACAACTTGAACGAACAATGCAGTGGATTTTACCTGGCAGTCTCCCTTTAGTTTCTTCTGACCGCCGTTTATCTGCGTCATAAAGGATGACACGCCTAGTATGCTTTCCCGGGAAGGCTGGACAACGCCACGGAAACAAGAAACATGCCGCACGTTGCAGGCACCAGGACCACCTTTCCAACCTGGCTCTTTGTTTTGATTTGTCGGTCAAGCAATAGTGGACTTACTGGGGTCTCTGTGATGTTGTGTGGAAAGGCAAATAGGCCAGCCGCTTTTTGGATGGTTAAGTTTCAGCCCAGGGGCCATATCGCGTTGCCTTTCTGCAAGTCGTTGAATGACAAACCCAGAGTGACACAGACATCTCAGTAGGGCAACAGGCTTCCTTGCTCCTATGCTCTGGTTTTCCTGTTAATTAGTAACATGGGCCTGGAAAGGTATATAAGGCCCTAGAGAACCTCCTCTCTGACCCATTCATTCACAAGAAGCAAACCTTCCACATATCTCCCTTTTGCATCCCTTTTTTGCAGGATTACTATCATGGAGACGAATCAACCGCCCAGCGCTGGCCTGCCGCTACCCAAAACTGCTATCGAGAAGTGTTTGCAAGAAGTCTTTCCTCCTTCAAGTAGCCAATTGACGAACGGTATCAGTGAAATCTACTATATCTTACTGGTTCTGGAAAAAGACTGGATTCGAATTTGTGAGGAAATCGAACCCGTATTTACCGACAAAAAAGGGGAAGCAACTGTTTTGCTACATAAAGCGCTTTTGTCTTATTATGTCCTTTTCTATCGGGTGTCATATCACACCTCCGCACGCTCTGACCTCCGCCAGTCAATTAACAAATACAAGATTACAAAACAAATGTGGTTCCATGCGGCCCGCCGACTCACTAAATGGGTTGAAATTCAGCATTCCAGCCTCTTTCTTTTACGCCTCATCGATCATTGCTGCGATGCTTATGAGTCACTCATTGAGATCGCTCCTGACGCCAAAGTCACCTGATTTGAGTGTTTGGGCGATATCATGAGAATTCGGTCGAGAATGGGAGATACAGAGATTTGGATGGGCAAGGCAAATCACTGGTATGATATGGCCACCGATGAGGCGCCTGAAACAGGCAGGATTCAACACCATTTAGCAGCGTTATCGCAACGTCCCTACAGAAGTTTTTCTTATATACAAAAGCTATGCTTCAGTGTCCTTGAAGGCTTTCTTCGCCCAGCTTCCCCAACACAAGGGTATGGTAACAGTGTTTGCCAAAGCCCATGAGGCCCTTTGTACAAACCTGCCATCATTGACATTCTCTGAGGCTGAAGATACCTTCACATCGCAATTGGATGCCCTTATCAGAGAGCCCACATTGAAGGAGCATTTGGTTTATATTGCATTGACAAATTTCGCTGCAATCATGGGGTATGGGCGTCAGAATAGATTGTTTCTGGAGGTGTATGAGGACCTATCATGGCTTAACTTCATCCAAGGGCAGTCTGATTCTTCTTCTGGTTTCACCTTGTCAGATAATTATGAAAATCTCGCTATCCCTTTTACCTTTCGCACACTCTCATGCATGCTCAGGCATAGGGATTGTGGGCATATGCCGCCCTCCATGTCTCCCTAGTATTTATCTGCAGTCTCACCCGTGTGCAAGGTTTGATGGAGTGTGTCCAATCAAAAATTCCATGGGATCTCCTGTTGCGCTTTCTTAATAAGCTGTACCAGCGCTTGGTTCCGCGTTCATTCAATGCAGAATGGCTTAAAAGCGACAGCTTCCCTCACTCCAAAGCTGATTGCTGTCTGCCGGAGGATTTTGCGTTGAGAGGATTGATATGGACCCGGTCCTATTACCCTGAACAATTTGTCCGTGATGTGCTAGTCAACGAAAAAAGGAGCAGCTATTCTCAGGAGCTACCATTGCGGGAGGAGCGCTGCTATTGGTTGGGCCGTCAGATCGCCTCAGTAAGTTATGTATTTGATCCATGAAACTACACAAGACAACGTCAACAGGAAAATAAATGGATTCAGTATGATAACGTAATCCCCCCCCCCCGAGCGAAACACCAAGATATACATACAAATCTCAACTTTTTGCTCTCTTACATCTCAACAACATTGTTGAATATAGACTTTAGAATTTAGATGTACTCTGTAGAGTACTCCGTATATAGACACTTAATAAACAGTCATCAATTTTATTTATTTAACTCTATTATTTGTAAAGATACTTTGATACATGCACAGTAAAAAGACAATAAAATACTATAACTTAAGAAATAATTCTTTATATTTAGATAATTCTTATAATACAAAGTTTATTATCTGTATAGTATTTTCTTCATTTTATTGATCAGACATAAACTTGTTAAGATATAAGAGAGCAAAAAGTTGGGATTTGTATGTATCTCTTGGTGTTTCGCTCGGTGGTGGATTACGTTAGTTAAGCTAGCTAGCTGACTCAGCATCGCCAATCGCTTTAACTAGTTAACTACTCCGTACTCCATACTCCATCCCATCCTCGGCCGTTCTTGGACAAGCGACAGCGTGCGGGACTGACAACTCATCCTTTGCATCCTCGCGACAACGTGGATGGTCACCCGTTGACTCCAATCCCGAATATTGCCCCAGTTACAAGGGCGGAAGCCATGCAATCTTGAATACATCCTGGCTCTTATTCCATCTTCAGACCAATGCGAGTCACCAGACTCACGTTGACCCCCTCGTAACCCTCCCCTCACTGTGAAATCGGTTCGTCCTACACAGTGACACGCTACAACTCTTGATTTTATTTTTTTTTTACCTTCATGGTTGTTTATTCAAATATTTCCCTGCAATTTGCTGAGTCTGCGCGTTTTGCAGCCTCCTACTTCCCTCCTGAAACGTGCATAGAAAATATCCTCCCTTGTATTATCCTGTACATGCATGCATGATTGCCTGGCCACTTTCCTTTGCAAATATGGAGGCCAGGTCAGATCAGTTTAATTTCCATTCCAATAGTGGACATTCTATCTCTTCCACCCACCCTCCACAGTTGTGGATGAACCACCCGTTTTCTCTTTCTTCAGGCTCTCATGCCCGAAGGTTTGATCACTCACTGAATGAACCTACACTCGCCCAGCGGACCGCCGCGTTTCGCCAGTTGAATCGCTTGCCACAGCGGGCCCAGCGCATACGTCGTCAGACCACTTCTATTGGTAGTCGCTCATCCTTCCCGTCGCAGCCAGTTATTGTAAAGACATATTCTGCAGAGACAGATGCGCGGAGCACAATGTCACGACATATCTCTCGTTCTGAACGCCATCCACCCGCAAAATTGCCACCAGTGCAGGAGTTCGGTATCGAAGGAATTCTTCGAGCGATAGAGCCAGATATTCGAAATACTCTTGATGCCATAGCAGAAATTTGTGGACGCAGCAAACTCAGCCTTGCCAACGAGTACGGCAGTCATAGACCGCCACTGGGAGAGATTCGTGCACCGACTAGGCCAATGGACCACGGGCTTCTTGCGGTGGAAGAAGCCACCTCGAGCAGCGAGCGGTTGGCTGACAAGAACATAATAGTTGTTGGTGATGATATAAGTACCGTTGACGGGCGGGAACAATATTCATCGAGATACGGTTTTTTTGAGAGCATGCAAGCCAATATCGGTGCTCTAGACTATCGATTTCCCTTTCCTCCTTGGAATGAAAGCGATCCCCAAGTAGCGATCCCCAGGAGGAACCCTACGCCGGCAGGCGAATCAAGAGGTCAGTCGCAATCTCACGAGTGCCAACCGAAGTTGAGGCGTTCGTCGTTTCCATGGGCGCTTCTTGGACGAAGTGGAGACTTTGGTAATCGTGCTGGCCGGCAGTCGATCCAGTCTCGTCCCGTCATTTCGGAAGTTCACCTCGACGCCCAAGCTAGCAGCACAGACCAACAGCTCGATGGGATGGACTTGCCCACTCAGCTGGAATCCAGGCATACCCGCGAGACCGAGCCTGGTAACCCGATGCTCAAATATGCGGCACACAGGCTGTCATTTCTTTCTGATCTTCGAGGGCTGCTTAATCGCTTCAAGAATGTTCGCCAGCAGAATCGTTTGAGCGACAATGAAGCCTGTGTATCGGCAGAGAGGAATCTGAGAGAGCTTTTGCAGAGACAGAATACATATCTACTGGCAAGAGATGAACACCACCAGGTTTTACATGTTGAGGCTGCTTAAGGTAATAACGATGCATATCACGATATAATGTACGACATTTCATTTGACAATCCGATGCTTGCACAGTGGGTATGACGCACCTCTCTTTTCCGAGCAGGCAATTTGAATTATGAAGTTACGGCCAAGTAATGATTTCACGATTGATTCACCCGCACTCATGACAATTTGATTCAGCAACTTTGTGTATTAATTATACAGCCACAGTGACCAGAGAAAAAATTGGGCAATTTTCAATTTTACATTGTTCGTATTAAAGATGTTTTGGCAAGTTCTCTTGGGCGACTATCTTGGAGCATGGGAAAGGTGAGGTTTTATATACAAACAAGATCCTAAGCTGTGCTATCCTTAAACCTAGAATTCTCCATGTTATTGCTGGTCTGAGCCCTCTATAAGACCAATCAACTTCTTCGCAAATTCTTCAAAGACCGAAAAAGACCAGCACTTTTTGTATCTCTCAACCAGCAAATCGTCATAAGAATCCAGACGGGCGTCTTGCCCCTTTTTTGTCGCTTTATTTCCCTGGTCTTGCCCAGTAGAGTCCTTCTTCCATCCCTCTACCATTTCACCAAATCCAACATCAATCGGAACAGCTCCCAAGAATCTTACGCCCGTTTCCTGTGCCATAATTTGTCCGCCTCCGCGGGAGAAGACGTTGCTCACTTCGCCACAACACGGACATGTATATCCAGACATGTTTTCAATCACCCCCAATACTGGTATGCGCGTTTTAACACAGAAATTGATCTCCTTCCGCACGTCGGAAGTGGATATCGCCTGGGGCGTCGTCACCAGAACGGCGCCCGCTAATTTCGGCGCTGTGGCACGTGAAGAACGCAAAGAGTAAGTTTGCTGAATGGTGAGCAATTGCTCAGCGAGCGCGATATGTTCATCGCTCGTGCCCGGCGGCGTGTCGATGAGAAGATAGTCCGTTTCTCCCCATAAAACATCCGTGAGAAACTGACGGATCATAGCGGTCTTCTTGGGACCGCGCCATATTACGGCGTCGCCACGGTCGCGGAGGAGAAAGCCGAGGGACATGCATCGTAGGGAGCCGCAGAAATTGGTGCTCTGAGGGGCAGTCTCTACTGTAGAGGAGGAAGATTCGTTCGAATCATCCGGTTTGTTTGCTCTCTGACTGCCGTTTAACCCGTCTGAAGAAGGGGTGTGGAAGGGATGGACGGTGACCGGCAACCAGCCGCCCGGGGCCTGTGTAATCTTCGCATCTTCTAGTCCGACGAGGCGTGGGATAGAAGGGCCAGTTAAGTCGACATCCAGAATACCCACGGACCGGCCTTGGAGGCAGAAAGTAAGAGCGAGTTGGAGGGTCACGGAGGATTTGCCGACACCGCCTTTCCCGGAGAGGACCTGTAAAACAAATAAACAGTCTGGAGTCAGCGAATGGTTACTTAAAGGCTCATTTTTGTGTCTGGTCTTTGTTTTGCGTGCCAAAACAGATCCCATGTAAGCGTTCCAGGGAGAACAGGGAGCTCCCCGCATGGAACAGCTTCAGTTATCGATAAGAAATGGCGGGGATGACAAAAGCTTTTCATACCAACACAATATTCTTAACACCGTCCAGCGGCATGCTTGCATCAATTGCTTCAAGTGAAAGGTTTACCAGTTTTCCAAGAATCAAAGTTTGCACATTCAAAAGGTGGACATGAACATTAATGTGGTGTGCTTGGGGATTTATGGTACTCCAAGATGCTGGCTTATATATCACATCATCGCGATTATCAATCAAAAATATGTCGTCTGGATTTCCGCGGTAAAATTTACACAAGGGATTAAAAAGGGCACTAATTACTGCAGACTTGAGCAATTAATTTTCTATTTGCTACTACTACTTTTGGTCCTCATGGTGGGGTGATTAAATATCCATAACTCGCCCAAGCGACGATATGGAATTCAATCAATTCGACAAATGGGGGCCAGATAGTTTTTAAAGCTAGAATGCTATGGTCAGGATCCCCAGAAGCACAAATCGCCAGAACGTAGCCCAAAGATCTGGGCCGTTTTCCCTAGATCTTCATGTCCACTTTTGTACAACAACTCCACCGCGCTGGTATTCCTTAATTTCACCAAGGGCTGCCGACTTTTCCTTGAGCTCAGTGCTGGGGAAGGTGGTCATAAGTACCCACTGCCTTGTCTGGCTGACGGGACTTGCAGCGGTGACGAAATCATACACGTCACCGATTGTGTGCGTGGTATTGAAGCGGCTGGTCAACCTTGTGCCATCTCCAAGTCGAATTTGGAGCGTCACTGTAGGCTGGGACTCGTCAATTTTGGGACGTTGCGGCCCTGATTCCGTAGCTGTGGATGTTGCGGTGGTCGTCAGAGCTGGCGCTGCTGTCCGAGAACCTGGGCCTGGCGTGGGACTTCCCAAGCGCTGGCCTGGCCCAGAGAATGGTTTATACTTAGGTTTCGGTTTGACATAGTTGGAATCGTGCTGATTAACTTCCACATCAACATGCTGTCCCGGCTGAACATTCATTATAGCCAGTGGAGCTTGGCCTCGTCGAATGCTTTCCAGAATGTGTGAATTCCTTGGATCGTCAGAGCGGAACAAATCACCATCATCCACCGAAAATCCGTCATTCCAAAAGTGTAGCGTCCTACGCACGCGCTCAAGCGGTTGAGATCTGTTCGCGTTGGGATTTTCGACAACTCTGCTTGGAGCATCGTCGCCACCAAGTGTTCGAGCCGTACCAGTGAAATGAGATCTCCTCGGTTGCGATTCATCGTCTCGTGGTAAGGCTCTAAATATCAATAATGTCAGGGTCATCGTGAGGATCACGGACATGGAAGGATACTCACTTCTTTGCTTTCTCTATGATCTTTTTCTTGAGGTCATCAGGGTTTTGAACAGCTAAGCCTGACTTCTCCCCACCAGTGAACAGATTTGGTTTATCGTCCTCATCATCTTCTTGTTCATCCGCTTCCCCTGAGCCCAGATCGTGGAGGGTTGCGAACTTCTTTCTCTGTGGCCTGCCTGCACCGGTGTTCGTGGGCTGCGCCTCTGGGGCAGCCTCCGCTAAGGTCCGGCCAGCTGAGCGACCCGCCGCTTGTTCTGGGGCCAAGTCTTCGTCATCGGCTGACTCGAACTCTTGCTCCTCAGGGTAAAATTCCGCAATGGAGCGGTCGAGATTCCAGTGGGCATTGTCAAGATACTCTCTAGCCTGTTGCCCAAGGAGGGATAGGTAAGCTTAAAACTTGAGCACAAAGACACGGAATTCTCACTTCTGTAGGAGTAACACCAGTAATAGCACAAAAATGTGAGATTAAAGTGTCTTGCTCCGCTAACGAAGGAGCCATGATCGCTGCTGCTGAGTACCAAGGAGGGGCAGCTAGGCTTGAGAAGGGCGTGGGTAGTTAGAACCAGAACCGAAAAGAGCGTAGATAATCTCTGCTACTGCGCGCCTATCTCAGCTCTCAGTATCGGGGTCTCTTTCCCGTCTCACCTTCGCAGACGATCAGGGAATGACAGCTCTCTGATGCGATTGAGGGATAGTCAGCCTTCACCAGGCGACGAGCAGCTGCAGTTATGTAATCAGCAAACGACGTCACTCACAGATTGATTAGTTAATAATCAAGTCAGGCATCGTGTCTGATTATGTAATCGACATTATGCTTACATAACAGGAGTCTGCTTGGCCTAGCCGGCCGTTGAGCAGTGACCAGATCAAGCGATGGGAAGAAGAGCAGCCGTTGACGGGCACAAAGTAGCAGGACGATCTGACCATCGCTAGGCGACATTGCGAGAACCTGTGTTCTTCTCCCCGTCCTCGTTTTCTGTTCTTTAACCGGCCTCCTCGGGCGGTCAATCGCCCCCTCCCTTTCCCCCTCATCAGAACCTGCGTCGTCCACAATGAGTTCAGAAGGGAATTCGCAATCGAGGATAGAGCTCTTTGAATCTGCCTTGACACTCCCATCAGATTCCGAGACCTACGCGGCAAATAACGGACTTTCCCCGTCACCCGAGCCTTCCTCCAACTCCGTGGTTGTCTACCAACCACCAACGATATGGCGCTTTTTACGGAGTGCAGCAATCAACCTGCTTCTTCCCTTTATTAACGGCTTGATGTTGGGATTCGGGGAGCTATTTGCACACGAAGCTGCATTCCGACTCGGCTGGTCCAATACCAAGGTGAGCCATTCCCCTACCAGACAGCTACGATCCCATTTTGTTATGAAACCCTGGTTGACATTGGTTCTTCTGTCGTTGTCAGGTCTTTCCCACGCACAGAAGGTCAAGGCCCGCGGGCGCTGGGATCGAATCTCCGGAATCTTCTCGCCAAAGGCGATCCCGGAGTGTATTCAGTTTACAAGATATGGCATCGCTCGAATGAATCCGCATTGATGGAAGTCCTGGCAAGTCTCCGACGTGAGACGGCGCGACACCTGAATTTGAAGCCCAGAACTACATGGATTTCCTCAGTGTACATACATACATACTTCCATCTAGCTCACTGGTATCTGTTTTAGCATAAATCAGGGCGGCGAATGGCGTTGGACATTTACATCATGTCCCATCCCTCATTGGTCTTAAATTTCTTTCCCCAAAGCTACATGGAAGTCTTTTGCATAAACCAGGGAGAAGAATAGGAATACATGGAATTAACCAAACGTCGAAGCATTCCATTCGTGTACGCAGTATTATGTAGCCTGCAATAATAGTTCGCATTGCGGTCTGGAGCGGAATCGGCTAACGTTCTGACGATTTCTTGGCAAAAGTAACTATCGCGTTTTCTTTTTTTAAGTTTCCTCGCCGCAAAGGAAATTGTACGTCTAAAGCTGAGCATTCAGTAAAGCAACCCGGTACGCCGCTTGATCTCTACACAATGCTTGTCAGCGCAGGCGCTCGGCGCTCCGGTGCCGCTGCCGGTGCGGTAAGGTCAACCCTCCATAGATCACTACACTCTCAGAGACAGGTACAGTCTCCGGCCCTTTAACGCTTGTTAAATCCTAGTGGGCGTCACTGCTGACCCTCAGTTATTAGTTCTCTTCTTTCATAGCGGCCCGGAATTCCCAGTCACAATGGCGGCGGGTTGCAAGAAACAACTCTGCCTTCCGTGGACGGAGCCAACCCTCTGGTTACCCGTCTTTGATCTCTTCTCCTCGCTTCATCTCTTCCTCCTCCTCCTCCGCCGCGACCGTGACCAGTGCAACCCCAGAGACACCTGTAGATAACGGTGTTCAGACAATTGAGGCTTTATCGGACGGCAGTAATCCCGCGCTAGATCTTTCTCAGGTCCCAGTGAAACTAGGATATCTCAAAGAACTTGGGTTAGACTATGGCTTTGGGCCATCCTCATTGATCGAAACGTTACTTGAGTCCATACATATCTATGCTGGGCTACCGTGGTGGGGAAGTACGATTGCTGCAGCTGTATTTATCCGCGTTGCGCTTTTTAAATTCAATCTCAACGCCTCCGACATGTCTGCAAAGCTCCGACGGATGCAACCTATCACCAAACCCCTTCAGGAACGCATGTTGAAAGCTGTGCGGGAAGGAAATAATCTCGAAGGTTTGAAACTAAAACAGGAAATGGCTATGATACGTGAACAGCATGGCGTGAAGATGTGGAAAACCTTTGTTCCAATGTTACAAATCCCTCTGGGTTTTGGATTTTTTAGAGTTCTGCGAGGAATGTCCTCGTTGCCAGTACCAGGACTGCTGTCCGAGCAATTCCTGTGGCTTAACGATATAACGCTCTCCGATCCTTTTTTTATCCTCCCCTTGGTTACCGGGGGGTCAATGTACTTTGCTATCAAGGTATGTCCACTTAAACTGCCCATTGGATCTATAATGAATGAGCAAGCCCTGACCTCCCATTGTAGCGCGGCGGCGAGACAGGCATGGACTTTGCCAATTCTCCGCTTGGAAAATTTATGTTATACGGGCTGCCCGTCATTTCGACCACTGCTATGAGTTTCTGGCCCGCTGTCCTACAGCTCTACTTCGCCAGCACCAGTTTGCTCGCTCTTATTCAAGCCTATCTGGTGACTTCTCCTGGTTTTCGTAAACTCGCTGGCGTTGAGCCTCTTCCGTCGAAAACTAAACCCGTAGGTCCCAACGAACCTGGGGCTAGTGGGTCGTCTGGTCGAATTCGCGTTATCCCGACCACGGCACGGGTGGTGCCCGAGGCACAACAGAACCCTGAACAGCAGGTTTACTCGCCCCAGAAGGTCAGCGTTATCGATCGTACTCTCGATAACGTGAAGCAGGGGTTCCGTGACGTGCAGAAACAGGTGCAGGAAAAGATGGACGAAATGGCAGGCGACAAGACAGAGAAAAACCCCGACGGAACGCCAAAGGCACCGCCACGGCTCTCTAAACAGGAACTTGAGAATGCTGCGGCATACGAGAAGCGACGAAGGGAGCAACTTGAAATGGAGCGAGAATTGAGAAATCAGAGCCTGCGAGAAGAATATATGAGGAAGAAGCAGAACATACAGTGAAGCAGAAGGATAAGAGCTTTTCACTTGGTGTTATTTTATATTTACTGGCTTCTTGCATCGAATTTTCGGCGAAAGAGTGTATATATGATCAGGTTTGGATGGGGAATGTTTCTGCTGCTTTTTTGTACTACTATTTCCTATTGTCATCCCTCATTAGCCGAGACTTGTCCTTCTACCTATGTGTTAACTCCCTGGAGATTTTGGCTTTGCGGGCTTTGCTGTCGTTACAACTAGATTCCTGATTACGCTGGAAAGTTCAGGGAAGACGGGTTCTTAGATCATTGAAGCAAGTCTGCGTTCATCGCTTATTATTATTGCGAATTCTGATAATTCCCATGTTAAACTGTGAGTAATCCTTTACCGGTACCGCGTTGCTGCCTCGCTATAATCAAGATTCATACCCCATGAAATGCACCATACTTTCTAAACGCCAGTGGGCCCAAGTATCTCACAACAATTCGTTTACCCATAAACTGACGAAAGAATTCAGCTTTGGGACTTCCCATCATTTACTGGCCAACAAACTTTACATCACCTAAACAGCCGCCTACCACCACTGCCGCTTCTGACACTCCAAGTAAACGCACCACGAACAGAAAGTCCGTTCATGCTCAAACCTGTGAAGCCAACCCCGCCTCCCTCGCCATCACGCCGATACCGTCGGAACGCTTCTCGCAAGTGAGATGGGAGGAGAGGGCCACGATGTGGGTTAGGAGGTAGTTTAAAAGGTCTTCGGCGACCGGCGTGACGTGTTTCCCCTGGCGCTGTTGTAACAGTGGTAGCTGTCGTTGCAGGTGACATATCGAATGACATGGTACTTTGGAGGGTTGTTTGTGTGGAATTTGGCGGAGTGCTGACTGAAATCCCATCAAAGCTTTGTGATTCTTCCTTTTTTATCACCGGTTCTTTTGGTCCTTCGACCTTTACGATTGAAGGCGAAGGCAGCGAGGTTGTTGGCTTAGGTTTCTCCTGTCCTGAAGGATCTGAAACCTGTTCTGCAGCTTGTGATTCTTCCTGAATAGTAAGTTCTTCCTCCTCTGCTTCGTACGCTTCAAGGGCGGCTGCATCAGTCGTATCAGCCCATTGTTGCTGGACAGTCCTTGCCTTTTCTACCATCTCCCCTATAAATATCTTGGTATACCCGCTGATGGTGGTGATAACATTTGGGGGGACGGATTGCGACAGGGTTTGATTGACAATTTTTCGTAAAGTAGGCTTGTTTAACTTCGCACGCTTAAATAAATCGTATCGCTCTGACTGCTCAGGGTTGAAGGCATCGATTAGGATGCTGGTACGCGCCCAAAGCGGTCAGTCATAGAGTTGACACGGTGTAAGGCGCATATACTTACGCAAGATTCTTCTTCTCCGCCTCAGCGTCGACGGCAACATCATCGCGCTCCATTAGTTCGGTGTCACCCAAATCATCATCATCATCTTCTTCTCCCTCCTCGTCGCCAACGCCTCCCTTCGCAGACCCAGCTCCTTTCCCGTCCACGGTACCAGCGCGCACGCTTCCAGATGCATCATCACGGTCCTTTTTGCCTTTTTTCCTTCTTCCCCGGCCAGCGCCGACACCATCCACGCTCCCAGTTAAAGAGCCAGTAAAACTGCCTGTGACACTTGCGCCATCAATTTCTGACCTGGCGCTCGTGGCTCCAGCATAGACGCGGGGATCTGTATCTGCGGATGTGGGAAAGGAGGTTTGGCGGAGTGGATGGAGACGCGGCTTTTTGGAGGGCTGGGATGAAGACGACGAGACTGCTGATGAGAGAGAAGGTCTCTTTTTGGAGTTGGAAGCGGGTAGGCTGAGAGTAGTGGGAGGCGGAGAGAGGGACATGGTTGAAGCTGTGAACTGAAAAAAGATCTGGATAAGTCTACAAGCTGTTATCCTGAATGGATCGACAGTTTATAGCAATAAACCCAAAGGGAAGCAACCATAAGATCATCCTGATCCAGTCATGCATAAAGAAGTAGTCAATCTGAGAGAGATTCATCCTCCTCTCAACGCTCTGTTTGCTGGCGCTGATTGTCCTGCTTCCCGTTCATTACGGGGTTGATTATGTAATATATGCGTAATAACGTCTTTCACGGTGAACTCGGACACCTTTGCACGTGACATAGTCTGATTTTTCAGCACCAATCAAATCTCTCAGTCTTCATCATCGTACATTCATTTCATAGCAAAAATGAGCACAAACAGACTTTTTTTGGCTGCTTCACAGTAAAAAAATCCAGAATTAAGTCAACAGAGAGCTGCTATATTATATAATATTTCTCTTTTAAGTTTAAATAATTATACTTCTGCTTTCAAGTTCTTTCTTCAGGGTGGGCTAGATATGTATGATTTTATTTACTCCAGTTGTACGGAGTACAGAGTCTGTGTATGGTATCTAGACATGGCTTGTATCTCTATATGGTGCCTGGGACTAGTAGCCTGTTTGGTGAAGTCAAGCAAGCCATCTTAAGAAGGTTTTATACCACATGCAAAAGTGTCCGAGTTCACCGTGTGTCCGAGTTCACCGTGTGTCCGAGTTCACCGTGAAAGACATTAGTTAACTACCTGCTCCGTCCAGAGTATGGAGTAACTACGGAGTACTCCGTAGTTAGTTTAACTAACATTGCTCGCGGTGAACTTGACCCACTTATTCCTATGTCAAACACCAATTAAAATCTCTTAACCGCAATCCTCATACAGAAATATATTCAGGAATCATGAGTGTAAATGAACTTGCTTTAGCTGCTTCATTAATTCAAGATCACTGATTGAGTCAGTGGAAAGCTGCCAGGTTATATAATGTTCTTTCAATTCAAGCTTAAATAATTATATTGATGGTTGTACGGAGTACTCCGTACGGAGTAGCAAATAGCTGAATAAAGAGTCAAATTTCTGTGGCTTTCTAGCAAGCCCTTTTGCCTCCCAAAGTACACCGTAAATTCCTCCACTTACAGTGCAAGACAGCCATGTCATCATCCCAGCTGGTCCGATGCATTGGCTGATTATCGCTCCAGGCCATTATGGAAAATAGGAGTTGATATTCTCAGAATTAATGGTTTGAGGGAAGGAGCGGTTCCTTTTCCAAGATACTAATATTCGCGAGTTAAGCTGAAGGTCTATTTGGTTCTGGCTCTTTTGATGTCATGGATTATTTGACAATTTTGAAGTGTATAAAAGCCGCATTCACTTGGTCCCGGGAGGAACTAACTTGCTCTACGCAGTCGCTTATTCTCCCAGATCGATCCAGAACTTGAAGTGTCAGCCTCCACTATCCGGAGAATTCACACATTGAATCATGCTTGCAACCAACAACAGAGTCACCCTTGAACTAGAAACCAAGGAAATACTTTTGGAGAGATGAGCAAAGAAGTCCATACTACTCTGTATACCTACATAGGATCTACCATAATCTGCCTGCCACTCAAATCTATAGTGCGATAGAATGGAGCTGGAAGTTCACAGCACATCCCATCATCCTAAACCCAATCAATAAGGTTAAGCTTAGAGATCTACCAGCATTTGAAAAGCTAGAAATTTAACTTCCATTTGAAAAAGGAGCGGCAGTTTTCAACTAGATGGTGGATCACCAAAAAAGAAGATAAAAACAAACATGTGAAAATCAGAGACAGAGTGACTTCACCGCTAAGGGATTGGGTTGATACGCTCAAAATGCCCAGAGAGCCATCAAACGCAGCGGCGGGTTGACCAATGTTCATTAATCCCGAAATAGAGAAAGTAAATACCGAAATCAGATCATAAACGCAGTGAAAGAGCATGTGTCATTCTTGATAGCAACAAATATCAATTTAGAATCCAGTTTCACCAATTCTTGGGGCTCCTCCTCTCCAATCATTACGTTCGTAGTAGCGGAACACGAGGTCATATCCGTCCAGGTCGTGGACAATACGGTCAACACGTCGATATCCGGGGATATGCTCCATCTTTGCGTTGCGTAAAACGGCATGGCGTTGCAAGGCCTTAGAATCATAGACGCTGGGTGCATCAGCATGGGGAGGCTTTGCTTCGAACAAAGTAACGCTGAAGCGTCCAGGCTTGAAGATCTCCACGACGTGTTTGACAATATCGGCAGTTTCACGGCCAGACTGAGCATGCGGAACGTTGGTTTCAAACGATGCGTATGAGCAATGAGGCTCAGGAGTCACATGGACCGTAAAATAATGGGTGCCAGACTTATTGTCAGGGGACGGAACAACCCCGTTGGCAGAAAACCCACATGGAGTGAACAGGTAGGCATCGACACGGGCATCCGGGTACTTGTTCACAGGATAGACATCTGAGAGCCCGCAGGAGTCAGAAACCACGGTACCTAAAGCATGACCTTCGCTTGTTAACTCGGGTGGCAGCGATTGTCCAGCATCCGACTCGATATCACTGTTGTCAGAAGAATTGTTGCTGAATACATCCAAATGATGATCGTTGTTCTGGTGGAGAGATCGATGACGATCTTCTGCGACCGCACTCGCATGGTCGAGATAGAATTGCTTTGCATTCTTCTCGTCCAGATCAGTCATCAATATCTCAAGAGTCTCGTCACTTTCATCGCATCGCCCGTTCTCTGGCTGCATGCCATTCATTGCCTCGGGTAAAGTCAATGTCTTGATGGAAGTCTCGTGATTCGGCGTCGTAGGTGGCGTTAACGACGTAAACGGTTCAGTCAGGTAAAGATACCAGTGTTCACCATTCATTTTACCGATCATATAGGCACTTCCTCCTAAGAAGAGCTTATCCAACGTTTTGACCTCATCGCGCCAGCTGCGGTGAGGACCACGCTGGCGGTCCGGGAATAGGAAATTTTTGCGACTGTAAAATACCCGATACGGAGCTGCAGCGCTTGAGATGCCGCCATAGCAAGGCGGGCTGTTTTTCGGAAAGCCTGCATGCAAGGCTGCGATTTCCAAGATTCGAGGCAGGCCCAGGAGAAGTGTTGTTGTGCCACACGTTTTGAGAATCAGTTTGTGAGGGAAGACAAACATGCTTGATTCGGACAACAGGTAGGCATCGACATCATCGGATTCGACGATTGACAGAACTTGACAGTTGACCAAATCAAGCATGCCCTTCCAGATCTCCGGCGAGACAGCTTTAAGTCCGGTGGGAACGGCTGTCCCAGCGAGATCGTGGGCAGACGGGCTGAACCATACTTCGAGAAGCTTTTCGGGGCCTGTCAGATCATTATTAGCCAAAAAGGAACATTGAAAGGTTAGCAAGCTGGTACTCACCTTCAAAGGCGTTGCTCGAATCAAGATCTATGGTCGCGCCATGATTAATCGTCAACGACGGCGTCCCCACGAATGAGGATGGCGAAGTGGAGTAATTGTTTGGGATTTGAACGCTGACCATATCCGAAGATGGATCGTAAATATAACTAAATGATCCAGAGTACAAACAAAAAAGCAAAAAGCCGTAGAGAGCTTCAGGATACAGGGGTGTTCAGGTGAGCGATGCTATGAAGCACTATCTTCCACCCAGACGAACGGTGCGGTGTTCGTCTGAGAAGAGACGGCCCAAAGTCCGATATGATTGTGCTGAAAAGACAGCAAAACAGTGAATATGTAATGTGAACCTCCAAAAGGGTGCTAGGGAGGTCTGGCGGAGAGGGGGAGGAAGAATGCCCTTAAACCGGGAATTGTGGCCAGTCTCGGGGTACCCTCGAACTGACAGATACCGATACTGGTGAAAGTATCGGGTCTAACAGACGAGGATATCTGCGTCTGGTATAAAAAAATTTCAGGTAAACAAGAAAACGGAAGATGCGGAGGGTCTACACGCGTGGAGCTGGTGTTATCTGGGTCTAGATGGATAAAAGCAAGGCGAGTTAGCATGTGCAATAAAGCGTTGAAGGTAGAGATCTCATAATGATCGAAAAGCTCGGGAATAATTGAGCTGGAGGATCCTTTCTTACTTTGCAGGCTTCGATAGAAATCGTAGGAGGTCCTTCCGGCTCATGGAGAGAAAACACGGGTTCTCTTCAGAGTCACGTACGGCAAGACAACCACGCCGTTATATCATTTATACTGAACTCCCCAATGCCAAGTCCAATGAATGTAAATCCTCGTTGGAATAAAATTCGACTGCAACGGCGGAGGGGTCCAAGTTGGATGAAGTTTGCCTCAAGTGATGGCGGGGTGATAGCTCACAGACGAAGGTAGTTACACGGAAACTGAAAGGCTGTCATCACCATTAGTTGCCCCGATCAGACACGTACCGGCCAACTGATCACTACAAAGGGGACTCACAAGCTCTGGTCGTTGTTGTCAAACAGTTCGAGTTCACCTCAGCGGACTCGGGGCCTTGGACGAACAATGACGAAGCAGCACAGATTCAATTTCGTCTTTGTGCCAACGGCAAAAATCTCACGGGAAAATACACAAGTTGCTGCCCGACAATTCACAGGGGAGGCAAAGCCAAAGGAAGAGGGAAGAAGAGGGGTGTCTTCTGTGAGCTTACTGTGTGATGAAAAAAAAAAATTGCGCATGCGACAGTTGGACATGAAATAATTATCGATCCTGGCTAGCACCGTATCGTTCTTGTGTGTCACTGCTGTAACTGTGACAGGGCCTGTACAAACTATACCGGGGCATTATGTAATTCTCCGGCAAAATCGCTAGTGGATCATCTAATTCGCCGAAACCCCGGCGGGATGTGGTTGTCACATAACGGCATCGTACCGGTACGAAATATTTCACAAGCCCATCGAACTGCAGGGTCGAAGGCCTGCAGGCGCACACAGTGCATATTAAGCTGGCGGGCTGGAATTCTGAGGCGAGAGCGCCTCTCTGCCGTCCCTTTTCGTCCTCGGGCTGGTGTTCCTATAAGTTTGACAAGAAGCGGATACATACGTTGCTAATTATTCTCTATCAAGAAATACATAAATATCCGTTATAACAAATAGGCCTCCAGTAAAAAGCCTGAGGCAAGTAGTGAATATGTTAAAGTAGATATGAACCCACAAATGACACTGCTGGTATCCATCCTTCCCCATTAACGCCGGCGCTGTACTCCGTGACCCGGATCGAACCACCCTGCCACCAATTTTTTGCGAAAAATGTACACCATTACACACGCCCGTCCTGTCTTTTGATAACGCCAAACCAAGGTCCTCGTAGTATCCAAGGCGGATTTCTCAAAACTTCCCAAGAATAGCCTGAGCAAGCCGTACGTTGCCAGAATCGATTATTCGTGAAGCCAGTATTCCTCCGATCTTTTTAGTCAACTGTTTGCTTAGCGTCTCCATCGCCCCGTTTGCAACTCCGTTCGTAAGAGGTGCTTTCTCATCCTGAATCGTTGAAAGAGCTGCAAGGATAACTCCTATAACCTTTTCGGCTTCCGACTTCCGCAGCCCTTCATCTCCAGCGACATCCTTGAGAACAACTTCATATGTTGGAAGATTGGGAATGATTAGCTCGCGAATAACATCGGGTCCTCCGATAGAATGTAAACCGATTATTGCACCATAGTGCGTTCCAAAGGGCTTGCTGGGATCCATGAAGTTCTTCAAGAATGTTCTCGCCAGTCGGGGCTTAAGTGTATGCGACGAATGCGAATACTTCTTGCTGATCATTCCGATGAGAGACCCAGCTAAATCGCGAAGCGTAAAGTGATCCAGGGGGTCCGATCCACCTTCAAGTTGGCGCCCGATAACGCAGGTCAATACCGGCGGAATCAGGGAGGCAACCTGGAAGGGACATTAGATATCTATCGCATGAGGAGTAACATGTATGCTCTGTACTTACATATGGGTCAACATATAGCGTTTTATTCTGAATCAACGCTTCGGTCATATGCATGACCTGCGTTAACACGAAAAGATCCTTCAAACTATGGGTGACCTTCTCTGATATGAACTGGACGAAATACGGTACGAGCTGGTGCAAGCCTGGGTCCTCTTTCAGGCTAGCAAAGGCAGACAGGCGATACTCCTCGTTCGACTCATCCAAAAAAGCGCTGCAAACTCTCTCAAAGTAAAGCTGCAGCTCCTTAGAGAGAATATGCTTCACTAGAGGTTTCACTGTGACGTTCTCGTTCCCGCTCATCGCAGCCAGATTAGCGTTCGCATTTGGCCCTTTCGAAATTAATTCTAAATTGCGTGAATCGGCGGAGGTTGGGTTTTGGGGGATTGTTGGCTGGACTCCTTCCACAGCCAACCAGTGAGCTAGAGACGACACGGAGCTCCATCAGTAAAAATGAATCACCATAAACAAAATAGCTAGGCAAGTGGCAGTACCAGTGAAAGTTATCTCTCTCGGCACTCTAGGCAGCGGCGCATTGATCAACTTCTCGAAATCCACCTCATCATCTTCGACGTAAAACAGCGGTTGTCCGGGTCCAATCGTAGCTTCCCCAAACTTCAGCGGACGAGTAGACTCGTAGCCATACAGAGGCTCAACATCAAGTACCCTCAATGCATTTGAGACGTCCTGCGTCGTGAGCAGTGTGCGTTTTCCGTGCCTCATAAACTTATGCGATTCTTCCAGTACCTGAGAGACGCGATACTCGACGTCTCTCGCGAGATGGTCGACGACTTCTTCATTCAGTGCGTTTATCCCCACTGATTCAGCGACATCTTTGATATTGTCTGGATTCCACACCAGCATGGCTGTGGTCGTAAAGAGCACACACTAGTAGAGGCGTTGATGACAAGGTCAGAGTCAGGAAAGCTCCTCAGGAAACAGAGAGGGGGTGGGAGCTCCGTCGTATCAGTAGTACGAGAAAACGAGGAGAAAGATATCAAAGTGTCTCAAGTCAAGGCTCATTTGTAAATGTGCATTTGAATGAAAACGATCCTCATTCACTCCCATGTGGTTCAGGCTTTGGAGTTGTAGAGATGAATACACAGAGCTTCCATCAATGGGCTCTACAAAAGAATTGCGTTTATGGAGCCTATTGGCCTCCCTAGTTATCTGGGGCTCCGGCGGAGTACACTGACCTACACGCAACTTTATTACAAGCTACTCGCCTCAACTTCTGTGGTCAGTATAGAATGTGTTGGATACTTGAATTTAATCTTTTTGACTACCTTTAGCTCCTTCGCAACGGTAGAGTACATTAGGGTATGGGGAAGAGGTATCTTAAAAGCACGTAACATTTTTGAATCATGCCATTAACAAGACGCCAGAGAGGGTAATATCGCCTAGGATAACGCCGCGTAATGGAATCCAGGCAAGAGACCGTATTGTATCAACGGGGGGTGGTCTAGCGAGTAGGTGGCTAATTTGGGCGAGAATCAGCGGGAGCATCGGCCAAAGTATTGGCTGGGGCGTCGGCTGGGGCGTCAGTTTTGGTGTCAGTTGGGACGGCGGGCTTGTCGTTCTTTGGTGCGTCATCTTTAGCAGGTCCGTTAGTAGCATCTGTCTGGGCAGGGTTTCCACTGGCAGGTTCAGCCTCCGGAGCTTGAGATGCATTCCCATTCTCTTCGGGCTTGGTTTCAGGGGCTTTATCATCCTGGAGCGTGACGGTCCGACCAGAGTCCGCCAGAACATCACCTTTTCCACCGTAGGTCTTCGGAATTTCTTCGCCAAAGGTGGTGAATTCACGAGCCAAGTTGACTCCGTTGGTGATTGGATGGAATTTGCGGATCGTATTCTTGCTAAGGAATACCTTGAGAGCAGTAAAGACCCATCCCATCACAACTGGCAAATTGACGAAGTATTTCTCCTTCAAAAGCTCGGGATAAGCGGTGCTGAAGACTTCAATAGTTTCACGAGACGCCGCGCGGATATTTGGATTCATACGAATGAAACTAACGTTCTGATAGTCGTGAACTTGGATCATTTGATAAGGATCTTCGCCGTTGTAATCCATGACTGAAGTAGCTGATTCAAGGCGAAGCTCGCGGATGGCCAACTCCATAAGGGCAACGCGCCATTTTATAAACCTAGGAAACATGATTAGCCAGATTTCCTAATAGGGATACTTGAAACTTACTCTTCCAGGTTGCCAAAGGTCAAGTCGACATTCTTGACTGAACCGTAAATGTTCCAGGTAAAGACTACATTTTTCTCGGTGGTCGGATCACGATAGGTTGTGATATAGCCCAGACCCTTGAATTTACTTGAGGGGAAAGCTGCGCTCTCAGCCAATGCAAGGGGGTTCATCTTTTTACGCCACTCAAGGGCTTTGACAAGCTGTTCCTCTGCAAGTTTCACATTCCCTTCGTTGGCTCGCAAGAACTTGATCATGATGTTGACAGTAGGAGCATCCTGAGCATCCTTAAGGGGGACTCCCCACATTTCATTGTGGCCGGCTTTCTCAACGATCGGGGCGAGGCGGTCGAAGAACTGGGATAGCGCCGCGTTATTGACGAGGTAAGAAGGACGGGTGTCAGCTGGTTCCTGGGGTTTCGGATCAGCAACTTGGGTATTCGCGCCGGCTTTGTCTTTGACTTCTTCGATAATGTCAGAATTGGCGTCGTCTGCAGTGGCCGCTGTGGTGGCAGCTGGTGGTGGAGCAGGAGCTTCCTTGGAGTCTTCTTTGGGTGCTACTTCGGCAGGCTTCTCAGTCTCAGCCTCCTTGGAGTCGCCAGGGGGAGCCGCAGTAGCAGCGCTGTCCTGAGGCTGTTCAACCACCCTTTCAGCAGGTTGTTCAGCGGTCTCACTCAATGTCTGAGCGGGTTGTTCTTGGACTTTTTCCATGATGGAAAGAGCAAAAGGAGTGAAAGTATTGTCTTGGGCTGCATGATGGGAGAGCTTCCAATCAGCTTCAATATAATTACACCGATCAACGTCATCCCAGTGAAGTAACAAAGGGAGACCAGTAGAGAGAACACTCTACTTACCGGAAGTTAGAGAGAGAGAGAGTGCGTGTGTGTGCGCGCGCACGACTTCAGGCCTGGCACGTGAAGCTGGCTATGTTCGGAGTTCGGAAGAGCTTCGGAGCGAGAGAGGTTGGCAGGGTAAAGGCAGGAGGGAAAGAGGGGAAGTGAGGTGAGGCAGCGTGAGGTGGTGATGGGCCACAGAACGGGCAATATCAAAACAACCCCAAGCAGGAGAGCACGCCGACATAATCAGGAGCTTGCCTGAAACAGGCCGGAAAGCTTCCCCAGCCAGGCCAAGTACCTCGCAATCAAGCCACCCGCGCTAGCAGGGTGTGGAGCCGGTTCCGGCATCAACGACTGGTGGCAAAGTAACATTAGTTCACCCGCCAAGCTTGTTGGATTTATGGCTATTAAACCTTCCCGCTCTTATCCGATCCGCATTATCAGATCATCCCCTGACTGCCGCAAAGATCTGCTTAACCGTAGAGGCCGGCGGGATGGCCTTTTTATTGTTGGCATGCTTGGATCACTCCTCTTTACGAGAAGTATCCGTTTCAAGTGCATGATCGTTGATTTTTTCGAAAGGCAAAAATAGATTGCTGTATCTCAAGGGAGCGGCAGGGAAAAGTTCCTCGGTATATTGCTCGAGGATCTAACAAAAGTTATCACAGTACTCCGGGAACGACATGTCATCGCATTTCCTAAATGAAGCCCATAGGAGTACTCCGTACTCCGTACTCTATAAAGTGGTCTTGACTATTAGGCGAAGCTAGAGGTGGTAGTATGTCTCAATAGCTGAACTGCATGACTGCATAGTGCCAAATTTCCCTGCACAGTACAAACCCGTATCATAGTCCATAATCAGATTTGCATTCTCATCTAGCTGGGGAATAGTGAATAATGGATAAGTGGATAGTACACGTATAAGGATCTTGAAGGCAAAAAAAGGAAAAAATTATGTGGGCATAGTTATGATTTGGCAAAACGTTCTGGGAGACTAGGGATTGGAGGGGGCTGTTTGGAGGTATCCTCGTCGTTATCATCGTCCTCCAGGTCATCGGCATTTTCTGGATGCCTAATTAACAAAAGTAACATATTAGTTCATGATAAATCAAAATGGCGGCAGCAGAAACTTTCGCAAGCCGGAAGGGGATTCCATACGCTAGGAGATTCTTGACACCAGACATTTCGTAATGCTTCTTTCGTCGCTCTTCGAATGCGGTGTGCTTCTCCCTCTCTTCTTGGCTCTGTGTCCGATGAAGCGCATCTCCGACGTCTTCGCCCACCACTACATGCTTCTCCGGTTTTCCACTCATGCTAGCATCGCTCATAGTCCGCACCTTCGTAATTCTCGAATCATCATTCGTATCCTGCCAATATGGCTCCTCTGGTTCTCCCAAATCTAAATCAGGGATATCATCCTCTCGGACTCTTCGATGCCGCCCAACCTTCTTCGAAGCGTTGTACATGTCCAACTCATCCACAGCAACATCATCTGCATCGATACCTCCAACGTCCGGATCGTCCTCGTCATCCTCCTCTAGATCAGGGTCATAATGCGGGACGTACGGGGTCTTCGGCTCATCGATTTTCATCGTGGACGATCGCTCCTGCTCGGTGAGATATAGATTTACTTCGTCCCACTTTAATCTGGGGGAGTTTTCATCGGCACCGTTAGATTTCGAAGCAGTGGACTGACGTCGAGATGCGGGGTTGTATTGCTTGCCAGCATTGTAGATGGTGTTTTGGAGGGTAAGTTCCTTGTTGTCGAGGGGTGAATGTGCCTTAAAAAGGGATTGAGGAGAGGTAGGAGAGGTTTGTGCTTGGCTAGGAGGCGAGAAGGATGTGGTCTGGAGCGAAGAAGAGGAATTTTTGAGGATGCCTTTTCTCCCGTGCTCCCAGCAGAATCCGGTTGTCAGTAAGCGGGAACTCGCAAATGCTCATAGTATGTATGTGCATCCTGAAACTCACCCTTGGGTCGCTTTGGCATGTTCTCACCGGAGTGAGGAACCGGTATTTGTTGCGTTGCCATGCTATAAACTGGTGCCGTTCTTAAGTTCGGACAAGTGAGTGAGCTCGATCCTTGAACTTTCTCTTGGAGTTAGACATGTAGTTGCATGTCCAGTGAGTTTCGAGCGGGGTAAAGGAATGCGGAGGAGGAGGGTTGTCGAGGGAAAAACCGAAAAGATAAAGCCGGAAGAGAGGAGGTCTGTAATTCTCGAGACAGTGTCTGAGATCCAGGCGTATTCTTTTGCCCTTCAGTTTTCAGCTGACGCTGATGGCGGTTTTGCGTCTCACGGCACGCCTGTCGTCGGATGGTCGTTTGCGGAATGTTTGTTGCACGTGCTTGTCAAAATGACGTAAGGTCATGGGGTGCCAGGAACTGCTCGGCAAGCGCCAGTGACAGCGCTGGATGACTCGGCGGAGAAGCTTCAGCACTGCCTTTTCACGCAAAGAGCCTGTCAGCCTGTCAGAGATGAATGCAGCCCTCATGAAGGCAATCATTTGGGTGTTCTCAGCCAGAGAGTACTGGAAATATACGGTAGAAGCTATAGTCAAGACTTGATTTCCTATTTCAAAGTATTTTTTGTCTGTCCTAAACCCCCATTTAGTGACTGTCATCCTCCCACTGTAAAAAAGCGATTCCATAAAAAGACACTGGGTTCGGCTTTAGACTTGAACGATAGAACCAAAAAGGACCCCGTAATATCATGCCGTAGAAGAAATAAAAAGAATGTAAAGCTATCGAGACATCTCCAGAAGCACTGGAGTCAAATTCGGTGTCAGACATGTATGAAAAGTGCCATAACTTGAACAGGGGAATTGAAAACAAAAGAAACCAGATACCCAAACAGATATCAATGAAACTCCCATAATCGTGCTCGGATCCAACAAAATGATTTCGTTGCTTTTTTATTTTTCTCTTCAGTAAAATGATAGATGACACAACAGTCATGCATAAAAAATGTTGCAAGATGGAAACGCAGACAACCACCCATTGCTAAAGGACATTTATACCACAGAAATATAATCTCAGGGACAGAAAGGGACTCAAGTTCAAGTGCAACGGGGTATAAAGAGATCCTTGACAAAATCTCAAAATCAGATAAACAGGGTATTCAACACAAGAAGTAAAGATGAAGCGGTAAACCTGGCGCCGATCACCGAATAGCATGGCAGAGTCCAACCAAATCCAAAAGACACAAAAGATATGGCACGAAACAAAGGAGGCATACATCGTGGGGTTCTTTGATTGAATCCTTCATTACGCAAGTGATTCGAATTCTTCTCGTTCTCGCAGTCTATTTTGCGCTAGCTCGTCACCGCCAGCGGCAGACAGCTGCATCCAGTGCAGCGCAAGACACAGGCTCTGTGGGTCAGATTTCAATTCCAAGTCTCGCCGATACATCATGTCACGGTTGAAAGTCTCACGTGGCATCGTGAGGGGAAATGTGACCCGCGGCAATATTTCTGGGTGAGTGAGGTACAGGATGGCTAGCTCTCGTTGTGCCACAGCATTGCCTTCCTGTGCTGTAATAATCCACATTCTAGCCGCATCTTCGATGCCGTTGCCAATTCTTGGAGAGAAGGGTGATTGACGTTGTCGTTTGCTTAGCTCTTGAGAGACAATGTTGTCTGCAATCTGAACCATGCTATGGCACACATCATCCTTCAATTCGAACGCAGCCAAACCGAATTGCAAAAATGCAGTTCCTGCGTCAGCCTTGTTCAATACCTCCGAAGGAACGAAAGCAGCAATGAATTGCAAATCTCGAAATAATGTTTTCGGCTGGAACTTCTGGATGAGCTCTCGTAATGCGCGAATGATTTGGTTATCACTCGGTAGACTGTTTGCCGAAGATCCACTCGAGATCTCATTCGTAGCTGGAACAGGCGAGGACGGGGTCGGAGTCTGGTCATCGGCTACATTGAGTGGCTTCGAGCCTTCCGATACACTATTCCTGTGACCACGTCCTTGCCTTCGATAAATCCTAGGTAGGGCAGCAAACTGATTATTGACAAGCTCGACGCTTCCATTGCCGATTGTCAAAGATGCGATTACAAGACGACGAAGATCATTCAAAGCTCTTAGTTTTGTGAAGGGGTTTGCGTGCCGCGAGAATTGATCCATCAACCGCCGGAATGCCTCGTTGTATCCGAAAGCGAAGTTATCCTCTGTCTCCCTTTCCGCATTGCCTGCAGCTTCCGACCCCGTTGCAAGATTCGCTACTTTGGATCTAGATAACAGAGAAACTGCAGATAGACTCCGCCGCAGACTTTTTCCAGATCGACAAATCGGGTCATCCTCGGGTCGAATGCTTAGAGGCGCAGAAAGGTCAGCCAGGAACCGGTCGAGTCTTTCATTCTTGGCCATCTGGTCCCGAATTCGGGCCTGGTTCAGATAATCTGAAAACCATGCATCGGTCTCGCTTCCACAACTCCAGACAGGAGAACCAAGGTCGCTTAATAGCAGACTGGTCAAGGTCTGCCTCAACTCATCCAAGAAAGCAGCTTTCCCTGGGGGGGTGCGTTCAAGTCTTCGCGTTGTTAAAACATCACTGACCATTGACGCCGGGCGGGATTGGAAGCTAGATATGCTCGTAGTAGACTGGGCCTGGGTGTGAATCGGGGACCAGAATGGCTGGTAAGATCCAACAGTCGAGGCTGCCCGACCAGGCGAGTCACCAATAGATGATGTGTCCGCGCCACCATCCTTCGTCTTCCATCTGTCAGACCCGATGCTTTGGAAAGAAGACTTCCGCACGAGCGACGGAACATCATTAGGTGCACGGAAAAGAGAGTCTAAGTTTCGACCACCAAGGGACTGGGATGGGTAAGGATATAGACTCTCCTCACTCGTAATGCTTGATGGGCGAATGCTTGTTCCCGTGCTGAGGCCCGTAAGAGGACGCGCGCCAGCTGCTTCGAACATCGATCGCTCCTTTTGAAAGAGCTCACTCGACCAGAGAACCGGACTATCGTACATCGATTCTCCAACGAGCTTGCTGACGCTTGTCTTGACCTCGTAAGAAAATCGATGTATTCTCTCCTCTCCCCGACAAAAATTATCGATTCCAGAACGGTGAAGCCATTTTCTCGTGATATCAACTTGCTCGTCTGATAGTTTAGTAGGTCCTCCCTGGCTAGCCGGAGCTTTCATCACGTTCATAACTTGAATTTCCGGTTTTTGAAGAAAAGAACCACCAAGCGACCGGGACCCAAATTTCGACTTGGGTTCAGGAGCGGCTGATAAAGCTTGGAAACCCGCCATCGACTTCAAAGCGAGAGCTACATTCCTTGCATCTTCATACCGCAGAGAGTTTTTGACATCAGTCATATACCACATTTTATTTCTTAACTTCGCCAAACTTCCCATGGCTGACTTGACTTGACTCTGAAAATGGTTCAGAGTATGTTTTAGTCCAATAGTCTTTGGCGAGCACTGGTTGACAATCGAGAAATCAAAATCTGCAGAGTGCTTCGCTGCCCAATATAGCGGGTTAAGTACCTTATCGTCCGTGGCAGATGTGGGACGTCCCTTGGCGACAATTCGTAGTAAACGCGCTGCATTCCACCAGTAGTGGGAAGTAGGAAAATCCGACTGACGCTGACAGCGGATCATAGCATTTATAAATCCACGCCTTAGGGAAGATTCACTTTCGGCACAGTCAGGTGTATTCGATCCATTTTCCGTGCTGGCCACGTTTGACAAAGGATCAAATTCATCCGTGAGCCTGAAAATAGCATTCTCCAGCGCGTTTTGATCTTCCATTGACAAACCAGCCAGATTATTAGGCGTGGCTTCCAGAGACACGGAGTTTTCTTCGTCCAACTGTAAAGAAAGCCGATGTCCATCAGTCGAGATGGCGATGATCGCCCAATCTTCACTCGTTGGGGCGCCCAACGAATGACGATCCTCGGATTCATTTATTTCGGAAAGCTCGTAGCGAATGCGATCCGCATTGCGGGAGAATGATTCTTGTGGCGAAACGGGACTAGCAGTCCTGCTCGGCGAAACATAATAAGACTTTGGCGAATCCTGAGAACTTATTTCGGTGGTGAACACAGTTTTGGCGCTGAAAGACCGACTTGAAAAGGAATTCATTCTTCCTTGGAAAAGACTTGGTTCGAATGTCCGTCCGTCATTGGGGCCGGAACAAAAGGTGGGGGATAGCGAATTCGGGAAGTTTTGAGTAGGCTCGGCTGAGTTCAACGACCCTGCTTTGGGAAAAATGACATCTAGTATCGTAGTAATATCAGTCGGAGATAGGAAAAGGAAATTTTCGGATACGTCGCCAGCCGAGGCGTAATCAGAAAGGGTCGTTTGAGATGTCGCATGTTTGGGAAGCGAAGGGTTAAAATGTGAGAGCATTTTCTCTATATGGTGTCTAATTCTAGGGGGCACGAGAGTATATTGCGACCTAATACAATCAATTAGATAAGTTTACGCCCACAGACCTGACAGTGCACATACGGTGTTTGAAGGATCCGGGACACATAGAACTGGGCTCGGTGCGAAATCTGCCCCAGGAGTCGTTCTCGCGCATCTTTCGTAATATGGAAATCGAGCATGAGCCCGTGTGCCTGGCGGATCAAATTCAGCAAATAGAATATAACAGATCTAAAGGAATTGATCTGAATCACTAACCTCCAAATAGGACAACGCACTGGGCAAATGCTTGCGGAAGAACCACTGGAAAAATATAAAATCCAAAAATCTTTTCCGGAATTCAGCTGTACCGAGCTTTCCGAGGATAGCATTTCCAAGTTCAATCGCGCCTGCTGGAAGGCCAGCATCAGAATCATCAAGGACTGCAAACAAGTCATGGACGGCAGCTTGGAAAAACTGTTCAGCAACATCAGTCCTCAAGGGATCAAAGCCGTCGGTATCCAGACCCAATCTACGGTTATCCGGGTATTCAAGCAAGAAGGCACCTTTCTGGAGAACATCCATCAAGTAGATCTCAAGCTTTGGTTTTGCTTTCCATTCCGTAGCACCAGACCAGATGGACAAAATTTGACCAACAAAGGAGTAATAGCCGCTTCCGCCATGAGATATTAATTTAGCACAAGTCGAGGACCAAACGTTCAGGCGAAGGTAGGACTCTGGCGAATTCGACACCAAGGGAGCTGCAAAGACGTTGAATAACAAAGCTGAGATAGGATCGGTACGCTCAAACGCAAAAGCATGTTCCTTGATGGCATTGGAATGAGAATTTGCCCGCTTCGAGAAGAGCGACGGCGGCTTGTTACGAGAGCCAAGAGGAGAGGAGGCCTCACCAGCGTCCAATGTATGAGCAGTAGAAATGAGAGCTGAAAGTTGAGCTGGAGACAAGCTAACTAAACATTGAAACAAAAAGTCCGAATCGGTCCTCACGCGGGTAAGTATTTCGACGAGATCTTCCCGTGACCTTGGGGTTAGGCGTTGGGTAAAACTACAAGGGTGAATGCCCGGCCGGTCCGCATAATTTTCAGATGGTTCGTCGTGACCCAGGACATGATGCTTCGAAAAGGATTCCCAAAGATCACGAATTTCAAAGATGCTATTGTAGACGGAGATGAAACCAGCCTTGTCGCCATGCTTAAAATTCTCGACCAAACCTTTTTGCACAGTAGACGCAACCCGAAGCAGTCGGCTAGAAAGTGCAATGCAAACCCGGAGATTCCATAGGCGTCGTAAAACATTCCGCTTCTGGATCCTTTGGTGCCTTTGAAGCTGAATTTGGCTGGCAAACTGGGCAAACGACACTTTGTGGACTTTCTCCATCACTGGTTTCTTCTCAACCTGTGGCTCTAACAGAACAGTCTCCGGAACCGTCTCGTCCTCTGTCGACGGTTCATTATTCCGTGGTTCCAGCTCTGGTTCCGGCAGACGGTTTGGGGAGCGATCTGAAGATTCCAGTGCGGGAGCGTGGATATCCTCTCCCGACTCCTTACCAGCGCCATTTACGGGAGTCGAACTACCTTTTAGAGGGAGAGTTGGTAGGTTAAAATTAATGACTTGCGACGTTGGGGTGTCGCATCGGGGCGGAGAATCAGTAGGCGAAGGTGGTAATGCTATTGAATCCATCATAGTCAGTCCGAATTTCGGTGAAAATAGCATAGAGAAGCACGTCGCGACATGCTAATCTAAGGTACGACAACACATAGTGTTGGTCCCCTTTGCTTTTCCTTTTTTTCAATAAAGAATAAAAAAAGAAGAGAACCTCCCAACAAAACGTAAGTGTCGGCGCAGGGAGGTAAGGAAAGTATGAAATGCGCTGCACGTACTTGTAGCAGCCGCGTATGCCAGAACCGATGGAAGACAGGCATGTTGGATACTGATCATCTTCCCATGGGCAAACCAGGGGCATCGGTCTCGAGACGGGGCTGTCTCGAGAACTTAAGATGCCTGAGCAGACGGGCGGGGACAGGCGTCGGCCTAAAGCATGACTCCAGGCGTTCAGGAGATGGGACAGAGTCGGGGGAGATCAGCGGAATGGCGATGCAGAGGGGAAGAAGCCAGCTTGGAGGATAGGACGGGAAACGAGTCCGGTTGGTACGGGGGTCTACGGAGTAGATAGGTTTAGTATGGTAGGGAGAGGGCGGGACCGGAGGGAGGGGGGATGATAGCGGAATTCGCTGGAAAACACGGTCAAAAGCGGTCGCGTGTGAGCCAGAAGGCGAGAGAGAGACAAAAGCAGAGCAGCGGCGAGACGGAGAGAGAACGGGGAGGGCAGAAGAGGAAGAAAAAGAGGATTGTGGCGTTCTGGAGGGAAAACGGGGAGGGAGAGGGGTGAGTTGTCCAAGATGGAGGGCGAGGCTTCTGATACGCAGAGGGCGCGACGACTAGTGACAGGAGTCCACCATCACCAAATCAGAGCCATGTCATCAGGGTAATACAACGAAGTATTTTTGCCCGGTGTCGTGGTGAGGTCACTGTTAAGAGTTGGCAAACAATGGCCTGAAAGTCTCTCGCACACACATTCTCTCTCTTCTCTCTCTACAGAATTCTTCCGTACCGCTCCGCTTCCTGCCAGACGGCAGACCCGTGCAAGTGCTCGTTAGTCCAAACACCGGACACAGTCGCAATATCAAGTCGAGCTACTTTAGTTACAACGCTCCCCCTTCGAGGGCCCCACAGGCTGGCGGTGCACTGCGACCCTCTCTGAGCAGGTGAACAATCAAGGTCGTCATTATTGATCATGGCTCTCGTGTTAGACAGGGTCCCGACGTGGGGATTTCTTCAGACGATTCCTGAGGAACCACCTCACTGCAGGATACATCACGAGGATACAAAGGAACTAGGACCCAAGTCAGGGCAGCGGCCGAGACACTGGACAGACATCATCGAGATGTCCACAGTTCTTGTGTGGAGTTGAGGAGTTTATTCTGGGTTGGCCACGTTTTCGCAAAAACTATTCAGCGCCTAACTTGAACCCCATCAAGAGGACGAGGTTACTCCTGGGACGGTGGTACCTGTCCCGCGAGAGGTTCAAAGAGGACCTTTCACATATCCCGCGGCTGGAGATGCCCGTCTCATGCACTGCTATTATTAAGCGCAAGGGCCCTTTTTCACCGCCGGATCATCCTCTCAATTGCTTGACAAGACTGCCAGACCCGCGACATAGTAGCGGATTTGCACGTTGAGTCCCGCCGTGCACGCCAATGCAAGCGTCCCTGCCCAGCGTTTGGGATGATGCCGGTCATAACATACATACATACATGAGGTGCCTTGTGGGAACATTCAAACATACATACATACGCAGTACGATCATAAATAATTTCCACCCTCCCCATCCATACGGCTGCCCTGGAGACTCCGGAAACGATTTTGTCAAATCCAGTCTCCTCAACCGTGAGATCTCAAACATCAGAGTCCCTTTGTGTCGTCGTGCAGATCGCTAGGCGGATCGTGGAATGTGGTCGCCAATAAGTCCTGCCACGTCGTTGGGCGAATGCAATGAGAAGAAATTAAGAATTTTCCCTCGAGGTCAAACTCATAACTCATGGAATCCACAGGTCGTATTTGTCAAATGATCGATGAGCAAAGCGACAAGGTCTCGGTGATGAGTTGGCACTGCATGCATATCCAGCTGTCGCTGGCGACAAATTTGGCGAACCAAGATTGGTCGGGATTCGGTTTTAGTGCCACGCCAGCGAACCCCAAGTCAAACCCGGCCAAGGCTGGCGAAGGAGTGGGCTGGGGCCGGAGAGATGGCGACCATCCATCCGCCAGCCTGTCTCCCTGGCTCGTCTCGAAGGACAACCATCGTACTCCGTACTAGCGCGAGCAAAAGTTGGACACAGGGGCATCGCGGCGCTCATTCCTCTCAAGCGTTGTTTTTTCTTTTTCTTTCTTTTGTTCTTTTTTTCATTTTTTTTTTTTTTTTTTTTTTTTTCAATTTTCTTTTCTTTTAATTATTTACCAACAAATCATCCTCAGCCGAAGCATTCAGCATCCCCGTTCCGCAGCAGAGGGTCTGCCCATTTCCTGATGTTCTCGTTCAGGATATTGTTTGGTAAGATGGGAAGTATGTATGTACGGAGTATAACGGCTAGAATGATAATGGCTTCATTATCCTTTGTTAGCATATTTTGATACCAGCAAGCAAAGTCGTGATACTCTCCATCTCTCTCTGTCTGTCTCAATAGCTTGTCTAGCGGGATCAAACTGTTCCTTCGGCGTGATTCACCTGTTCTTTCCAAACAGCTCTTGCAACTGCTTCTGTTCCTGTTTATGGTTGTTCATTCGAGACACAGCAACATGGCGTCTTCCCGTCATTCTCCCATCATTCCCCTGTTTACACATACTTCGTGTATACATAACAATCCAAAGCAAATTCTCTTCCCGCTCCCAATCAAGGTCTTTCCTCTATTCAACTCAACTAGTTGATCCCCCTTTCGTACTAAGATTACGTCCTGGCAGCTATGGAAGTCGGATTGCTATGGCTACCTTCAGATCCAATGTCGAGAGTAGCTACAGATGCAGTACTTTGCAAAAAGATATTCACCGCACTCTGTGAGATAACTACTCCTGCAGAATTTCTGCCGTGCCTTAGCGTATGTTCCCCCCTATTACTCTGTAACCCGGGGTCTCCTGTACAACTGTCTGGTGTTGACCAATGCGTCTCTTTCTCCCTTCGTGGTGTGTATGTTTCGGCGGAGGATCCCAGTTCCCTTGCCCATAAAATCATTAACTCTGCGCCTGGTGGCCCGGGATCCACGCGTTGTGGGATCCTCGTCCGGTATAATGTTGAGATTCACCTCTATTCTCGCGAAATTGGCAGAAATCATTGCCCGTGACGTCAAGGACCTGGCTTCCTTTTCACTGCACATAGACACTCGCGAGGTTACGGCTGAGTTCTATAGCTATGAATACGCCGATATTGATGCCGCATTCAGTTACCACGCCCTTGTCCGCCTTTTAGACGCTATCCCTCCGACCTGTACTAACCTCGAGCTCGATACTGGGGGCATTGAAATGTATCAAGACGGTGGGCATTTATGCGGACATATTGCCAGAGTGATGCCTCATCTTCGGCATGTCCGCTTGCGGTTAGGGAGGCTCTGCTCAAATTTCATTGACATCTTTGACGCGGGCAACCTCACCCTCGGTTTACCTGCATGCCCAAACCTCCGTTGCCTCGTGATCAATTCCGAATATTTGAGTTGGAGCAACATCCTCTATGAAGGCATGCCCTCAGGCGTATCATAACGGGTCTCTGCACAATGAACTCGTTCTTTTTCTAAGACACGCAATCTCAGGTGGAAAGCTCTCCCCTTCCTTGAGTCGCCTTCAGATATACAGCCAACAAAACGTGGACAAAAACTCTACGGATTTTGTGATGCGTCTCACAGACGTGCTTGGCCATTTCACATACCTGCTGCCGAGCGTCGACCTTCCGAACCATTCCAGCTCTCATCGACTGAATACCTGGCATTTTATTCGAACAAGCGGAAACACCGACATTGTTGCAGCACGTGATGACGCTGCTGAGATCCTGGAAAATTCATGGAAGTGCACGACCGATGGGTCAAGATTCCCTGTTACTAATGATCCGTAATATCCCTACTGGAGCTTGTGATACGATGCGATTGGACTGGGAGCCAGACCCTCCGCAGGTCTGTCTTCAAAAGTATATTCGAGAGCAACAAGCGCTCTTTGGTTTTCGCGGCCAGGAATCTTATATTCTAGCGGACACCAATCCTTCAAAATACGCTTCATATCGGTTGCACGGCTTGAGCGAGAGCGTAAGTGGATTTTCTGACCCCCGACTCTCAGAATTATTTCTCCCTCGTGCCAATCGGCCCCTGATAATCATGCTAGTTGGCACGGTACCCTTTCATTCGCACAAAGATGTGGAGTCCCAATTGCGGTCCGGACTGTTATGGGTATGGAGAGCATACTTTTACCATTGCAAGCATGGATTATTTCATTGAAACTGTAGTTGCAGAAGTCAATGGAGACTAGCGATCGATTCACGCACGTGCCCCTATGAAGAATGCTTGATAGATAACCAACTCCAACTCGGAGCATTGAAGCGAAACTAAAAGCTCCCAATAAAATATATATATTGACGTCTATTAAACACTTTAATTCTGACATTGAGTCTTTAGTTGGTAGTTAAATGCATGAAGCCGGATACGGCTGACTGACATATTTGGACTGACAAAATGCCAATAATCTGACATAAATTATATCTAGTACATCTCAAGTCGTGACCAAGACGGTTTCTCCTGGACCTTTACAACGGTCGCATGTGAGAGTAGCGAATAACCTTGTCGATCCCGCTCTAGGAAACATCTAATCCATCAAGGGTGAAGCGCGGCGTCATTCTGTCGTCGCAGGTAGGTGACACTCTGTTCCCCAAGCCGGAACTACCGCCTTTTCTTCTGTCTCTCCCCCCGCCCCTTTTTTTCCCCCCTTGCCTTTCATTTTGTCGTAGAGGCGGGGCTGATTGGATCGGCCGGATGTAGGAAAAGGATTGAAGAGCTGGTGCTTTCATATCAACATCCATCTTTTATCGGCTTCTTTCTTTCCCTGGCGTACGGCGACGGTTGTGAGAGTGTCCCTAATAACTTCTTTCGACACCTTGGGGAATCTGAGAATCAATTAGTCCTATAAATTCGGGTGAGAGTTGGGACAATGTACGTACCGTTTCTTCAAAATTTCGATTAATCCTGCCTTCGTTAGGTCGCTGCCGGAAACAGCCTGTTTGAACTCGGAAATGAGTTCCGACGGGAAGTGAGCTTTTAGTTTTAGCCCGGCTCCAGGGCCGTTGGAAGTGGTATTCATTCCTGGTAAAGCTGAAGTAGGCCTAGGGTTGAGCGCAGGTGTCAAAAATGCGTTATTGGATTGCATTGATGTTTGTTTGGAGGAATCGGGTGCTTTTCCAGGAGTAGACGCGTTTAGCACGGGTCGTAGGTTGCTTTGAGGGGCCGATGTCGGCTTCTTCCAATATGCATCAGAGAAAGGATCTATCGGCAGGCTACCTGTTTCTAAGAGGCATTGTGAGCAACTCATTCAACATCCACCGGGGCTTGACATACCCGATAAAACCTCCATCCGAAAGGAATTCATATATTCGTTCGCCTTATTGCCATCCGCCCAGCAGATTCCGGTGCAAACAGGTTCCAAGTCACCCACGATCATTTTCCTTTTGCTAAGCTCGTCGTCTCCGTCGTCCAAAAAGTCATCCATATCCTCATCATCGTCGTCACTAACATCTTCCTCGCCTTCCGAGTCAAGGTCTTCGCCTTCCTCCGGTTCCTCCCATTCTGCTTCGGAATCATAATCATAGTTAAAATCTGGAATAGCCCTAGAAAAGGGATTTCGACAAAGTTTGAAAGCACTCTTATCGGGTAGTCGTTTCGTAAAAGTACCCTGGTAGGGCGGCCTCACATCTTCTTTAAAGTGTAGTAACTTCATCGGGATCTTCTTGAGCATGCTTTGGGCCGATTCATCCGTCCCAGCATCCTTTTCTGCCGTAAGATCTATAACAGCACCTTTGCTATCATTGGAGTCATTCATAGATGAGACGATTTCCTTCACAGTGGGACTTTCCATTTTGCCAAAGCGACGTTTATATGGAATCATCTTAAAGAGCTCGGATGGCCTTAGAGATAGATTCGAAGGATCGTGGGTATTTTTAAGATATACATCTAGCTTCTCGCGGACATGCAACAGCGCCTCAGAGTCTCGTTCGAAACGGTGGGGGGTGCCAACCCGCATGTGGGAATGGATGAAGAATGGAGGAAATTCATTCTCATAATCAGAGATCGCTTTCGTATTATCGACTTCACTTCCGGCAGCTGGAGCAGCTTCTTTGCTGCTATTCTTATTCGAAGTGTCGGGTGCCGATGTTTTGTTGGTAGTGGCCGCCACAGGTTTCACAAAAAATGCATTCAACCTCATTTGAGACTGCAGAATAGGTCAGTGTAAAGAACTCGAACACAAGACACCAAATATCAACATGATTGTGATTGTCATAGCTACATACCCTCTCCTTCTTTTTCTTTTCTTCTTCGCGGGCTAGTTTCTCTTCTTCCTTTTGCTTTTTCTTTTCCTCCCGCTTTCGCCTTTCTGTCTCCTTCTCCTCATCTTTTTTTCTCTTCTCGTCTTCTCGTCTTCTTCTCTCTTGTTCCTTTTCTTCTTCTTTCTTCTTCTTCAATTCTTCCCGCTTTCGTTTTTCTTCTTCTTTCTCTTCCTCTTTTCGTTTCTTCTCCTCCTCCCATAATTTTCGAGCCTCTTCTTTTCTTGCCTTTTCTTGTGCCTTGGCTTCTTTGCTTGCAGGTGACAATCGTCGCTTTTTATTTGGGACGAGAGATGGCTGAGAAGGAGGAGAGGGAGCAGGTTCCGATAGTATATTGCACGAGGGGCCAGATGAAATATTCACCGTAAGGGGTACCGGTGCAGAGATGGATTGTGCTTCAGTGGCATGCGGTTGGGCTAACGCCATGCTTTCCAAGGGGGATGGCGAAGGATCTCTCTTTTGCCGCCGGGTGTCTGCATGGTCTTTTGGGGTCTGACACATGCTAGCCGGGCTTGGTGCAAGTGACTCGGTATTGGATCCGAGGATCGTTCCATTTAATTCATCAAATGGCCTTTTCTTTGGGGACGCCGGGTGAACGCCATGTGTCTGTTCTAGGACCTCTTGTTGAACTGCGACATCCATATTGCTTCCCGCTTCTCGACTTTAACACGCAAGAATTCCAAAGAGTGTAATGTACCGAAAGAAAGAACGTCAAAATAAATAGGTCTTGTGTCATATCAGGAAGTCCGGGCCGTTAGGAATGGGTCGTTAACGGGTATTCGATGGGTCGTGTCGTGGGCAGAGGGGTCATGACAGGTCCACCTTAGGCACAACTGGGAGCTGTAGTGCCTTCAAACCAAAAAGACAAACTGTAAATACACCTGCAACGGACGAAAAGTGTCACCAAGCACAGCAATGAAAGGAATGGAGGCGAGGGCTGCTGCTGCTGCGCGACGGTTGAAGCGGTGGAGAGCCAGGTCGTCCATGACAAGGTTTGGTTGGAGAGACGCGTGAGCGTGGCTCTTGGCGCGTGTCGCCCATTCTTTTAGGTTAAACCCAGGCGGACTCCGCCAACTTCGCCCCTATGAATGGAAAGTCAATTCCCCTCCTGGCACCTTCGGTGTACAAAGAGTGGCAGAGTGGCTGCAGAATATTCCTGCTGATTGTAACTTATATTAACTAATATTGGTATTAATTATAAAGATAATAACTGCAGGCTGTGTCCCTGGAACTGTGACACTTGCACCATCATTGAAGTGATCCCACTAACCATGCCTTCCCATGCTTTTGTGCCAAAAACCGACTAGGGGAAACAAGATGCTTGGAATGAGTGCGGAGTAAACAGAGCCGATGCTAGGGAAAAGGCAGAACTGCAGCTGAAAAAGAACCACGAAAATGATTCTATATGGAAGGGATGCGAATAGATGAGAAAAAAATCAAACTCCCATTAACACCGCTCACAATGAGAACCCGATAATAATCCCGCCCTGTCCATATAGAAGGTGGAAATAAGAACACACGTAGTTGAATGGCCAGATTTCAATGGCCAAATAGAGGGCCGCCTGGGACGCTTGCGCCTGTAAGAAGCCTGTCGACGATCCTCCATTCCATCCAGGGTGGGCTCAATCGCTGAGGTCTGGATTAGCGACGAAGAGTCTAACACTACTCATGGTGCTAGTGCGGTCGTCAACACTTCCTCTACGTCTCAATTCCTCAGCCGCCTTATGTCTTCGGGCTGCTGCAGCTGCTCCGCTCGGGGCCGCTAGATCCGTGATCATTCCGAAGTCCTCTTCTCGCTGGCTTTCGGTGGATTGTGCGGTTGATGGGCGGTTGTCCGACGTGGAAGAGTCCTGGGTGCCACCGGTATCCTTGTCTTTTGGTGATCCCGGTTTGGTCTCTGCAGCAGGGGTTTCAACGATGTGCGGGATATCGAGGCGTTGCTCGGGAGGTTCGGCATTCGGGGGAGTGCTGCCGCTGCCGCTGCCGCTGCCACTGCTCAATCGAGGTTGGTTGGGTCGATATCCGCCGGTCATCCGATTGCTAGCGGCAGAACTTCGTCCGCTACCGTTACGGCGATGGTAAGCCGATCCATCCGGATTATCGAGGTCATCGTCCGCATTGCCAATTTCATTTGCACTGAGTCTCAATGGCACGCCAGTGCCCACCATTGTCCCTGTACTGAACGGCAGTGATTTCGTCGCCGAACTGTGTCTGATCTTGCCGCTGCTAGCCAGTGTATTTGTTCGACCGGAGCCACCGCCTTCCTGAACCTCCAGGATCGCTCTTTGCTTTGCAACGCGTCGCTGGTGGGCCTCGCGAGGGTCTTCGGCCTGCGTACGGTCGCACCAGACGGTCGCCTTCTGTCTTCGCATCAAAGCAACGTACCCGACCTGCGGGTGGGTGGTTCGAGAGGAAGGGCTGCGGCTGACATTGTTTTGTGAAGCGCTCATATGGCGGCCGGTATGCGGGTTTCCGCCGGTGGACGACGTCGACGTTGTTGCGTTCGAGGGGCGGCGTGATGGGAGAAGGACATTGTATTGTTGTTGGTGCTGTTGTTGTTGTGGGGGGTAGACAGGGGTCATCTGACGGAGCGGGTGCATGGGGGTAGGGAGAAACGACGACGACGACGACGAAGATGCCGGGTGAGACTGATATTGGTTTGCAGGCAAGCTGTGTTCACGCGGAAAGAGAGTGTGTTGGATGTTTGAAACTTGGAACTGCAGACCAGCGTTCCCGGTGGGCAGAGGCTTGCGACGAGGGGCCTGTAAGGCTGGCGACTGGTAATCAACCATCGTGCTGGTCCAACGAGATCACAGAAGCAAAAGGTACCGGATACAGACACGCGCGCGGGGCCTTGGCTCCTGTTGGTCGGGAAGAGAATACTGTGGTCCGGGGGCTGGACCAGTGATGCTACCATGTACGTAGTAATAGCCCATTCTCTTGGTTGAAAAAAGAAAAAAAACCGAAAAAGGAGTGATGTCAGATCCGGTTCTTTTCAAGGTTTCTCCGTCAAACTCCACCGACGGAAGACTGTGAAATGTAACATCAAAAGGACTCTTTGCCACCGTGATCCACTCAGGTTGGTTTTCACTGATTTCTCTCCCACCCACTGGTTCGCGAAAAGCGAGACAAGACACTGGAAGCGGACAATAGCATTGACTATATACGTACACAAGAGTTAGGCCGCCCGAGATGAACAATTGAAGATGAAAGACCAATGAAGCTTGCTGGCACTGATAGCAGAGCGCGCGAGGAAGCGCAGAATAGCAAAATTTATGCACTTTTAAGCGCCGCGACTGATCACAAGACGTCTGCAAGAAGGTTCCGCTCTTGTAGACTTTTAACTCATGGCATAACCGGATGTCATTGAGCTTCAGCCCAAACTCAGCCCCGGACACTGCAAAAATTACAAGACAGGCGCTCATTTCTTCCTCTTCCTCGCATACTACATAACTAACTAATCAATGCACGGACTCATTCAGCCCTGTCGGGTCCCGCGAGGCCCACAGGCGTTGATGCGCCCTTGAAATGACACTGTGTTCGATCGGACTGCTGCTCCTCGTGGGCTTGCCCCGAGAAGCCCAGAAGCTTATCTGGCTCCATCATTCAAATTTAGGGAGTCGCTAAAAACGCAATCCATGGGGATCGCTCACCAACCGCGACTACGGGCGGACTGGGCAACACGTGCATGATGTTGCCCTGAAGTTGAGAGTTAAAAGGGAGGCCGACTTACGGCCGGCTTCGCGACCTTCAACTGGAGTCTTTAGATACAGATGCCAATGCCCTGGTGACCCTTTTCAATGGCTTGCGTGTTTGTTTTCCAGCAAACACTGTTCCTAGATATTTTCCTTCTCACATGCGAGTCACAAGCGTCCAGAGGTTGACTAGGACTCTACTACGTTGATTATAATTGATCAGCACCTGGGAGGGGAGGGCATCCAAGTCTCAATCTCATTCGAACATCGTTTCATCTGCATGTTTACCCCCTTGGCTATATATGAAAATCCGAATTTCATCCAAGAAGGTTTAAATTTCCTCCGTTTCATCATTCATCTCATTAACTATGATTCCTTGTTGTCGTCAGCGGGCACATGTAGCAAACAGTCAGTCAGCCAGCCAGCCAGCCATGTCTCACACGCAAGATGGCGACGCTAGTCACCCATCGCATACCATAGCATTAGAGCAATGGAAGCCACGCTCAAAATGCCGACCTCCACAGAGGTAGCTTTGTCTTCCCTTGGAGGTGATGTACTTTGCTGTTTTGCCACTACATAGATCTCTCCGGTCGAGTCAGAAACGAAAAAGAGCCGTCCTGTTTCGTCAAATGCCATCCCAACTGGCCTGAAACAACCATCTGGACATTTCCTGGTATCGGAATTGGTGACTACATTGATGGCAGCCTCCGTATCCGTTCTGGGAGCCATGGGCTCGCCGTCTTGGAAAGGAATCCTCGTTATCCTATAGCCAATTGGTACATCGCGATTCCTAGAGAGCGTCAGTCCGTCGAAATGGAAAGGTACCGCCTGGATGACATCAAAAAGTGTCACTCACCAGCTGCCATGAAAGGAAACGAACGCCTCATCTGTTCCATTGAATTTGATATCCAACGGAGCTGTATGAGGAGCAAATGTTAGTCTCGGTGCCTCTACTCTAGCACAAAAATCGTCTGTTTTCATATCGCTTTCAACGTCGAGTGCGAATTCGGTTCCAACTTGAATGTCGGTGTTGTTCGGGATCGCGTCGACATCCCAGGCAGCACTGCAGTATGGATAGCCATAGTTGAGTCCGGTAGTTGAATTAATACTTCCATGGAAATTTAATTCCTCTCCCGGGTTGTCTTGATGGATATCAATCCCGTGACGTTCTATATTATCGATGGTGTTTTCAACCGTCCAGATGCCGTTTGTCCCTGGATGTTCAGCAATACCAACGGAGTTTCTCATTCCCCAGCCGAGTCGGATTCCATCTCTTGTGAAATTATAGCCACCTTGAGGAATTTCTCCCATTTGAAAAGCCTTCATCTGGCAATGGCCTGTGGAAATATCCCCGCAGTCGAGGTCAATGTTGCCTGCGCTGCCCCTAACAACCACAAGATATCCACCCGAGCCGGGGGAATAATGCAGTGTACGTGTTGAATGACCTGGGTTCTCCAACCCTGTTACCACCACTTCTGGATTTCTTGAGGTGACTCTCCTGGCCTCCGCGTCATAATCCCAAGCATAGACCGTGCCACGGTCCGACGCATACAGTTTCTTTCCATCCGGAGACAGAGCTATCCCATGATTCAAGCGGGATTTGACCGGATGGTCTATGAGATCGACTTCGTCTTCAACCTCTAAGCAGGTGCCACCATTATCTCTCAAGCGAAAGTTGAAAATTCCGGCGGAGGATTGGACGACGAGAAGGTTACCCTGTGAGTCGAACTGGAGCGACCTCGGCCGTCGAAGACCCTGTGCCACCACATTCACATTATAGCCATCGGCTGCAACGGGGGTAGAAGATGCGGTTAGCGTAGCCGTGCAAGAACTCTGAGCGACGCTGATGTCGATTAATTTTGCGGTTATAGCTGCAAATGAATAGAAATGCCGCATACTTATATGACCTTGTTTTTTCCCAGGTTGGTACAAAGTAATATTCAGGAGGAGCACATATTTTAAAGCTCAAAAATGGCTTTCAAGGTACCACTAGTGTAGAACCTGGGGCTCCCGTTGTTGTTAAGTAGTTACGCTTGCCTGGGCTTTGACACGAAGTGCCTAGCATATTAATTATCTCGGCGCAGCTTCGTAGGAGTTTCAAAAAGGCGTGTCTCCAATGGCAAGCCGACCCGGATGGACAACCTGGTAAAGCAGATAGATCAACGCAGCGACAGGGAATAGAATTCGCGGAAATGCTACCTTATCAAGCACTAAGCGGATAACTATTGAGGTACTCGGATCTTGCAACAAGCGGCTTTGCTTGGAGATGCACTCCTCCAAAAACTGTCGTCTCAGGTGGTTCTGGAGAGAGATAGGACTTGAGGCAGAATGTTAAGGACACACGAACCTATCAACGCCGGCCCATCGTGTCCATAAATCATCGCACTTCTAAACTACGCCAGCCACCCAAGCGGCCATAACATTGGCAAGGGAAAGATCAGAGTTGGGCCTAGTCGGCCAGTTGGTCAGCGAGCCAACCTCTCGACCCAGCTCATGCTCATCCGCAGCGCCAATCATGTGCAATGTCCAAGAAATCTCAAGAATCGCCGAGAGAGCTGGGCACTTGATGACGGGTGAGTGTATTGAGGATGGTGTTCTGTACTCCGTATGTTCCTAATGTGCATCTTGCAATGAGATGGAGGTCGGTTTGGATGATGTACCAATCATTCCCGCGGCTTAAAGAGGTTTCAAACCCGGAGCTACTTTCTTGCTCGAACAGCTGTGAAATTGGACATGTCTCTATTTGGCCCTGACGTATTTTGTATGATTGTCGACAATGTTCTTAGGTATTTTCGAGTTTCATTTGATCTTGTTGGATCAGAAGAGGATCCATTAGTTATCCACGCTACGCGCTCTTCTACACTCTGTCGCATCTCTGCGAACCCTTGGAGCCTGCCAGTATACGAATTAGAGCTTTGCCCCGGTAACCTTCACCAGAGCACCGTCTTTGACCGCGAAATCTCTCCCACGTTTCCACCCGAGCCACCGATTTAGTGTTTCTTCACCACCTTCGCCTGGTCGAATTGGGTTGGGTGACCATCCTCCATCTTCCGCCGAAAACTTCAGGCCTGGAGTATCGGACAACTCGACGATTAACCGCTGGTCATAGCCGTCTTCTTCCAGTTCATCCATAGTTAGAACAGGGGTTGCACATGCATCTGTTCCATCGAAAACAGCTTCCCACTCCTTTCTTGTTTTCTCTTTGAACTTCTTCTCGAAAATGCTCCGCATAAAGGGCCAGTTGCTTGGATCTTCACGGACTTTGTTCGAGTTGGGAGGGAACACATCCGAAGGCGAAAGCTGCAACCCACGCAACAATGCATCAAAAAACTGGGGCTCCAATGGCCCGATAGCAAAATAATTTCCAGGATCCTTCGTCTCATATGTGCCGTAGTAGGGGCAGCCACCGTCAAGCACATTTGTACCTCGCGGGCCGTTCCACATGGGAGACTTTCGCGATAAACGTGGCATAGTTGCAAGGTACGCCGAACCATCAACCATATTTGCGTTGACAACTTGACCTCTTCCCGTGGTCTGGCGAGACAAGAGAGCCAGCAAAATGCCTACGAAACAGATTGCTCCGCCTCCAGCAAAGTCTCCTAGGATATTTCCTGGTGGATAAGGAGCTTCCCCCGCCCGTCCTAGCATCCCTAGCACTCCCGAAACGGCAATGTAGTTGATATCATGTCCGGCCATATCTTTATATTTCCCATCACGACGGAAACCTGTCATACGAGCAACAATCAAACGGGGATTCTCCTTTAGAAGCACTGTCGAAGGACAGAGACCCAATTTTTCTAGCACCCCGGGGCGGAAAGGGTCAATTAAGACGTCAGCATTGCGGATCAGGGATAGCAGAACCTCCTTTGATGCGGGTGATTTCAGGTCTAAGCTGATGGATGTTTTGTGTCGAGTTAACGCATCTTTGGTTGGACGAGGAAGGGGTTTAGATGTTGAATGTGCGTTCGGATGGGGTCTATCAACTCGCAAGACGGACGCTCCATAGTCGGCTAGCAAAAGCCCGGCAAAGGGACCTAGGTTATGGCGGAAAGGATGTAAGCTTCAAGGGGTCATCAAATCCTCAACTGTAACCTCAGATGCTCTGCGTGAAACTCCGACATACGCACCTGGGGCCAAGCCAGCGAGTTCGACGACGCGAACACCCTGGAGTGGTAAAGCAGCACCCGCCATCCTTAAGCCCGATATTCTGGACAAGCGGCCACAGAATCTGGTAACGATTTGATATATATATATATTTTTTTTTTTTTAAAGGAAGAGCAGAGTAGCGGGCTATTCAGCTCGTCATTTACAGTGTGAATTAACCCCAGACCGCTGTCGCCTATTAAAGCGTTTGAATCGGCTCCCTCTCGTACTAGTCTGCGTATCAATGTAGAAGGGTAAAGCCGTTTGCCCCGTCGCAGTTCATGCCCGGGCCGAGAGTAAAAGTTGGGTAAGCTTTCCGGGGAGCCGAGGCACAGCTGCCCCACAAATATTAGGGGCCAAGCCCGCTAGCGTCGGACCGAGCACACCCACCAACCTTTCACGAGCAGCAGACACCCACCAGAACTGCGGATAGTACCTCGCTTGAGGCCCGAAGTTCCTCCGCCCTTTCTGTCGGGGGCATATTTGAGCACTTGCTTGCTACAAAAATATCTGGCTTACGCTTTGCCTGGCGACATCCACCCTTTCCTTTACGCTCGACAGGTCTCAAAGGTTATGAGAGTCTCTTTGGGTTAGTCCCCATGCATGTACTCTGTATACGTGCCGCGTATATATACCCTGGATGTAGGTGTAATATCAATTTCTAAGAATTGAAAGGTAACTATGTACATTCTGAATTCTTCCAAACCCGACATTCAAATTTGTAGGCGTCAAGCACATCGACGGGAAACCGTCGCGCGCCGGGATGCATACCGCATCGGTCAATCATGACCTGCCGTTGAATTCCTCCTCCCGAAGCAAGGAAGCCACTGGTGCAGCGCCCTTCTGAACAGTTGCCTGGATACCTCGCCCGGTTGGTAAGAGGTTTGAAGATCGTAAACGTGCTCTGCATTGGGAAGCAGGACGCCAAAAACCGCCTCTTGTTCCTGATTGCACGCCGGGATTTGAGTGGTGACGCGACGGCGTGGTCCCCAAGGCTCCTGGGAAAGCACAGTCAAAGGAGTCCACGGGTCGTATTGTCCGGCGCCGTGGAAGACGTTTGAAGGGCGCATGTTCCAGCCTCCAGTATAATTGTTGGTCGCATCGGCTCGAGGGCGGCGGGGAAGATGGCCACTGCTCATGCCGTCAGGGAACTGCCGGTAGCAGTTATCTTGGATGTAAGCTTCCGTTTGATAGCGCGAAGCGATCTCATGGGGTCTGGGATTCTGGTACTGGAAGTAACCGAACTGCGTGCAAAACTGCCACGACCAGCTGATGGCCAGGGGGTCTGCAGGTGGCGCAGAAAGGTCACAGGAGCAAGTCTCTTCTGGGCAATTGCAGTTTGTTTCGAAAATGGAGTTGATCGCTCGGCTGAGTCCTGGCCATGCAGCCCATCTGTCGACCACAGATCTAGCACCTCTTGAAGGTGCCCAGCCTTCAGCAGGGGCCACTCTGCCATATTGGTCTGTTTCGAGCCAATTACAGAACTGACCCGCAGGGCCATTTGCCCCAAAGCTCTGCCATGTCGCCCAATTATAGAGCAAAACTGCAGTAAAATCGCCATTGCTGTTTTGCTCGGCACCGGGACCTAAGAATTGTCTCTTAATTTGAGCAGCGGTACTGGGGTTGGCAAGTTGGGCATCAATATATCGGTATGCAGCATTGACGTCCCTGGTGCAATTTCCATAGCCATATGCTACCAAACCCCTGTACACCTGCTCATAATAGACGCTCATGTCAATCCTAGCTTGAGCAGGTGCAGAAGAGGAAAAGGCAGCAAAAATAGTGTCGGGATACTTGAGTCTTGAGAAAGCTGCACGCATGCCTGGGTATGAGCCGCCGACCATAATCCACGGGGTTGATCTTGGTGTCAGATCAGCATTAGGGAGCCGAGGTCGGCGAAATGTTCTGGCAAAGTAAGGGAGATCCTGCAAAGCTTGTTCGAGCGTCAAGTATTGGAATTGCGCAGCAGACGTCTGCCCATTGACGGGGTAAGGGAGAGATTCGCCATAATATCTTCCATAAAGTTAGCCTCCTATCCATTCCTATTAGTGGAAACTGACTTCATACCGGTGCTCCCAAACAAGGCCTACACCATGAAATTCCCGAAGCAATTGGACAATGTAGGACGTAGGATCGACCAAATAATAATCGGCAAATGCTTGACCATTGGTCTCACCGGTATCGAAAATAACCACAGGCCCTCCTGGCTGATAATATTCATCGTTCACCCAGTATCGATTCCTGTACATTCTTCCAGGGTTTCTGTGATCAATAGGAATCTATTTCAGGAATTAAGACAGAACAGACACAAAGGAGCTATGGGAATGGCGTACGTTTGCGTATTCAGCGACCACAGCGGATGTCTCGGCAAGACTGTCAATGGCAGAGGCGAGGCTGCTTCGGTTGGTCAAGACAGAATCAGCATCCATACCCAGCATTGCAGCTAGGTGAAGGTCGTTCTGATAACGTGCCCATCTTGGTCCAAAGGCCGACCCAAGGCCGGTAAGCAGTGCCAAAGCAGTGCATCCGAGTAGGTTTTGGAGAAACCTCATCTTGCCCGATAGTGTAACCACGAAGCAACTACAGGAACCCTTCGCGCTGCACTCAATGCAATCTGCTACATTGCGGAAACTTGGCCGAGGTTTATATATCCTTCCTTTGGCGGCGGTAGCTGACTACATCTGGCTCATTGTAACCGTGTCTCTCCTCCATTTGCCGTGGAGACCGAAGGTTGCACACGTATGAGCGATGCCCGAGACAAGAAGGCTTCGTTCACACGGCCATCTAGCCCGTGGTATCCGTTTCTCTCCTCCATCTTCCGCAAAACTAAGTGTCGCCAGACAGAGACGATGCCCTGAAGAGGCAGGTTCCCTTCAGTTATTCATTCAACCCGCAGCAGCCGTTGCGCTTCCCCCCCTCTTTTGCATGAACTAGATGTCGTAGTATTGGAACGAAGCTTTGAACCAACAGGCTTCTTGAGACTGTTCATACTTGTCCCGTCTTTGACCATAGCTGTCCGGCATACACAGCTATATCATGAAGCCCGTGTATTGATATACCACAGCTATCCGATATTAGGCTAAAATTTCCGATCCTCAAAACGCAACGTTGACGAGGAGGAATCACATATCAGGGACTTTTAACGTTCTTCTAGAAGGACTCCCAGGGTGTTAACTCTTCTCCACATCCCCGCATAGAAGCCGTATTTCGTTTCCGGCCGTCGAGATGATGTGTGACACAGAGGTTGGGTAATGGTTCAAGAGAGGGTTGCTGCGGGGGGCCATGCAGATCTGACAGGAAATGATACCAAAGAATACGCAATCCTGGCACCAGGAGACTAGGAGCAACGAGTTATTCTTGTTGAGAGGTTAGAAGCTCGCGAGAAAGTCAGGAACTCGCCAGGGAAGCGCCTATCAAGATCAAGGGTCGGCTGAGTTGGCAATTCTCTGGAATATGCAACCGTACTGATCCCGCTCAGTGAGATCTCCGATTGAGCCTTGAGCCTCGAGCCACGCGATCAGTGCCATTGTCTTGGGGTACGGAGTACTCCGTAGTTTGCCTTAGGTTTTGGTTGGCCCATTTCTTTCGGCAGATTGGCGCGGTTCAATCCCAACCTTGTTCCCCTCGTGCGGAGTAGTCGGTTCTTCAGTGCGACAGCTTTTCTATCAAACTAGCCAAGTCACCTTTCCAGGGAGTGAATTTAATCCCGAGCATCAATTGTCGCGCAAGGTCATCACAAAGCAACACCCTAGCGCTGCAACCAACGTCCTCACCGCGCGTTAACAAGCCATGTACCCATATTGGGAGGTCGGTCCTTGTTGCTGGCTGGATAAAGCCTCCAGCAGTTGTAAGTCATGGCTCTGTTAGAATTCTAGCAGTCATTTCTGCAAAGACCTAATCACATAAGAACAACTCTGTGAGCTTCATCCAAGGGGGACGACAATCTTGCACGCAACCGGGCGGATGAGTGAGCCCGAAGTTGGGGTTGCACCAGCCCCTGTCTGCAGCTCGTATCTCGACGCACTAGGCGGGCGCCAACGCTAAGCTCTATCCAGCAAGGCGCCCGGTCCCCGGATCAGGATGGCAGCCCCTTAATTCAAAGCGGCAACAAAAAGCCCTCTCTGACGTGCTATGCCCACTAGAGAGACAAGCTCTCTCTCTCTCTTTTTTTTTTTCCGCCATGCGATTTATGTAACTATGCTTCATGTCTTATGAGGTCTGAGGGACAAAGGACAATAGGGAATCAATATTTTGATATCACTCAAACAGCTTAGACACCTATCCGATATTCCATTCGCTGAGAGACCGATAGTGACAGAGTAATTATCTTGCACTTCTTGGCCTTTCAACATATCTATACATATACCCCTGGGTATGCCATTCCCCTTTGGTGGCCTTTTGATCCCTGCTTGGCTTGTCATTCCCAACTTCCATCTCTCCCCATGCCCACATCAATGCTTTGCTCATTCGTTCTCTATCGCGTAGAAGTTTGTCTATCCGCGACTCCCACACCTCTTCTCTCCTCTTGAGAACATTGGCAAACTTTGTATCCAAAGCCGCAGCTGCAGCGTCTTTGGCTTCGATGATGGATCCAAGTCTCTCCTGTTCGTTTGCCAAAGCCGACAACTCTTTCGATTTGGAGGATAATGATTTTCGAAGATCAACAAGTTGAGATTGTAGATCACTTTCACGATCTTGTGCAGCTCGAAGAAGTGCGTGTAAGCTACGAGTCGACTTGGCATGAGTATCCCGAAAAGTAGAAAGTTCGGTTGCATGGGAGTTTTCAATTCGATCAATTTCTTGCTGATGTGACTTCTGGAGACTGTCGATGTCGTGTTGACATTGGTTTTCATATACTTCGGGAGGGAGGGATGGTGCAGGGCTCAAGGGTTGCCGGTCCGCTGCTTGATTACGCAAGTCGGTAGCCGTCCGCATTGCTTCATCCCGCTCTTGAGTTATCCTTTCAAGCTTTTGTGATAATTGGGTCTTCTCCGAGTTGGCGGATTCTAACTGGGATAGCAATTGAGAACTTTTGTCCTTTGCAGCCAAAAGAGCGGACTGCGATTCGGAAAGCCCCTCACGAGTTGATTCCAACTGGAGAGACAAAATCTCATTCAACGATTTCGACTCTTGCAGTTGGATTCGAACCCCGGTCAAATCCCTCTCGGCTTCTTCCATTTGGCCAACACTTCCGACCGCGTGAGACTCGGAATAGGCCGGGTCCCGCTGTTTTTGATGAGCGCAGGCAAGTGAATCCGGTATTTTTCCAAACGATTTTCCCTCCATATCAACCGATACCCCGTCAGCCGCCCGTTTCAACGCATCGACGCTGGAAATCGCTTCCTTTCTCTCCATAGCAAGGTTGTGTTTTAATTCCGAAATTTGTGACTCAAGGTGTTGAACGATTTTGTCCAGATCTTGGGTTCTCTTCTCAAGAACGTCGCGTTCACGCGTTAGTGACTCAATATCAGAATCCAATTTATCTAATTCGCGCAAATTTTCATCGTATTCAAACCGGAGCTGGTCATTCTCCGCATTTTTCTTTGAGATTTCAACCTGATGAGAGGATATGGTCTCATCTAGCCTCGCCTTTAGCTGCTGAAACGACTTGTCCTTCGCCTCAAACTGTTTCTGAAGAGCAAATAATTCCTCATCTTTGTGTTTATCATTTAATCCATCCTCCTTGGGTTCGTGTCGCGACTGGTTAACAGACTGCATTAGACGCTGTAATTCCTGCAACTGAGCCCGACTACTTTGCAATTGTTCGTCCTTTGCACAAACTTGGCTTTGTAACTCTCGAATTTGTTGATCTTTGGAAGCCGACTCCGCTTGTCGCTGCTTCTTCTCTTGTTCGAGGGCCAGCTGAAGATGCCGTACTTGTTGCATGATTGATGCAGCATCGAAAACCCTTCGTCGATTCGCTCTGATGATCTCATCCTTCTTCCTCAACTCCTTTAGAAGCCGCTCTACCTCATTGGTAGAATTATTTTTATCTGACAGTGTCTCAGGATTGTTAAAACCATTTTTCCCCGAAAGCACGTGGGCTGGGGTAGACATTTCCAACGGCGGCTCAATTTCACTGATCTCATCATGGGCTGGTCGGCCTGGTAGCCCGTCAGTGTGAACAACCTCTTTGAAATTATCTCCCTGGTTATTCTGCTCGACTTGTGCATCTGCTCCGTTCAGTAACTCGACCATATTCTCTGTAAAATCGTCTGGGCCAGGAGGTTCCGATATGTTGTCGTTGTCTCTGGGCGACTGCTTGGATTTTGTGGTGTTATCCTCTTGTGCCTCTAGACTCGATACCGCATTCGGGAGTTTGTTGAGGTCGAAGGTGTAATCCGAAAGGTGTGTTTCAGAATCTTCTCCGTCGCTGGAACCGTTTGAAGTGGAGGCTCGTCCTTGTCCTGCTTTTTGCGCGCGGATGGTGTTATTTATACCGGATGTGTTCGGACTTAGTCTCTCGTGGCGAACGCCCGACCGTCTATAAGGGCTCATTATTCTCGGAGGCGAGGAGGGTATGAACCTCGGAGTATCCATGACGGAAGATATTCCTAGAGTGTCGTGGGAAGTCGGAAATGGAGAGCTTTCTCTTTTTGCCATATTGTCAAGTCTTTGCAAAAATTCCTCATTGAAACAAGGATTGCCGTTTGAACGAGTCCGTCTGAAGCAAATGGATGATGTTGATCGTCGTAATGTCGGGATGACGAAGTCGCGTCGTTTGCCTCGTCGGCCGTTGTTTACATGTTTCTCTTTAAGGTTAGGCGGTGTTGTTGGCACCGCCGGTCGGAACCACATGACTAAGGAATGTAGATAATCCGCTCCGTCCTCTCCCTGAGGTCGGACCCATCACTGAGAGCTGCAATTCCATGATCTTCTCCAAGCAACGAGCCACTGCATAGCAAATCCTACCAGCGCAGCCCGTTGTTTGACACTGCAGTCGAGTTTAATATACTACATACAGAGTGCTCCGTACATAGTACTAACCTACCTTGGCTAACTTCCCTGAGTTGCTTCTGATGAGCCGATGTCATCACTGGATCTAAGCTGATCACATAGAGGAACCTGCGACTGCGGTTTGTTGGATGCTGCCCTTATTTGGGAGGGGATGGATAAAATGGCTGGGCGAAATCATGCCCTATCGTCAATTAAACAATAAAGAACACTTAAATGTGCGCTGTAAGACCATGATCACTTCATTTGATGGCCCTAACTGGAGACGCTTCTTTTAGTACCAACATGTGGCACTTTGTACTTGACATCAGTACCGCGCACCCCTGTGCTCACCGGCTGACTAGTGATACTTTAGGGCAAAGTGGTGGGGATCCTGGCGGTTCCGGGGCTCGTCCCTTGCCTAGAAACATTCCCGCATGGTATATACGTAGGAAACCGGGCAAAGTTGGTAATTACCTTGGTTCACTCAATGTCATAGTCATCTGGCACTTCAACGCAGGAATTTCAGACCATATGTATAACAGCTCATATTGACCTGGGAAACTCTCCAAGAAATGCTAACATTTGAGCCATTATCATCATCTACCATCACTATCTACTGCTAATTGGTTTCCGGCAGTTTCTCTCAGTCTTACATTCCTCACAGCTTCAGCATGATAAACTCCACTGGTCAACATCAAAATGCTTACCCGAATTTTAGCTTGCGAGGGAGAGTATATATCGTCACTGGGGGCGGCAGGGGGCTAGGATTAGTGATGGCAGAGGCAATAACTGAGGCAGGTGCGGAAGGTAAGGATGATCAATTTCGGCTGTGAGTGGCCCTTATTGATGAAGCTAATGGCCGTTCTAGTCCACTGTTTTGATATCCTACCAGAACCCGATGATGAATTCGTTCGGACACAGGAGCTCGCCAGCAAGGCACACATCGGCAATCTGCACTATCATCATGTAGACGTGAGAGACTCGAAGCATCTCAACGATGTTGTGGAGAAGATCGCGTTGCGCAGTAATCGCCTAGACGGACTAGTCGCAGCTGCTGGAGTACAGCAAGTGACCGAAGCAATCGACTACACCGCCGACGATGTGACGAAGATGCTGGATATAAACTATACTGGTGTTTTTATGACCGCTCAAGCCACGGCTCGCCAAATGATGAAACTCGGCTGCAATGGTTCCATAGTCCTGGTGGCTAGCATGAGCGGGATTGTGGCCAACAAAGGCCTCAATTCGCCCGTATACAACTCCTCAAAAGCCGCAGTAATCCAACTAGGACGAAACCTGGCCATGGAGTGGGGTTCCAAAGGTATTCGAGTGAACTCGCTTTGCCCGGGCCACGTCATCACGCCGATGGTAGAAAAGAATTTTGAAGAAGTACCGGACCTAAAGAAGACTTGGGAAAAAGAGAGCATGCTTGGGAGATTATCCAGGCCGGAGGAATTCACTGGGGCTGTCATTTTCATGTTAAGCGATGCAAGCTCTTATATGACCGGCAGCAGTCTTGTGATCGATGGTGGACATACAGCATGGTGATTTCAGTCGTATAATGCTATTATGAGTTCACGTATACCTTTGGTAGTACGGAGTTTTTTTCGATGGCCTGTTGATGGAGCATTGCATCTCAATCGAAACCTCCTCCTACATGCACTTATGTAGTTATGTACCAACTTGGGCTGAATTTGTTGAACCGAATTATTAGTGCAGCTCCTGCAGTATGCTGTATAATTCCAGATAGGCTGTCAGCAATTGAATATCTACATACGATTCAGGGGTAGCTCCAAGGCTATGTGTGCATGCAAAATTCGTAAACAAAATTAAGATGAGAGAAAGCGTGTGAAACAATGATGTAGAAGATGATGCAAGCGGGCGAGGAAGTCCGGGGTAACTAGTTAGTTAGGGGGGCGTTACAACTCGAACAATGACAAGCAGCCTGCTCCCCGCACAACCCCTTAAGCTGTTTAACCTTCCGAGATATCAGGTACAGCAGTCTTTCCGTGGAGTTACTTTTACGGAAACGAACTCGAAGCCCACTACGGAGTATTTAGGAGGCATATCATGCTTCGGTGAAACGAGCAGCACCTGGAAGATCAAACCCAGTTACCCAAGCGCCCGTCGGATTTTACCGAGTAGTTGAATCAAAAGAGCTCACTATCTGGTCGAATAGACGATATCGGAGGCGCTGAGGACGATTTGACCAATGCCTCCAATTCCGGAAAGCCACGGTATCAGCACATTGACGAATCCTCGAGTGATATGTTACTATCAAACCTATTATCCTAACAATGGGACCGACTACATTTCTACCCTCCCGCTTCTGACGAATGACTGTGGGGTATCGCACATTATTCTTGCCGCAATTCATATCAATGATGAACCCGGAAATATTACACTCAACGACCATTCCCCAGACGATCCCCGGTACGTGCCGTTGTGGGCAGAGATGCGCGTGATGCAGGCGAGTGGGACCAAGGTGATGGGGATGCTTGGGGGTGCCGCCAAAGGCAGTTATCAGAGGCTTGATGGAAGCGTGGCAGATTTTGAAGCGTTCTACTGCCCGCTCCGTGATATGATACGAACGCGGAATTTGAATGGCCTGGACCTCGACGTAGAGGAGGATATGTCCCTCGACGGCATTATTCGCCTGATTGATCGCCTCAAATCGGATTTTGGAGATGAGTTTATCATCACCCTAGCTCCCGTGGCCACTGCTATGGTGCATGGCCTGAGACATCTCTCCGGCTTTGATTATCGAGCATTGGAGACTGCCAGGGGCTCAAAAATATCTTGGTATAATGTGCAGTTCTACAATGGATGGGGTCATATGCTGCATCCCAGCGTCTACGATACCATCATACATCAAGGCTGGGAGGCGGAGAGGATCGTTATAGGTCTCTTGACCAATCCCGCTAACGGGTCTCAGGGCTATGTTCCAATGGAAACGATAAGTTCGGTGTTAGCAAACGTGCTGACAAAGTACCCATCGTTCGGGGGGGTATCAGGGTGGGAATACTTCAACGCAATGCCGGGGGGCATCTCTCGCCCATGGGAATGGGCCGCTTCAATCTCACTGATAGTGGGAATGAAGACAGTCCTTGCGTGTGCGACTTCTGCGCTTTACTCGAAGTTAGCCACGGCATAGAGTTTTATGATAAACGGAAGATATTCTTAGTAGAAACTAGAACAAGGACGATAGATTCGAGTTCTTGATTGTCTTCTCAAGTCGCCCTCTTGTTGGGGGACTATGTTTGGCTTGTTTGCACCCTATGTCGTCATCAAAGCACTTCAACAATGCTCGAGACGTTTGATCCTTGTCAGTCAGCAACTACGGAGGACGGGCTCCAAATGGTCGCGCCGCAGTCACTTCTTCAGTCTTCCAACGAGGTATGTCGTCAGCTCGGAAAGCGATCATCACTTTAAGCTCGACTACTATTCGGGTTCTCGTCTATGTGTTTCTTCGCTGGGTCAGGAGAAAATGCCAATTCTTGATCTTAGGCCACACTTGCTTACAAAAGACTAGATTCCTGCACACCCAGTCCCACCGATAATTTTAACGGCTTTATTGGTTTATTTTGGCTCTATCTGGCCTGTAAAGGAGCGAGTGGACGATGGATCGCGAAGGGAGGTTTACAGTGGGACCATTTCCAGTGGGAAGGAGTCAAAGGGAATAAACCTGCAGAGGGATATTGGAGAAGATGTCCTTAGTAACGAGAGCCGCCGACAACATGCGTCAAGGAACAGAGAAGAAGCACCTGTATCCGCCTTCAAGTCTTTATTGACGGGTGTCCCATCAACTACTTCAAAGGCTGCGAGCCGAGCAACAATCGGGGTCAATATATTTCTGTCTCTCCTTGCGTTTGATTTCATTCTGCGAGGCCTCCTATTTTACCCAACGAATGAACTTTCATTCTCTCGCGTCGGATACGTATCTTCAACCACGGCAAAAATTCTTGTTCGAGAGCCAAAGCAAAATCTGCCCCTTCGTATCTCATACCAGGAGCTTAGCGACTATCGAGCTGGCCCGGCAGTGACAGTGGGAACCTTGGGCCCTCTAGATGAATCGACAGATTTTACGTACCCGGTTTCGATTACTGGACTTAATCCTTCAACTAAATACCGGTACTCGTTGTCCAACAATCAATCTGGGGAATTCACTACGGCACCGGAACTCGGCTCTCCCAAGTCGAAAGAGCTTACATTTGTAACTTCGAGCTGCATAAAACCGAATTTCCCCTACAACCCCTTTTCCCATCCTTTCCAAATTCATGGGATTGACGTCCTCACTTCGACATTGACAAGATTGGGCGAGGCGCTTCGCCCTTCCTTTATGCTCTTCTTAGGTGATTTTATCTATATTGACGTACCATGGCGATTTGGGTCATCCGTACAGCATTACCGAAGCGAGTATCGCAGGGTTTACTCCTCGCCTAGTTGGCGTATTCCTCCGGATTCCCCTGCTAATATCCCATGGATCCATACTCTGGACGATCATGAAATCGCCAACGACTGGGCCTCTGGAAATGCCACTCCTCCGTACCCAGCAGCTGTGGATCCATACTTGCACTATCATGTCAACGTTAACCCTCCAATACCAGAACACCCGCATTCCATTCCGTCTAACACAAGTTATTTTTCATTTATCAACGGCCCTGCCTCTTTTTTCCTTTTGGATACGAGAACGTATCGCTCTGAGCCGTCCCACGAGGACTCTAGCATGCTAGGCTTCGCGCAGCTACAGGCGCTGATCGAATATATCTTACGCCCAGAGCCGGAGGGGGTAAAATGGAAAATCATCACTAGTAGCGTGCCGTTTACTAAAAACTGGCATGTGGGTACGCCGGATACCTGGGGTGGCTTTCTGAAAGAAAGGCGGATGATTTTCGAAGCCACGTGGAAAGCAGAACTCGAACTTGGTGTACGGATTGTTCTCCTAAGCGGTGACAGACATGAGTTTGCCGCCACGCGGTTTCCAGATCCAATCCTTTCATCTACCTCGGCCCCGGAGTCATTTTCTGGTGCTGGAAGAGGTATTCATGAGTTCTGTGTCGGCCCACTCAGCCAGTTTTACCTTCCAGTGAGATCGTATCACCAGGAGGATGATGAAGATGTGGCTATCAAGTACGTGCCAGATGGAAATTTCAAGTTTGGCCTTATTAGTATCAAAGCCGATGAGGGTGAACAGCCTACCTCACGCCTGACGTACTCGTTGTATGTTAATGGAAAGGAGACTTGGAGATACACGCTCGAGACTCCTTTGGCGGCTACGAGGGGTCGTGCGCTTCCTCCCGGAAAAGTGGTGTTCGACTACGTCGATAATTGGGAAGAGCAAGTGAGGCAAAGGGCCGGAAAATGGGCGGCCTACGCTGGTGAGAGATCCGGCTGGCTCGGGCGAGCTATGGGCAAGGCTTGGGATGAATTCCTCCGGAGCGCTAGGGTTGATGAAGCATAGACCTGAAGGTGGTCTGCTGCCTATTTCGCTGTTAGTTCCTCCCATTTGTATATTTACAGTTTTCTCAGCACTGTCGTTCCGATTCCCACCCCCCTTTTTTTAACATTCGTGCACTTATATAAGATGGTAGTCGATGGCAAAAAAAAAGTTCAAAATAACTCTTTTGCACGGAGTATGAAGCTAGCGTATCATGCTAAAAGACAAAGGCCAGGCCAATCGGCTGTCCAATAACTATTGAAACATAAACAAAGGTATTTCAGGACCTGGCCAGAAACAAATCCGCAAATAGCCCACGACCTTTTACACCGTAACGCCGCCGCCTTTATGGTATGCTTAATACATGCTCCACATCGACAAGATCATAGTAAATCGTCGCAATAGAATTATCGACGACCTCTTCCACTTCCTCCAGCCCCACCCAGCATTCCACCCATTTGGCTCATCATGCTTTGAAGATCCATGCCTCCAAAACCGGGCATTCCGCCACCTGCTCCTCCACTTCCCTGTAGCATCTGCATCATCTTCGCCATGTCACCCATTCCAGGCATCCGCGGCATTCCAGGAGCACCTGCACCACCCATCGCAGCCATTCTTTTTTGCATAGCTGCCATCTGCTGCTCCTTGTTTCCGCCTTTGAGCATGTTCTGGGCGCGCTGCATTTGCTTCTTCTGGCCACCAACCTTCTTGGCCATGCCCGCCATCATCTTATGTTGCGATAGGAGATCTTCAACTTCTCTAACGGTGGTGCCGCTTCCACAGGCCACGCGAACGATCCGAGACGGTTGATCAACAAAGACTTTGCCATCGCCGTCGAGTTCTGCGGCTGTCATACTATCAAAAATGTAAATCATTCGGCGGAGCTTCAGAGAGCCATCTTCATCATCGAGACCCGCTGTAAGACCAGAAAGACCAGGAATCATACTTGATATTTTGGAGAGAGGACCCATTTTCATTATCGATGTTATATTTTCACGGAAATCTCGAAGTGTAAATATTCCCTCCGAAATATGCTTGTAGGTCTCCTTCGCACCAGCAGAATCTTTCGTTACCGCTTGGACGTGTTCAACCAAGCTGGCCATGTCACCCATACCCAATAATTTTTGTATAAACGGCTTCGGGGCAAATCTTTCCAGATCCAACATGTGTTCCCCGGTACCTAGAAAGATAATGGGAGTGTGGGTAGCAGCAACGGCAGATATGGCACCACCACCAGCGGCATGTCCATCTGTTTTGGTGATGATAATGGCCCCGAAGTCCGCTGTCGCCTTGAAAGCTGCCGACTGCGCCTCAGCTGCTTGCCCAATACTACTGTCGAGAACAAGGATAGTTTGATCGGGTTTCACGGCATTCTGGATCTGTGTCATTTCTGCAAAAAGGTCCTCTTCCTGTTTGTGTCTTCCACTGGTGTCAACGATGATAACTTCAAATTTTTCCTTCTTGAATTTAGCAACGCCGTCTGCGGCGACAATAGCGGGGTCCGTCTGCGTTAAGCTGCCGTAGTATGGGATCTTGGCCTTTGTCGCGTTCTGCTTTAACTGATCGAAAGCTCCCGCACGGAACGTATCTGCGCAAACCAAGGCAGACTTGAACCCTCTTGTTTGGTAATGTCTTGCGAGCTTCGTACATGTCGTCGTCTTTCCCGCACCTTGTAGACCAACGAACATGATGACATTCGATCGACCCTTCTTCGGCTTGAAAGGCTCGGTGTGAGGATCTACTAGAGCGACTAACTGATCAAACACGGCTTTCTGAATGAGGCGCTTTTTATTAACGGCAGGCGGTATAGAGGAGAAGTTGACGCTGGATTTGATAGATTTCCGAAGGTTTTGGACGAGGCGGACGTTTACGTCGGCTGAAAGTAAAGCAGCGCATATCTCTTTAAGCATAGAATCAAACACCTTATAGATAGGTTAGTAAAATACTTATCGGGCCCCGCAAGGGCCCTAGGTCAGTATTACCTTTTCGTCCAGATCATTCGACCTGGTCAGATCACTGACAGCGGCGTTGATGCGCCGGCCTAAATCCTGAAGAACCATGACAACGTCGCGAAAACAACAAATAGGCCAAGGCGATAAATATTTAATCTGTAACAGAAGAAACAAAATCAACGCAATCTAGATGCCCGCGGACGACGGTCAGAGTCGCTTGCCGGAGAGGCGAGATCATGCCCTCGTTGCGTTAAAGTCCGTGGGGAGAGTCACGTGACCCATCCGATAAGCCTTGGATTTTGGAAAGTTTGCGGAGAGCAGCGATGGCAGAGCAAAAAAACCATCTAGAACCAGACGAGAGAAGACGCAATGGCGCCATCGATATCGAAGAAGAGAAGAATAGAGGATGCCATGAATGGCAAGATCTCTCAACCAAAAAAGAAATTCAAGAAACAACCGGAGTATCACAGTAGTTCCTCCGAAAATGAAGACGACGCTCTGCCAGCCCCGTTCTCGGGAGTGACCTTACAAGACTCCGACAGTGACAACGATGGATCAGTTACGGGTGTCCAACTACCAAAGGATGCAGTGGCGACGTCAGACGCAGAGGAAAACGATGTTAGTGCTTCAGACTCCGAAAACGACTCCGATTCATCAGACTACTCTCTAGCCACCTCCGACGTTGGGAGCATAGCAAATCGCAAACAGATCTCAAAGCGAAATGACCCTGCGGCATTTTCCACCTCCATATCCAAAATTCTTGGAACAAAACTTTCTACCTCTGCCCGCGCCGATCCCGTGCTATCACGAAGTAAGTCCACAGCGCAAACGACAGCGGATATTGCCAACGAGAAACTTGAAAAACGAGCGCGTGCAAAGATACGTGCCGAGAAGAAGGAAGAGCTTGAGCGTGGACGGGTAAAGGACGTTCTGGGGGTTGAGCGAGGAGAGGCTGGCGAAACGGCGGAGCAGGAAAAGCGCTTACGAAAGATAGCGCAGAGGGGTGTGGTGAAATTGTTCAATGCTGTTCGGGCTGCTCAGGTGCGAGGCGAAGAAGCGGCGAGGGAGGAGAGGCGAAAACGTGCAACTGTCGGCATGGACGAACGAGAAAAGAAGGTTACCGAAGTTAGCAAGCAAGGGTTTTTGGAACTGATTAACGGGAAAGGGAAGAAAGTGACGATCGAAGAAGCATGAGCAATGTGTTATGGTCTTAAAAGATTCAGCATGTTTTCAGGCGCATGGAAGGGACTATATTGTTTTTCATCTTCTCGTTACTTATGGGAACACAGCAGTGGTTGAGAAAAGAAAATTCTTGATATTGTTGTTGAATTTTATAATAATACACATTGCAATCTAAATCTTTCCAAAATCTGACACACCGGAGTTTTCAAAATCCCGGCGACGCTGGTATTACAAGAAAAACCCGTGCACACGACGAATTTCCTCTCGTTGTTCAAGGGTATGTTGAAGTCGAGAGTAAAGCGGTAGGGGGAATCATTTCTTATCCGCGAAGTCGCTAGCTTGCAAATTTCTGGTCATACTGGGCAGTCGCACAACTAATCCGTCCAGTTCGGGCGTCATCTGCACCTGGCATCCGAGTCGCGAGGTCTCCGTTAACCCAAAGGCAAGGTCCAACATATCGTTTTCATCGTCGTCGGGCTCAGGCATTCGGTCGTACATCCCCTGGTCTTCAACAATAACATGGCAGGTAGAGCAGGCACAAGAACCTCCACAAGCTCCTGAAATTTAATGTCAATGCAACGCTCTCGCATTTAATGGAAAATAAAGACCAAACCGACCTTCCATCTCTAAATCATTTGCTTGCGCGATGTCAAGCAGGTTATCTCCCTTGGCGACCTGGAAATCATGCCTCTCGCCGTCCTTATCGACAAAAGTGACATTGATCCTGAGAATAGTCAGTTGAAAAGGGTCCCCATAGATTCCCTGGTCAAATACGTAGTCGAACTCACTCTTCGCCTGGTTTTGGAGGTTCAATATGGCCATGTGCAGCAGCTGTGGTCGCGGAGAAAGGCCGTCGTGGCTGCGCGGGATTGCCATATGAGCATTGGTAGTGGCCCGGACTGCGTAGCCGGCGAGCTGGCCTGCTGTAGATCGAATAGGCCTTGGACCTTGAAACGAATCTTTGGTGATTCGAAGCTGTGAACGTATTCCAACCCCGGGACGTTCCAACTACCCTAAACTGTCCAGCAGCCGGCGGGGCGGACGGTCGGAGGAGCTGCTGGCATATCGTTCTCCACGGATTCATGGTTGCGTAGGAGCAGTGTTGACCAGCGCAGGCAAAAAAATGTGCAAAATTGCTTGAGATATCTCGCAGCAGCGAAGAGGGTTGGCTGACAGAAATTTGTTCGCGGCCGCAGTTGATGTTCGGCCGGCGAAAGCGGCGACAAGAAAATCAGTCGAATCAGCGGAGCGGAAATTACGGAAGTCCAGATTCAGAAAAACAACATCTCCTAGTAGCTTCAAATATCTATTTATCTCATTTCCAGAGTCGCTAGCAACCACATCGCGAATCTCGCAGAGTTTTCCCCTGCATTTGGAATTGGTTTTGGCCCGCCCCGGTGCTTTTAGAGCACAATGACTTCGCCACCTGAAGCTCCAAATCCCCTTCGCCCGTACTACGTTCCCCCTTCCATTGGGCTGCCTGCTGGGCAATCGGTCTCGAAGATCTCGCCCAATGGGCCTCCATCAGCGGCATCAGGGAATATAACCAGCTTCGGGAGTTCTGCTCGTGAAATCTTCTCCGATTTTGATTACTCCGATTACCTGGGAGAGTCCTCTCCGTCGGTGGCGGAGTCCATCAAACAGCTTCTCGAAAGCGCATTATGGAGATATTCCCGCGTTCTGATATCACAGCCCTTCGAGGTTGCAAAGACGATTCTCCAGGTTTACGTTGTTCAAGATGAACAAGAGATAAGGGCGCTGGACGAGAGACGGGGACAGGATCGAAGTTATAGGGAGAGCATCTACACAGATGTATGTATCGATTTACCCGTTTCTCCTGTGCCAGCTTTGGGACTAACAACTACGCGTGTTAGCAATCTTCATACTCATCTGACGATGAGGATAGCTACTTTGCACCAGCAGCACCGGCTGCCTCCGCTTCTGCGTCGCGTACCCGCCGCCCGCCTCATCGAATTACGGATCGGGGTGGTTACATCCCGCAGTCCACTAAGCCCGGCTATATGCTTAAGATCAAGGACCCCTCTGCCCTCTTTGATGTACTTGCACAGCTATGGACAACAAATGGACCAACATCTATTTGGAAGGGCTCGACTTCGACATTTGTCTACTCTTTACTCCTTCCGACTTTGAATACGTTCATTCGAAGTCTTCTTTCAGCGATTATCGGCTATCCGGAGGATAGCTTCTCGACCATCCTTGAATCCGATATCTTGACATCTACGTCTCCAGGAGCTGCTTTAGTCCTTACCTGTCTTTCGGCAGCCCTGGCTTCCATCGTGTTATCCCCCGTTGATACCGCAAGGACATACTTAATCTTAAGCCCCGTGGGGCACGGCCCGGGTTCGCTTTTCAGAGCTATCCGTCAACTTCCCACGCCTAATTATCTAATTCCTCCCCATTTACTCCCAATTACGATCCTCTCCTCCACGCTTCCAACACTACTCGCGAACAGTACCCCACTTTTCCTCAAATCCTATCTTTCTTTGGACCCGGTCCTTAACCCTTCAAGCTGGGGCCTCTTTACTCTCATGGCTTCCGGTCTGGAACTAGGAGTACGCATTCCACTAGAAACAGTTTTAAGGCGAGCTCAAATAGCGACCTTCACGTCTCCGGTGTTGAGGCAGCAGAGCATCACACGTACTACTGTATCCGCGTCATCGTCTTCACAAGAGAACGTCACCTCCGCTATACAAACGGTTGTACCTACACCAGACACATATCGTGGTATCGTTGGGACAATGTGGAGTATTGTCTACGAAGAAGGCACGGACGGAGGGGCTGAAGCTGTTGCGATTGAACGAGTGTTGGGCCGGCCGCCAGAGCCTACAACGGCCGGGCCCGCGGGCAGAGTGCCGAGACGCCGCAGGGGCCAGGGAATAAGGGGTCTTTATCGCAGCTGGCGATTAGAGATGTGGGGTATTGTTGGAATCTGGGGCTCCGGGTTTCTGGGAGCTCTTCTGGGACCTGGTGACGAGGAGGTGCTAGTAGAGTCTGGAGCCGCTATGGGCCTTGGGCCTGTTGGCGGTCGAGGGAGTGCTGGGGCCTTTTAGGCCGCCTCATATCCGGTTTTGCGCTGCTGCATCTAGTCGAATGCAGCTGTATCCTTTTACTGAGATATCCACTACCACCATTCAGCTCCTATATAATCGCGTGTCAGGGGGGTTTTCTAACCCGGTGGCATATTCCTTGTTGGGTCTCGAACTTTCTAGCGAAGTACGAAGAGCCAGGTATATTCTCCAGTTTCGTGTGAGTTTTTGACGACGATGGTGTGTTTTCCACAGTGTACTATTAGCATGACTTTGGCGCGCCCGCTCGACATCATCCCAGCTCCCCTCAACTTCCTTGCTCTTTTGTAAGGCACTTCTACTTTCTGTTTTTTGACTTGTTCTTCTGCTCCCCCGTTTTTTTTTTTTTTTTTTTTTTTTTTTGTTTAATTTTTTTTTTTAAAAAAAATTGGAGGACTCATTTAGATCGGACGGTGTTGAGAAGCGCATATTGTTTTTAAGATTACTTGGGCGGCATAATTGGAATTCTGATGATTTCATTTCACATATTCCCATCTGAGCTTTACCGGAAGCTAGTGTTTTTTCGGTGCGATTCTTCGTGCTCTCTTCTATTGTCAACAAAAGTACATAACCTTGAACTTTCTAATATACAATACAACGACTCCTACCAACCCCACATAATTTTTGATGCTGCCATATGTATGAGGATACTCTAAGAGTGGGCCGAATGGTGTTTGTGAATGGGTCCACAGGCATGTTACACCCATTGAAGACTCAACGCCATATCCCTAAACGATTTCTCATCGCCTCTAAGCCGTATTAGCCCCTCGAGAGCGGCTGAAAACATAATCAGACAACGAACAAGCAAATAGAGCAACACTTCGGCCAAATCCAAAAGGTAAATCCTTCCCCGATATTCCATAATTTTCCTAAAATCTGTGAAGTCCAGACGGTACACATTTGCCAACACATCGCTGCAGCCTGAAACCGTCCCAGTATAAATCAATCAAAATGAAAAATGATACATAATGTCGTTAATTAGCGAATCTTCTATCAAAATATCGAAGCACACCCATGACGCTGGCGGCTTCCACTTCCATCGCAGGACGATTTCTGACCGAGGAAGGGAGCCCTCGAGGAATTGGAAGAGTATGTAGCCGTGGGAGCCATGTGTTTATCTCGTCTGATGCACGAGCAAAATTTGGGTGTCGCGAAAGTGTGGTGAAAGTGTCCGCACAGCTTAATGTAATTGGAGGAGTTGATGGCGGGTTATCCTTCAATACGCTATTCCCTTTGTCATTCGGGGATGATCCTCGCGATTGACAGCAGCCTTCTCCTGGACTACTTCCTCCGCAACATCCGGCGCCGGCATTAGCTGCGCCTCGTGATGCCGCTAGACTCTTGCAAAACAAGGTGCTTTTTGGATCTGAGAGGCATTGTGCACAGGTACCAGGTCCATTCGCACACGGATTTGGCTTGCTAGTTATAGAGGGAAGACCGTCAGAAAACACATCTCCATCCGAGGGAGGAGGGGTAAATTGAGAGAGGTCGAGGTTTTGGATAGGGGCAAGTTTGTTGGGCCTCTGGGGCTTTTCTCTCTCCGAAGATTGATCCGCAGCCATTTCAGCACAAATACACGGGGTTCCATCCTGGCAAAATCCGCACGGATCAAAGAGAGCGCTCGGGGAGACGACTTCCACGTCGTTATCCGTATTGCGACGAAGGGAGAACCGCGATGTAAAATCTATCTCTAGTTCTTCTGGTTCGGTTTTAATTTCAGGTTGAGGTCTCTGCCGTTTATCTGATGACTCCTGCTGTGGGGAGTGTGGTCGCTTTGGCGCTAAAACATCCTCTTGCCGCCGTGAAGGGTTTACGTTGAATGCGTCGTCAATGCATTGACATCTGGCGGAGGAACAATTTTCACATCCACCAGGGACAGATTCGGCCGGATTCTGTGCTTTGATAGCTTGGAGTTCCTTGGCCAGAGCATCTTTAGCGTTTCTCTCTGTAACAACGTCGTTTTCAAGTCCCTGACAGCGCTTTTTCCACCATAATAATTCGTTTCTACAGTCTTCTAGTTGTTTCGATAGTGTGCTTATTTGTGCTTTCATCAATGTCTCTTGTTGCTCGTTTTCCTCCTCAATTTTTTTAATTTGTTCTTCTAATTCTCCCACTCTCGCTGCTCTTCTTTCCCGAAAGGCTCTTTGAGCGGCGCGGTTTTGAGCCTTGCGCTTTGTTGGGGGGGTATCCGTGGCTGGCTTGCGGCCAGGCTTTGGTCGTGGGGGAATAATCCACTCCTTTGACGTAACAGAGCGTTGTACTAAGGGAGAAGGAGAGCCTGCGGCTGCGATTGGCTTCACCGAGAGAGCTGGGGGGCGTGAGGCCAATGCCGGGGCTAACGGCAGCGGCGAGGCGGGGGTAGAAGCGGTTGGCGTACTCACAGCAGATGCCATGGTTCGTATGAAGACTGTTGGAAGCAAGACACAAACAACGGGTAAGAGGGATGAAATTAAAAAAAAAAAAAAAAAAAAAGAGAAACTGAAGAAAAAAAGGACAAAGACTGATTGTGTGGAAATTCAACCGCAACGTGTCTATCGGGGCATCGGAACCAGCAGCTGATTATTTGTACTCAAGCTCCAGGCCCTAGAGCAGCAGGCTCACGCAGCTAGTCCAAGGCAAGAAGCATCCAGATGTAAGTTCGTCCCAGTCACATAATATATGCGACAATGTATCACTGGCTATGGCAATTGACACTGTGATACGACAGCAAGCGACGAGGAGCGTAGTGGAGGATGTTGCAGGAAGGTTAGAGGGGGAAACTCGGATGATCAGATTAGATTATCGTGCGATCAGTCACGTGGATTAGAGTTTCCGATGTCGCCGCTTAGCGAATCACATGGTACCATTCTTATCTGATCTGCTAAACGATGTTATCTGATCCCCCTCCTCTGCATGCCTGACTAGCGCGGTAATGCTCGAACAGGCACTAGTCCCATACCGCGTACTCCATACTCCGTACTGCTCCGTAATTAAGCATGTATCTTACAGAGGAGTACCCACCGCCAGACGGCGGCATTCATGAACCGTCATGCAGGGAAGAAAGTTAGCGTCTCCGGACGTGTATCGGGCTTTGAGAGAGCATTATCCCTTTAGCCAATTGTATGGCAGAAGATTAATCAGGGGGCATCGAAGCGAAATACCCTTGCGATGCCGGGAATGAGTCAGATGTCATCGTGCGAAATTTCACGCCCTTCAACCGGCAATTTCGACTCGGCCCTCGTATAAAGCTGCGAGCCCCCGAATTCGAGTATATAATGTGTTGGATTCTCTGCCATTGCCGAGAATTACAGTTTGAAAAACAAGTAATGACATGAATCCTCAACCCTAAGATGTCCTCCAATACTGTTGTGGCTAGTCCGAGAGTCCTTAACTTTCTCCAAAAGCTCCATGCCGCTTCATTGGCCCAAGAATCCTCATTCTCTCTCAGCCTTTTTTGGGTCTTCAAGCTCTTCCGCGATCGGTTCTTCAAAGAAAGTTGGAATACCCGCGATGATGACTTCATGCGGGACAAATTCATTGCCCTCGAACCCGACAAGTGCGAGTTCCTCTATCTGCTCGCGCGGACCACCGGTGCGCTGAACATCGTCGAGGCTGGGACCAGCTTCGGTGTTTCAACCATATATCTGGCTCTTGCTGCTGGACAAAACGCTGCCGCAAAGGCTACCTCCGGCCCAATCATTCCCGGACAGGGAGCGAGGGTAATTGCTACCGAGAAAGAGCCGGAGAAAGCTAAAAGGGCAAGGCAACATTGGAAGGAAACTGGAGAGGAAGTGGAACCGTGGATCACATTGTTGGAGGGAGATCTCCGCGAGTTGCTTCCCGTGGAGGTAAACAAAACTGATCAGATTGATCTCCTCTTGCTGGATAGTATGATTCCCTTTCTGTCCACCTGTCATTCCATGATTGTTAAACGAAACTAACATGTCTCTGAACCAGTTTGGACACCAATGGTCCTCCCTGCCCTGCAGGCCGTCCAGCCAAAACTTCGCCATGGGGCGCTCATTGTTGCTGATAATACCAAAATGGCGCGATCGGGCTACAAAGATTTCTTTGACTATGTTAACAATCCAGCGAATGGGTTCAAGACAATGACAACGCCATTCAAGGGCGGGCTCGAGGTTGCGGTTTATCTCCCTTCAAACACAGTCTAGTCGATGCTTGTCGGCTTCAATTCGAACGGAAATAAAACATTCATGTCGATTTTGTTGTCTGTCACTGTTATATTAAGCCGCAGAATGTTTCTTGAAATATGTTTCTCTATAGCGGAGTAATAGCAAAATATTCTTACTACATCATATGCGAATTTAACTGCGCCATCCCCCCGAGATCCTGGCCCTGACTGAACGAATAGAACACAACTATGCACTGAATAGAGAGATATAGTATGATATCGTCTCAAACTAGTCATACAGGTGTACACCACTCCACTAAATTATCGGCATCCCTATTTCCTTGTTTTCGTCCGGCTCGTTTCACCACTTAGGATAGCCTTCTCCCGGAGGTATTTCTGAACAACACCCTCAACGGTTCCAAAGTCGTGTTTAGTTTGTCTAAAGGAGAGGGGGAGAGAGCGCGTCAGTGAACCAGTCAAAAGCTTCGGGTGTCCTGGAAAAAGATTTTGCAATAGAGCCATACCTCATGTATGTTAGTCTAGCACGCCTCTTTCTCTTCTCAGAACGTTGCACAATTTCCACAGCTTGCACTTGTGGATTGTATACTTTAATCCACATCTCACATCCCACTCGAGTCAATTGATTTCTTAACAAAAATGCGGTGTCTATTCCCCGCTGTCGGATATTCAAGCATACGCCTGCAAAGGGATCGCCGGATTTAAAAGTAACGCGGAGAATATCACCAACTTTAGCGCCTTGTCGGTTTCTCTTGTTAAAGAGATTCTGTCTTTCACCAGTTGGGTCGAGAACAGCCAGCTGGTCCTTTGTGAAAGAGGCAATTGGGTCTTTATATGTGGAAGCCGGGGACGGCGGAGGAGGGAGGACTTTCAGCTTTTTTGCAACTGTTTCGTGTAGAACTGTTAGCTGACAACGGTGCAATCAAGAGAAGAGTAGTATCTGAAACGAGAATAACGCTGTAAACCCACCTTTACCAGGGCGAAAGGCTTTTGGTAGTTGCGAATGAAATTGTTCGGGGAGGTTTTCGGGGAAAGGGAGGCGCTGCTTTGGAGCGGAATACACGGTCGTCAGGAATCTTCGGTGAGACTGAAACTTCCCCAATTCTCGGGATATCGAATTCCAGCAGCCTAGCGGCCGCATCGCTGACTGTAGCGAGGCCATTGTTGTCATCAACTTGGTTGTCGGCGTGTTCGTCGGAGTTGGAGAGATTTGAAGATCTCGAGTGGTGGTCCGTGCGTCACGCAATCTTGAACTTCAAATTTTGGGCTTCAAGAGAATAGTCCCTCGAATACGAAACCCACCTGCGAAGTCAGATCACGGAAAGTATTCGATCCAGCAAAGACCCGAATAAAGCTATTTATTCTACAGTAGCCCTCCCGAAGAATCAATTTTGGCCGTTTCCTCCGACGACAATGGCGCAAGGTGCCATGTGGAGAGCCCCGGCGCTCTTCTCGCGATGCGCCGCGCAGACATCTAAATTCAGCCGATCGAGCAGATCCTTCTCGAGCACTCCTTCTTACTCTAAAGGTATGGGTGGCATCAATATTCTCAGCCCTTCCGGCTACTAATTAATGTTTCCCGTAGAGATCCTACCCCCCTTTAAACCCTCAAGTTCTCCCGAATTGACCGAGCTTCTGGAAGTATTTCGGCAGAAGCTATTCATTCCAATGTCACTGAGTCTTCGACACAAACGATTAATGTTCAAGCAAAAATATGCACAGAAATTACAAGACAACCCCATATCTGTCAAAGTTGGCGGCCAAACCGAAGAATCCTATCTCCTGAAGCCCATGAAACCCGAAGACCAGCCCGGCTCAGCCGAGTTTAGGAAAATGGTTTCTTTGATGAAGACTCGCGAGGACTGGCTCAACATTATTCCATTTCTGACCGGACTACAAAATTCAAAGCGGCCATTTGCAACAAAAAATTTGGTGTGGCTGGTTCGCAAGGCCGGTCTAGCTGGGCAAGCAAGCGTGATGGTGGAGAGTGTGAAGCAATCGAAGAGAACTGGTCTTACCCTGGCCAATGTTGCTGTAGCAAAAAATCTATTTTTGGCAATTCGCTACAAGGCACAGGAGGCGAATTTTAAGGGTGCTGAGGTTGAGACAGCGTTGCGACAAGCTCGTCAAATGGCGGACCTTTTCGATGCTCCTGAGCATACCGCAGCTGATCGGATGAATGACGCAAAACATTCACCTGAGATCATTGCAATTCTACTCGAGCTCAGCGCCGCCAACACTCTCGATTCACTTGGGGGGAAGGATGTTGAAGGACAAGTTCGAGCATATGCTACCAGGCTTCTTAGCACTTGGTCGTTCGGGAACTTCGATGTCCCCGCCCTGTGGGAGACTGCTAACTTTAGACTCCTAGAGTTGATTCCTGTGTGGAGTGGTATGAATCTAGCTCTACAGGTAGATGAAATCAAGGCCGATGCCGAGTTGTCCAATGCCTTACGATCTCGAATGGGTGAGCTTGGGAAGACAATCGAAGCCTCTGTGGAAAAAGTGACGAAGGAAAGCGATAGTGCGGATCGATCGGGTGTTGTATTGGCCAAGCGACTGTATCATAAGTAGTCACTTTTTACTTGTTTGAGAGGCCGTGTTTGGGGTGTCAGAGGCGTTTATACTGTACAATATTTGTTACTTTTGGGTAAAATATTGAGGATTCATGCTTGGCAGCCCTGATTGTCGGTATTTGCCCTTGGAGAAAAGATTTCATTGATAGAGCATATCGAACAACATATCCACAGTCCACAAAAGATAGACATTATGAATCATTGAATCCTTCTAATCACAGAGTGTAATGGTATTATCATCACGAATCCGAGCCTTGACACCTAGCGAGGACTGTCCGGAGACGACAGAGGGGCCGGTCACAAATATCTGTGACTGCCATTAGCATACCAATTTGCCCAAAAAAAAAAAAAAAAAAAAAAAAAAAAAAGAAAAAAGAAGGTAACTATCACTTACTTCTCCTTCTGTTGCTCTCTCGTCGGTGCCATTCTCCTGACATCCAATCAACTTTATTTCAACACTGTTTGTAGGTGGGCCGAAATGACTAGGCCCGGTATCCGTTCTATAGTCGTACGGAAGCGTTTGGCAAACCGCACCAGCAACATTTTGAGCAGTAAGCGCATATACAACACGAGCTCCAGTGAATATTCTGAGGTCCGTTAATTGATCGGAGGTGAGCCGATTTTGTTTGTTCCCATCAGCTCGATGGGAAATGAACAAAAGCCGAAGCTTATCGAGAGAAAGTCCTGCAGTGGGTGCAGCGCTTGACAAATTCCATAGCCAATTACGTGTTGGCATCACACCGGAATCCAAGGAACGGCTTTGAAAGTATCGTCCAATATTGGTAATTGGACCCATAGAGGGTCCCATACGTTGAGCATGGTAGTCGGATATGGTGTGGGAGGATGCAACCAGCACGGTAGGTGAAATCCCCGCGGTAGCCAGCGCTAAATCGACAACTTCGCCAGCTACCGAATTGAGAGCAACGGAAGCGTTGGCATACAGAGCAGCAAGAGTCCAGCAGAGCGAGTATGTATGAGACAACGAGTCAATCGAAAGAAATAGATCGGAGTCTCTGAGAAGCTCGTTACGTGGAAGGGAGCTGCCGAGAGCACCCACAGCAGATATGAGATTCTGTTGTACGCGTTAGAAAAGCAGCGAGGAGACGGTTCCCGCATCTATAAGCTTACCGCGGCTGTATATTCAACGAAAGATCCAGGGCCAGTTGGGGGGAACCAGAGTGTAGTTATTGAGGGTGTGGCTACGTTGGGGTCAGAGGCGGGAAGCTCCGAGGTAGCAGAATTACCGCTATCTTTCACCAAATCCTGCCAAACAGCCACTTTAATCTGACTACCCAATTCATCTGGGCCTTGACTCCAATCCAAGTGTTGGTTGCCCACTTTAGTGACCCAGACAACATTGTTCAGAGACGTACGGGCTTTAGACACAACATCGAGATCAACAGCACCGGCTTCTGCAACAAGGAGATCTGCTTTAGCTTGCTGGAGGTACGTTGCCAGCTCTTCCGAAGCCAAGTTATGAGGGATTATCGTAATCTTAAATCCGTAGAATGCACCGGCTGAAACTCGTTAGCTTCATGCTTCCCGAATGCTGCATGGATCTCACGAACCAAAAAGTGTAGCAAGTAATTCCACAGAGTCAGAAAGACAGATTGCCACATTTTGTGCCTTTGAGTCGCGAATATACTGCCCGAGAACATTGATTTCTTTCGATATCTCGTCGATACTTCGTTCTTCTACATTTTTGCCCAGGACAGTGTATATCTTTCCACGCTTCCCTTTAGGTGTGCCGTCTTGATTCAGCGATCCCTTGACGGCGCTCCTCCAGATGTCACGTAAATCTCCATTTCTTCCATATGACCATTTTGGTGTTTCCGGATCCCTCACTCCCAATCCGGCCTTAAGAGGGTACCCATGGGGAGCGTCAAGGGCACGAAGTGTCGCGGATTCTCCCGGCTGCCTGATGGGAGCTTCGGCGGCTTGCCGGGCAAGCATAAAAGGATGCGCATCCGGATCTTTCGAAAAGAAGGTGACATAGCCCACGTAGGTAACCAAGAGGGTGGCTAGCCCAGTTGTGTAGATGTCCCAGTCGGCAAGCAGTTGGGCCAGTAAGCTATCAAGCTTTGAAATCAGGGACTCGCTCGAGGCCATCTTGAAAACCTTCACTCGGGTGCAGCTAATTTTATCTCAAATCGGCCAAAGACTCAAATCGGAGTGCCGTCTAGACTCTCGAGCATAGTTAAAAAAAAATACAAGCAAGGGTGATCAATGAGGTGAATAAATTAGGTACCGCAGCCAACGCTGTTGATACCGTGTCGTTGGCTGTTATGGATTTGCGGATCGGTCAATTAGGTTGGTTAACTTTTAGTCTCTGGAGCCGCCTAGAGTACTTCTTGGGCGCCACTCCGGAGCCAACGCGAGACTAGACTCTTGACCAGCCAGCCTTGTCCACATCACACGTTGACTTTTGCTATGTAATCGTCCGTCCGCCATTGAATCCTATGCATCAACATACATGGGAGCTCAGGAAGGTATGTGTGGGATACCTCCTCCGTATGTATTCCGTTGTGCTTAGGGTACGCAATATCCTTACTCGCCTTGTCCTATCTCGGTGGAGGTTCGAGTGGGACGCTCGGCTATGTTCAACATCGGCTGTCTTGCAATCACTTTGCCTACGTGATGTGTTATTCGGGTTGGGGTCAATTTTACTGGCTGTGAGCCTGTGGAGGTTGGTCCAGCATGAGCGTAACCTGATACCAAACGTGCGCCACACACGGAATACGGAATACGGAGTGAGTACAGAGAACGTAACTTGGCCATAGCAAGTCTAGCATGGCGAGGGGAACCGCCCGATATCTGCGAGACTTGAGATGGCAACCATTTCGCATATAATTGACTTAAAAAGCCCCGTAGATGCAGGAATAGACGGACCAGAGCCATCGCGATGTGGTTCATCCCCAATCATTTCTCCTATCAGCCAGCTAATCTTAGTATCAATGATCAGACATGACTGTTAATTCCTTAGCAGTGCATGTTTCAAAGTTCTCATTCCCGCCAGCTGTCCGCCTCCTGCGACAGTTTGGGGAGTCTGTCATGGCAATCATAACTCGTCCATTTCTTCAGGATAAAATATCGACACTGGGAATGGAGGAAATCAGTGCCCAGAGAGGACTTCCTTGAGGGACGTACGTAGTGAAATCCCAGGCAATACTGCAAAAAAAAAAAAAAAAAATTAGTGGCACAAGCTTGAAAAGGGTTCGTATAATGATTCTAAGCCGGGGAGAATCAAATGTTGTATGGAGTAACGTGTTTCAATAATGGTGGTGCCTTCACCGAGCTGCTGTCCCGCGCTGAGGCGGGGTGACTAAGCTGGTTGCATCTAGTTAACTAGTTACCGCGCGGCAATGGCGCTTAGGCTGGTTAAATCTCGAACGTGCGCAGTTTAGCGCAGAAGGTTGCTCTCGCATCGTTCCAAGGCCCTTGTCTCCAAAACAAACATCCCGATTGCCGCCAGCTGCATGATGGTCTCTCCGCAACGCCACGCTCTGGGTCTAACGTGATATCAAGTTTATAGCTTTAGATTAGGGATAAAGGTAAGTCAGGTAGGTATTTTGTTTTCCGGAGGCTTTTCCCACCAGAAGGTACGCTCGTCGTCAAAATTCCCAAATTTTCATTCCTTTCTCCTTTGCAACACGGCTAATTGAGTCAATCTCTAGTTGCTATTTTCTTAGCACGCAATTCCCTAGCTCTGCCAATGGCGCCGGGTCTGCTTCCATCGACCCCCAAACTCGCTAGTATCCAAACGGTCGATACACCTTCACCGGGCAAATGGCGGCATCCCCACCTCAAGGAGATTGTACAAAGGCAGAATGCAGCGAGATTCGGTGACACAAATGTTCGGAAGATCGTGTGGAATGGTGCAGTTTTGCTCGCCACAGGCTTTTTAGGGAAATCTTTAAGGCAATAGTAAGTCTTGCCCAGAAGGGCTCACAGATACGCGCTGCTTCTAACGCGTATTGTTGCAGCATACTTGCACTCGGTTCGTTTCTGTCCATCACAACGTATCCCAATGTCATACTCTTCGTATTGCGATTATATTTCCTTGCCAACATTGCGACCGCACTATACCCACTTTTTCGGCGCAAGGACGATATCTTAGATATCCCGCTAACCCCTTCACAACGTGCGCTTCTTGGGCTTAAACCCAACAGCACCCCTCCTACGACACCCGGAAGCTCTTACATAACACCTCCTCGATACCGGATATCTTCAGGTTCACGGCGGCCTAGCCCGTTATCCCCGAGCAGTTCTCCATTATCTGGCAGAGGCAGCTTGTCAGGTAGCCAGCTTTACGAGGGCTCTCTATATTCACCCTCCCCTAGCCCTTTGTTCCAAAGAGCAGTTGCCGGTGGGAACAGGGGTATGATGCGGCGACACAGCTTTGGTTCTTCGTCGTCGTTCGGTCGGTCTTCATTGCGAGATTCAACCGCTCTGCGGACGCCATCCACTCCTAGTCCTAATGGTGGAAGGAATGTCAATGTACTCGCAAATAAGTGGCTCTATGAGAAAACGCGTGCCGTTTCTCCTGGTGGCAGCGTTTTTGGGCGATGATATTGGTTTATTCTCTAAATGTCTTGGCGTGATTTAGCTCTGGTAGAAGAAAGGCGTTATGGAAGCGGGAAGAATTACTATGTACGGAGTATTACCTGCCTTGAAAGGCTAACAATCAATTTAATTCTTCAGCAACATATTTTATAATTTCTCTTTGTTGAAGATAAAGATTAGATTACAATCTAATAGCGTTGCGTGTACGGGAGAATCGCTCGTTGCTTGCATCACCTTGTGATAAAAATAACGGTCGATGTGGCAGTTGAATTGTTACGCAAGCTTTATCAGTTGCTTGGCTCTGCTCGACCTTGAATCCAACCCAACAAGAGTACTGGCTCTCCTTCAAAAACTAACCCGATCTTTATAACTGATGTCCTAATCCCATTGTCGCATGCTGAGCATTTGTTTCCTTTGAGGTTTCGGCCACTGCTTCCCCACTTTGCGATTCACACGCATCTGGTACGTTTATCATGGGAGCTTCGGAATCCAAGCTCGTTTTCAGGCAAGGCATCTTTCGGCTTTCGGAGGAGAAAGGTATCCCCGCCGATGATCCATACTGGGCTGGTGTAAGTACCGATCTTTGTCGGTGTGTGGAGTTGCTCTGTAGAGCTACCGACTAATACGTGTGTATTCGTTTAGTTCTGGGAGCTCCCGGAATCGGTTGAAGACGTGTTTACGCTCTTCGCCCCCGTTGACATACGAAGAACGCGCGACACGTCGCTAGGGAATCTGGAGACCCTATTACTCGCTGTCGCCTCCCGATTGACTGCGCTTAGACATCACCCGTCATTTCCTGATCATGAACTTGCGCCACCGCGAGATGCGTTGAACTGCATCCGCGTTCTTACCCGGATCCTACCTTTCATATACGAAGCGGAAAACTTGGAGGAGTGGGAAGAAAACTTCTTCTGGGGGGAAAGGAGGAAGAAAACTCGACAGGCTCAACTCGCGGCTCGAGTTCTGTTCGATGAATCTCGCAACGAGGAAGATCAGGATGCCCGGCCTCGGGATGAAGACTACGAAGATGCAAAGCCTCTTGCCGAAGAGCTCCTTGATACTTTGGTTGATATGCTTTTTTTCACTGGATTTACTATACCCCAGTTGCCAGGTTCTAAAACCAAAGTTCAATATTCAATATGGCAGAGTGGAATAGGCTGCCATACGTCCATGGGATCCAACAAGGAGCTTGAGAGCAATAGAACGGAAGTATTACGTCTATTGTTGACATTGACCGGCCAGTCCATGTATATGCCGTCAAGTAAGCCCGCCTCGAATACCCCAAAGCTACCCATCCAGGCTAACGTTCGTAGATCTACTTCCCGTGAAAGGGGTTAAGTCGCTCACCTATCTTGCAACCTGTCCCGATAAGAAGCTCGTCCTGTCTGTTCTCTGCTCCTTATTAAACACAGTGAGTTTCTGTTTCCAGGACAACGCATGGGATTTCTTCTGACATATTTCAGACCCTCAAGTTCAATCCAACTCCCTGGAAAATGCCTTATGACCACGTTGTTTGGAAAGATTCAAGGCAAATCCTTGTGATCTATTCCCTACAGCTTCTCCTAGCTTTATTACTCTATCCTATACCAGAAAGCGGGAGCGGAGCACCGCCCAAAAATTACTATCGGCACTTTTTTGGGAGGCTCCACCAGCCTCAAGACTTCCAATTTCTGGTCGACGGCATGACGAGAATCCTCAATCAGCCGGTTTGTTTCCTTACAAGCATTTGAGCAGTGGATATAAGCTAATAGTATAACAGATGCAAGCCACATCATCTTATCTTCCAGGTAGTCAGAAGTCTGTTAAATGGGCTCCGGAGATGATGATCTTGTTCTGGGAAGCACTTCAATGCAACAAACGATTTAGATCATTCATTGTCGATTCAAATCGTGCCCATGATTTTATAATCATCTGCCTTTTCTATGCCAATGAATATAAGACAGACCCATCCAAGCATGGCATTGTCAAAATGTGCATCTTTTTACTTCAGACCCTCAGTGTGGAGCCAAATTTTGGTCGCAACCTCTTTAAGAAGTTTGAAGCGCAAGACACACTGCCACCGAGTATAAGGCTTTCCAATTTCCGCGGAACATATGGGGATTTTCTTATCATTGTATGCAGTCCTTTACTTTATCTGCTTTGTCTAAATGGTGCTAATTTCTATAGTCCATCCATAATTTGATGACCACCAGCAAAGGAAAACTAGACGCAGTTTATCCTGCTTTGTTAGCCATTATGGACAATGTTGCAGCTTACGCAGAGCACCTGTCGGCTACAGCATGCTCTAGAGTATTACAGCTTTTCGTCTCGATGTCTTCGCCGAGTTTCCTTCTGGCCAAGGAAACCAATCATGCTCTCCTATCCTCCTTGCTCAAATTTATCAATGCAGTTATAGAACACCAATATAGCAGTATGTGGGCCAAAGTAAATCCTACCTACCCGTCTCGATCTAACGCTGTATAGAAAACCCATATCTAGTTTATGCCGTTCTAAAATCAAAGAGGCGTTTTGAGTCTCTGCGGGCCTTTACTCTAGAAAGCGGACAGCAGGAGATTGAGCAACAACGGCACCTAAGAAAGGCTAGCTTAAGCGGCAGTGACCATTTTACACATCAATCTTATGTCCAGCCCAGCGAAGCGATTCGTAGCCCCACGCGACCTTTGAGCCACGTTCCAGAGGAAGATGGTACATTTGCAGTGGGAGACGACGAATCTGACGAAGAGACTCTGCGTCAAGAGACACCTTCTCAGTCATCTCCCTCCCTCGACAATTCACGACCACCATCCCTGGCATCACCCATCGATGACAGCGTTCCACATCAGCTTCGAGGTTTATCCGAGAAGGCTCGCGGCAAGATGCCGGCCGGTCAAGCTACGTTCTCTCGGCAAAATAGCACCACGAGCTTAAGTAGCTACGCTGCAGCATCTGGTTTTTCGACAGCGTCCAGTGGCTTTGTTCCCACTGCAGCTTGGGTAAGTAGCGCCAAATCAACGTAAAGGCCATAAATACAACCAGCTAACCAAGTGGTCAGATCGAATCGTGGGTTCCCGAGTTGCCCCTTCACACCATTTTAACAGTCATTTCTGCAATATTCCCTCATGTCCCGGCAGCAGCTCTTGAATCATCTGTGAGCCCTGAAGCACGCACGCTGCTTTCAGAACTTCCATCATTCGCGGAAGAACCACATATTCAGTCAGTGCTCTCAGAGCCGACCCCCATTCAAGTTCATATGTTTGAATGGTCTCCACTTTCCCTTGGCTGGTACGAGTCCCTTCTATGGGGATTTATCTTTTCGAGTGAAATGATAGTTGGGTCGGCCTCTGGCTCAACGCCGGGGGCAGTCGGCGTCTGGAACGGAACGGCTATTAAACTATTCAGAGTACAAGAAGCAGTCGCCCAAGGTCCAACATTACTAGCCCCCAAGGGAGCTGTTGACGCAGTAGGTTCCAGTATCGTGCAGCGAATTGGAAGCTTGAATCTTCGGGGCCGGGGAAGCAACTCTCAAGAGGGACATGGCGAGTCCGAAAATATTACTGTGCGAGACGTTTAGTGGTGCACCGCCGCTCTCCCTGGACCTTTGCTTCCCCACTGCCTGTTTAGCATGATTTTACGAAGCATCACGATGTACATATATTGCCCTGCTTTGTATTTTAGCATACATACTTTTTTCTAATCCAATGGATAACCGATAACATATGCCAGCTGCTTCCATAGGAGCCATATGCATGAGCCCAAATCTAAAACGCATTTTACTTTCTCAGGCCCCCTCAAGGCTAACCAGGGGTGAGTTAAATAATGTCTGACACGGGATGAAATGCTACCATATTATTTGCCAACCAAACGATAGGAGCGTGCCGTATCTAGCCTAGCATTTCGTCTCTCGTCGCTCCCAGAAGTGGCCCAGAGACAGTTCCCTGGCCGAAGTAAATGCTTCTATCGACCCTCAAAACAATGGTTCCCCTAAAACAAACGGCCTCCGAAAATCTTCACGTGATTTTGGCACTGGCAAGCGACACGAAATTTGGCGGGAAGGCAGCAGGTCTCGACAGCGTTAAGTTTCATTTTGACAGCGGATGCCATTGGAACTCCGCTCAAATATAAATTGTCTCCTCCATCGCTCAATCAATCGATCCCTTTGCCCTTGGACCCCTGAGAGTCAATCATGAGGGTGACGTCATTATTTGTCGCGTCGGCTCTGGGAGCCTTCGCGAGCTTCCAGACCACCGTGCTCGCAAGATCCTTGGGCTCGACAGAGCTGCAGAACGTTCTAGACGACACTGATAATGCGCCGGAGTATCACTATCCAACGGACTTCACCAGAGAAATCATTCCGGTGCGTTCTTCCGAAACAGCCGATGAAGGGCATCCTATGAGGTTTAGGGAGTCTAATTGGTCTGGACCTTGAGGTTTAAAAGGTTCCGTGCCATTCTCATAAGTGCGTATATGCAGTCCATCGATGAGAGGGAATGAGCTGAGTTTGACATGGTTGACCCATAGTGACTACTGGAGAGATCGCCCCGTATACTCTGGTGCGTTCTCTTCAGGTAAATTTGTCGAACCTGGTGCTTACAATTCCTACTAGCTATCGCGGCCGGCTGTGTCTCGATCGAAGCCGATGTTTGGCTGATCAATGGTACTCTATATGTATGTTGAATCTAGGCATTTCGCTTCCTTCCTGGCCCCTTTGTTTTGCTGCTGTTCACTTATTTGCATTCAGGTCGGCCATCACCGATCATCCTTGGCGGAGACCCGAACTCTCAAATCATTATATATCGATCAGATTGTTCAAATCCTCAAGCGCCAGAACCCCCAAAATAAATTCGTTCCGTCATCCACGAGAAAGTAGGGAAGCCCTGAAGGCGTTCAATTCCCTCTAGAGCCAAGTAACATATGCACTAACTCATGATATAATCAGTGGCGTGTTCGACACCAATCCGGCACAGACATTATATTTATTCATAGATATTAAAACCGATGGAGTCGAAACCTGGAAACAGGTTTCCAAAGACCTTCAACCTCTCCGAGACCTGGGCTATTTGACCAAAGTTAAGAATGGAATTAAGATTTCGGCTCCTGTCACCGTCATCGGTACAGGAAATACACCATTAAACTTGATCACCGAGCTTGAAAACCGCGATTACTTCTACGATGCACCACTCGCCGAACTTGACCAGCCCGAGCTTGATAACATCTCTTCCTTGATCTCTCCGATTGCATCGACTAGCTTTGAAGCCGCCGTTGGTGCAACAAATCAAGACAAGGAAGACCCCCTGACTAGCGCCCAGTTAGAAACCATCCGGGCCCAAATTAAGAAAGCAAAAAGCAAAGGAATTGGGGCTAGGTACTGGCAAACGCCTGGTTGGCCGATTCGAAGGCGGAATGAGATTTGGAGAGTGCTTCTGAAGGAAGGCGTTGCATTGCTGAACGTTGATGATCTAGACGCGGTTAAGGAGTATTTCTAGTATCGACAACATTTCGAACTTAGCCCTTTTGGCATAAATCCGTTGACCCGAGTTGCCGCTTTGCAGGACGTGTACGGAATAATTACATGATTATTAAGTTGAGAATGGCTAGACAGACAAGAAGTATAATGTAGTCAGCTAGTACTCGTTGTATTGAGCTTTTCTCCGAGTCTGGAAGCAACATAGACAAGATACTCGAGGTTGGGCACTCTAATTAAAGGCGGGACAGAGAGTTATTTGCTCCGGAATCACTTCGTTCCGGACCTTCACTTCGGACGTTAACGGGAAGACGCTCACTTTTTGAGAGACGATCCATCAAAAGCTGATGGGACTGGCGTCGGCTCCAACTCATTATCGCCGTACTTCAATTTGTTTGCGGATACCAAAAGAAACATCATTCGCACAGTGTCTGGGCCTGGATTATTCCAGGCATGGATCGTACCCCTCTGGACCACTAGATCATGCTCTTTAACCCAAGTCTTCACACCATCATCCAGCTCTAGCTCAATCTCCCCGTTTAAAACAATCCCAAAATCCACCGTCATCGTACGGTGCATCATACCAGGTCGGCCGGGGGGGAAGTCGACGATTCGAGCAATTAGGCCTTGGGGGTTGGAGATTCCGACGGGCTTGCCATTAAATTCGGACCAAGGTTCGTTGGCAGTGACGGGGAAAGGCGAGAGGTTCAGCGACCAGATCGTAGTGAAGCCGAACATCGATTCAGCAGTAGCTGGGGATGCGTTCTCCGAAAAGGGGTCATATGGGATGAGCTTTTCATCGGATTCAATAATTGCCTGCCCGGCGGGGGAATGGCCAGTCACGACGCGCCGAACGGGGGGGAATGGACCTGACTGTTGTTCCTCCGTAGCCATCGTTGTTGGAGTGAAGAATAGTGCGTTATGGAGGATCAAAGGACGAATATGCTTAATCAGGGGGAACTAACGGGAGACTGTAGGGAAGTTTTGGGCAGGTTGAGGAATGGCCTTGGGTATTTGAGCATTTGGCCCCATCGTCCATGGATGATAGTAGGGTTTACTGCGGATGGCGGGACTTCTACCCTTGCAATGCTATGTTCCCTTGAGTTCATCACGGGGACCTTGTTCGCTGTCCGAAGGGTCTTTGAGCGCCACGGACCTAAGACAAGCTTGGCAGTTCAGTTAATATGAGATGTTCTTTAAGCTGCGAAGCCGAATGCTGTGGCTCATACATCGGCAATTGATCAAGGAGGCCCGAGTGGTGCTCATGGTTGGTCGAAGGAACCGGGCGGATGGCAATACATGGTTACTGGAGGTAGAATTGGGAAGAAGTTTGCGCTGTTTGCATGCCTTGCTGCGCTGCGAAGCTGACTAAGTCCGCTTATCTCCGCCGTTGAGCACGTGAACTGCAACCTTGCCCCGAGTCTTGACCTCCCGAGAAGTCGCGGCGCGTCCGGGGTGTTCAGGATGATTCGCATTCGCACAAATACGGCGGCCGCGGTGATTTCACATCTGCCCCAATGGCTTCCTCGCGCTTCGTGCAGCAGCTCGGCCAAGCGTTGCCAAAGGGTGTGAAGCTCTCAGTGCGGCACGTAGCTTGTCCGCCAACACCTTGCGAGCCCATCTTCTCACCTCCTCCAGGTGAGGGTCCAGAGCCTACCAAATGCGAGAACCACTTCCTTGCGGTGTCAATTAGACCCGAGGAAGCTCCTACTGACACTGACAGCGATGTCGAATTATTGATACTCTCTATTGAGGTTCTGGTGTACACCACTCGGCGGCTTGCTACCGTCTTTGTGTCTAAGGCCGACTCGACTGGCTATCTCTACCTTCTAAACCAGCCGCGAGCAAAGTCGTTGACTAGAACCGTTTTCACCGTGTTTCTCTCTTCTCTCCTACGTGAGTATCAGCGTCCAGGTATTCGGCTTGTACTATCTCTCTTCGCAAGGGCCCAAAGTCAGTATTTGTTTCCTGGCAGCATAGAGAATGTGCGCAAACACGTCCTCGATGATCGTGGCTTGATCAAATGGTGGTGTCGCGTCTTCGACCCGATCTTACGCGATTTCGAGCCAGAAAAACACACCACAAACAAATCAGCCCTGAAGGGGGAAGGACCAGACCATGCTGAAGCTGTGAACACCACAGCCACCGCATATCTCATTGTTCCCGGCCTCGACCAGCATGAAACCAGAGCGCTGTTTCCCTCCACAGCAAGGCTTGATCCTAAGGACAAACCGCGTTGGTTGAATAGCCACCCGCTTTATCAAGTGTGTGCGAACCCTGGAGCTCCTCCGCGATGCCTCGTCCCTCGTTTTCCGGACGACCCCAAAGCGAGATTCCTTGACGACCTCGATGAGGAAATATTTGGTCACGCTACGACTTCCACCCGAAACAAAACACCTAAATGCGTACGTGATATTATCGACGTAACCGAAGCCTCGTCTCAAGACCACGCCGCTACCGGGCGGTGGCCAAGTGTCAAGTCTCTCGAAGAGTTCTGGGAAATGATGACGTTCAGACAAGAATGCTCTGCAGGGAGACTAGTTGGGTTCATATGGATGGTTGTTAATCCTCCAGGTGTTTTAAAGTCAGATGGGCTGGACAAAGTCGCTTCAGCGAGGACAGGTGATCTGATAGGGGGATCGGTTAATCCCGGACTCGAATCAGTTGAATCGGAGCCACAAACTACTCTTCCTATTCGATCGTCTACTGATCGAAATGGTGGTACCGTGTTAGGTAATGATGAACGTGATGACAAGGCCCTTTCTCAAACAGAGGACACATCGGCACCGAAAGCTAAGGAGCTCATCACGACGGAAACGGGGCACCAGATTAGTCCATTTTCTCAAGAGAAGTACACCATCCTTCTCAGCCCTGAGAACTATGCCGCATTATCTGCTCTTCTACTAAAACTCGACTTCGCCGACAAGGGACTTGCGTTGACCAGCACAAAATCGTGGCTTGATAAACTCTCTTCGTTATCAGGGCGAAGTAACCATGGCGAGATAGTAGCCGGTATAAATGAGCAACCGTCAGCGTCAGCGGAACACCCGGCAGATCCGTCAAATCCGCTGAATAGTGGCCTGATATTCAAGAAACGCAAGCTTCATTCGGACACCGATTCAGCTTCAATGCCTACGCAGCAGGAATCTAGAACCTCTGTGAATGTTTTGAGTGCTACGCTGATACGAAAGAAAAAGAAAACTGGCTAGATCACTGATGGCGTCCGTGGTCGCGAAAATACGGCACGTTTTATGTCAATTTTTTCTCAAAATATTCTACGATGGGTTCTTACGACGGAGTTCTTTCACGGCTAGGCATGGAAAGGGATGTCTGGGGGCTTATAGCGCAAAGACTGTGTCTGGAATCCGAACTGCATTTTATAAAAAGGGCTTCGGACACTTCAGCAATAATTTCTGAAAATGCTCCGAACACCCGACTTGGTGAGGTCTGGAGAAGGGCCATATTACGATAATTGTATGGAGAAATTCCCCCCCGTACAGGGTAGAGAAATTAACAAGAGCATAAACATACTCACAAAATCAGAAGTTCTCTGAAAGGACCTTTCCACAAAAGTTTCTAACTCGCGCATGATTCACGCCATCGCCGTCATAGTAACGGTATGCCCAGGAGACTAAAATCCTCTTGACCGTGCGTAGCTTCTGCTCTCGAGTCGGACTTGCGAAAACCATCTTCATCGTATTACAAAACACAAGTGCATGACGGAAACAGCACGGCCTGCCTGTGAGCTTCTGAGAGGCAACAGGGGGTTAGAGGTCAAGGAGCAGCTATCCTGATTCCAATCACAGGCTCTCCACACGGCCCGCAGTGCCTATCACCGAGAGGACGAGAACAGCCAACGACTGAGAGCCCAACGGGTTGGCGTAATGAAGGCAATTGATCACATTATTGGCTTGACATTCTCCGCCAGGGCTGGCACGGGCAAGATGAGACAAAGGCCCGTGTTGAGGGCTTTTTCATCGGGGAGGGAGGCGTGAACAAGCTTCGTCGACTAACGGAGCTGCGGTGGGGAGATGTGAGGGGGGGCGATGCAGTCTTCAACCAATGGCAGACTCAGCACTTGCTGGTTCTGTAAAACAACCTTAAAAAGAAAAAAAAAGAAAACCTCAACTTTTAACACTCGCATTAGAGCAAGGTTAGCTCACCGTGAGAAACGGGCGGACACCTGGATCGCGAGAGCAGGTTGAAGACACGAAGGGGAAAACCTTGCCATGGTTATGGCTGGAAGTTGAGGATGTCCCATCTGAGGCACCGAGACATCACTGTTGTCCTTCTATCTGAGCAGAATCGGCGTTGAAAGACGCGACGCGTTCGGGAACACGGCGCCCGGCCAGCCCGCGGCAAGCAACGTCATGTGCCCCACCCACCCCCCGCAGCGCCAACCCTAGAATGTACTAGTGTGCTATTCGGAGCATCATTGATCCGATATTCCGCCGAGCCATATCACGTGATAATGCTCTTGGCGGTTTCCCTTCCGAGAGGTACCGCTCTTCGCCGCACGTATGTATTTGGCAGGGGCCTTTTTTTTCTCTCTCCCGCAGCGCTGTCGTCAAGATCGAAAAGATTTACTTCCTCTCAGCCAATTCGGGCCGCATGCGAAACCTCGACTCATGCTGGCGGAGAGTGCTCCTCTTGAGGCACACACAGCTGACCTTCCTAGCAGCTATGGACATCCCGCGTGGGTCGTCGTCGTTGGCTGGGTCGCCATCGTTTGGTACCTTGTAGTGACGCTGGTTTGCTGGCTAGGAAACTTTCAACTGTGAGCTTCTTCGCCTCTGACCCTCAATCATATGTTTCTGTCCAGATTCCCTTTTTTTTTTTGGTTTTGCAGAGCTGAGAACTTTCACGCCGAGTGTTCACAGGCAACGGCACTACTCGAAACCCCCACGTAAAGCTATTTCAACCACCACACTCCCTCACTCCAAGATTCCTCATGTCACAATCATCCGGCCCGTCAAGGGACTCGAGCCCTTCCTTTACGATTGCTTGGCTGCCAGCATCCGTCAAGATTACCCTCGTGACAAGCTCACCGTCTATTTTTGCGTAACGTCGACCCAGGACCCAGCCTATCCCGTCCTCGAGAGAATCCTTCAGGACTTTCCTGATGCCGATGCCCGTGTGTTTGTTGAGCCTCCTTACAATGACGACCAACTTGGTCCAAACCCCAAAATCAGGAATATGAGCCAGGCTTATAGGGAAGCCAAAGGGGACATCGTTTGGATCACGGATTGTAATGTGTGGCTCTCCAAGGGGGTCTGCGGCAGAATGGTGGACCGGCTCTGCGGCTTCGACCAAAAGAAGAATGGTGGCAGGCGGTTCAAATTCGTCCACCATCTGCCGATAGTCGTCGATGTCCCAGACCACGGGAATGCCGGGACTTCCTCCCAGTTCGCGATGCTCAACTATGGAACGCTAAAGAATGTAGACACTCAGGACAGAGCATGTTCAAAGATTACATCTGTGCTCTCTCGTGGTGGAGGGCGTCTGGAAGAAATTTTCCTCTCTTCGTCACACGCGAAAATGTATTCGGCCATTAACACCGTGCTCATTGCTCCCTGCATCATTGGCAAATCATCCATGTTTCGACGTTCTCATCTAAACTATCTTACGACGACACCTCCCACCAACTCGAAACGACCGAAGCGGAGGCCTGGAATTGACTACTTCTCTGATAATATTTGTGAGGACCACCTTATTGGCGACCGTCTGTGGAAAGGAAAGATCTTTGAGGAGGCGGAACACAACGAAGATTGGGGAAAGCATAGCCTGATGTTTGGGGACCTTGCCATTCAGCCCATGAGTGGTATGAGCGTTGGTTCCTATATCGACCGTCGTGTGAGATGGCTTCGCGTTCGTAAATTTACTGTTCTACTAGCGACCCTTGTTGAACCTGGGACGGAATCATTCCTCTGTTCCGCATATCTTGCTTTCGGCCTTACTACTTCTGTGCCCTGCCTGCTTCCACAGTACCGTTCTTATCTAGCCAATTGGTCCGCATTTTGCCTTATCTGGGTCGCTAGTGTTCTGGTATGGATGCTTGTTGATTGGAGTGTCTATCTAAAGCTTCACTCGGGAGCCACCATTGAGGCGGACGAATTTACTCCGCCCTTTGCACGTCCACTGCGGAAATCGTCAATCGCCCGCCGGCCCTTCAGAGAGTGGCTTTTCGCCTGGCTCGGTAGAGAAGCTCTGGCGTTACCAATCTGGATCTGGAGCTTCTACGGAGGAACCACTGTCGTGTGGAGAGACAAAGTATTCAGAGTCGGCATGGACATGGTGGCATACGAAATCGCGCAACTTGCTGGAGGCAACAAGATCATCCAAACGAGATCGCGAGCAACAAGTCGACAAGGACATGAAGGATGCGGCGACGGGAGTTCTAACGTGCGTCGAAGAACTCCCAATGGAAGCTTTGTAAGCTCGGGTCTGGCTACCGCTCGTGTTATAGAAAGTGAAATTGGAAAGTCTTGATACCCTACAGCTCATTTCGCCTGGTTTATCTGATGTATATAGTCAGCATGTTTCTCGTTTTCTCTTCCCTTCCCCACATCACGATCTGCCTGCGCCTTAATTTTGGGTTTTTGGGCTTTCCTGACTTTTGGAGATACCCCATGGTATTTGCGATAGGATCCCTTTTTTTGCGACGTTCTTCGCTTCTTGATGATGGTTACGATATATCGATGTTTTTTAATGACAATGTACGAAATGTATGGTTGAATCTAATGTGATTCCGGGAGACCAAGGCTCGATTCTTATAACAACGCTTCCTTCGCGCGACATACAGCTCCTCTAGCTTATACATCAAATACTATTTCTTGGATAGGCGAGATGAATCCTAAAGACCAAGTGCTTCTCATAAACGAACCACATGGTAAAAAGAAAACCCAATGCTCGAAGATATTTACTTCCATTTTTTGTTAACAAACATGCGCCCCATATGCTCCAATAACCCTCAAAAAAGGTAGTGCTTTTTTGTTTCAAAAAAAGGAGGAAAAAAAAAAAAAAAAAAAAAGAACTATCACACGCAACTAGAATCGTCCAAAATCAGTTGGCCTCGTTCGCACCATTTACTTCCATATCATGCCCATTTCCATTGCTCGGCCCTGCATCGGCGTCTTGGCCCTGGTTCGTGTCTCGATCATAAGTCAATAGACATTCCACTACCTGCATAGCTTTTGAGATTGGGCGACCATCCGCCGACGAAGCCGCTGTGGCCGTAGCTTCATCGCTATTTTCCTGTGTATCATCAGCTTCAGCCGCGGTGCCCCATTCGGACCTTTCTGCGAGGAAAGCCGCATCGTGACCAGCGCCGTTCTTAATGTTAACGTCAGCACCGGCTTCGACCAGGGCCTTGACGCATTCAAGATGCGTATTAAGAGCGGCCCAGTGAAGTGGTGTGTTTCCCGAGTGATTTCGGTGATTGATAAGGGGGGATGGCTGGGCGGGATTGTGTAATATTTCAAGGAGGTATTGTAATATTTCTGAGATAATAATTCAATGAGCTCAGCACATGTATATCCCTTGATCGTATCGAGGTAGCACTGTCGAGGGAGGCTGCTCACCGATATTTCCGTTTGCAGCGGGCCAATGTAGAAGGCAAGCTCCCGTGCCACCCTCACTCTCATCTTCGCTATCAATGGCCGACCCCACGATGGATGCAGCTGGGCAATTGTGCTCGTGGCTTAAGTTCGCAATATCAGTCTGTAACGAGTGCAGATCCCCTACCCGTGCGGAGTAAATGAGGTCATCGATGGCCTCAAAGGATAGGGATACAGCAGGCTGGGTAGATGCCATTGTGGCTTATAGAGATTAGGGCGGTTCTTCCCCCCGTAAATGGCTCCTTTTCAACCCAAAGGAAGAGGAGAACAACCGTATCTTATGGCTGAGCTGAGTTGACGTTGTGTGGCTGTATCAGTTATTAGAGTGTTGGGAACCGTAAATCCTAAAGTGACTCCTTAGTCGGGCAAGATAATAATCATAGTAAAGAAGGGGGGAGACAGAGAGAAGGAAAAAAAATATGAATAAATCCAAGATACCAATTGATCTTCTATGCCGGGTGCTGCAAATGCTGGATAATATAGATAGTAGACATATAGCCATGCATCCACCAGCTGAAGATGGGTTCGGTGGCCGCGAACCCAAAATTATTGCAGAAAAGTGATTCCAACATAGCGCACCAGGTTCATGCACCTTGTCCCAAAACCCTCTTTGGTAAAAGCAAAGTGTTACCAATACATTCCCGTAGCATTGGGTATCAACAAGTCGGCAAATTAAGCCGAATAAAGTCGGGAAAGCATTTCGGGTCCTGGATAACCGGTGGAAAAAGAGAAAAAGGAAACGGGGTTAGCTCACCTTGAACTATGTACGGTAACTAGGTATCTACTGCTCTTCACTCTCTCCCGCTACAGTTTTGTTCTTCTGCTCAACTTTTTCCCTCCAAATTTTCGGAGTGAAAAGTTGATATCACGTGATACTGACGATGTCCAGGGCCGTCTGGAGTCTGGAGAGGCGGGACGAGTTTCTAAAAGCCCGAGAAAGAGGCAAATTTACAAGATTGGTTTAACTTGATAATATTGTTGTCACAGCCACTGGCAACCGGGCAGGCCTTGGACTATTGTTGCTATTATTGATTTCAAAATAGACAGGTGCTAATGCGACCCGATGCCTACATGCTATGCCTTGACCACCGGGTGGAGAGCAAGGAACCCAAGTTTCGTCCGTTGTACAAAATCCGTAGATGCAAATCCAAACGCCATAACACCAGGTATATCCAGCGCATTTTGCCGACCGAAAAGAAGTAATGTTCATAGGCGGCAAACACGAAAAGGGCCGATGTACTGATTGTGCAGTACATATTACATGAAACATATACTCCGTATCATAGCCAGATTCAATCTCTCAGCCAGGCACGCCTCTTTTCCTCCTTCTTCTCTCTTCTTTTTTCCTTGAACGCCTTCAGTTCCTTTTTTGTTAACTTTTTCCCAGACCGCTCTGCCTTGAGACTTCTTCCCTCATGGCTATTAGCCGCAGCATCAACGTCGAAATATGCATTGAGCTGCCGACGGCTTTTATTCTCGTCATTGAAGTTCTCCGGTGTTAAGCCCAAGGGCTGCCATTTTCCCGTAAAGCGATTGAATGCACCTGTAGCGGTATAGAGGACACTGGGATCTGTGGAGGCCGGAGAGGTATCGTCGGGGTGGGGCTGCGCATACCAGGCATCTGGATCGTAGTCGCCATGGATGGCCGGGTCATAGCCTCCCGCAACACGAGGACGAGGCCGTTGCTGTTGAGTTTCCTCCGCACCATCTTTTTCGCTCTCTACGCCAGGAGGTCCTTGCTGGGCATCTGGTATTCGAGGGTTCTCCCACTGTGAAACACCAGTGAAGCGATTATAAAAGTAGTATGCCTGCGCACTGTCATCCCACAATGCATCCCACCCATCGTCCTCAGCTCCTCCGGGGATTGGTTCATTAGGAAGAGGGGGAGGGGCTTCTTCAGCAGGTAACGGAGGAGCAGAGACTCTGGTCTCTGCGTCACCGTCCTGTGTGTCTTCACCAGATTTCTTTCCGTCCGTCTCTTGCTGCCCTGTTTCTCCACCTTTTGATTTCTCGTTGGCGGCTGGCCTGTCTTCCTCCATCTCCGGCTTGTGTACGTTTGAGGGCTGTCCCTCCTCAGGGTCTGGTGACGACATTGAGCGACAGAAATCCTACCATAGGACAAAGCAGCAGACCGTAGCTTAGTTCCCGGCGCATGCGGAATTGTAGATGGTGAATGGGCGCGATTTGTGATGTGCTTAAGCCAGCAGCCCGAGGAACCTGGCCACGCCATCCCCAGTTTGGCCTAGCTCGTATAAGTTAGTTAAGTTGCTAACTGATTAACTAACTATGTCACCAGATGTTTATCTAATATTCGTCTAAGCGGGCGAGACCAAAAGCTCAGATTTATGCGACGACGCCAAAAACGCTCGAAAAAGGGGCGAAAGAAAAGAACAGAAAAAGAACCAAAAATGCCAGCAAGATATGAGTATCATTTTACTGCGTAAAGGGGTTTGGATCGTATCTATCAGTAAGTTCTCGTTTTGGGCGGGACCGACGGACATTCGTCTTCATCCAAAGTCGCGAAGATAACGTCGCGATATCCTACTCGAACGTCTTCTGCCGTCCCGTTCTGCCACGTCAAGCTATGCTTCAGGAACCGCTCATCATCCCGTTCAGTAAAATCTTCTCGTGCGTGGCTACCGCGACTTTCTTTTCTCTCCTGGGCGCCCTTCGCAGTCTGTGCGGCACACGTGAGCAAATTTCGCATCTCAAGAGTCTCAATGAGGTCTGAGTTCCAAATCAGGGATTTATCTGTGACGCAGACATCGTTCTTGAAAGCCTGCTCTACTCGCTGAACCCGGGATACTCCAGACGTAAGGGAATCTTCAGTTCGGAAAACCGCAACGTCCGACTGCATGGCTCTTTGCATATCGAGGCGAAGCCCGGCTGTTAGTCTGCTTCCGTCTGATTTACGAATCCTCTCCATGTCTTCAAAGGAGGACATCCCGATGTCTTTTGGTACGGGAGCATGGGGCATCCCCTTTTCGTTGTTTTCTGAAATGTGTTGGGCGCTGGCCCTACCGAAAACAGCAAGGTCGAGAAGAGAGTTTGCTCCGAGTCTGTTGGCGCCGTGAACACTGACGCATGCCGTCTCTCCAACAGCATAAAGGCCTGGAACTGGCTTTTCTTTACCAGTAATTGGGTTTATATCGAGGGCCTGGCCTCTGTAATTAGTGGGGATACCACCCATGCAGTAGTGGACCGTGGGAAGCACGGGGATTGGCTCTTTTGTAATATCGATTCCTGCAAAAATCGATGCTGTTTCCGCTATGCCAGGCAGCCTTTCGAGTATCAAGTCACGCGGTAAGTGAGACAACTGGAGATAAATATGATCTTTCTCGGCTCCAACGCCACGACCTTCGCGTATCTCCATGTTCATTGAACGAGCGACAACATCACGGCTGGCCAGGTCCTTGGCCGTGGGGGCGTAGCGCTCCATAAATCTTTCTCCTTTTGAATTCAATAGATACCCTCCTTCGCCGCGTGCGCCCTCGGTTATTAGAACGCCAGCACCATATATACCGCTCGGATGGAATTGCACAAATTCCATATCTTGAAGCGGAAGTCCAGCTCGAGACGCCATGGCGCAGCCATCTCCTGTGCTGGTATGGGCTGACGTGCAAGAAAAGTACGCACGACCATAACCACCAGTGGCTAGAAAAATATCAACAATTTTGCTTTTGACAGTCGGATCCATGAGATGAGAACTGACCTAGAATAGTATTCCTGCTGAACAGCCGATGGAGGGTTCCGGTTTCCATGTCTAACGCCACCGCCCCAACGCAGGTGCCATCAATCATCATCAAGTCGAGCACAAAGAATTCGATGAAGAAATTACAATTGTGCTGCATAGCCAGTTAGTTGATGAAGGTTGTTGATGTTTTCCCCGTCGCTAACCTTTAGTGACTGTCCATAGAGTGTATGCAACATAGCATGGCCTGTGCGATCTGCAGCACATGCTGTCCTGTATGCTTGGCCACCAGTGCCATACTTCAGGGACTGGCCTCCGATGGGCCGCTATGACGTGGGATTTTATTCTTAGCGTCGATAGTGGAAGACATCGGGATACCAAAATTTCTAACCTGATATATTTTGCCCTCTGCTGTTCTCGAAAAGGGCATCCCGTATGCCTCCAGCTCAAGAATGGTCCTGGGAGCCTCTCTACACATATAGTGCTTGTTTTCATTAGTATTGCCCTGTTTCTTTGCGCGGTTGTAGAGGACGAATGCTTACAATTGCGTCTTGATCGCCCAGCCAATCCGAGCCCTTAACCGTGTCATACATATGCCATCGCCAGTCATCTTCCGTCATATTTCCCAAGGCAGCGTTAATTCCGCCCTGAGCGGCGACTGTATGGGACCTGGTTGGAAACTATTTGCCCGGGTTTTAGCTTAACTGTATTGGCCATCTCTCAACAATGGTTCTTAAAGCAAGACTGGACCCCGAGCCGTCTCGACGCACCAGTTTCGTTATGCATGCTGTTTCCAACCCGCTTTCTGCCAATCCCACGGCAGCCATGAGCCCAGCTCCCCCCGCACCAATGACAATTGCACTTGGAATGTTAAACTAGGAAACCGAAGCCAACGGGGGCTAACGTACTCATATCTATGATCTATGATGTTGAAATGGCGCGTTCCGTCGCTGAACCCTTGTGAAACCTGTTCGACAGCGCATACAGGAGCGGATGAGATGAACGACCTTCTATTTCCTTTGGCACTATATACGATGTGGTGCGGGTTTGTCTTATGTTGTGGTATCCGCCTGCCGAGGCCGTGGGAGCTACATCCGTTCATATACGAGCGCCGCGAAGATATCGCTCTCCCTTGGTTTATGGATATTCGCCAAAAGTGTTGAAACAGGTGCAGGCGACCGACCTTAAAAACCATGATCAAGTATGGTTGCTGGATTTCTGCTACTTATCCGGCAACGAATGCTGGACGAGGATAGGGTAGGGACCTAACAGATGCTAGAGAAGGAGAAGGAAAAAGCGTGCGCCTGGTTAACAATTCTTAAAAACACCGTGATCTTTAACAGGTGGCTGTGTGAAAAGTTGTGCGATATTGTCGTCACAAGACACACAGCGCTCTCTGGAATAGATAATTGCAAAGGTACAAATTGGCAGAGTGAAAAAGGTTGGCGACAGTAGATGGCATTTGCAAACAAATGAACACCAACCAGAGCAGAGCAACCTGCACCAGCTAAGAGCTCTAACATCACCTCGGAATATCTGCCGGGCAGGGCATGTTGTGGCCTCAGGGCTCCTCCGAAGTTTCTCGAAAACCGCTCATGACAGCAAAACGCATGTTTCGAGATAAAAGTGGTCAGCATCATTGACCACATTGGCTGGCCGTCCCCCACTACATGGGGAATGTTGCTCTTGGGACTATGTCTGTTTCCTTCGGCGGGTTTGCTGCGTGCCGCGGCAAACATCGCCGTTTGCCGGTCACGGGTCGGGTTGCTTGGCACTTCACACACATCAGTTGTCCGCGAACTTCTGTCTGGTTTAGCTCTGGTCTCGATCGTCGTTTGGAGACGGAGAAAGTGCCGAGAATGCAATTGAGCTGAAATGCACTGAGCAGTCGAATTTCCCCCTGGACAGTAGGCTCTGTACATCCTTATCATGCAGAATAGCTAGGCTTCCTGTGATAATATTGGCATACATCCCCAACAAAAGGAGCTCACATGGGGTCCTGTGGAGGGAGCTGATTTTATGGGCTTCAAGCGCGTTTGATGTTGCCTGATTCAAAGAATTATGAGAGACAGCTGTTTTGTGAATGTGCTTCATGACCCTGTTGTCATCAAATAACAAAAATTGGGCTGTCATTGGAAATAGGGCTGTATCATCACAAAACGGTGATGGAATGCATCCCAACTTTCCAAGTAGACCGGAAAGCTGTGCCTATGCTCAGGAGCTATGAGAAACGTCTGCATTAGCTTCTCAGCTGACAAACATTTATCGCAAGACTGCAGTTCTCCTTCTCGCAAATCTGATCAATCACAACTTGAGAATGGGGAAGAGTCTCGAGGGCTAACACATTCTTTTGCGACAAACAATTCGGGTCGGGCATGAGAGCGGGGGCCGCGCGAGGCGTTGCTCATTCGGTTTGTTCGTGCCTTGGAAGCCTATACGGTATGTACGATTTTCGCATGAACAAACCTGGACTGTGGATAAAGGGAATCAGTGGGACGAAATCTCCGCTCGATCGACAAGTCCACTTTTCCGCCTTCAGCTATGTATGCAGACCTGGGGTTCGGAGATCAGGATATTACTCTCAACTAAATGATTACCCCGTATTCTGGGCTGTTAGCGGTGACGATCGCCTTTGAGTCTCGTGTTGGAGCAATGTTCGGGTAGATGAAAGGTATGTCCAGTACTCCGTACGGAGTATACATACAAATGTATGGGGTACCCTGAACGTATGGTGAACATCCCCTCTTGCTATGTGCCATTGGCTGGATGAACAACCTCTTGGAAGCTTTCACGGATGTACGGAGTACGGAGTACCACAATATTCTATGAGCCTGAGTATCCAAAAGGCGGGAGACGAGTCATTTCAGAATTGACAGCATGCATACATTGTGCTCTGTACGTGCATTCACGGAGTACAGAGTACTCTGTACCACGAAAAGGGATTCACGCCTAGCCGTCCTCTGTATGACTCTAGGCCCTGTCCCTTTGTGAATTCCGGTGGAGCGTCGCAGTACGATGCATGATTTGTCTCTGTTCGTGGGTCTTCAAGATCCGTTGAGGTTTCTCCAAAAGCTTGCTCCAGGGCGTACGAAGGGAGAACTTTTCGAATTGTTTCATTGGCCAGAACCTTCACCAAGCACAAGCTGTGGATCGCGAGGTTTGATTCGCCGATCACTTGGGTTTTGCGAGGGGAGGCTTTAAGGGCCCTGACAAGGAACGGTTTCCGTGATCCGCGAAATCTCTGGAAGCATGCATGTCTGGATGGGCTTGCATCGTTCAACGTGCAAACTGAAAATGACAACGGCTCTCAGCAGTGTAAATGAAATCACAGTCAATGCGGGAAAAAAAAGGGCAAATCGCGAAGAGTTCTGGTTGGGTTTGGCGCTCAAGTGCCCGCTTTCTCCCTCATACTTCGGGAAGCTTGATTAAGATCTCCATCATTTATTGGGACATATCACGAGAATTAAAATGGTGAAAGCGGAATCTCGTCAGGGGGGAGCCAATCATGGCGACGAGGCTGGAAAAAGCAAAAAACTGAGGCACTCCAAGGCCTTTGTGTCCCCTAAACGGTCGACATTGCAAACCAACCAAAGCTGAAAAGCTCCGGAACAATTGATCGACATCGATTCAATCCGAGCGTGGTTGTGGCTTTCAGGGCTTAGGTTTTTGACAGTGACAGGTTCGAGCAGGAAAGTACTCCAAAAGAGCAAATTCACTGGGGTTCCCTACAGACAAAGGATTCTCTGCTTCGCGTCTCTCGAAACAGATTGTCTCAGGAGAAGACTGCGGATAATGCACAGCATGACGAAATTTTCAAGTTCTTCAGGTGCAGAGAAACCGAAGAAATTGTTGGCCCACAGGGGAGAAAAGGGACACAGACCGGTATTCTTCCTTTCAGGATCAGAGTTGCACAGTCAATAGAGTCAATAGTGTGGCGTTCTTGCCCTGAGAATGTGCATGCTGCGTTGTCGCTTTCTGGCAGTGATTGTCGATAGCTTTGTGTCACGACCTGTCAGCTGCACTGCCAATACGTGAGGAGACTGGTGGATCCATATCAGAACCTCCAGCCTCTGGCAGGCCTGAAGAGCTTTCTGCTGCGTCAATATTTTGCCTTTTTACCACTTGGATGCAAAAAGCAATTGCTGCGAGGACCCAGTTTTCTCCAATATTTGACGACGCCATTCGGGGAAGCAGGCCGGTTAGTGACGTGCTCTGTCACCATTGCAAACGTTCGTGACGGGAGCAAATCAGGAATTGGGATAATCTTCCTGTCTGGGAGTGCATGCATGATTTCACAATCAGGTCGAGAAAGATTCTCAGGGGCAAGGAGTCGAAGAAAATGCACGCCCTCCAAGTTATAAAAGGCGCTCATTCCCGAGCCAAAGATCCTGCTTCTCTCCATCAGCATCCATCTTCGCTTCCAATTCGGTCCTTCCAGATACTTTAACACTTTAATATTTAATTTTAATCTTCGCCTACCCGGCTCACCGATCAATCTATCAAAATGAAGTTCTTCACCGCTGCCTCTTTCTTCGCTCTGGCCACTGCCGTCGCCGCTGCTCCCAGCTATAACCAGGGCACTCCATCTGTTACCAAGGAGCAAGCCATCGCTAAGTGCGGCAACAGCAACATCTCTTGCTGCAACAAGCAGGTCAACAAGATCTCCGCCAAGGGCCCTGACACTGATCTTGGTGTCCTCAACGGTCTCCTCAAGAACGTTAACCTTGAGGACATCCCCATCTTCGATCAATGCTCTAAGTTGAATATTGCCGGTATGCTGTAAACTATGTCCCTCGTCGTGTCTAGCTTCTAACTGTTTGCAATAGCTCTTGGTGCTACCGACCTCCTCAACAGACAGTGCCAGCAGACTGCTGCCTGCTGCCAGAACACCGAATCCAATGCAGTAAGTCAATGTTGTCAAGCAATTTAGTGGACCGATTCTAACCTTACGCTAGAACGGTGTTGTTGCCCTTGCTGTCCCCTGCATTCCCATCAACATTCTCTAAATGGATTGCATCAAGCATCCCATCCGTCTTCAACATCGCGTTCCACAACACCGCGATACGGGTCAGATAAAAGATTGCAGGAACAGGTGCTAGACGTGCATTCGCTGCATTTTGGACATAGTTTTGAACCGCAAATTGTGTCTCTCATTTCTGTTTCTTTTGTCTGATATCTTATCGAAAGCAAAGGCGAATAGGAATTATGTATTGGTGCGCGCTACCAATGTAAAGATTATTCTTCGAGCAGTGCTGTGGTTTGTCTGTATTTATAGTCAATTTATTGGTGTTGAACCAATTTCATCCAGTTGATCTTCGTTTCCTAGCTTGCTACAGCGTGCATTCTCAGGATATATTTCTGCAGATTGATTTCCTCGCAAGCAATCTCGAGTCCCGTGATTATCAGGATTTGATAGTGCTACGACGCGGAAAGGACTTATGGAGAGTTTTGTCGGAAGAGCAGACCTGCTTAGCATTTAGTGCGTACCATTTAATGTGTTTTCATAATATTCCGTATATCTAAAACATATCCAAATGACAATTACAGGATATTCAAAGCTCAAGAGCAGCTTCCGCACCAATTCAAAGCAAAAAAGAAAAGGGGCTACAGGTATGAAGCTGACACCGTCCCGGTGAGGAAGAAGTCGTCACATGGAACTGCACGTACGGAGTGTAGTAATCCCTTATCCGCGAAGCGCAAGTAACCTAACAGAACATCACAACTTGCTTTGGCGAGCCGAGGAAGGAGCATATAGCGCACTAGTTTTCGCCATTGCCTCGACAGCTTCTCTTTCGATACGCTTCAAGAGTTCCTCGCATGTTGGGATATCATGAATGAGGCCGATGACTTGTCCAGCAGTCCACACCTGCAATACATGTTAGCAACTAAGCATATAAGATGAGCGGTAGCGGTAAAAAAGAAAAAGATGCTGCAATGGCAATTACTTACGCCGTAATCAACATCACCGTCTAAGAAAACTTGACGGCCTCTCTTGCCGCTTACAAAAGGTGCAATTTCTGAGAAATCGTCACTTTTGCTTTCCTTTTCGATCTTGTACGCTTCAGTGGAAACCTTGTTCTTGAAGAGACGGGTTGTATTTCTCCATCGACGAAGGAGAAGCTGAGTATCGTCTTCTTGGGCATCCACGATGGCCTTCTTCACATTGATATGGATTGGCGCCTCCACAGTGCACATGAATCTCGTACCCATATTGATTCCCTCGGCACCCAACGCCAGAGCAGCAGCGAGACCATAACCGTCAGCGAAACCTCCAGAGGCGATGAATGGTACACCGAGATCTTGCCTGGCCCGACTAAGGAGGATGAAATTGGTGATATCCGTTTCACCCACATGGCCAGCGCATTCGAAACCATCGATGGACAAGAAATCAACACCAAGCTTCACGGCAGATTTAGCATGTCGAATGGTCGTGCATTTGTGCAAGATAATGCAGCCAGCAGCTTTCAGTTGCTTAATGACCGGCCCAGGACTATTTCCGGCTGTTTCAACGATCCGGACTCCTTCATCAATGATGGCCTGAGCATATGCAGCATAGTCTGGAGGTACAAGAGCAGGGAGAAGGGTTATGTTGACACCAAAGGGCTTCTTTGTCATGGTACGGGTTCGGCGGATTTCTTTGCGCAGATCCTCGGGGGTCGGTTGCGTAAGGGCGGTAAGCTATCAAAGATGACATTAGCGATGAAGCTTGAATTACAGCCTGCTAAACAGGATAGACGCACGATTCCGAGACCGCCAGCGTTGCTAACAGCAGCGGCAAGCTCAGCGTAACCAACCCATTGCATACCACCCTGCACGACGGGAACTGCCGCTTTCTGTTAGCAAATATCTTCAGGGAGGGATGCATATCTACCCACTTTCGATCCCCAGCTTTCTGGTTAACTCGGTGTTGAAAGGCATCTTGGGAGAAGCAGGGGTGGGCACCACCAGGAAGGATGTCTTCTAGGGTATTGGAAGTGTATGTATGATCTAGAATCTATTGAACGAAAGGGTAAAAAGCACTGCGCGAGACGAAAGCGAATGTGTATGCTTATACAGAAATCCCTCCGTACAAGTGCCCACGGCCCCTATTTGCTCGATGTCTGAAAAAGGTTGGCCGTCCTCAAAGGAAGACTGCCACCTTTATCAGCCTCGACGACCAGCGCAGGCCCTGTGATGCCAGGCCGAGAACCGAGGTTCGCCCTGCTGTCTGGTCACGTGGTTCGGTCTGGCCGGTGCGGTTTACCACGCATCGGCTCTCGGGCGACCAGCGGAGGATCACTCTGCCTCAAAAGCTACCACATATTACATGATACCACCCAGCGGGCACCCCGAGAGAAGCAAAATGGAAAATGCGTTCCTTGATGAGCTATTATACCTGTCTTCGTCTCCTTACACGACCTAATCATCTCAGGCGAAAGCCACCTGCTGGGAACGCACTATATAGTGTATGTAAATACGGAGTACATATACACGTATAATGGTGCTGGGCTGCCAGCTTGGAGTATCTCGGCGGCTCCTGTGGGTATTGCAATGTCTCGCCAAGTTGACTGCGCCTGCGAACTACAAGTTGCCTTGACGCTGTGTGAGGCCCTATTCATCCGAGATATATTCCATTCGAACGCTGTCCTTGGCGTGAGACCCAAAAATCATGCTGCTACGGACCGACTTCTTCAAATTTTTATATGCACTATCCTACATGTCGTGTTATCGGCGACCGTATGTGTGTGTCATATTGGATTGTTGGGATGTCCTAAACTTGGTTCAGCGGTGACAGCAGGTATAGTCGAATCGCAAACACAGATGTAAACTCCTCTCGTAGACTATGCAGAGAGGAGATAATGTAACCCTGATATGAAACCCGATACCCTCATTGACAGAGTGAATTGGGCGATTAACGACGGGTCGAAGCAACGCGTCTCATTCTAAGAGACCTTCTCATCTCAAGGAGTCAACGACAGAAAGCCGTGACAAAGGGCGAGATGTCGCCGGGTACCGTCTCGCTCACTGCAAACCATAACGACTGCATGCAGGAACCACGCAGCGGAGGGCTGACCGAGACGGAGGCTGAGGCTCGATGGTTAGCAAGAAACAACCTACGCACTTTTGAAAATTGAAAATCGCCCGGCATGGTGTCCGGCCCGGAAAAATGATCTTCAGGACTTGTAAATGCCTGCATTCTCATTGGGCCGCATTCCGGCTCGCCCCGAACATTTTGTTACATAAGCCGAGGTGTTCCATAACTAGTTATCATACCGATCTGGATCTCGACGACGTTATTGCTTGCGATCAATTTCATTCTTAGCTTTCTCGAAGGCAGCTAGCTTTGGCGAGATCGATTCAAGGCGCCATTTGCATTTCAGAATGATTTCACAAAGAATAGTGCAGCAGTCCTTGCGGCGGGGTATGTCTGTATCCCCCACAGCATCATGCTCGTCGAGCTAACAAGTCCTCGTGTAGCGGCCGCCCAGAACCCAACCGCTTTCAGATCCTCTTTCGCTAGACTTGCGAGCCCTGCAGCGATTGCGGTTGGTCAGATTAGGTCAGTGTCCAATGCTTTGCGTGGTTGTTGTGGAAGCTGCGAAGTTCTTTCCCTACGTCGTTATCGAAGCGACTTCGGCAACTCACAGTTTTACCCAAAACGTCGCTGGAATTAAAGATCGCAAGCTTATAAGTACCTCTCGCAGACCGGCAACATCCACATCTACATCATCCACCGAAACCGTCGATCCTACCCAAATCCTTGCCCAACAACGTCTTAACCGCCCCGTTTCTCCTCACCTTACCATCTACCGACCCCAGATTTCCTGGTACCTATCTGCTCTCAATCGTATCACCGGTTCGGTTCTCTCTGGCGGTCTATACGTTTTCGCCACCGCATATCTCGTTGCTCCTGCCATTGGCTGGCATTTAGAATCCGCATCACTCGCTGCTGCTTTTGGCGCCCTCCCCCTCGCTGCGAAGTTCGCGATTAAGCTCGGTGTTGCCATGCCATTCACCTTCCACTGCATGAACGGTGTTAGACATCTGATCTGGGATTTGGGAAAGAAATTGAGTAACAAGGAAGTTATCGCTACTGGTTGGACTGTTGTTGGGCTGAGTATGGCCAGTGCCTTTGCCTTGGCTCTGATCTGAGTGTGATATCTGTTTATATCTGTAGTTTATTTCCTGTGAATATATAAGTTGCTTACCACTTTTGTGCAGTTCACGTTTGTCAACAGGTTAATGGCATTCTAGTAGCTGTAATGTCAATTCAAGTCGGAACCTTCAAAATAGAAGCTCTGAGATAACTAGGCTACGATGCAAAATACATTGAGTTAGAAAAAAATGTATTGGTTTGGCCGAGAGAGCAGAAGTATTAGCATTAGTATTAGGGCGTTCAACAAAGAACCATTGCTCAAGCCATCAAGTACATTTGCCTGATTATCCATCCCATGAAACATCCCTTTTACTCTCATGAAGATCACATCCCAAAGTGCATCCCGACGCGTCAAATCAACAAAGGTAGAAAGAAAACATAGTGTATTGGCATGCTAGATGAATTGACGATTTTAATGTTATTCCGGAACTCTTTTTGATAGAATGTTCCTAGAACAACAAGTCGAAAAGGTTAATAAATGGTAGAATGGCTACAATGTGATGGGTACCATAACAACATCATATCCGAAAAAGCTAGGGAGTGAGGAGGACAAGCAAGATAGGCTCACCTCATGGTTAAAGAGATTTGGTTTCTGTTTAGCATTTAAGCCGGGCTTGGAGGAGGATTAGGAGGAAGAACTGGAGAATCCGGGCGTCCGATGACAGAGAAGTTCGAAGCAGGCTTTGTGCCTAAGTTTTCGGAAGTGTTAGGACATGTTATCTGCTTTCGGAACTGTGTCCACTTACCATTACGCGGAGTGTTGAAGATTGCCTTAGACATTTTGGACGACAGCCGGTAAAATTTCCTTTAAAAGGAGCTTGATATTGGAGAAGAAGAAGGAGTAGCTTGTTGGTATGGCCTTGTGAAAAGTTGTGAGAGATGAGAAAGTGAAGCAAAGTGAAGGCTGTAGACAGCTACTTATTGTGGACTCCTGAGTAGGCACGTGAGGAGGTCGCTACCTTGATGTGTTCTTCCTTGCTCTGATGGGAAGTCGAGAACATTTTATGCTCCGTGATAAGGGAAAGTAGTTGAGGGATATTAAGGAGTTCTTTTTGTGTGGATATCCCATCCCTTCACGAGAAGCGATCTTCAAGACCCATGCCGTGAGGGAGGACACCCGGAGAGTTCTGAAGGTATGCAAGAACCCATAGCTCCATGCTTCCGTTCTTCGGCCCCAGAAGGAAACGGCTCGGTGGATATGAGACATACACTGTGGTAGCTCAACCCTCCGTATGTTCCACTCCAAGATTCGATAGACATGGTATCCTTATAGACTTGAAAGAGATGGAGGCGCAGCAAAGGCATATTGCTTATGGTATTGGTTAAGGATGCTTTCCGAAAACGATAAACAAATATATCCGTTTGGAAATCCATGGCGAGGAATTACTGGGTCGAGTATGTGGGTGAGATCGTTTGAAATAGCCGGGTAAGCTTCCTCAAACATACATTGAAATCATGGATAAAAAAAAAAAAAAATTGGATTTGAGACTAAATTCTAGATAGATAAATCATTGGTTAGGCGGACGGGGACTGGAAATAACATGTGTTTCGAGAAGCCGAAGTTGGATGCAAGATCCCTTCCGCGTGCCGTCACGATCCATAGGGCTGAGGTTGGCATCGCGGAAATAGGGCGGAATAGCCATTCCCGTTGTTCAAAGAGAAAATCTAGAAGGTAAATTGGAATATGGGAGATATACGGTTGGGATTAAACGTATGGGAGGGTCCCAATATTCTTTGGTGTCCGATGATAACCTCCGATAGCGTGGCTAACAAGGTAATCTTATGCAGTCTCCCACCTGCATCGCAAGAAACCAGAACTGTTTCCAGCCCCTAGTTGAAGAGGAGCCGGCAAATCCCCTATGTTCTTTTCGGAAGAAGCTGACGCTCCGGAAGAAAGGGTATCACAGAATTCGGGTCTCATTCCTAAGAGATTAGCCTTGTATTGGAGCCCATCCCCTGAGTAAGCCCGCGACATCATTAAAATTGGCCCTGTAACAGAATAAAATGTATGCTATCCACGGATTAGACCCGGGGATGTCGGTGTGATGTTGCTAGCCCCCGGAAGCCAGATGTTTGCTGGGAGAGAGGGCGGTGAACGAACTAACGCCTAATCGGGCTTAGCATGAGGTTTGGCAATTCTCCAGAGAAAATCGTCACGCCCAAGAGTATCTCTGTCTTTCGCAGAGGAGCGGGTTAACCTTTTAATTTGATTGATCCCCTTATTACGTTGACTCTAGTTTTCATGGCGTCCAAACTGCTACCAGTCCAAGCTTTTGCAACAATTGCACGTCCTGCGTGCCGCCGCGCACCATGCCTTGCCCTCCCTCTATTCTCCTGCGCAAAGCAAGGCTCGCGACGAGCAATGACCACCGAAGTCTCAACAGAGAAAGGAATTCCAACACCTCCCGAAGCTCCTACTCCGCGATGGCAGCAGACTCCGCCGGGAATGAAGGCACCTGTTAGATTACGAGGGCCCGAGGAAGGGCCGCATGTTGAAGTAAATTCCGATCCAGAGAAGTTGGATAGATTCTACGTCCGGATGCTGGGAGAGGGTGGTGATAAAATGCTTTCCGAGGAGGTCAAATGGCAGGCCGTAACCCACAAATCCTTCGATCAGGGAAGAAGAGGATTCAACGATCGGTTGGCTTATCTCGGTGTGTTCTAAGACTTGCGAGCTTGAACTTACTGGGCCTTTTCTATTGCTAACGGGAATAGGAAAACAATTGGTGACCCTACAAGCAACCCTCGCGCTCATACAAGATCCTGCTTCTTATTCTCAAAAATTACCGGCGGATCCTTACAACCGGACTCCATTTCAACACCCATCGCTGGAAGGGTTAGAAGTATTATCGAGCCCTACCCTAGAGACCTTGATGAGCAAGAAAAGGCTAGCAGCATTAGGGAGACAGTATGAGCTTGACGGTGTGATGAGATGGATACCGAGGAAGGTGTGCTTGCTCCATCTTGCTTTAACAACAGTTGCAGTTTACTGACGGGACCTCACATCCAGCCCAGTGACTTTCAGCTGTCTGGAATCAGCGTCGTCTTAACTCAGGCTATGTACGCTGTCGTTGGTGCTGTGGCACTAGAGAAAGGTGGTGCGGTTGCAAACCAAGTAGCTCGGAATCGCATATTGAAGCCATTGGGATTCCATATTGGTGCAAATTAAAAAGGTTTGGAAGAGGTTTGAGATGTTTAATTGGCATTCGCGCGGCGTTCTTAGAGACTGTTCAATTTTTTTGCTTTGTTAAACCTTCCCGCATAGACCCATGTATTAACATATACAACTTTGTACGGAGTACTCCCATTTACCAATGAATATACAAGCGAACTAAGAAAAATGTATGATTTCTCTGACACTGGCCGCGCAACGGTAAAAAGAATACACGGTCAGCTCTTATGAAATCGTCCAGAGACTTGGTCTCCGCACCACATATCGCAAGGGCAGCAATTGAAATCCTGAAGTGCTATCTCTAACAGAAAGCCAGAGGCAACGTACAGGAAAGCCCACAAGAGCTTATGTTGGCTTGCACTGTCTTTTGGGTGCAGGTAAATTTTGATGGAAAAAAGGAAAAAGAGCGAAGCAAACAAAAAAATGTTCATTTTTAAGAATGCAAGGATGCTGCGCTAGTCTCGATTCGGACTACGGTGGAGTTGGGGCGTCATCAGCGAACATGCGTCCCTGATGAGCGAACGGCGGATGGCTTGACGACCATACATACTGAGTACGTCTCTCCAGTATCATCCCCGACCGAAATTGACTGAGGCCAATTGTGCCTGAGGGGAACGGGAACCATTTCGCTTTTCGAACCTGCCCCTTGTTTTCGCGATCGCCTTTGGCGATGACTGACTGACGGCGTGCTTCCCTGACGACTATGAGCTATTGGAATAATTCTCGCTGACTACGATCAACCCACCCGCGCCGCTCTGACAGCCTTAGCCATGGCCTCCGCGATCTTCTTCCTCGACCTAAAGGGCAAGGTATTTCTCCCCTTGGCCCTTACACAAAACGCTTTGCCATTCTGCCACCTGATCGAACTGAGCTGAGACTATTATCCACAGACCCTTCTGGCCCGCAATTACCGGGGAGACATCCCCATGTCTGCCGTTGAAAAATTCCCAGTTCTTTTAAGCGAAGCTGAAGAAGAGAGCTCGGCCGTTCCTCCTTGCTTTTCCTCTGAAGGAATTAATGTATGTCGCTCCGCTTTCAGTCACCGGCTACGTATTTGCGGGGCATTTGTATGCGGAGCGCTAACGATTCTCCTGCTGCGATTAGTATCTTTATATTCGCCATAGCAATCTTTACCTTCTAGCTCTGACGAAACGGAATACTAATGCCGCCGAAATCCTTCTTTTCCTTCATAAAATTGTCGAGGTGTTCACTGAATACTTCAAGGAGTTGGAGGAGGAGAGTATCCGCGACAACTTCGTTATTATTTATGAATTGCTTGACGAAATGATGGATTTTGGATACCCGCAAACGACAGAGAGCAAAATATTACAGGAGTGCGCATCTTCTTTTCTCCTTTATTCAGGGCTCTGCTGGGTGGCATCACCGTCCTGACCGGCGAAATTAATACACTGACACCTCCGGGTTTCCCAGGTATATCACGCAAGAATCACACAAATTGGAAATACAGGCTCGTCCTCCGATTGCCGTCACAAACGCCGTATCTTGGAGAAGCGAAGGTATTCGATACCGAAAGAACGAGGTTTTCCTGGACGTGATAGAATCACTAAACCTACTCGTTTCTGCGAATGGAAATGTTTTGCGTTCGGAGATTCTCGGAGCTATTAAGATGAAGTGTTATCTCAGCGGCATGCCGGAACTACGATTGGGCTTGAACGACAAGGTCATGTTTGAAACGACGGGGCGGGCGACGAGAGGTAAAGCTGTGGAGATGGAAGACGTTAAATTCCACCAATGCGTCCGATTATCGCGTTTCGAAAACGACCGAACTATCAGCTTTATTCCGCCTGATGGAGAGTTTGAGCTAATGAGCTACCGCCTGAATACCCAAGTCAAACCACTTATATGGGTAGAATGTCTTGTGGAGTCGCACTCCGGGTCCCGGATTGAGTACATGTTAAAAGTAGGCATCGCCAAGCCTGGGTCCCCTATGGTGTGCTGGTGAGGGCTGACTGTCATGAATCTGATTAGGCAAAAGCACAATTTAAGCGTCGCAGCACAGCAAATAATGTGGAAATTTTAGTCCCTGTGCCAGAAGATGCTGATTCACCGCGATTTAGAACAAACATTGGAACCGTTCATTACGCTCCTGAGAAATCCGCAATAATATGGAAGATTAAACAATTTGGAGGTGGGAAGGAATTCCTCATGCGCGCTGAACTAGGGCTGCCGTCCGTTAAGGGCGATGATGAGCATGGTGGTGGTATGACGGGTGGCTTTGGAGGGAGCATGGGTGGTGCTGGGCAGACAGCAAAGGGCAAGAGACCCATCAATGTCAAATTTGAGATCCCGTATTTTACAACCAGCGGCATCCAGGTCCGCTATTTGAAAATCATTGAACCAAAGGTATGTACGCCTGACATGTTTTCTTACCACTTTTTTTCATATTTCTTTGTCAAGCGGGAATTTTGCTCTTATTGTGACCTGTGTGACCCCTTTTCGGTCACTTGCACGGATCCTAGTTCTCATATTGGTCGTCACTGGTCCGTTTGCATGCATCTATCCCTTTCGCCAAGACATAACTCCCCCTCCTTGTTCGATCGTCCCCCGGATTTTCACGGACATTTGTTGTCGAAATTCTCATGTCCATTGTGGTTGCTTTTCATGTACCCTGGAGTTGGATCGCACCCTCACAAGGGGAATCTCTCACTCGTTCCCTGGCCTTGATATATTATGCTACATTTCGCACCTTAAGAGCCGCACTAACCGTTTGATTCCTTTATCGCAGCTCCAATATCCGTCTCTGCCCTGGGTCCGCTACATAACTCAGTCTGGTGACATTGCTGTCCGTTTACCCGACGTGCAATAATGACGCCCATGTTCTTAAGGGCAGCTTATATAGTCCTTATTTAATACTTGTTTGAAACTTTTACCAGCATGCTATCGGTGTTGCCCATCAGATGATATTTTCAGTTGGGCTTTTCAGTATGTATAGATCTCCCACAACATACAGTTTTACTGCATAAGCATTTCCCTGGGATTACGAAAAACTGAAAATTCAAGGGGTTTCACAATGGTTTACCGAGATGGATTTGGTAACAGCTTAATATTGGTATCAGAGTCATAATATGGCTACCCAAGAAACTGAAGTAAGCTAACAGCATTTCTCACACAAGATTTGAAGTAGTACGCACACATTTGAGATGGAAGGTATTCAGGTGGTGCAAAGGAGAGCAAGGGGTGAAACCAAAGTTTCAATCACAGTTTGCGGGAGGAAAGTGAATGAAGATAAGCTATGAGCGACCATTCTTATGTATCAAAAGCATACACCAAACAAGATACATTTCAAATCCATATGTCTGGTCAAAAGGCCTGCTTTTGCATGGATTTCAACCAATCTTCTCAAAGAACAAAGGGGGATAAAATACGGGCAATGAATGGACACAGTTGGTTAAAAAGCCACAGGTATAGACATACAAATTTATACCATGGCGGTTACTGATTGCTGGTAGGGGACAATATTTCTTTTTGTTCTCCCCTGCTCCGGGATCAAGCCTGGATTATTGGGCCATTTTTGCCTTCCTCGATGTTTCGTAAGTCTTGCGCTGTGATATTTGAGTCGGAGTCCAGGTGGATGGACACGACCACGCCGGTTCCGTGTCTCCCTAAAAGTCGTCAGCACGAATTATACCACTTAGCTAAAGTGCAGATGTCAGAACTCACTTGAGGCCGGAAGGTTGTGCCGGTTCCAAATTGGAGGTTTGAAGGACAGACGAATGACCTCTAACACTGTGTAGGCATCGTGGGGACAGGAGAAAGCCGCGAAAGCGAGGAGGAGGGAGAGATCTCCAGCAATTCCAGTGTTGCTATAGTCGTAGTCCTCTTGGTTCTGGTTGTATGTCTCTGGAATGAGTTGCGGCATCCAGGAATCAGAACCCTTCCCGGCAAGGACGTTATAATTCACATCGAAGCGCATGACTGAAATTGGGGGATAAGGGTCATTAAGGAGATATTTGAACATCACTCTGCGCCAACCGATACCATCTCTCCGCCGGGACTGTTGCACGCTTTTTTGGCGGCAATCGAACGGCACTCCCAGGAAATGGTAACACTCCGAGTTGTAAAATAGCGAACAAACCCGAAATTTTTCCCCACGGCATTCTGTTCTCTCAATACCGGCTGGTGTCCACCGATACCAGCCGGTTGAACCAACCGTCTTAACAGCACTAGGAATCGTAGGCGGAATCCATGCCTGGTTGGGCAAACGAATCTCGCACTGCTCGTCATAGTTCGGCACAATAAAGTCGATTTTGAATACGAAACGCAGAACTTTCGATTCATATGCAGACATGGCGTTCGATGGGTTGAAGGGAGCGCTAAGTTATGCGGTATCTCTTTGGCGGTGTTGAGCCCACGATCAAAGCTAGAAAAGAGCCGTGGACAATTTCTTCGATGGAGACGAGACAGTTCAGAGTGTTAGCTTTAGTACGGGGCATCCTGCAGCTAGCATTTATCCAGCGGTGGAGAAGGTGGCCCCAGATTCAATTTTATACACATTCCGGTTCTTCAAATCACTTCGAGGCGGGGTTGCAACTCTCTAAACTTGAGCCTCTGACGAAATAACTGCCCGACCGCCGATGGTGCATTTCCATGCCGTTTTGGTAGCATTCAGTGCGGTCAAACAGGATGGTGGAGCTGCGTGGCTACCCGACCAACGCTAAAAAAAAAAAAAAAAAGGGAAGAAGGGTGTACAGTAGCGATAACCTCCCTTGAGTAGAGGAACCGCTGGAGCCCATGGTTGAGGAATCGTACTTGGCCGCATACTGTTGGCTGAGCCGGCTCGAATAAAGCATAGGGACGGGGTGTCGGGGTGATACGAGCCTCAGCATCGCAAATCAAGTGCATCGTTATTGGGGATATCAATGGCGGGATCAGCACACAGCAAAAGAGCACTCAGTTTCAGCATCCCTGAAATGAGGAAGCCAGCGAAAGGCCACGAGATAAGGAGCCACGTTCGCGCCAAAAGGAGGATGGGCAAAGCCACCTGACGGTATGATGTGTCAGAGCAAAAGCGGTCTATCAGGAATAGCTGATTTATGGCATACATACTGTTCAGAAGTCGAGTATTGACAAAAAAGCAATTGTTGGATGAGTGCCTCGAAGCCGAAGTCGGACCTTTCTCGCTTGACACCTCATGATTTGTTGTAGGATGGAGAGACCAGGATGGTGGGAGGAGACAGAGAGAGCCCATGTTTAAACACAAACGTCTTGCAGCGAGACACACAAATTCATTTCACCCTTTTGTGGGGGAGGGGTAGAGAAGCCATCAATTCCAGTGGAATATTTTATTTCTTTCAAGAGGATGAAGCAGGACGCAGAGGTCTAAATATATTATTCTGTCTTCAGTGGGAAACAGTCGGCGGCGGAGTTTTGGGCTACTCTCATATCCTTGCCACGCAGGTGTGCCTAGCGTTCACTCTTAGCTTGGTTGCCTTCCTGTCGCCTTTTTCCTGAACAAACGGCTGTCAACTCCAGGGAAGTTCTACGTCAGAAACACACAGTGACAAGCAAACAAGTATATGGAAGTACGGGCGCGCATTGGACGGTGTCAGCACGGCAGTCCCATAGTAAAACGGTCTAGGCTTCTTCAAAAACAGGTCTTTTGCAGATCATTGTTATATATCTTGCTCGTGCCAACGGTGAGACAAGCATGCTTCCGGATAGCATTCCTAGCCAGCCAGATTCAAAGCATGCATGAAGTGATAAAGAGAAGGGTTATCAAGCTGAACTTGCCGCAAGTTGGCCAGAAATTGAACCAGTCTACTCCGTAGACAGGCTCAAAAGCTGAAAATAACAACCATGCATGACGCAGGATGCAGCATGGGTTGCGCGCAGCCTACTGAGGGGCCAAATTTCCAACAGAAGTTGATGAGTGTGTTCAAAAATGAATTGTTGGAATAAATACCCGGCAAATACTCCTTGAGCAAGAAGGATCTCAGAGGAGAAACCATTGTTTTCGCATTGAACACAGAGCAGGATCAAAGGGCTTTTCCACCCGGCTGCCCTCGTCGCAAATCAGCATCAGACCATGATAGCTCTGTGCTACGGGCTTTCAATATCTCCTAAATCAGGAAATCAAAGATTGGATATGAGAGTTTACGGGTAGAATGGCACCTGTGATGTCTGAATGGCCCTCTGAGACGAAAAGGATGTGCGAATTGAGAATGGAGGTAGGTCAAGTTAAAGTTTCTCTGGGGAGATCCAGCCTAATATTTTCTAGATTTGGTATCCAGCCACCTCTTGTGATGTCCGCCTTTGCCATGACGGGACTATCCATGTACATTAGCAATTCTGATGCTTGGAAAATGCCTGGGAAGAAATATCAAATCACCCTCGACCGCCAATTTAATTATATGACGCTCCCGATGATGATGGGCCTCGTTCCTATGGAGGACGGAGTATGTGAGGAAGAACTAGCCTAAATTCAAGTTGTTCCTTGCTTGATTTCAGCCAGTCCATCCATTGTTGTGGCCACACCAGAGTCTACCTCTCTTTTTCTTATCACTTACAATATCTCATTCGTATGTAACTACTTTATGCATCGTACTATACTGCTACATGTCAATACATACTGACCTGATGTCTAGACATTGTTTCTGCAAGCTCAGTACGCCGTATACGAGATACAAAAGGACAATTGAGATGGATTCCTACCCAGAACGGACGTAATACAGCCGAATCTGGTTATGACGTTTCCCCGACACGGGGATCAATGAGTTTCGATATCTGGTTAGAGCCAAAGGTATGTTTGTGCAGAACATCTTGACTGTGACGTGGAGCCGGGCACTAAACCTAGAGATTTCATATCAAGGTCCCAATTTTGGGATCTGCATATATCGGGATGGCGCACTTGAGCTACCGCATTGTCCAGCCGCGAATGCCTCAGCGCGACCATCCAGAGCGTGCCGTAAGAAACATTTCCATGGATTTGGCAGAAGCAATTCCTGGGAAATCCGGGATGGTCCAATCGTTTCCTGGGATGATCCCGAGCCGTACTTCACGTGGCTTGAAATGCAACACAAAAAAACACGCGTGTTTTTCGTGACAGATTTTCTTCCACATTGAGGACATCGTATCGCCGGCACGCAGATTCGAATCCACAGTTCCCAACGTGCATGTCTTTTCTCTTGTCCAAAGACTAAAGCCCCATCTCTGAGTGTGTGTTGGTGAGTGATTGCATATACTCGACGGAGGAAAGAGGCGTGGGAGAAAACAAAAAGGTGCTCCGTATCCTTCGCGTTCGAGAAGATCCAGCTGGAATTTCAAGATCCTGTTCGACGGAGTTAAGGTGTTGCAAGTTAAGGCATCCTCGGGACGCGGACACGAAAAAAGTCTCCGGGCCAGGTTTTAACCTGTGACAAAAAGGGCGTGACGAAAGGGAGGACCTCATGGACACTCGCTCACTCCTGGGACCCTGACTGCTGACTATCGGTGTGGGCTGAAACTGGCCAGCTCGGCCGCCCTGAAACGCCCATCAGCGGCCGTGTCCGGGGGGGCGATCAGATAAGGCAGCGGTGCCTCGCAATGACTCGAGGGAACCCCACCGCCACCAGTCACCGGCCAATGGTGGACGCTGCAGAGCCACGCGAGTGGCGCCCACCAGGTTCGGCACGGACTTTAAAATTACTAATTCTGACTAATTCCGGTCGTAACAATACGTACCGGGACACATGTCATCCCGCTAGTATTGCGCCGGGGAGCCAATCACCGCCGGCCTTTTTCCCGCGCTGACTCAGACTAACTGTGTTTGGAAAAATCTAGGGTTCACCGTTCCACGTGACATCGGCGTGTTCGTGCGTCTTAACTCCGACCGGCTTACTGCGCGGCGGCCCTTGAATCGCTTGTGGCGGCGGTCCATGATCCGTCGAGTTGTCGACCTGCGCGCCTTGTGAGAAAGATACCCAGGATGGCTGAAGCTAGGGGTTGTCTGCCGGGAAATTCACACCCGGGATAGTGCCCAATTCGTGCTTTCAGATAGATCGGATTGACGTAATGGATTGTCCATGCTCCCAATGGACAAGAGTCCACAGATACGTATATCAAGAGTCCATTGCTGAACCAGTTCGCAAAACAGTGGCCAGAACCATGCCGTGGGTTTCTGGTGGCCTGTGGGGCCGTATTTTTTTTTTTCTTTTCCTATTTTATTTTACCTTTTTTTTTTTTTTTTTTTTTTTTTGGACCCAGCTCCCAAGATACTTCCAATTTGACAGAGAGTTCCGGGGATTCCTTCATACCCATTCGGGTTTACCGCCCGTACAGGGAGGAAAATTTATGTTGTTATCAACTCCATGATGCCCCCAGCATCGTCTCTTTCTCCCTTCGCAACTCTTGCAACGGTTCCCATCTCATACGGAGACCTCCGTATAACAAGGGAGCCAAGCTCGAGCCTTTTTTCCTTCCTTTTTTTTTTTTTTTTTCTTTTTTTTTAACACTCACTCTGCACCTTTATTTTCCGTTCTCTCCTGATACCTATAAACCTGGTTCGTTAGGGTGATGTTGTTGCGTCCTGAACCCTCAACATTGACCATTTCTTGTATCCTACTCTGCCGACGTTCCTTTATTTCATAGCTTTGAACTTATATTCAGCCAAAGCGGACATATTCATCTCGTTAAATTTTATTTTTTCTTTTTCTCGCTGTTAGAATGCCTGGAAGTGGCTCTGGGGATCCGCCCCCGCAAACCCGGGAACCCACGGACAGCTCTGATGCAGAAACCCTATTCACCAGCAGTGACTATGAAGCCAGGAGGGAGAACTTGAGAAATGAAAACCCTCAGGGCCTCACGCGACCAACAAGTGGAGTTGACGTTCAGAGGGCCGAGGAGGAGTTCGCCCAGCTGAGCAAGCAACTGACGGGGATCTCTGAACGGGCCAAACGCCTGTCCCGCCAACAATCAAACCGGCTCGACGAGAAGACGCCCGAAGATATAGAGACGTCAACGGAAGGAGAACCTTTTGACCTTGAGACCACTCTCCGCGGTTCCAGAACCGCCGAAGCGGACGCTGGCATCCGGCCTAAGCGGATTGGTAAGAACCAGGAGCACCGTCTCTATCATAGGTAAGCATGAGGCTAACCCATGTCGTTAGGGGTCATCTGGGACGGCCTCACCGTTCGAGGGATAGGCGGGGTGAGAAATATTGTCCGCACCTTTCCCAATGCCGTTGTAGACTTCTTCAATGTTCCCCAGACGATTATGCATATCCTTGGTCTGGGGAGAAAAGGTAAAGAATTTGAGATCTTGAAGAACTTCAAGGGCGTCGCAAAGCCTGGCGAGATGGTCCTGGTACTGGGCAAACCTTCAGCCGGCTGCACGACATTCCTCAAAGTGATAGCAAACCAAAGGTTCGGCTATACAGGCGTTGACGGCGAAGTTCGGTATGGGCCCTTTGACGCCAGTGCTTTTGCGAAACGCTTCAGAGGCGAAGCCGTCTATAATCAGGAAGATGACGTGCATCATCCAACCCTGACGGTTGGTCAAACCCTTGGATTCGCCTTGGACACTAAGACGCCCGGGAAGCGCCCTGCTGGCATGTCCAAGGCTGAGTTCAAAGAAAAGGTGCTTGTCGATTTTTCTCCGACCTTCAGATGTTAGATGCTAATATTGCTGCAGATCATTAACCTCCTTTTGAAGATGTTCAACATTGAACATACGATCAACACCGTTGTTGGCAATCAGTTTGTCCGTGGAGTTTCTGGAGGAGAGCGAAAGCGCGTCAGCATTGCAGAAATGATGGTTACCTCTGCTACGGTCCTTGCTTGGGACAATACCACTCGAGGCTTGGATGCGTCCACTGCGCTCGATTACGCCAAATCGCTCCGTATTTTGACTAACATATATCAGACGACAACTTTCGTGTCTCTTTACCAGGCCTCTGAGAATATCTATGATCAGTTTAATAAAGTCATGGTGATCGACTCAGGCCGCCAGGTCTACTTTGGTCCTACAAAGGAAGCACGAGCGTATTTCGAGGACCTGGGTTTCAAGGAAAAGCCTCGTCAGACAACCCCCGACTATTTGACTGGATGCACCGACCCCTTTGAGCGAGAGTATAAGGAAGGTCGAAACGCAGAAAATACTCCCTCGACACCAGATGCTCTTGTTCAAGCTTTCGAGAAGTCTCGATTCAACGAGGCCCTTGAACAGGAAATGGATACATACCGAGCCCAGCTGGACCAGGAGAAGCACGTCTATGATGATTTCGAAATGGCTCACCTCGAAGCGAAGCGCAAATTCACGTCAAAGTCGTCGGTCTATTCAATTCCGTTTTATCTTCAAGTTTGGGCCCTGATGCAGCGTCAATTCTTGATCAAGTGGCAAGATAAGTTCTCTCTCGCAGTCTCGTGGATCACATCTATCGGCGTGGCCATCGTTCTTGGTACAGTGTGGCTCAAGCTTCCTACGACAAGCGCTGGAGCCTTTACCCGTGGCGGTGTTTTGTTTATCTCGCTGTTGTTTAATGCTCTGCAAGCTTTTAGCGAGTTGGCATCTACTATGTTGGGCCGGCCGATCGTGAACAAGCATCGTGCATATACTTTTCATCGTCCAAGCGCTCTCTGGATTGCCCAAATAGCCGTCGACCTGGCCTTCGCTTCCGTGCAAATTTTCGTCTTCAGTGTTATAGTCTATTTTATGTGCGGCTTGGTTCTGGATGCGGGAGCTTTCTTCACCTTCGTTCTCATCATCATCACCGGGTATCTCTCTATGACACTGTTTTTCCGTACTGTCGGATGTGTTTGTCCAGACTTTGATTACGCCCTGAAAGGTGTGTCCATCATCATCACGCTGTTTGTCGTCACCTCCGGATACCTCATCCAATGGCAGGATCAACAAGTGTGGCTTCGGTGGTTTTTCTACATCAATGCAGTCGGCTTGGGGTTTTCTGGGCTAATGATGAACGAATTCGGGCGACTGAACATGACCTGCACCCCAGAGTCTCTCATCCCAGCAGGACCCGGGTACACAAATTTATCGCATCAAGTCTGCACTCTTCCCGGTGGCGACCCGGGTTCAAGTATTATCCCAGGCTCAAACTACATCAAACTTCAGTTCCGATATGACCCTGCTGACCTTTGGAGGAACTGGGGCATCATGGTCGTTCTCATCGTTGTTTTCCTTTGTGCGAATGCTTACTTGGGTGAAGCTCTCACATATGGTGCTGGAGGCAAGACCGTAACTTTCTTTGCGAAGGAGACCCATGAATTGAAGAAGCTTAACTCGGAACTTCAGGAGAAAAAGCGAAACCGACAAGAGAAGAAATCGGAAGAATCGGAATCGAACTTGAAGATCGAGTCGAAGTCCGTTCTGTCTTGGGAGGATCTATGCTACGATGTTCCAGTTCCTGGTGGCACTCGCCGCCTGCTCAATAACGTCTTTGGATATGTTGAACCGGGGAAACTTACGGCCTTGATGGGCGCTAGTGGTGCTGGTAAAACAACGCTTCTTGATGTATTAGCCGCGCGAAAGAATATTGGCGTTATCACTGGTGATATTCTCGTTGACGGACGTACTCCGGGGTCATCGTTCCAGCGCGGGACATCTTATGCAGAGCAGCTCGATGTCCACGAGCCGACGCAGACCGTCAGAGAAGCGCTTCGGTTTTCTGCCACCCTTCGCCAACCCTATGAGGTACCCGAAGAAGAGAAGTTCGCATACGTCGAAGAGATCATCTCCCTGCTTGAACTTGAAAACCTGGCAGATGCCATTATCGGTGACCCAGAAACTGGACTATCGGTCGAAGAGCGGAAGCGTGTTACAATTGGCGTGGAGCTCGCTGCCAAACCACAACTGCTGCTATTCTTGGATGAACCGACATCCGGTCTCGACAGTCAGTCCGCCTTTAACATTGTCCGTTTCCTCCGAAAGCTTGCCGCTGCGGGTCAAGCGATCCTTTGCACCATTCATCAGCCGAATTCTGCACTGTTTGAGAACTTTGACCGTCTGCTATTGCTTCAACGAGGTGGCGAGTGTGTATATTTTGGTGATATTGGAACGGATGCACGCATTCTCCGTGATTACTTCCACCGCAATGGTGCCGATTGCCCATCT